CCCCCCCCCTCCCGCTCACCCCAGACACTCTCCAACCTCCTCACGCTACCCTCGACGCGGGCGACACGGGCTGCATTCCGCCGCCATGAGGGCTTCGCGCGCCTCATCGCCGCCCTCCATGGCCTTGGTTGGACGAGGCGGCCAGACGCGATAGGCGAGGACGAGTGGACCGTCTTCGAGGTACAGCGCGCTGAGGGGCTGCGGTTGTGGTTCGAGGTCCTGGCATGGGCAATGGGAGATCGGGCTGGGGAGCGGGCATTCGAGGTGAGTGCTGTCCGAGTGCTGTCCGGGGCGTCCGTCGCAAGCTGACATCAGGCGCTCGGAGGCTACGCTGCCCTCCTCCCGCTTCTGCGCAAGCTGTCGGACCGAGACGATGTCTCAGATACCTGGCCATCACCCGAAGTCCTCGGCATCCTCCTTGCTCACCTCCTCGGGAACAACTACACGCTGAGATCGCTGTTCACCGGACCAGAAGGGGACGTCAACGCACAGCTCAAGGACGCGCACCTCCGTTGGGCGCAGGGTCTCCCGCTGCTGTGGGCGTACATCTGGGGCCAGGACACAGCCAAAAGGAGACCAGCGAGCGACCCCGCGCCAGACCGCGATGCGCTGTACGGCGGCGAGCGTGAGGCCGCTGCCCCACCTCCAGTCTGGCTTGCACTACGCGTGCTCCGCGCCCTCGCGGTCGACCGCACTAACCTCCTACTTATCCGCGCACACCTCCCGGAGCTCCCAGAGTTCCTGCTCACTCGCATCTACGGCTACGAACCTGAACGGCACTTTGACGTGACGTTTCCTCCGCGCGACGAGTGGTACCAGAACGCACAGGCCGAGCCGAACGTCCTGGAACGGGAATGGCAGGCGCCCTCCGACGACGCCCGCGCCCTTTACCTTGCCCTCCTGCAGCGTGTCGTCACAGGCGGCGTGGACACACATATCACATGGCGCCTGTTCCAACTTGTGCGGAAGGTGCCGCCAAAGCCACCAAAGATCCAGTCGGACAGTGTGGCATCCAGCGGGGCTGCGACGCCCACTGCGAGGCCTGCGAGTCCCGGCGCTGAGCCGAGCCCCAGCCCAGGCCCGTCTTCAACGCCCGGCCCAGATACCCCGCGATCGCAGAAAAAGAAGCCGACGCTCAAGCTCAAGGTATCTCCGCCTGTTCACGAAAGCCTCGACAACGAGGTACTCGATCTCGTGCGCCGCGCGATGCGCGCACATAATCCCCACGCGTTCATCTTCCGTTCCGCGCCGAGCGTCGAGGACGGCGGACTGGAACTGAGCGAGCTGGATCGTCCCTTCCCTCCTGCTGCCAAGGGCTTCGTGTTCGCGGCATGGCTCAACATCTCGCGCTTGACTGAAAACATTACCCTCCTCCACCTTTCGCAGGAGGGGCGCAAGCACCCGCTGATAGCTGTGCGAATTCTGGAGAACTCGCAGATATCGCTCACGACGAGCGCGTTCAGCGAGAAGGAGACAGCGCCCGAAGAGGTGATATGCGGCTCCGTCGACGCCCTCGTACCCCACAAGGAGTGGGTGCACTTCTGCGTTGGGTGCCGCAAAGGAAGAGCGTTAGGCGAGGCTCGGATATTCATCAATGGGCGTCGCGTCGGCGCTGTGCGCGTCACGTATCCCGTACCCCGCCCGGCGCCGGCCAAGGGCGGCGAAGGCGTGCGTGTGAGCGTCGGACGTCCCTGGCCATCGGAGAAGGACAGCACGCCCCACGCCCTTGGCCACGGGGAGGGTAACGAGTGGGCCCTGGGCCGCGCGCTCCTCCTCGAAGAGGTGCTGGCTGAGGACGTCGTGCTGCTCATGCATCACCTCGGGCCGCGGTACGCGGGTAACATGCAGGAGGCGCTAGGCAAGTTCCTGACGTACGAGGACGCGACGTCGATCAACATTCACCTGCACGCTCTCGCGAGCGGCCACAAGGCCGCACTCCTCCCCGCGAACAGCCAGCTCGTGCGCGCGATATCCACCGGCCCCGCCATGCCCGAGGACAACATTATGTTGTCGCTGTCCGCGAGCGACGTCCTCCCCTCCCATCCGGGCGAGGAGGACTGCGTGCTGAACGGAGCGGTGCCGCACATGTCGCGCGCCAAGGACTTCAAGTACGCGCGTGCGCGTCTCGTCGGCTCCGTGTTCCCGTACGCCAGCGCCGACCTCGATGTCACTGCGAGCAGCGCTGGCGGCGGTGTGCTCGCCCTCAAGCTCGTCGACCTCGCGTCGACGCCCGAGGAGCTGCTCACGACACTCAACGTGCTCTGGGACATGCTCCGCTACTCGTGGGCGGCGAGCGAGGAGATGGAGCGGATTCGTATGTCCCAGTCTGACAACGCTGACGGCAGACGGGTACGACCTCCTCGCCGCGATTTTGCGGCCGAAAATGAGCGCGCTCGTCGATACCGCGTGCACTGCGAGCATTCTGGCCTTCCTCGGCGTCGACATCAATGACCCGACGTGAGTTTCTTCGTGACGTATCTGACCCCAGCTCCTCCCGCGTTCAGTGCTCGGCGGGATACAAGGCCCTCGGGCTGGACTTTGAGTTGTGGGCGCACGCGCAGCTTCCCACTATCACGCTCTTCCTGCAGCACTTTGAGGCGTTGCTCTCCGCATCGCAATACCGCCGCTTTAACCAGCTGCGGACATTCCAGAAGTCCAATATCGTCCGGAAGCTGCTCTATGCGCTGCGCTCGGGGCAGTACGAGCACGCTGCCGTCCCTCTCGCGGTCGACACACTCCGCCTCGCACTCACGACTCGCTGGTCAGCTGAGGACGGCATCAAGCCCGTGTTCTCGTATCTTATTTCGGCACTGTGCCACCGTGCGTCGTCGCTCCGGCGCATGCTAACCTCAGACCCAACATCAGTTTATCTCGCGCCTTCGGAACCTACGCCTGCGCAGTACCCCGCGGCTCTCATTCTCAACATGCTCGCGGGCATTCTGACGAATGCGAAACGCCTGACGAAGTTGAACAAGGCGGTTTCGCTGCACCGCCTTCTCGTCATCTTCCTGCAGTCCAACCCTTCGCCGTTCGTCACTATGCCCTGCCTCGACATCCTCGCGCTGTGCCTCTCAACACCGGGCCTCGACTCGTTCCAGCGCAACTTCGAAGCCGAAGGCGGCTTCGCGCTGCTCGCCAGAACTCTGGCGCCGATCTGGAACGCGCACATCCAAGATGTCGTCTTCGGCATGCTCTTCGGTTCGACGGGGACGCCTGGGGCGAGCCTCGCCTGCCCACCGGCCATCGCAAGTGTGATGGCGGCACTGGACACACTTCTCCAGTCAGCGAGCGGCGGAAGTGCGGGCGAGGACATGGCGCGCAGCGTCAGCAGTGTGAACAGTGCACTGAGTGGACTATCCATTACGCCCGCGCAACAGCAGGCGGACGGGTCCGATTCGGACTCGGATGACGAAGCAGGCGACGACGGTCGCCTCGAAAGCCTCCTCACCAAGCTCACGCAGGTCTACCGCCAGTCCTCTCCGCTGCGGCGGGCGCTCGCCGCAAGACGCATCGAAGCCATGCTGCCCGCCATGGTCGATTTCGTCACGATGAACGTCAGCTCAAGCTCCGTCGCTGCCGAGGGCCAGCGAGCTGCTGCCATACAGTGGCTCCAGGCTCTGGTAGACCTGAGCAAGGCGCCGGCGACAATTCTCACACAGCTGAAGCTCCTCATCGAGCAGCTTAAAGCCTCGAGTCCCTCAGACACCGCCGGGCGGACACCGACATCTGTCGCTGGCTCGATCTCGCGCCCTGCGGCGCCCAGGAGATCCTCGTCCAACCTTTCCTCTTCCGTGCGCTCTGCATCGAGCGTCTCGTCGCCCCTCCGCGCGAGACAAGCGGGTGATGGGGGCCGCGTTGCACGCTTGCGTGCTGGCAACCCGCCACGCGTACCCCTCCGCCGCACGCTGACTGGTGAAAGCATCCTCCAAGAGGAGCAAGACAAGAACTCGGCATGGCGAATGATCATTTTGTCTACGGTGAGCAGCCGCTGACTGCCAAGTGCTGACACCAGGACGCGCAGAAGCACGCAACTGCGACTCTCGAGCGCAAGGAGTACTGGCATCGGTTGAACCAGGTCGAGTGGCCTGGACTCGTCGCGGGGCTGAGAGCGGAGAACGGCGTGTGGGCTGAGGACGATGGTCCCGCGACATGGCGGCTGGACGGGAGTGAGGGGCCGCTGCGCATGCGCGTGCGTCTCGAGCGGACGGACGGCGTCGCGTCCCCCGGGGCTCACAAGTCGCGCGCCAAACTTCGCGACGCTATCCCCGGCACAGACGAGCTTGAGAGCGCGGTGTCGCGCATCAACGCCGCGCCCTGGGAGGATCCCTTTAGCTTAGCTATGGGCGAATCCATCACCGAGGAGGAGCAGGCCGGCACTCCGACCAAGCCGTCTACCCCGTCTGAGCAATTCAAATCTGGGGACGGCGACGACAGCGACGCAGAGTCGTTCCACGAGGTCGAGGACGAGTCGAGCAACAAAATGCGTCTGGTCGCCAAGGCGCTGCAGGCGGGTGACGTAGTCGAGTCGGCGCACAACATTGTGCGCATTGTCGGCGTCGACGCGCTGCCCGGCCTGCTCATTCTGGGGCGCAGGAACCTGTATCTCATTGACGGTCTTGTGCAGACGCCCGAAGGACAGGTCATTGAGGCCGACCATGCGCCGCGCGACGTACTCTCCATCCCGAGCGGGACGCTGGCGGACCTGGACCCCAGCGACCAAAGATCGCACCGGTGGACGTACGCCGACGTCGTCGAGACGAACAAGCGTGCTTTCCTGTTCCGCGACGTGGCACTCGAGCTGTACTTCGCCGACAAGCAGAACTTCCTCGTCGTGTTCCGCGACAAACGAGAGCGGCAGTCGGTCGTGCACAAAATGGGAATCAAAAGCGGTACTGCGCCGCGCGTGCTCAATTCGTTTGTGCTCGACGCGCTCAGCCGCGCACTCGTCGACACGCGCGAGGCCCAGCTCGAGGGCATGACGCGCAAATGGCAGAACCGCGAGATCTCCAACTTTGCGTACCTCCAGCTGCTGAACCAGCACGCAAACCGCACACCCAACGACGTGACGCAGTATCCCGTCTTCCCGTGGGTTCTGGCCGACTACACGTCGCAGATCCTCGATCTGTCGAAGAAGACGAGCTACCGCGACCTGTCGAAGCCTATGGGTGCACTGACTCCTGCTCGCCGAGAGGAGGCGCTGGAGCGGTACCAGGCGATGGAGGGCGTGGGCGAGAAGCCGTTCCACTACGGCACGCACTACTCGAGCTCAATGATTGTGTGCGGATACATGATCCGTTTGAGCCCGTTCACTGAGATATTCCTCGCACTGCAAGGCGGGTCGTTTGACCTGGCCGACCGGCTGTTCTCGTCTGTGCCCCGCGCGTGGGACTCGGCGAGCGCCACGAATCGCGGCGACGTGCGTGAGCTCATCCCCGAGTTCTACTACGCGCCTGCGTTCCTCAATAACCTGAACCACCACGATTTCGGGCGCAAGCAAGTGTCTGGCGACTTGGTGGACGACGTCGCCCTTCCCCCATGGGCCCTCTCGGATCCGCTCCTGTTTGTGCACATGATGCGCGAGGCGCTGGAAAGCGACTACGTCTCGCGGCATCTGCCCGAGTGGATCGACCTCACCTTTGGGTTCAAGCAGGGCGATGCAGCGAGCTTCAACTGCTTCCATCCCCTGAGTTACCGGGGCGCGGTGGACTTGGACAGAATGAAGGACGACGCGGAGCGCGCGTCGAGCACGGCGATTATTCACAATTTCGGCCAGACGCCGCTGCAGATCTTCCGCACGCCACATCCGCCTCGCTTCCTCAGCGGGCGCACGACGCTGCCGTGCGGCCAGCGGTTCGGCGTCGCCGAGCACTGGCAGATGCTCCTGCGCTCCATCATCCCTATTATGGACGTCGCGTCGCGCGTGCACCACATTCTCGAGAGTGACCGCGGCGATGGCTCGCGACCGCGTGTCGAGCAGAAGCATCGCCTCGCCGTGCCGGGATACCCCGGGCTGAGCGTGCAGTATGGTTTTGCAGACCAGAGTGTTCGCATTTATCACGCCGAGATGGGCCAGAGAGTGAGTATCCCCCTGCCCCGGCCGCTGACTCCAGCTCGTGTACATCGTCGAGGGCATCGACGTGACCCATGCGGCGTTTGCTGCTCCCTCCCTCCTTGTGACCGTGAGCTCGCTCGGCGTGCTCACGGCCTGGCGGATGGCCGTAAAAAACGGCGGCCTGCGTCGCGGCGACGCGAGCCTTACACGCGAGGCAACACTGCGCGGTGCCAACCGCGCCGTGACCTCGCTGGCCGTGAGCACAGCCTGGTCCTTTGTTGTCACGGGCTGTGCGGACGGCACAGCGCTGGTCTGGGACTCAAACCGGCTGAGATACACGCGCGCGCTCAAGACGCCGCGCAACGAGCCTATCGCGCATATTGGCATCAACGAGGCGAACGGGCACATCGGCCTCGCATCAGCACACCACCTCTACATGTTCAGCTTGAACGGGCACCCTGTCGCCGCGACGAGCGCGGACGGCGGCCGCTTCCCCGAGATCAGATTCAACGAGGGCGCGCGCGAGGCGCGCTCGTTCTCGGGCGGCATCGCATTCCTGCACCGCGAGTACCTCGCTTCGGGGGATCTGCTGGTCGTCGGCGTAGGCCGCACGCTCGTGCTGTATCGCTGCATCCCGGGTGTACGGCGGTTCGAGGACCAGGACATCGAGCCGTGGCGCCTCGTCAGACAGGGCGTGCTTTTCCGCTCCGACGACCATGGGCATGGGGACGTCACAGCGGTGAAGTTTGTAGGGTAAGTCGCTGGCGGAGGCTGCGCTGACACCAGTGAAACGCTGTATGCCGCCTTCGAGCCCGTGCCCCCCGGCCGCAAGCACGCGGTGTATCAATGGTCGCTGCCCGACGCAGGCCCTCCGCTCGTGCCGCAGCGCCGCGTGCCCGACTCGACGACCGTGTGCATGGCCCCGGACTGCGGGCGGACCTTCGGCCTGCTGGAACCGCGGCGATGGTGCGGGGGCTGCGGGGGCGCATTCTGCGGCTCGCACGCGCTGCAGCTCGAGTTCTTTGAGCAGCGGTACTGCGATGTGTGCCGCGATCGGCTGGGCGAAGCGAGCGAGCTCGGCCTCGTGGGCCGCAGCCGCGTGGGGAGCCGCGCGGGGTCGCTTGACCCGAGCAGAGTCGGGAGCGTGGTGGGGAGTAGACGGCCGAGCGTTACGGAGAGGGGGCGCGAGATGCCGGAGCGCAGGAGTAGAGAGCCGTCGCGCGACCGCGTGGCGCGCTCGCGGGAGCGCGCGCGGCGCGCGGAGAGCATGGCCGTGTAGCGTTGTATGATGCAGACGTATCAATGCGCCCAAGTGACACAAGAGATGAAAATTCGCATCTCCGCGATAAGCATACCAGCGCCGTGAGACATAATCCGCCGAGCTGTCTCGCAGCGTCAGTCACAATGATGACACCTGCATATGCAAATGGTGGGACTACAAAATACAACTGGGCTGTGCGCGCCGACGGTCCGTATCCTACTTCTGCTTCTTGCTCTTTGCGCGGCTGCTCTTGCCCTTGGCCTTCTTGGGCTTCTTGCCGCGCGGCGCGCCGCCAGCAAACAGCGTCTTGTGGACGACGTCGCCGGCCTCCGAGCTCTCGTCTTCCGCGGGCGAGAGCACGCTGCCCTCGCCTGCGTCTCGTGCGGGCGAGGGCGTGGGGGGGCGCGACGACGACGCCGAGTCCGTCGGCGACGGCGGGCGCATGCGCAAGTGGCTGCGCGACGACGTGTTGATCGAGAGCATGTTGCTGGGGTCAGCGAGCGAGTCAGGTGGTCAATGCGAGGCTCGCCAGATCGCTGCGGCGATCACGCCGGGACCCGATCGCCGGACCCATGCAGCTGGTCAGTTGCGTCACGTCACCGTCACCGTCACCGCCGACGACGACGGGGACGGCGACGCGGTGTAACCTGCAACGGAGCGATGGCCGTTCACTCACCCGCCGACCTCGCGCCCGATCTTGTCGATCCGCTCCTTTGCGCTCGCGCTCAGCGTGCCCGTGGGCGCGTGGGAGCCGTCCATTGTCGTGCTCGCGCTCATCGACACGGCGCCGTATGCGTCCTGGCTCGTGATGCTGCCTTCGCGGAACGGGGCGACGAGGGGGTCCGTTTCCGAGGGCTGGGGTTAGTTGCGCAGAGGGGGGATCTCACGGCATCGTCTTTGCGGCGCCCGCAGCAGGGGAGGAAGTCAAAGAAGCCCATGGAGAGGTTGGGGGTGCGTGGCAGCGAGGTGGGAGGGGAGGGGAGGGGGAGGGGGAGGGGGAGGGAGTGGTGCGGCGCGGCGCGGCGTGCTGATGCTGGTGTTGAGTCGAGTAAGCGTGGTGACTGGCGAGTCTGTGCGGACTGTGAGATGGGCGACAGCAAAAGTGTAATGGATGACGCTTGGCTTGGCTAGTGGCAAATTGTTCTTCCTCCACCCTCCACTCTGCCTCCGACTCGAAAACCCTCGGGCCGCCGCATGCCGCGCCGTTGCCGCGCCGAGCCGGCGGCCAGTCTCTTTGTCTCCATAAATCTGCTTCAACTGCATCCTTGCTTGTCCGCCTACGCGCCCACGCCCACGCCCACGCCATGGCCATCGCGAAAGCTACAGTATCAGACATGCTCCGTCGCCGTCTCTCCGACGGCATATTCGAGACGCCACCGCCACGCCGAGCGCCGTGCCAAGCGCCAGCCCTGAGCGATGGCCAGGGCGGTGCCCTGCGGCGGCGGGCGCGGGGCGACGGCTCTCGTTGGTCGTTGGTGGTCGGTGTGATCGCCGTGCGAGTGAGCGCTCCATTCCCACCGGCGTTGAGCGACGCCTCTGCCCTGCGGGGGCCACTTCGCGGCATGCTGGACAGCACACCGGAACTTCTGCCGGCCCGGATTGCCGGGTCCGACCTCTGTTGCAAGCTCCGTGGCTGACTCGAGACGAGGCGATCGTCTTGACCTCCAGCGCATGGAACTTGCTGTCGGCCGGATTGCATGCATACCGCGGCTGGAACGTTGCACTGTTTCAACTCGCATCCGAGACAGCATGACCGCATGGCTACAGATTCCGCTCTGCACGCCAAACGCTTCCACTCCCGCCGCTCGTACACAATTTCATTAACACGCTACAGTTGTACAAGTTATACGCTGCAAGGCCGCCGATGACGGCGCGCAGCCTCTAGCACGGCTGCCCGGCCTGCGGACAGACCGCGGCGGCGCCGGCGAGGCGGTCGGAGCTATGCTCTGTGGCCAGATGAATGGCGGATATGCACAAGCAGATGGAGGGCTTGGGCTTGGGCTCGGCTCGGCTGGGCTCAGGTGGAAGCCGTTTAGAAGCCGTAGCCGAGGGCGCGGCGGCCGCCCCACGACTCGATCATGGTGACGTCGCCGCCCTCTTCGAGGGCGATGGGCGTGCCGTCCGCCGGGACGTGGGGTGGGGGCAAGCCGGCTTCGAAGCTCGCGCGCTGGAGCGCGACGTACGCCCGGTTGCCCTCGGTCGCGGGCAACGGGTGGACGGGGAGGAGGAGGCCTGCGGCGTCGGCGGCCTGCAGGCGCAGTCCGGCGTGGGTGACGAGGACGTCGCCTGGGGCGAGGGAGACGGTCGCGGGACGCACGTGCACGAGCTCGGCGTCGAGCTCGGGCTTGCCGCCGCGCAGCGCCCAGTTCGCGGCCTCGGTGTATCCCGTCGGCGTGTAGAATGAGATGCGGCTCTTCTTGGGCGCGAAGAACGGGCGGAGGAGAGCGTATGTCGCTGCCGATGCCGACGTCGGCACCTTGATCTCGGTGCGCGCAAGCGCGAGGTGCGCGTGCACTGGTGTAGCGGGGGAGGCGGTGTCGTCGACGCCCCACAGCTCCGTCCCGAGCCAGGTGGGCGGCGCCGGGGCGACGGCCGCGGCGTCGATACGCACAAATGCGCTTTCGGGAGACGAGGTGGGGACAAAGGCCTTGAGCGCCTGGCCGGTCGCGCTGAGGACCGAGGGGTCGGCGCGCGCAGCAATCTGCGCGTCCGTGTAGTATGTCGGCGAGTGGGAGCGGGCCACGAGCACCTCGGTCAGCTCGCTCGCCCACGCTTCGGCGACGGGGTCGCGCAGCACATCGCGGATAACGAGCGAACCGCTGCGCTGCAGCGCCTTGGCGTTGACGCTCTCGGCAAGGTGCTCGCCAAGGTGCTGGAACGAGACTTGGGTGGGAGCCGGCTGGGCGTTAGCGGACTAGTTGGTCGGATCGGCAGGAAGTTTTTGCCGATCGGTCAATCGTGACCGGCAGGCATTCGCGCCGCCCTTGCGACTTGCAACTCACCTGCTCAGCGAGGTCCTTGAGCGCAGCGTCCCACGCGGCTTCGACCCACTCGCGCCCAGCCTTGGTCTCGAGCAGACCCGAGACCCACTCGGTGGGGGTGGGGCCGATGGGCTCGGAGATGTGCTCCTTGAGGAGCGAGAAGGCGTAGGGGGCCTTGAGGCGGTCGGATTCGGGGACGTGGGCCAGGGGGTGGTTGTAGGGGGGTGCGAGGGCGGGGCGGACCGAGTGGTTGTATGTCGGGGCGAGGGGGGAGCGGAGGGCGTGGGAGGTAGTGAGGCGGCGGGCTGCGCGGGGCGCGGCGCGGGGGAGGGTGGCGAGCATGGTGTGGCAGGTGGTGGCAGATGGAAGTGGCTGCTCGTCAAGAGCCGTGTTTGTTATTTTTTCTCTGTGAGGTTGATACAGTTGTCAGTGAGCTGAGGGAGGAGAGGATGAAGAGAATTTCTCGAGTCTTTAGCTGCTGAGCGAGCGCGAGGGAGAGCGAGGCGGGACTGGCGAAGAGCAAGCGGACTGGAATGGATGATGAGCGCGGCCGAGGTATTTTCGAATTTTGTTCATGACCGCAGGAGGCATGTCAGGGGATCAGGGGGCCGAGGGGCGTCGGGCACTGGGCACTGGAGAGGCTAATGGACTATTGAATAAGCATCACAGCTTTTTATTAATCGCCTGTTTGTATTGTGCCTGTGCCTCGGCAATACAAGGCGACCTCGCCAATCCATGCACTTGCCGGCGGCTTTGTTCCAGCGGAGCCAATGAACGGGGTCCTCCGGGGCACGCCACTGATACGCTTTCGGCGTGTGATTGGACGCCGCTCTCTATCTCCAGTCACCTTTTCCAACAATTTGGATCAGCGCGCGTCTTGCTTCTGCTTCGGCCCGGATCACACCGGCTCTTCGACGTCACTACTCCTGCAGTCTCCAACTCGCCCGCCCATGCTGCCCACCGACGACGACAACGCCGCCTACGCCGAGCCTACGCCGAGGAGCCTAACGCGCATAGCCGACTAGATGCCGGCCCGCTTCGCCCCTTCTTAGCTCGGCGGCGCCACACACGATCGTGCGAGTGATGCGGTGTGCATGTGTGATCATTGTGCACAGACAGGCATTCGTGGCAGCGTAAGCCGCTTAGCTCGCCGCGCTAGCCGGCAGCCGGCGGCATGCATCGTGGCCTCGTCGTGGGCCATCCACTCGAGCGTCGAGCACCGAGCGTCGTGCACATCTCGTCGTTGTCCGAGCACGGCGGTATCGAATCTGCACACGCCGCCTGCTTCTCCCGACTCGGACGACGCCGGCCGGTATCACCCGTAGCCTAATACGAGATTAGCTTTTCGCTTTATTCAACTCTAATTCCTCGTCTCCAGCCCATCGGCAATCTCTCCAAGCGCCGGCTTGCGTCATGCATCCATGCATCCACGACGTCCACAACATCGGCATGCTCGGCAGCTCGGGCGCCATCGCTCATCGACGTCGACGTGCTACGTATGCAGCATGGATCGCATAGATCGCTCCTGAAACTCGAATTTCGAACTCTGGATGCCAAGCCTGTCAAACGCACCGAGTCACGCCTCCACCGTCGAATCATCTCCCCGCGCCACTTGTTGATCCTCTCTCCATCTCGCAATCTCTTCGCATCCCGCACATTCCGCTCTCCTCCGCCTTCGCCCTCCGCCCTTCGCCCTCCGCCGGCATCGCACCGCCACTCGCGCCTGCCCCCACCCACCCACCCTCTCTTGCGCCCACACTCCCTCCGAAATCACCCTATGCTCCTCCTCCCCCTCCTCCCTCTCGCTCTCGCCGTACTGGGCCCCGCCTCCGCATCCGCATCCGCCTCCCCCTCCTCCCCCCTCTTCACCTTCCCAAACCTCAATGTGACGTAGTGAGTTGTTTCCATGTCTCGTTCATCCTGTCGCCTCACACAAGCTACTACGACGTCGCCGACTTTCCGTACCACCCCGCATGCGACGCGGCCGCCGGCGGGCCCGGGTGGGCGCAGCCCACGAACGAGGGGAGCACGGCGTGTGGGCCGAGCGTCAAGGATCTCGACACGAACGCCGTCGTCGCGATGAACGTCACGTGGCTCAACCAGAATGGATATGCGGCGCGCCTGACGGACCTGTGCGGGCGGGAGTGAGTGTTGTGTTGAGAGGGGGGGCGAGTGGAGGGCTGTGAGGGTGAAGACTGGCGGCAAGCCAGGCGTGGCGGCAATACGAGTAAGGTCGTAAACGCTAATCTCGCCTTTGAGATAGGCGAGACCGGGCGGCGCTTGCTCATAGCATTTCGAACTCGGCCACTCGCCTATCTCTGCCCCCGGGTGTGCTCCGTCCAGTTTCGAGACGCACGCGATGCCGCCATGGCGTGTGCATCACTTCGCCGCAGCTGCCGCTGCCGCAGCTGGAGCTGGACACCATCCTCTGCCCACACTTCACGCTCGACTAACACCCAGAGTCCAGATATGGAAGGAGGGGAAACAAGTCACGATGAAAGGCGGCCCCTTCTTCCTCTGGGAGGGATGCCAGGCGTGCGCCACGCTCCCCCGCATCGACGTCAGCCTCAACGCCTACATCGCCGCCACCGGCGATAAAGAGTGTTTCCGCGGCACGGTCGGCGGCTTCGACGTGTTCGTCATGGACAACTTTGTGCGCCGCGCGCGCGCGGCAAAGACACTGCTCAACGTACCGGCGTTGGCGGCGGGCTTCACCCTCGCACTCACCCTCGCCCTCGTGTAGCTTCGTCGTGTCGTTCTTGGGTTTGGGTCTAATCGTTGTATGCATGGGACTGTACATGGATCTAGATGCAGTCGAGAAGCGAACCGAGGAGCATGCCGCCCGCGAGGCCCGCGGCCACACCCAGGCGGATCTGCGAGCGGCGCGCCGACTGCGCATTCATATACGCCTGGCGTGAGCACAATATGGGGGAGACGTACAACTCTGATGTCCGGCACGGGGGCGAGCCCGTCCGCCGCAATGCTTGACTCGGCTGCGCCCTCGCCGTTGATCTTCTTGCCGGCCTCGGACGCGGGCGTCTTGCCGTTGGCCGCGTTGACGGCGCTGGTCGACTCGGGCGCCTTGCAGTTGGCGGGGCAGTCCGGCCCCAGCTGTCCATCCGCCTGCAAGACGTCCTCGCATAGCTTGCGGAACTCGGCGGCGTCGGCGTCCGCCGCCGCGCAGAGGAGCGCGACTTCGCGGTCCACGCTGTCCTGGCACGCACGGCGCGCGCGCACCTCCGCCGCAAGGTCGTCGATTTTGCGCAGCAGCGCGGCCTCTTCGTGCGTCGTGTGCAGTATGCGCTTGAGGAGCAGGTCGGTGCCGTACGCCGTGAAGACGAAGACGGCGATGAGGAGCATGCCCATGATAGGCTTTTGAAGGAGAGTGGTGTACGTGGACGGGAGAGCTGGGGGCTGCGCTCGTCGAGGCGAGGCGAGGCGAGGTGGGTCAAGCGAGAGTGAGAGTGGTCGGAGATGAGAGAGTGAAGGACGAGAAATGTCGTGTCAGAGATCAGAAGGAAGGCGGGGGAGCGAGGGAGGATGGATCAGCATGCACTTCGCACCTCGGTGGCTTCTGTCACGTAACTCCATCTTCAGTCTTACAGCCCTCCGACTTGTAGCCAGCACTCTGTCAGCCGTCCCGACGACGGATCACGACCACCACTGCTTGCAGCCAGCGCGAGCCTGATTTTTTGTCAGAGGGTGAGGTGAGGACGAGGGGTACGCCACCCCGCACAGGCCAGCGGTCACGACCGACGCGCTTCCCAGGGTGGGGTGGGATGTTGCGGGCTGAGGTCAAGTTTGCGCCGCTGGTTTTTCTGCATACCTGCACCGCCGCTGGAAGAACTCTTGGTCGAAGCGCTGCTTGGTGAGCGACGCATGTGGTCGTGCCCGACAGAGACCTTGCGCCCGTGAAGGTGACTGGCGGTGACTGATCAAGGTTGGTGCGCGCCCTCGCACCTTTCACGGTGACTTCAAGCCAACTCATCTGCCAGCTGCCAGGGTGGTCTTTATTGGCCGTCACATGCCAGTTGCTTGAGCATTGCAAGGTCAAACTAAGCCGTACCTACGCCCAAGTCATCCTAACATGTCAATCCATAACCATCCTAACCTCTACTCATCTACAATCTACCACTCTACCTTAATGCTTGAAGAAGAAGTCGATGCGCTTGTTACCCTTGTCCGTCGTGGTGCGGAGATACTCCTCCTTCTGCGCGGCGGTCCAGTTATCCCACTTCTTCGCCTTGCTCTTATTGCGGAAGACGTACCACGCCTTGGCGAGCCAGAAGAACACGGCGCTCGCGCTAATGATGCCGAGGAGCACGCGGTTGCCGCGGTGGTAGTACGGCGCGTCGTCTGGCTGGTAGACGTTGGACGCGATGAGCGTCGCGCTCTGCACAAACATGTTGTACAGCGAGGACGCGACAGTGCGTGTGCGCACCGAGCCGGCGTTCATCGACGTCGTGGACACAAGGATCGGGTGCGGGTATGGATACGCGATGAGGACGGTGAGGAGCGCCCACTTTGCCCATTTGTTGATCGTGTCGGGGACGAGGACGAGGGCGATGAAGCACACGAGCAGCCAGTACTGCGACAGCGAGGCGACGAGGAAGCGTTCCTTCACGCGTCGGGAGGTGTACCCGAGCATAAGGTTGGTGAGGATCGTGCCGACTTGAGACGGGATTTGGAGCATGTTCGTCTGGAACGTGTTGAAGCCGAGCGAGCGCAGCGTGAGCGTAAAGTATGCTTGGACGGTGCCGGGCGCAATGCCCCAGAGGATGCCGAGGAGGTACACCGGCCAGAGGTCGTAGTCCGTGAGGCTCTGCCAGAGCTGCTTGAGGCTGAGGCCCTCGCGATTATGCATGTCGCTCTTGGTCGGGTCATCGCGGATGACCTTGTTGACGATAATAATCTCCTCGCGCTCCGTGAACCACGGCTTGCGGCGCCAGCGCGTCTTGGTCTGCGTTGGGCCGGGCGGCATCCAGAAGAACGCGAAGAGGCCAATAAGGAATGTGAGGGCGCCCTCGATGGCAAAGAGCCAGCGCCAGCCGGCAGTGTTTGTCACATGCCGCAGCTGGAGGAGGCCGGCGGCGAGGAATGCGCCAATGATGTTGGTCGCGGTCAGCGAGACGTAGAAGTACGACAGGCGGATGGTGAGTTCGTTGGCGGTGTAGTAGTATGACAAGTACAAAATTGTGTCGGCGATAAAGCCGCCCTCGATCAGGCCGATCAGGCAGCGCGTGATGTAGAAGCCGGTGAGGTTTGAGAGCGCGCACTGTGTGATGGCGACGACGCTCCACGCCATCATCTGGATGGGAATCCACACATCTGACCCGAGCTTTTTCGAGACTATATCAGCGCGGCAGGCAGGGTTCACCTACTCATCTGCGAGGGCAGCTCGGCGAACAGGAAAGAACAGTAAAAGATTGTCTGGCCGATATTGTAATGGTAGGTGGTGAGGCCGAGGTCGTGGAGCATGTTGTCGCTGAGCGCGTTGGAGATGTTGCTGCGGTCGAGGCACAGGCACCCAAAGAAGACGCAGGCGGCGAACGCCACGCGCAAGTCAATCTTGCGCAGCAGCTTGGTTTCCTCCTCTTTTGTCCATGTTGCCGCGGGGTCCCAGCGATGTTTGCTCTCCCAGCTGTCGGGGGGCTCGTAGAACCTGCTGTCAGCAGAGTTGACGACGAAATGGAGGTACGCACTTCTGCAGCTGCTCGGAACTAGACGCCGCAGACGTCACCGAGCTCTGCCCCTTCTCCTCGTCGGCCGAGTATTCGCTGTCGGAGCGCCCGGGGGCGGTCACGCCTGGCGCGCTCACCGAGGGATTGGTGACGCCCGCAGTGTCGGTGATAGGGGGCGCAGGGAGGGACATTTCGTGTAAGTGGCCCTCCATCCAACAACGCCCACATCCTTATATGGACGCCGATAGGGATTGCTGCGGAGCAGGTTATCAAAAGGGAAGCGGCCGGGTAGCAACGACATGCACCACTGCAAAGTCGCAATGTCGCGTTGCCCGCATCTCCACTTCGCTGGAGCTGTAAAGGTCTCGCGGGCTTCCGCCCCACCGCCTGCCACTTCGCGCACCACCCGCAGAAGCACGCCTGATACACCCCGCACCAAGGTATTCTTCCGGCTCTTTCAACTCCATTCTCAAGTCATGCAGGCCATCCAAGCCAAAGATAGCGAAATTGGCGTCTCTCTACAGGTCGCTCGGTATGGCGCACATTGTGCCACATGCTTCATCAGCGTAAGCACGGGCCGTGCCTGAATTGACCGACCAAGGACCAGGTGATATTCGCCGAGGTGGCGACATGCTGAATCCGGATCACACCATCAGTAGTCCATCGCAGTCGCTCCATCACCACCCCCATCGCCGCTAACCCTCTGTTCACATGCACGTTCAAACGTCATGTGAACAACCCCGCACGCAACACCCCCTCCTCCGCGGCCAACTTCCGGGTCAGGGAACGTGCGTCCAGTGACGGATTGCGCAAGCCGGGGTGCTGCTGCCGAGTCGGCATCTGCACTGGCAGTGATGTCTCTATCTGCAGAGGAGCGGCCGCCGTGAAATTACCACTGCCTTTGCGCTTGGCGGCTTAGAGTGAGCCTGACAGGCTATCGACGAGCCGCACATCTATGGGCTCGACGTGCCGCGTCGCATGCCGCCTCGATAGCCCCGGCGGACTATACACCGGCGGACTATACACCAGCCAACACCGGCTCGAGATCCCGGCCAGCTTGGCACAGCTGGAATGCACATCTCACACATCACTCACCACGACTCATGTCACATACCGCACTAGCGAGCTCACGCGCTCGCGATATTGAAACATGACGTGACTTCGGGCGACGCCGACAGCTCGTCGAGTGGAGTGGATGTGTGAGGAGTATATGAAGGCCGTCGCGACGTCAGACAGCATATTAACAAGCCCATCAACAAGCCCTCCTTCAACTCTCAAGTCTCCAACAACACCATGGCTCCCGTCGCAGTCGAGAACGTCCCCACCGCTCCCGCCGTCGAGTCGCTCAAGGCGCAGCTCGCCGCGACCTCGCTCGTTGACCTCCGCGCCTACCCGCACATCGACAACACGCCGGGCATCGGCACCGAGTTCCACGCCGGTGGGTTGCAGATCGGCGATGTCCTCGCGGACCCAGCCAAGATCAAGGCGCTTGGCCGCCTCGTGTCGGAGCGCGGCGTCGTCTTCTTCCGCGACGCAGACATCACCCCCGAGCAGCAGAAGGTGCTCGTGCAGGCGCTCGGCGAGGCCGGCGGCAAGCCCGCCTCCTCGGGCCTGCACGTCCACCCCCTCACCCTGCCCGGCCAGGTGGACGGGGATGAGATCAGCGTGATTTCGAACAAGTTCGTCTTCGGCGAGAAGTTCAAGCGCGAGGACGGCGACATACGCAACCGCCGCTGGGGCAAGGACCAGTGGGTAAGTACTGGCAGCAGCGTCAATCAGAGCTAATCGCAGCACTCGGACATTACCTTTGAGAACGTGCCGTCTGACTACGCGTCCCTCGTGATCCGCACGCTCCCCAAGGTCGGAGGCGACACGTTGTGGGCGTCGGCGTACGACGCATACGACCGCCTCTCCGAGCCCCTCCAGCGCCTCCTTGAGGGCCTCACGGCGCAGCACAGCGGCGAGTCCTTCCTGCGCATCAACGCCGTGTACGGCGGCAAGCCTGTGCGCGAGCCCCGCGGCTCGCCCGACAACGTCGGCCAGGACCTGCTTACGGTCCACCCTGTGATCCGCACCAACCCTGTGACGGGGTGGAAGGGGCTGTTCGTCAACAAGGGCTTCACGAAGCGCATTGTGGAGCTGACTGCGCCCGAGAGCGATGCGCTCCTCGACTTCCTCTTCGACCACATCAGTGCAAACCACGACATCCAGGTGCGCTTCCGGTGGGAGAAGAACTCGCTCGCTATCTGGGATAACCGCTCCACCTTCCACGCGGCGACTGCCGACCTCGACGGCATCCTTCGTGAGGGGACGCGCTCCGTCTCGCTCGGCGAGCGCCCATACTACGACCCCAAGAGCAAGAGCCGCCGCGAGGACCTCGAGGCGCGCGAGAAGAGCGGCAACTAGAGGGTCAGACGAGGGTCATCAGCACGTAGTGTGGTTCATGTGTACATTTCATTGCAGTTGCTAAGCTAGGGCTTTTTCAGCGGGAGGATACATTTCAGCTACGACTTATGCTCCAGCTTGGCCGTCAACTTGCGCTCATACGCCAGCACAGCTTGGAGAAGGACCTCAGTCCCGACAGCGCTGCCGTCAGCCCCTTCCTTAACACACTCACATGTCCTCTGGCGTCGCATACTCGCTCGGGTGGTGGCTGATTCCATCGCGGCAGCGGATGAAACACATGGCCGTGGGACACGTACGTGCAGTGAACACCGAGTCGTGGCCGGCGCCACTGACCAGGTCCTCGTGCGCCATGCCCGTCGCCTCCGCCGCATGGCGCACACACGCCACGGCCTCGGTATCAAACACGGTTGGCTGAACAGCCGTGAGCGTGTCCCACCGGGTGATTTCCACACCCTCCTCCCCGGCGATGATAGTTGCAAATTCGGCCCGCATCGTGCCCTCGAGCGCCGCCATCCCTTCAGCTGTGTGATGCCGGAGATCGAGGTGGAAAACGACATCGTCCATGACGCAGTTTGTGCTCTGGGCCGCGGTGCTTCCCACCCGCCCGATCGTACACAGCCCGCCGAGAGACTGCGCGACGCGCTCGGCCGCGAGCACGAGCTTGGCAAACGCGATAAGGGGGTCGCGACGATACGCGAACGGCGTGGTGCCCGCGTGGCTGCCCCGCCCTTGCAGCGCGATCTCGAACCACCGCCAGCCCTGCACGCCGCTCACGGCCGCGACGGGCTGCTTAGCCTCGTGAAGAATCGGGCCTTGCTCGATGTGCAGCTCGAAGTGGGCTGTCAGGGGGTTGGAAGTGTGCGACGCCTCCAACTCGCCCAGCATGCCGTGCCGCTCTAGTTCGGCGCGTACGCTCACCCCCGCCTCGTCCGTGCGCGAGTGGCTACGTTAGCTGTATCTGAGTAGTAACTCACCCGTACTGGAGGGACAGAGCGCCAGCGTACACCCCGCTTCCGAGACAGGAGGGAACGAAGCGTGCGCCCTCCTCGTTCGTCCAGCACACAGCCGCGACGGGGTAAGCGGTCCTGTAAGCCGCCTCGTCCAGAGCGCGCAGTATCTCGAGGCCAGCGAGCACGCCAAGGATGCCGTCGTATCGCCCCCCCGTGGGCTGAGTGTCCAAGTGGCTGCCCACTGCAATAGGAGGTAGGTCGTAGCGGCCTGGGCGCACCGCAAAGATGTTGCCCATAGCATCGATGTGGACTGCGCAGCCTAGGGCTTTTGTCTCGGCGATGAACCACCGGCGCACGGATGCGTCGGCGTCGCTCAGAGCCAGACGTGCCATGCCGCCGTCCGGCGTGCAGCCCCATTCGCACGAGGCTTGGATGGTCGCGTTCATGCGTGCGGAGTTGGTTTTGGGAGTCTGGATGGTCATACTGTGCGAATCCTGTTCCGTGAAGGGTAAGCACGATTAGTTCAACAAGGTCTTCAACTTTTATCCCAACTTGCGTGCTCACGCTCAGCGGAACGCAGGTGGCGGAAACCTCCAACGAGCCCACCATCGGCGTGCCGACATGACATTGAGAGACGGAGGTGAGATCACGGACCAACTCTCACCATACGCTTCCGCCTCGTGCCTGGATCAAGCGACCACATCCGCCTGACAAGCGGCCTTGCCGCTTCGCTTTCCATATCCGCTCACTCGTCGTGGATCTAGCTTCCGACTTCATGCTTCCGATCCACTCGAGTCTTCCATGCGCCTTCTGGTGCATCCGCATCCGCTGCATGGCACAGCTCGCCGGATCAGCTGCGCCTCCTTCGTTGCGCTTCGAAGTCGAAGAAGCCGATTTCAATCGGATCCTCGATGGGTTGGTCGGTGATCTACGCTTCCTCCCACTTGCCCATTTCTCACTTCCCTTTTCTACTTCCACTTCCACCTCCACATCAAAGCTGTGGAGCGAGCAAGCACAACTGACGACTTCTGCCTTGACCTTGATGGCTTCACCACCCTCTCGCCACTTCTTCCTACAAAGAGACTGTTACCTGTCACGCCCCGGCTGAATTGTTCGTGTCACGCTACCAGCCGCAGGCGCAATCGAACATTGGCGATCGCACTTCGGCGACGTCGATGTCGTCCTCGACGACGTGGGAGACACACATGCGAATCACTACCTCGCTTCTAATGGAAGCACCGCATCGCTGCATCGAAGCAGGCAAGTCGCCGCTCGCACGGGCCGTGGGCGTGGGATGAGGCTGTGGTGATGCAGCCACCTCGCCGGACGGGGGGCTGAACGACGCCCATCCAACGTCTATCCTAACGCCCCTTCTGACACTTGAAACCGTACAAACAAAGTTCCCCAGATGTCCACTCTTGCCACCTTATCACTTCTTACTTCTTCACTTCGTCTCACCACTGACATCGCCTGCCATGCCGCGGCGCCGCTTCAGCACGCCTGCTAAGCTGCAGCAGCCCAAGCCGCTGCGACATACGCTTGTACGCGCGCGCTCCGACGAAGGCTGGATGCTGCTCGAGCGCGGCAATTTCGAGGTGTACCTGCCCGCGCTACCCAGTGAGTCGAACTTGGAAAACGGAGTATAGCCTGATGCCAGCCGCGTGGAGCACCGACGGCCTCCCCCTCTCCCATCAGCCGAGCATCCAGGCGCTCACCCACGCCTGCGCTGATGCCGACTCCCTCTCCAGCGTCGAGGCTGATGTTGGCCATCTCACCATCCCGGTCCGCACGAGCAGCCTGGAAATCGCACGGCGCGATTCCGAGAGCGGTGTTCACGTCCGCCCATCACTGGACGTCGTGGAGATGTCCCGCTCCAGTCTAGATGCGCCCAATGTGCCGTCCAAGTTTGTGTACAAGACGCCTTCGTTCATTATTCACGAGCGCGATTGCTTCCCCTTCCGACCCGCGATCCTCGTGCAGGCGCCGACGCCGCCTCGCGCTGTCTCGGGCCCAAACGCCACTGGCGCCTTTACAGCGCCGCCTCTCACGCCGCCCTCAACCATAATAAAGGAGCCGGCGCCCCTCCCCTTTCCGCTCGTGCCGCGTGATCCTTCCATCACGTCGATCCCCTCCCTTTCCGCCGCCTCGCTTCACTCGACACTGTCCCCTTCCATCTCCTCTCCCCCGCCTGTTCCCACGCACCTGCCACCTCCCGTCGACACTACACCCCGCGAGCTCGCCGAGCGCTCTGAGCGTGTTCAAACCCTCTCCGACTCGGTCATGCGCTCGCGCGCCTACTCGGCGCTCATGAACCGACACTGTGAAACCCTGAGCGTGGCGCTCGAGTCCACCGCCGAGCTGCAAGATGCTCGCGCCGAGATCGTGCGCCTCAAATCCAAGGTCGCGCAATACCGCGCCGTCAACCGCACGCTTGTGGACTGGGGGATGAGGTTGCGAGAGGAGAACGAGGTGCTTCGCGCTGAGGCGGGGGATGCGCCGGGCGTGGTGTTGTTTGACCCGGAGCGACACATGAGGAGCAGAGATGACGATGAGGGGTACGAACTGGGCGAGAAGGGGTATGAGGAGGACAGCTGGCGCATAGACGAGGGCGACGAAGAAGACGAGTATGGGTATGACGAGGGTGTGTTTTAGCCTAGATGTTAGCGGACATTTGCAGTTGTTGTTTCATGCACCCCTTTTGTTTGTTCTGCGCTGTAAGTCCATGCCTGCCTGGCGGCCTGGCGGAGCTTACAACAGCCTGCCTTGCGTGGTAGACGACATATCGCTGCTGCGTCTCGAATGGAACTGCGAGCTGGCGATGATTTGAGTGTGGGCTGTGAGATGCAGTGAGTGTGAGTAAGAATCCGGAGGACCTCGGTGATGTGCCTCACTCCCTCTTTGCCACATCCAGCACCTTCCTTCGACGTACCGTAAGCCTGGTTGCGTCAACTCCTCTTACTCTACTCTCCACCGCCGTTGCGATCCTCAACGCCGCCCTCGCCGTGTCCATCAAGGGCAGCACCTGATGGCCCGCCACCGTCATCCAGCTACGGCCGTTGCCCATCACCCATGCTCATGCGTCCCCGAATGCATCAGTCCGCGCAGCCAAGCCCGCCTTCCTCGCCATCTTACGCAGGGATCATGATACCCGCCCACTCTGCGCCGCGGAGCCGTGTCGGCGGCTGCACTCTCCCCGAGCGCCCCGACGCCGCCCCATCCGACGTTCCTCGGGATATCACTCCACTCCGACCGACACACTCCGATACGCACCGTCAACCTCCCGCGCGCAGTCCAGTCATGTTTGGTGTTGATCAGTGCGTCTCTGTCAGCGCTACGCTCTTACACTGCTGCCGCCATGATTGTCGACACATCTTGCGTTCATGAGACAGGGAGCGACAGCAAAACGAGGGCCAAGACGGGAGCCCGTGATAGCGCGCGCCGTGTCATTCGGGAGTGCGGGGAATGGCGCGAAACTGAACGGTTTCCGGAGGGTGATGGGATGAATGACGCACGTGGGGCGGCGTTTTCGGAGTTGTTAGGAGGGAGGGGTGGAGGCGGACCTGGCGGGGGGAGGGGGAGTCAGGGAGTAGAGCGGGCGGCGGAGTGAGCCGGACCGTGCAGCCAACACTTTTGCGCGACAGGGTCCAACCCCGTTCAGCTCAAAGGGTCTCACAGCCGTCACCACTCGCTCGCTTGCCCCAACTGCCCCCCCACTCATCTCTCTCTCTCTCTCTCTCTTGTATCCTCTTTCTCTTTATCTCTCTCTCTTGGTCTCGCAAAAAACACTTGTAATCACCACTCAAAATGCCTTACAAGTCCAACCCCCTCTTCAACCCCGCCGCCTCGTTCTACGCCCCCGCGGCCACCGAGGCTAAGGCTACCCCCACCGGCGCTGACCTCTACGCTCGGTGAGTGTCCCATCGCACCGAAATGTCAAAAGTGTCCATTTTCTGACGTGCAGCTTCGCCCTCGCCGGTGCTCTCGGCTGTGCCATCACCCACGGTGCCCTCACCCCCGTCGATGTCGTCAAGACCCGTATCCAGCTCTCGCCCGAGGTCTACAACAAGGTGAGTAGCTAAAATCGGAGCAATGGCGCCGTTCCTCCGGCGTCAATGCGTTCTCAGCTCCGGCGGCCATCCATTCCTGCCGTTTGGGGCCGTTTTGGGCTTCTGGAGTTACGGTGGGCTGCGCGCTGGTTGAGCAGCGTATCAGGCGCCAGTCTGCGACCAGCGCGCCGTTGCTGCTGCGCCCCGAGCAGCGCCAGCCTCTCGTTATCTGCTGCTTTTGCCGACTCTCGCTCACTCCTAGGGCATGATCACCGCCTTCCGCCAGGTTATCTCGTCTGAGGGTGCCGGTGCTCTCCTCACTGGTCTCGGCCCCACCGTTGTCGGCTACGCCATCCAGGGTGCCTTCAAGTTCGGTGGTTACGAGTTCTGGAAGAAGCAGGCCATCGAGTACCTCGGTGTCGAGAAGGCCTCGCAGAACCGCCAGGCCGTCTACCTCGGTGCCTCGGGTATCGCCGAGTTCTTCGCCGACATTGCCCTCTGCCCCCTCGAGGCCACCCGTATCCGTCTCGTCTCGCAGCCCACCTTCGCCTCGGGCCTTGCCAGCGGTTTCCTCCGCATCCTCCGCGAGGAGGGCCCCGGCGCCTTCTACGCCGGCTTCGGCCCCATTCTCTTCAAGCAGATCCCCTACACCATGGCCAAGTTCGCCGTGTACGAGATCGCTGTTGAGAAGATCCTCCAGGCCACCCACAAGAAGAAGGACGAGCTCACCCAGGGCCAGACCACCGGCCTTAACCTCACCGCCGGTCTTATCGCCGGTATGGCCGCCGCTGTCATCTCGCAGCCCGCCGACACCCTCCTCTCGAAGATCAACAAGACCAAGGGCGAGCCCGGACAGGGCGTCACCTCGCGTCTCATCCAGATGGCCGGCCAGCTCGGTGTCAAGGGTCTCTTCACCGGCATGGGCGCTCGTCTTGTCATGATCGGTACCCTCACCGCCGGTAAGTCAAACTCCACAGGCTCGCAACTGACAACCAGGCCAGTTCCTTATCTACGGCGACATCAAGCGGATGCTCAACGCCACCGGTGGCGTCGAGATCGCTGCCGTCCCCAAGTAATTCTAGACAGCGCGACTTGTGGATGCAGTGGATGCAGAGAGAGACGCATGGGGTGGTGAAAGTCACCGAATCGCCGATTATCTCACTGATCTTCCGGGGATCTTCCCGGTATCCCCCTGATCTTCCGCTGACCTTTCCGCTGTGTTTCTCAGTCTGACGATCCGGCGAGTGTGAACGATGGTGTGCGCGGTTCCAAGCTCGAGTGCAGGATTCAGCTCGAGGAGGGTCAAGGGGAGGCCGTGCTGCGAGGTCAGTCCGATATAGCGGAGTACAGCCACCTTTGTTCCAGAGCCAACCACTGTCTGCTCTGTATCTCCGCCCGCTGCGCTGGATCGGCGCGGGGTCCTGGTCTGGTCCGCCGCGTACTCGACTCCTTTGCGCGAGCCATTGGCGGCCGTATCCCCGCACCGCTTCCTCTGCAGCTCTGCAGCTCACCAAACCAGCACGGAGCGCAGCAATCCGTTCTCCACGGCACCAGCAGCGACCCCGTCGCGCCCGATCTGGCGCGTCCCAAAGCGATCTGGCGACCTGGCGACGCGCCTCGCGCCTCGCGCCCTCGCAGCGTCGTGATCCACTATGATCTGACCTGGCGCCGCTCCTCCGCCGCTCACGCTACGCTACGCTCCCGTCTCGCACACAATCCTACGTAAGCCACCCCAGCCTGCGGCCCAAGCGCCGAGCCGTGCCTTCCGGCAAAGTCTCGTGTCGGCGCGTGCCGCGTCCGACCTGAGCCGTTCTCCGGTTCGGTTTGGCGAGGACCGTGGGTGCGACAGGCAATGCGTCCTGGAATGGAGACCTAACACAGTAAACCAGATGAATCGATTACAATCTGGCAGATGCACCGCAAGGGCTTGCAAGTATCTGTGACTGTCTGTTACGCCGACAATCAGGGAGAGCATTGTGATGGGTGAAGGGCAGAATGCTGGTCACTCTCCGCTGTATACGGGGCACATCAGCACCGCCTGCGGTTGTAAGCCGTGTCCTCACGATGCGTGCTTTGGACCGTAGATTACTGAGGCCTGCAGGCTTGAGGATCTGATCGAGAATTTATAGAAAATCGAGATGAATGAGTGTGCGCATCAGTGAGCTGTGTATACCCACTGCCAATCAGCCCCCTTGACATACATGTGCATTCTAGCTGCTCTATGCCTTAGATCGGTAGTGGAGGATCATGTCCGGCCCGCCCTTCCAGTAGTACTGCTTCAATGTCGACACCTTCATGTCCGGATCTGCGATGTGCTGTCCACACAACAGCTCGAGCGTGTCCTCTGGCCTCTTTCGGGGAGTGTCGGGCAAGCCGCTCATAGCGCTCGCATCGGACAGAGCGCGTTCTCGCCCATCCTCGCGCGAGAGCACGCCTTGGAGGTGCTCCAAGACGCCGCGGACGCGCGCGGTGCGGCTCGCGGCCACCTTCAGCCCTTTGCCCGAGTCGCGGGGCACGCCTTCCGGAAGCAGGATGAGCGCGATCTTGGGCGGTTGCCGCTCCTGCGGCGTCGCGGAAGTAAAAAGGAAGTTGAGCAGCCAGAAGGGGCTGTTCATTTCGAGTGGCTCGATGTCCCGCTCCGTGCTCCCCACCGTCGAGCGGTACGTGACGATGTACGCTCCGTCCGCGTGCGCCTGCTCGCTGATGATCACGTGCGTGCTCGGCGGGATACGGAGCGCCGGCGCATCCGTCCCGCTCGGCGGCGCGAAGGGTCGACTTCGCACCATGTCGAGGAACAAGAGCTGCTGCCGGTCCCGGTCTGAAAGCTTGGACACTTCCTCGGTCTTCTCCTCACGCTTGCTCTCGGTGACAGTGGCCATCGGTGCCTCAACCGTCTTCTTCTTGCCGAAGCCCTTGAAGCCCTTCTTCAACAGCCCGCCCGAGCTCTTGTCCTTTTCGGTGCTTGCCGGTGTCACCGGCGTGACAGACGACGGCGTCTTGTCTCCACTGCCCGCGTCCTTTCGAAGGGAGAAGTAGTCGCGACTTGCCGGCACGCTGCCTGGAGTTATGTGGTTGCTCGCGCTTGGCGAGCTCATCCCCGGCGCAGCGGGCGAGATGCTCGCCGCCTTCACTGCCGGGAGAGACAGCCACCCGCTCGCGGCAGGGGCACTCTGCCCGAGAGGCGTGCCTTCTGGTCGTATGGCAGGTGTCTGCGCGCGCGTCGCAAGGCCAGCTATGTTTATACTCGGTGTTATGCCGCCACCAAGCGAGGCATTGCTCAGTGCACGTTGCCGGTGTCGAGGCGACTTGATGGGGATGTGCAGGGGCGTTTGCGGGCTCCGGCCGACGCTGGGTAGCGAGGATGTCGCGCTGGTCGGCGACGTGCTAGCTATATCCTCTTGCTCTGCCTTTATGAGGCCTCGGAAGAGGTTGGCTAATGTGGTCTTGCCAATGTTGATCGCGTTCGAATCCTCCAATTCGTGCTCGTCGAGTCCGATCTCTTCGGCCAGAATCTCAGCCGAGAACACACGGTCACCCTCAAGATGAACCGTGATTTGGCCCACTTTGGTGTCCAGCTGACACCATGGTAATACACTGTTCTTCCCCTCGATGCGGCGCTGCACAAGCTCGAGCACTTCTTGCGGGTGCAGTTTTATCTCCTGACGCACGTCTGTGACGCCGCGTTCGAGTGTGAGCGCTTCGGCCACATCCTCTGGTGAGAAGCGACCGAGACATTCGCCGCGGATAAGGTGCCATAACGCAATCTCGCCCTTTGTGTCAAGTGTAAGCGCGTGCACACGGTCGTTGAGACACAGGCTGCGGATCAGACCTGGAGACCCCTTTATGACCTCAATTGGCTCCCGGCGGTACGGCTTGGCCTCGCTTGTGATCTCGCGGTCCTCGAACGCGCGCCGCGCAATGTCCCGTGGGTTCATCGTACGTTCCCGCGTGGCGGTTTCGGGCAAGTCCTCTGGGCCCCGTCCAGATGCTAGAGATGCAGCTGACATGCCCGCATGAGACAGGCCAAAGGAGTAAGGCGAGTCTGGAAGGCCAAGGCACACCAAGCTCTCGTATGGGATTCCATGAAGCAGCACGCCCTCCTCGTCGTCCTCGGACAGTATCGAGTTGGGGATGCTGGCGCCCGACAATGTCGAGCGGCGGTAACCAGAATTGTTGAGACGCTCGCGCACACCAGAAGGAAGATTACCGGGAGATGCAGGTGGAGAGGTAGGGCCGAGGGTAGGGCTACCTCCCTCTGGACGGGTTACGGGAGAAGGAGCGAAGGCAATTGTTCTCGAGTCACGGCTATCGGTGCGCATCAGCGGCTCGGCTGCGTCATCAAGCGACAAGCGCTTGTTACGAAGGGGGTTGGGGTCCATGATCGATGTCGGCTCAAAGCCCGAGCCAAGGTGCGTGGAGACAAGCGGCTCGTCGGCGCCATCATCCAGCTCACGTTGATACGACGCGCCGTCGTGATCCGCGTCCAAGCGGTTGACGCGACGCCCGACGTCGCGCCAGCAGCGAACATCTGAGCTCGACGTCGCCGTCCACACGTATTCGTCATCCATTGCGCAGATGGAGCGGATGGCCTCATCGCCCGTTTTGCTCTCGTAATCGCCTGGGACGCCCGGCTCGCCCTCTCTCGCCAGGACAAGACATTCTCCCTCTGACATGTCTCCGCACTGCTCGACATCGACCACACAGAGATGGCCGTCGCGCGAGCCCGAGTAGAACCGTTCGAGATTCGGGTGGGTCGAGAACAACGACCACACGGACGAGGTGTGGTGGTTGAAAGTATGCAAGCAGCGATGCTCGCCGACCGACCAGAGCCTGGCGTCAGTATTCGCCGAGAGGGATTAGTCAGGCGAAACATACTTAATGGTCGTGTCTGAGCTTCCTGTGAGCATGTACCGCCCATCGTCACTGAAGAGGATGGAGCGCACGCATTCAGTGTGGCCGACGAGCTTCGTAACGGATCGCTCGCCAGCGCGTGGATCCCACAGACGCACAACACGCTCGGGCGTGCCAGCCGCTAAAGAGTGACCAGCTGGGTCTGCACATTAGCATACGCTGTCACCCGAAGACTCACCGACACCAAGCGCGTAGATACTACCCCACTCGCCTTCGAGGCCGGACCCGCCGTGGTCGTCGATTTCGCTCAGGCGCACCTTCAGGACTGGCTCGTTGGGCTTTGGGCACGCAATGTCCCACACAGAGATATCGCGGTCGAGCGCGCCGGAGAATAGAACGCCCGGATGGCGCGCGAACGCGAGCGAGCGCACGTAGTCGGTGTGATGCCCAATGAGGGCAGGCACGGTATCGTCGTCGCAATCATGCGGGCTCCATGCACGAATCGTGCGATCAGAAGAAGCAGTGATGACTGTCTGATTCATGTTGCAAAGAACCATGGCATTCACCCAGTCCGTGTGCGTTTGCACGCTCTCACGGAACGTCGTTGGCGGTGGAGCCTAGCGGTCAGCTTCGCCGCGCGCTCATTATATCTCACCTGTCTCGCGATGGCTGCATGATCGACCTCCCAGCGGTCCTCGTAAGTGACGTCTTTCCGCTTTTTGGGCGCTCCCGAGGCATCCGGAGTTCCCTCCTCATCCTCTGACGAGCTGTAGTAGGCGCCCTGGTCATCCCCATCGTCATCCTCCCAGTCTGCGCCGCCATCGCCTAGTCGCTCCCACCGCACACGCCCGCCCGTCCCTCGCCCCGGAACAGGGCGGTACCGCTTTCCGCGCCTGCGGGTGTGCGGCACATGTGTCTCCCAACTAGCTACCAATCCATCGCGTCCGCCGGTATAGAGTATGCCGCCCGGAGCGTTGGTGCCGTGCAGTACGGTGGACGTGTCCAGCGCAAGAGTCGAGATGCCTAGGCGGTGTCGCGGGTGTCGTGACTGTTGCTGCGGCGGTGGGGAAGGGCTCGCAAATGGATTTCTGCTTCCAAAAGCGGCGGCACCGTTCCCGACGCCTGCCTTGGGCTTGATGTAGGGGTAGGAGCGGGCGTCGCCGCCTGGGGCGGCGCCGAAGCCAGGCAGCTCTAAGGTGACGGGCTCATGATCTGGGGGTGGAATGATGTAGGAGACGCGGCGTCGATTAGGTTCTTGGACGCCCACCATGGTGTGGGGGTGAGGAAAGAGAGGTGGGCAAAGTGTCGGCTGACGTTGAGCTGTGGGCGAGGGCGTGTGCGAGATGTCGTGTGATGCGGGGGAGTGACAAGAAGGGCGAGGCGTAGATGGTGGATGTGGATGATGGTTGGTAGTTGGTTGAGGCGAGAGAGAGATGCGAGGAGGCGCTGGAGAGGTGCGAGGAGAAAGTGAGGAGAGAGGGAGGATACGGATGGGATGGATATAATGATGGGTGATGAGGCGGCCCTTGCTAAGTCCACCTTGCCGCCCTCACCGCAGCGCTCCTTCCCCACCGTGCCCCAGATATCCCTCACAGATCACACATGGCATCTCGGCGTCATCGGTTCCATCTACGGCTATACCCCGACTGTACACGTCATTTACACGTGCACACCACGCTAGTGATACCACAGCCCTCCCCCCCCGGGCCCGAGGTTAGTAGCCAAAGATCGGACCGACCGCGGCAACGACGGATCAACGAATGAGTACGTCACACCGAGGACATTGAGCCAGTTCCGCACCGAGGAGGGATAGACATAGAGTCATCATCATCGTAGCACTCACACCACTCGACCTTGCTCTCTCCTCACTCTTCACCACCATGTCCTCTCCCAACACCGTCAAAGGCGGCGGCTTCTACCCATACCCCTACACCACAAGCCTGGGCTATACAAACCCAAGGGCTCAGCGCGTAGCCACTCTGCCGCCCACTCCGAGTTTCGAAGAACATCCCTCCCCCCTTCATGAGCCCCACACTTTTGTGCGCCACCGTCCGCGCAGGGCCATGTCGGTCGAGCGCATGCAATCGTAGGCAAAATCTTGACAGCAAGCAAGCAGATGAGCTGATGACAGGATCATTTCGGCCAAAGAGCGTAGTGTGACTGACTTTGTTGGCGTACCAATCTCACCAGAAGAGATCAAGCGACAGCCGAGGAAGGTGAGTTACGCGGTGTGCGGGAGCGAGATGTAGAAGCGAGTTGATTTTCTGTCGTCAGACGTCACCTGTCTTGACATAATGCAGATTGAAAGCAGCTAACATCAGCTTCGCAAATACTACGAACATCTCGATGCTATACATGACCATTACGAGGAGGTGGAAGGACTGCTGTCGGGCGAACTTCCTTCCATTATTGTGAGCTCGTTTCTCAACGAGCCCCACCGCAGCGACTCGGATCCACATAGAAACCGCTCAACCACCTCCCTTGGCGGTCTGAACGGGCAGCACTCGCATGCTGGGTCTCGCGCGGCATCACCCCACCCTCACTGGAACTTGCGATCTCTCAGACACTGGACTCCCATAGACGAGGGATTCGTGGGAACGAACGGGGACGAAGAAGCCGCTACCGAGCGGACGCCCCTTGTACTCGGAGCGAGGGAAGCGGAGCGGGAACGCATCGTGACGCTGGCCATCAACAGTGAGTTGAACTGGTTCTCACGACAGTTAACAACAGTCAACACTGTCGTCAACTTTCTTCTCGTGGGCGCCAAGGTCGTGGCGGTGTACTACTCGTCCTCGATCTCGCTCATCGCGTCCCTTGTTGATTCAGCGCTCGACTTGCTGTCCACATTCATCATTGTTGGGACGAACTGGGCCATCGGAGTGCCGACAGACAGGCATTTGGTGAGGCCCTTCCACTTTCTCAGGCTGACCACAGTACCCGGCTGGGAAGAGGAGGTTTGAGCCCCTCGGTGTGGTACGTCAGCAAGCACACCTTCGCTTACCGCAGCTCATCTTCTCGGTCGTCATGATCATCTCGTTTATCCAGGTATTCATCGAGTCATTGCAACGTTTGCACCGCGCAATTCGCGGAGACACTACTCCTGTTGATCTGAGTATGGTCGGCATCGCCACAATGCTGGCTACTATCGGTGTGAAGGCTGTGCTGTCAGTCTTTTGCTGCAGAGAGTGCTTACCTGCAGCTGGGTGTGGTGCTCCAACATCCCCTCATCTTCGGTCCAAGCTCTGGCTCAAGACGCAGAGAACGATGTTTGGCTGAACGTGATCTCTTTGTCCTTTCCGGTGAACTACGCCCCCTGTTCATGCCTGACACCCAGTACATTGGGCACCGGCTTGGGTCAAACTTGCTCGATCCCATCGGTGGTCTGTGCCTCTCGGCTTACATCGTCATTGAGTGGATCAAGACGTTGCTACAGAACTTTGCCAACCGTAAGTCCCTGAGGCGCGAGGTGTAAAGAGCGAGGAGCGTGGAGCAAGGAGGTAGTACTCATACGGCAGTGTCCGGAAAGAGGGCCGCCTCTGAACAGTACACGCGTGTGCTTTACATGGTGTCGCGCTTCAATCCGGTCCTTGAGATCTCGGACATTGAAGTGTATCACATTGGGTGAGTAACCCACGCCACGGCTGAACTGATGTGAAAGTGACGACCTTGTTGTTGAAGTAGACGTGATTTTGCCCCGCAAGACCACACTCCGTTTCGCTCATGACATTGGCGAAACTATCCAGTGAGCTTAACCGAGTTTGATGGTAGCTGACTGCCGCAGATGCATGCTGGAGAAGTGAGCTGGAGACGTCGGATAGCGTTGACCCCAGTCTTGACGGTGTGCTTCGTGCCTATGTTCAGTGCGTCGCTGGTGCTCCCGTGGACAAAGCTGACCGTTCAGCACTGACTACTCGTCCTCCAATCCGTGAGTTTTTTTACAATGGGGGCTTGAGAGCGCTCGGACGGCTGACGCCGCAGGTCTCAACACACGGCCCGCCATAAGGATGGCCCCAATCCGGTTCCCCTCCGAGCTCCGTCACCAGAGGAGGAGTCTCCCTCCATGTCAGGATCTGCAACGCCGAGAGCCTCTGATGGCTTTCCCTTCCCCGCGCGGGGACGTGAAGTTGAGCGGAGATGAGGACGAGGTTGAGGAGGGATGAGAACCAGGAAACAGGAAACAGGAAACAGGAAACGAAAGGGGTTGGGCATTGCACCCGACGCCATTGCGCACGGACCCCCCGGCGACGAGACGCCAACATTACTCCACCGCTCGCCGGATACGTACCCTCGATTAATCGGTTTGGGGGCTTGGGGATGCGGAAAACCATGTGGGATGTGATTCTGGCATGGACTCTGGGCGCACTCGCAACCCTTGTCCGGTCTTGCGGCGCTGCATCGTGGGCGACTGATGTTTGGTTGGGATGAGCGGGATGCGCGATGAGTGTGTGTGAGAGAGAGAGAGAGAGAGAGAGAGAGAGAGAGCATTGCAAGATGAGCAGTGATGAACTGATAAAGTGACGATCGTATCACTTACCTATAGTAACCTACCATCTCAATGTCACGACACGCAGGCAACGGGAAACACGCCACCGTGACTGCAACGACTGCAGAACTCGTTGGAACGTTTGGGCGGGCGGCATGGGTCGGTATCGCCCATGGCCCAGCGCTCGCAAAGTGTGGCGCTACAGTGGTCCCCACCGGTCCTCTAAAGCCATGGGCCATGGGCCATGGGTCATGGACAAGCAATCCTGGGGGGGGCGAAGGGTGCTGGGCACCATCGAGGAGCAATAGGGAACTGCAGGGCAGCGCATGTGCCCGTGCGCGTCGACGACCCTCGCATCCTCGTAAAAGATGCGCTAATGCCTCTCTGCAAGCATTGTTTATCGAGATCTCCTTGAATGCAGCTGACTGAATGCAGGTCAAGAGGTCAAGATGGCGGGTGCGAGAGATGACGTTTGCTCACGGCTCTCATGTTTCACAGGCTCATGGCTCAATTGCTCTGTGCTGCTACCGCCGCTCTCCAAATGGTCCACACGCGTACTGTACACGCGGCTGCCTTCCTTTGGGATCTTTGGCAAGTTGATCTACTGCTACTCGATCTGCTCCTGGACGCCACCCCCAACGCAACTCGTTTGATCCTTTGATCCTCTCCGCCCTCTCCGCCCTCTCTCAACGCTCCCAGCTCGTCAAATCGTCAGCCCCGCCGCATTCCTCATGTCTTGGGTCGTCGTCGACAACGCCGATTTCAATTCAGACCAAACATCAACAACAACAACACAACATGTCAATTCACCCCGTCTAGCCTCCATCTCCATCTCCCTCTCTCCATTCAACCTCTCCAAACTCCTCCGGTCCATGTCGCTCTCCCTCTCGCTCTCCACCCGCCCCTCCCGGCCACCATCCAAGGCCCTCGGCACCTATAAACAAGAAGTTGTGACCATGCACCCGCCCGTTGCTCAAACACACCATCTCGTCTCCGCTACCACCACAACAACTTACAGCTACTCGCCTTCGTCCGAACGCTACTACCACCCCTCACCGTCAAGCATGCCTTACCACGAAGACAGCGAGAGCACAATTCCTACCTCCGACATCAGTCTCACCACGGATGCGTTTACGGACGCAGACGAGGATCAGAGTTTCACCGAAGACTCCCACCCCAATCCCCACCCTTTCCCCCACCACCACACCCACAACCACCACCACGGTCACAACAACCACGGCCATAACCACAGCCACAACCGCAATCACCACTACAACCACACCCCCGCCCACCCCTACGTCCATGTTCATGCCCATACTGCAGCGCACACACAGCCTCACTCTCACCACCTTCCTCGTAGCCCCCGTCGCGCTGAGTATCGGTCAGCCAACACGAACGCTAGCGCTAGCGCCAGCGCCGGCGCCGGCGCATCTGATGCGATGGACGCCAATGCTCGACGCGTTACGCGCCGGTGTGACGCTGACGCTGTGGCGCACGGCGTGACGGCCGATCCTGATGCGGCTAAACGCAATCGGCGCACGACAAAGAAAGTGTCTGCCAGCGGCTTCCACTCCGTCAGCGATGAAGAGCTCTCGGCCCTCTTTCTGTTCAAGGAGCGCATTGGCAATGGTAACTGGGGACAGGTGTATCTGGCGCGGCCACTGGAGTCTGATGGCGGAATCGGAACCGACTCAGCGCACCGCAGCGGCCGTGGCGGCCGTGGCCGGGTTGCCATCAAGAGGGTCGAGCGGACGGGCGACGCCGTGAGCTACTTCGCTGGTCCGGAGCTGACATCAGGAGTCGACACAGTGCGTCAACGCTCTGTGGAGCGAAATGAAGGTCATCCGTCGACTGCGGCATGAGCCGCACCCAAGTATCATCCACTTTGAGGCGTTCCTGCTTTCGCCGAGCTGCGCCGCCATTGTCATGCCACTGCACCGTGGCCCGATGCCACTCCCCCTCTCCGTCGGCAAAGCGCTGCGATACTTCCGCCAGCTCGCCAGCGCCGTCGCGTATCTCCACGAGAACAACATTACGCACAACGATATCAAGCCCGCCAACATTGTCATGAGCTACAGCGACGTACCAGTGCTCGTCGACTTTGGCTTTGCGCAGATCCACAAGGCGAGCGATCCCGAGCCATTCATCTCCTCCGCCACCTGGGGTACGCCAGAGTACATGGACCCGCTCCGCGTCATGGGGCACAAGCACGACGAGCGCATGTCGGATGTCTGGAGCCTCGGCGTGACTATGTACGAGGTGCTTGTAGGGCGCACTCCATTTGAGATCACGACAGAGGAGCTGTTCGAGACGCACGAGCAACTCGACGAGTACCTTCGCCGCTCGCGCTCTGGCAAGTGGTACGGCGAGTACCACATCTGTGATAGTGAGTCATCTGACGCCACGTTGAGCTAACTACAGACAACCTCGAGCGAATTCTTCAGCACGTGCTGTATCCAGACCCCGTGTATCGTCCCTCAGCTATGGAGGTGTACTACGCTGTCTCGAACATCATCGAACAGTACAACAGAAGCTCCAACGAGACGCCTAGAGTCGAGCACCCTGAGAGAACCGGCATGCGTCTCATCGCCATCGAGGCTGAAGAGGACCGCCCCCACCGCGAGGAGAGGGAGAGGCAGGAGAAGTCCGAACGCCGCCTCAAGAAGGCGCAGAGTGAGGTGCATCGCCGCTCGGCAGTGGTCGGCCCCCAGAAGACTGCCAGCGTCAGCGTCCTCCGGCCGGCGAAGCAGTTGCGTTCTGGCACAACGGAAGAGAATGTCTTTGTAGAGACGTCCGGGTCGTCCGTGTGGGGAACCAAGGTGCGCCCCCGCAGCCGCGATCAGCTTCGCCAGGACGAGAACAGACCCCCGCGCGTCGTTGAAGGCACTGCGCGCCCACTCCGCCCCACAGCGGCCGCCAGCGCGTCCAAGCCCACTGCGTCAGCGCCAGTCAAGTATGCGCCCGCGACGCGCGAGGAGGTGCTCGCCGCCACGCTTGGCTCCCTCGTTTCGCGCGGCGACCCTCCGGCCAACACGCCGTCGCCACGGCGCGAGCGCCCCTCTTCGGCAGCCGCCGACTTTGCTAGAGAGTACCGCGAGCGCCCTCGGACGGCCGAGGGGTCTCGCCGCTTCGACGGGTCGCCTCGCCGCGTTGAGAGTATGCGGGAGCGTCCGGCGTCCCGCCTCTCCAAGCTGGCAGAGGTCACTGAGTGCGAGGTTTTGGCGAGCAGTGAGTCTTCTGCTAGCCCTGCTATCTGCCATCAGCTAACCCCAGCCCCAACTACACCCAAGATCCAGGTCTCGCCATCTAGAGTCGCGCCCCGCGTTGATGTCAATATCTCGACTTCTAACTTCTCGCCTCTCCGTCCCTCGCCACCTCTGGTGTCCAAGTACCGCGGCCCGCCGACTGTGCCCTCGCCCAACCGCAAGGCCAAGCAGAGCACGGCGCCCAGCGAGCTCGTTCACGCCGATAACCCCGTACCCGATCTGGAGCGCCTCGCGGAGTGGGCGAAGCAAGTGGAGCGTGAGTTATGGTCAGCTGTCACGTTGCTGACCTCAGTGTACGTGGAGCAGGCGAGGCGTGCGATGGCCGAGGGCCGCCCTGTGCCGTCCATGACGCTGCCCGACCTCGAGGAGCTGAAAGGCCACCACGCGCAGTCTACGGCCCAGGCCACACGTCCCGAGAGTCCCCCCTTCCCTCGGAAAAGCGACAGACTTGGGCCTCGAGACAGGAAGAGGTCTGAGGTCACCGGAGAGGCTGAGGTGCCGGCGATGACCGTAAGCTCGCGCAGAACCGCGAGCACGGCACTCCAGACGCCAGCTACGGCTCGTACCTCTTTGCCAAAGGTGAAGGGCAAGGGCAAGGAGAAGGAAGCGGAGAAGGAGAAGGACACAGAGACGGAAAACGAAAAGGAGAAGGAGAAGGGCTCGCTATCCAAGGCCGCATCGCAGACGCTCAAGCGCCACCCCGTGAGCCAGGTCTTCCGCCGGTGGGGTGATCGCCATGATAAGGGAGCCACGCGTGAGTTAAACAACTTGGCCTCACTGACCGCAGCCGAGCAGCCGCGTATCGCGGTGCGCAAGAGCGAGCCGCAGCTCGAGCGGCGGCCCGTCTCGTCCCAGCTACAGGAGGTGCTGGGCGAGGAGGAGCCTGAGCGCGTCACCCCTAGCCGCCTGGGCAAGGCGGCCAGCAGCCGGAGCCTGCGTGAGGTGGTGCAGGTCGGCCTCGGGCGGGACCGGAGCAAGACAGTGCCGCGCCGCTTCGGCGCCAGTCCCTACGCCGAGCGCGAGACCCAGGAAAGCAGCAAGAAGGAGGACAAGAAGGAGAGAAGAATCAGCCTGTTCAAGCTTTTCAAGGGCAAGAAGTAGACATTTGGTACGAGCGCACACGAGCACGCTCATCGGGAAACATACGCTCGCCCATGATCACTTGGATCGCTTGTGAATATTACATACCTAGTGCTACTCGTGCAAATGTCATGCTCTATGCTCTATTCAGTCCATCTTGTCGACGTCGTCGTCGTCTGACATCTCGTCCATGCGCCGCCCCATGCCGTGTGCCATTGCCTCCTGCCACGCCGCGGCGAAGTCACTCGCCGTCTGCCCCTGGCTCATCTGCACCGCCTCAACAGGGAGCATGTTAGCGCCGAACGCTGGGCCGGTGTTGGCCGCGGGGTGAGCCCGCGAGTCAATCACGCGGAGGACGGGGAGGCGGGCGTCTCCCTCGGCATCCGACGGCGCGGCGCGCGCGCCCGCCAACAGCCCCGCGAGCTCGCCATACGAGAAGAGCAACGCATCCGTGCTGCCGCGGTACGGCTGGAAGTCGGTGATGGTGATCCTGCCGCTGTCGGCGAGATACAAGTCCAAGACATCTGGCGTCAGCGCGCCCGCCGCCGTCTCACAGTTCGGGCCGCCCGCGTAGTTCTCGCGGACCTCGTCCTCGTAGAACTCGCGCACGCGCGCCACGAGCGCGGCCTGCTCCGCCTCGCCTTGGTAGTGCTCGTAGAAGTTTGTGTCGCGCTGCGAGATGCCTGGCGTAAGCTCCACCACGCTCCGGCGTACCGAGGAGGATGTCGTCGCGCACGAAACAGCGCACTTCCTGGCTCGGGTTCATCTCCGTGAAGCGCTTGAGGACGAGCTCGATAGATACTTCCGCCGGCACGTCGGCTGGGGCCACACCTTCGTATGCGCGCGCCGGATCCAGGTCGTGTTGTACGAAATCGGAGGACTTGAGGAGGAGGTAGATGTCGCGCGGCGACGTCGAGTGCAGCGGCCCATGGCCTTGCGGGAGGATGAACGCCGCGTCCTGGGGTCAGCCTGGCGGTCGGCGGGGCAGCGGGGGAATGCGTACCCGCGGACTTGTCCAGTTCAGCTTTGGGAAGACTGCGCCGTACTTTGCGATCGCGGCGCGCATCGCCGCGTTCAGCGCTGGGAGGTGGTATTTCGGCGCGTCGGCGTGGCTCGGCTCCGCCCCCGCGTCTTCGGGGATGAAGATGGAGTCGGACTCGATCCACTGGTGTCAGAGTGTTGCGTACGCTGCTCACCTCGAGAAAGGCGGCGCGCTCCCCTAGGGCGTCGACCGAGATGATCGTCGCGGGTGTCGTGAGGTCCTCGAAGACGTCGTACCATGCGCTTGTGCGGGCTGCGTCGACTTCGGCGCGCGTCAGCGGAGGGAATAATGGCGGGGGAGTGGTGGATGTCGGCACGGGCATCTTTTGTCTTTAGTAGATGAGAGAGTACAACGAAGAGATGAGTCAGAGATCACCCCGCGAGCGGACTCGAAATGTGGAGGCGGGCAGGCCGATCTTTGCCACCGAGGTCACGTGCGCCCCACGTGCCACTCTTGCCCCGCCTCCACATAGCAATTTCTCATTGCGCCGCACCGTGCCGCAACAACAACTCATCACGAGATGCCTGCGGGACTCGGCAAGACAACGGAGAAGCGCTTCGACCCACACGACCACCTTGTGCGGCAGGGGTGGAAGGGCAAGGGAACTGGTGAGTGTTGCGGGCGGGATGGGCAGCGGCAGCGGCAGCGGCGCGAGGTTAGCTCGGACTCCGGAGTCGGTGTAAAGGACCGGCTTTGGCTGCTGAACAACATGTGCTGCCCTCCCGAGCCCTTGTCGGCTAGAGAAGCGGCGCTTGATTTGACGCTCCTCAGCTGGTCGCTGACACCAGCTCTGAAGCATGGGCACGCGACACGCCCCCTGCCCGTTGTGCAGAAGAAGACGATGAGCGGTATCGGCAAGGATCGCGACGAGGCGATTCCATTCTGGGACCAGTGAGTCAGGCGCTGCAGTGGTTGAGCCCGGGCACGGGGAGGTTGGGATGGGATGCTTTCGTCCGCCAATCGCCTGGCCTCGGTCCCCACTCTGGTATCACACCACCACAGACGGTCACAACCGCCACCTTACACCGGAACAAGCTGACAGCAGCATCTTTGCTTCCACAGCCGCCTCTCTTGCCTCTGCGGCAACATCAGGCGCGTCCACGCCCACAACACCCGAGCCCCCAAAACCAGTACTCAGCATTGCGGCACGGAGCAGCCGCGAGATCGCCAGGCGCAAGCTGTACTCGGGCTTCTTCCGGAGCACGACAGCCAGCAAAGAGCACACGCCCCAAGCGACAGACGATGACAGCGGGAGCTCGGGCGAGGAGTCGAGCGGGCATGCGGTGGAGACTGTCGTCGACGGCAACGTATCTACCCCAGCACAGATCGATGCGGAGAGCTCGAGCAAGGCCGCGCGGAGGGCTGAGAAAGCCGCGCGCAAGGCTGAGAAGGAGGCGAGAAAGGCGGACAAGAAGCGGCAGAAGGAGACACGCTCCAAGCCCGAGTCTGAGACGTCCACGGAGGCAGCGGCCGCTGAGGAAAGCAAGGAGGAGCGGAGAGCGCGCCGGGATGCGCGCCGCCTCGAACGAGCGGCCAAGCTCGCGGCGCGAGAGGCCCAGGACGCAGAGCGGGGGGATAAGGAGGCTCGGCGGGCGGCGCGAGAGGCTAAGCGGCGAGAGAAGGAGGCGCGGAAGGCGCGGAAAGCCGCGCTCAAGGCTAAGGCGTAGGGCGCAAAGTGGCGCGAGGAGCGCCAATGTGTATTCCGTTGGGGAGCCGCACCTCGACTTGTGAGCTGTGAGCTGCCGATGCCGTTGAAGAGCGAGAGATACCCTGCATCATGTATACCATACAATGGACACTCTGAGACGTCTCTGGCGAGAGCGAGCTGGCTGGATAGTTGGCCGGAGATCAGGCAATGTCCGCTCCCGAGGCGATTGGACGACCGACACAACTCAGTGAGTACTTGTGAGGCAGCGAACACTGCGTCACACAAGGTGGCCCGGACAGAGCAGCACCGCGAACAAATGCCGCAGTGCAAGGCAGGCTCAGGGGATGTGGGCAATGAGGTTGCGAAGGCCCCCGATCGCTGATCGTGGCACTGAGTGGTGCGACAAACTTGACCCTATGGAGCGCGTCAAGACAACCTTGCGCAGCAAAGTGCAAGCAATGGATCTAGCCGATGCCCGGGTGGTTATGAGCCTGTGCGCACTGCTCTCGCTTCTTCTGTGCCGATTGGAGGGCGCCCCGATACCCTCCGACCCCGTCTCTCGTCAGTCACGGAGGGCGATCATTACCAGAGGTATGCGACGAGTCAGAAGCCTCATGAGGCGCATTCCAGCGTGGCAGCGGCCATGTCCGCAAATTCCGGTCGGCGCAGCCACGGTGGCGCCGGCGCAGTCTGGTGGAAACGAGGCCCAGATGGCGTGCGGATGACGACGCCGTGACGCTCACTGGCTGGCGGGGCGACGCGATCGGGGCGGCCTCGACGGGCGGTATGCGGCAGTAGAGCGAGCCTGCAGTAGGGCGAGTTTGGTAATGGGCCGGAGTCGCCGATTTTGTTCGTTCCCGGGCATGTTCTCCATACCACTTCCTGCGCCACTCGCAGCACCACAGCACATAGGAAATTATTGCAGGTCTCGGAGGCTCACTATGAACATGCATGCATTATTAAATTGCTCAGTTCGTACGATTCGTGCTGCTCGTGAGGGAAAGGAGGCGGGGGTGGAGTGGGTGGGGGAGTGGGGGGTTTAGAGTTTGCTGTGGCTGGTACCGCGAGCGGCGTTTCGGCTGCGGGAGGGCCTTGTGCTCCTCTGCTTGACATACTGCTATCATACAAGGTGTTGTGATAGCGTTCACAGCACAGCAAAATTATGCACTCCTAGAGGGTGCGCCATGCGCCGTAGCTGGTCTGCGGGGCGGAGCGGGGGCCGTCGGTCCCGCTTGCGAGGCGCCAAAGGAGGGCGGCGGAGGCACGGGCGATTGGCTGGCCTACCGCGTCCAGGCGCCGCGCAGCGGTCGCGAGGAGATCTGTGACGCCGCCGTCGAGGGTGACACGCGTCGGGGAACGGAAAATGCCGTCGAGCAGCGAGCTGGCATTGCTCGCTGATGCGGGGTCAGGAGAGGGTGGGGCGAGCGCGCGCTCGCCCGCCGACGCGTATCCCCACACCACCAGTGTCGTAAGGAAGACGGCCCAGGGCGTGTACATCGCCCACTCGGAGACGAGGGCATGGCGCAGGTATCGTGCGCTTTGCCAGAGACAGGTCCAGGCGTCGCCGGTCGGGACCCACAATTTCAGGCGCCGCTTCGAGTCCGCGTACTGCTTCGGACCGATTGTGGCGCCGCACACGCTTGTAGCGCCTGCCGCAATCTGCAGCATGGGGATATCGCTTAGGATTGAGATCACGCCAATGGCGATGCTGTCGCACAAGTCGCGGTTCTCAACACTCGGAGGCAGGTGGGCCGTCGCCATCTCGTGTTCAGCGCGCAAGTTGATTACCGCGTTGAGAACGATCGAGCGCCAGTGCTTGCTGCCGTCGCGAAAGCGCAGGCCCATGCCGCCGCGTGTGCGGCAGTCCCATGCGATCGCGAGGAGGCCGGTACAGACCAGGCTGACAGCAAACGGGTTGTCCATCTCCACCTTTGTCTGCGCGCTCTCCGCGGCCAGCGCCGACAACACCGCGCTCGAGTACCCTTCGTGGATAACGTTCACGTGAAATTGGGGATGGAGACCGGGGACAAAATCTCGCCCTTGACGCCTCGGAGTGCGGCTGCCTGACGACTCGACCTGCCGCGCTAGCATCCAGTCCGCGGCCGTTCGCGCTTCCCACTGCGCTGCAGGACAGGGGAGATTAATGTTGTGCGCAAAGATGGAGAGCTGGCGGCTCGGATGCTGAGACCAAAATGCGCTGATCTGTGTGTCGATAAATAAAATAGCGTATGCCGCGCGGCGGCGCTCCTCCTCCTTGGCCCAGGCGATCCAAGCGCCCGCGCCCTGACCCTCGGGTGTGGAGGCGCCTGCGACGCCGATGCCGACTTTGCGGGAGTGAGAAACCACGACCGGCCACATGCACTGGGCAACAAAAAGCGACTCGGTGTCGCCGTACCATGTATCATACACGTGACAGAGAGTGTACGCTTGAAGAGTGGAGAGCTGCATATCGAGGCCGCAGTGGTCTTTGAGAAGGACGGCGCGCACGGTTCGCACGAGCTGGCCGTCGTCGCGCCGCGGGTGGTTCCAGTGCACAGCGCCGGTAACGGCCATCATTATGACGAGTTCGGTGGCAGCGGTGTCAACGTCAAACGTTCCACGGTGAATGATGGGAAAACTCGGGGCCACCCGGCTCCAGTAGAGCTCGAGGGCCTCGGTGAGATCCGGGACGGTCAAGCCGAGGTCCTGGGCTGTCAGCCCCAGCTGCTGCGGGCGGGAGAGCAGGCCGCGGCTGGAGCCAAAGCCAGGTCCTCGGCGACCACAAGCGCGGCGACACGAGTCAGGAAGGTTTGGCAGAATTGATCAAAATCCTCCCCAGCCCGTGAGCGCCGCGCCTGCCCTCACAGAAAACTCACTGGATAACTGTTGTTGAGGCGCTCCAGCAAAGCGTCTCTAATGTCCATCAAATCTCCACTGCCTGCTCCGCTGCCGCTTCCACCGCCAACACCTCCGCCACGGCGTTCCGCGCTCTCCTGCGGACGTGTGGCACTGTGCTGGAGAAGCGAGTCAAAGTCGAAGGTCGTTTCGGTGACGCTGGGCTCGTTCCAAAATGTCGGCGCCATCGTGTTCTGCAGCAGCGCCTCCCACGGGTCGGGCGGCCACAGGCCAAAGCCAAAATCGGCCTGCTGCGGCTCCATGACTATGGGCCCCGACGTCAGTTGGAATGGAGTGCCGCTGTCGGCTGGCGCCACGCTGGCTGAGGTAAGGGGGTGGAGAAGGGAGGGCGAGGTCGAACTGCCACTTCCACTTCCGCCAAGAAAGTCGTGCACGGGGAAACCTTCTGACGTGGACGAATCAAAGGTGCCGACGAAAGAGGATGCGACGCTATTTCCCGAGCGTCCCGAGTCTGCGCCAGAATGGTGGCGGCTGCTACTGTGCGGATGCGGAGGCTGGGCCTGATACGCCTGATTGGGATTCGGCGACGGCCGGCTATTCGGAGGTGGCATAGAAGACGATGGCCCTGCCGAGTCCGAGCTCGAGGTCGATGCATGGTCGACAGGACCGGAGGGTGCTGTCCGCGACTTTGACGGGGCGGCGCTGGTGCGTATCCGTTTTGGGTACCGCTCATCGTCGCAAATCCGCCGCCTCTCGTGACGCTGGAGGAGGTCCAGGCGCTGAAAAGAGCGCCCGCACGTGCCACAGTGAAAGTTTGGCTGCGAGTCTGTGGGGTTACAGGTCAGGTGTATAGGCGTGAGAATCAAGTGGCACACCGGGCAAACAGCGAATAGGTGGTTGTGGCGGTGATTGAGGGTTTAGCAATTGGCGGGCCCATTGGAAGGGGGGAAGCGATGCGAGGTTGACGACACGATTGAGGGTCAGCGTTAGACAAGGCACCAAGTAATCGATGGAGCAGGGTTGGAGTCGTAGTCGCAGTCGAGGATATAGTGGCGAGAGAGGAGGGTTGGGTCACAGGCGGGTTGAGAGTATCGCCAAACCGAGCGAGCCGAGCGTAAAGGAGCGTAAGAGCAACGGGCCGATCAGGCCGGAGCATGAGTGATGGACATTTGTGCGTACCACACGACGGAGGCCGTTGACGGGATTGTCGGAGAGCGACGAAGCGAAAAGCGATGGGCAGTGGGGCAGAGGAGACGGTTGGAAGCGGTAAAGTGGCGATTTGAAGGGGTGTGATAACGCAAGCATTGATCGGATCAGGGGCAGCGAAGGACGGATGGGCGGAAGAGGAACAAGGAACAAGCGGGAAAGGCGGCAGCGTAGAGCAGTGGAGAGAGAGAGTCGGGCGTCAGCTGTCATCTCGTGACTCGTATCGAAGAGGCCACTTTGTGCCTCCGACTCCATCGGGTCGCGGGTTACGGGTCGGGGTCCACATGGCCCCCGCCTCCGCACCCTTTCCACCAAATCACTTTACCCATGCCGCATTTTAGCCGTTTACCGGCTCCCACACCTCCGGACCGGCCACGGTCGCGCCATGTCCATTTAGTGTCGATCCGACAAATCTGCGGTCTGAGACATAGTGCGATCTGCACGGGAGCCGTGTGTGTGATGTGCACGGGGGGTGACGGCAATGTCTCGGGGGCGCAGCGCAGGACAGAAGACTTACGGTTAGCAGCGTGGCGAATCAGGTGGTCCTGTAAACATCAGCGCGGCTCTTCGGGGGAAAACGAGGGGAATGAAGATGATGTCAGCGCACCACCTGGGCGGTGGCAGTGGAGGCAGCACACAGAGATACCTGTAGCCTACAGCGACATGCTAGCACCCCAGCAGTGGCCTCACCTTGCGGGTGAATAGCTTTCCGCAGCCGGGAAAGGCGCAACGGAGATTCTTGGTGGATGTAGAGCGCGAATTCCAGCCACTGCCAGACGCGGCTGGGAGGGGCGCAGGAGGCCGGGGATGATCCCGGAGGTGGTCGCGGGGAATGTGGTGCGCGGCGTGATTACTGGGGAGGAGCTGGGGCGCGTGTGGGTGTGGGTGCTGATGGGGGTGCGGGTGTGGTGGATGGGCGCTGGGGTGTTGTTGATGAGGCTGGACGCCCGAGTGACCCGTCTGCGAAGGGGAGTGTTGGAGGTGTGCTGGGAGGTCGCGGCGACGCATATCGGTCATGGCGCGGGGGGAGGGTGTGGTGCCCCAGCTGAGGCGAGGTGAGGCGGCGCAGTGAGTGTCCTGCGCCGAGGGGAGGGATATGGCGAGGATGGTGAAGACGCTACGAGGAGGGTGAGCGAGCCCACCCTGCCTGGTAGGTGACTAGGCAGCGCACACGAGATAAGATTGGCGGGAGAGGTGGGGGGTGGGCTCGTCCTAGCAAAGGAAGCGTTGATGTGAGCCGTACTAGGAGTCGCAAGTAATCTTGATTGAGTTGCGCGAGCCGGCGGGGTGAAGGTGGGTGAGAGTGGGTGTAGGTGGGTAGGTGGGAAGTTGGGTAGATGGGTAGATGGGTGGACGTGGGGGTGTTTGAGAGTGGAGTGGGGGTGGCGGCGCCGGCGTGTGGCAAGAAGTAGAAGAGGTTGGAAGACGTAGATGATATTCTAGACGGGAAGAGGAAAGGTTTTGTGGACAGCAGAAAGATATCTGGCGGCCGACGGCGGTTACCGTTGCGAGATGCGATGTAAGCGGAGATGAGCAGCTGGGCTGGATGGGTAGATATCCGGCAGCCTGATTATACGGTAGTGCGGTAACGGTAGCGTTGTCGGGTTCGGGTTTGTGTGGATTTTCTAATTCCTGCGATCCTGCGCATGTCTCTCTGCATGGTCCCTGAACGAGTTTCTGGATCAACCGTGCATGCGTCGTGCGTGTGCACTGTACAGGAGAACGGGTGTGGGGTACGAATGTGCCGGTGATTGCTTGGCTTGCATGGCCTGGCGCTTCATCTCTGAGACATGGCGCACTGCTCGCGGCATGAAAGATGCCACCTTGTTAGTGGCATGCCGACGGCGAGCCCTGAGCGCGAGACAAGTGAGTGTCTTGCATGGCCAGGGGGGGTAGCGATGGGGCGAAGGGCTAGGGAGGGAGGGCCTTACACAAGAGTTGGCATGGGATTCCCGGACTCACTGTGACCCAGGACAACGGAAATGGAATAGGAGCACGCGCGCGTGTCGACTTGTGCGGCATCCCGTTCCACAGGCCAAATTTGTTACGACGGACGGCGGCGAGCGCCACTCGGTGAGCATTGATCTTGCTGCCAGGTGCTGTCCAGGGATACGATCAAGCGCAACACGCGCCTCCTCTCGGCCGGTGCGTCTGCGCCCGAGAGGCGCATTTGTTGAGCCGCGGCGACCCTGGCTGACAAGCTGGCAAGGTGAGCAGGTAGCTAGGCGGCAAAGAGGCAGAGAGGCAGAGAGGCAAGCAAGCAAGCAAGCATGGAACCCTGAGTTACTCGTGCGAGTCGGGGCCCGAGAGCGGCATGTCGGACTAGAGAAAATGAGAAGCAGCACAAAGAGGCGCAAAGAGGAGGGGGCTAGAGACAAGAGGGAGGGCAGCACGAGGGCAAGAACGACGGGCGTGAGGAGAGAAGTGACTGCCCTCTGGCACGCCGCCGTTGCGTCCGGCCCGATCCGCTAATGCAGCGCTCAACGGATTTATCTCGGATCATTTCATCCGACGATTTACGCCTATCCTCACCGAGGGTAATCTCTTAAAAGCACGGTGCCTGAGATTCCAGACGGCATGTTTCCAGTCCGCGGCCATGGCCGCTCCCGATCTCCGATCTCTGGAGGCTCTCTGCTGTTCTTTCTATTCTCTGCTCGCTCTGTGCTCTCTACGTGCGTGGCTGCGTGGCTTTCTGCATGCCGCCGGATCCGTTTTTGCGTGTGACACGCAGCAACCGAGGTTCCAGCGGCCCTTCCCGTTCGCCCACAACCACAACCACACCCCGTATGTACCAATCCCAACCCTCCGATCTCATACCTTTGCGTTCACGATCGTCACCCGACCCACAGGAGTCGATGCCCAGATACGCATAGGGCCCAACGCCCAATTGCCCAACGCCCCGGCGGCGAGCGTCGCCAGCCCCGCCGGCGCCGCGGCATTCATTGCAAGGCACCGCCTGTCGTTTGATCGCCCTCCTTTGGCCCCCTGGAGACTAGAAGCTGGCCGCGAACATGTGGCGTCGTGACTGACGGGGGATCGACAGATCGACGGCTTGGCACTCTCAGACTGGATGAGATCTGCGCACCGTCTCAGGACGTCCTGTCTGGACTTGTTCCTCCCCCAAACGCTCCGACCGCGACTACCTCGCTTTGTCTGAGTAGTAATCAAGCACAGGCCGCTCGAGACAATACCCAGCGCCCAATGCACCGTGATCGAAGCCACGCTGATCGCTGACGATGATCTGCATCGACAAACCTTGCACGGCCTCGAGCCGTCGCCCAGCTGATCTGCTGACGCCAGCAGTCGAGGCCGAAACCCGAAACGCTCCACTAAACCCTAAGCGCGTCGTCGTCTCGGCGGCTCCGAGCCCTCCGGGCGCTCCAAGCGCCCTCGCTGCACATGCACAGCACATGTGCGGATATACGGATGCGTAACGCAGCAGCCGCCGGCCCCGACCTCAGCCGGGTGGCCCGCGCTGCGCCCGCTCCGCGGAATGTCCAGCCAGCGCCAGCGCGTACGGAGCATCATTGCGCCGGGCCTACTTCTTCTCCGCCGCCCTCCCGAGCCGCGGTTACTATGATCTAATCTTTCGCATGTCAGTTCCTGATGCGTGCATGCTCCATCGCCCCATCCCCAACCCGGACACCGAGCACAGAACAATGGATGTCGCGCCGGCCTGACCGGAAATCGATTGCGCTCGGAGCTGAGCGCTGAGCGCTGTGCGCTGTGCGTTGTGCGTTGTGCGTGTACCCTGCCGATCGCGATCTGCAGAGTGGCAGGGGCAGACCCCACATGTCGCGACATGATATTCGGAGCTCCTTTGGCCCTATACTCCGTCGTCGTTGTGCATGGTAAGCGCGAAGCGATGCCGGAAAGGTACAATATGGAGATGATCCCCGGGCGGCGGGGCGCACGTTCTGGCTGATGTCGATCTCGGCGCACGCGTGTGCAGCCGGCCGAGTGGCGCAGCAAAGCGGCCGCGACTGTGCGTTGGTTCTCCCGTGCATACCGCTGTCGATCGGCCGGGGGCCGCGGTGACACCGCGCGCGCAGGTCCGTGCTGCCTGAGAATGCGCTTTTGCCATGGTATGTTGGCGTCCTGGCGTCTTCGTTTTTACTTGACGTCGCATTGCGATCCTCCGAAAGTCGTGGATTCTTCAGCATCTCGCGTGCTCCCAACGCACTTCGTCATCGCCGCTACGCCACCGCATCGCTGCTTCGAGCTTCACCGCCACGATCTCGGCGAGACGACCAGTCAGAGCGCGAGAACGTGACGGCCGACGCCGTGGCGCCGAAATAGGGGTGCCGCCGCCACATTCCCCGCCCAGCCCCCTCCCTCCATGCCCTTTGGCGGCTCCGTCGGTGTTGGCAGCGAAAGCGGCACCCAGTTAGTACCGGGGTAAGTGAAGCGTGGTCGAAGGGAAAGTCAGCCGCGCCTCACGGCGAGAATTTGTGGCCGAGCAGCCCTGTCCCGAATGCCAGAGATCTGCGCATCTGCATGCGTTATCCGGCATACACATGCTGTCGGCTCCCGTCAGCTTGGGTGCTTGGGACGGTGGGGCGGAGTCGTGCTCCGTCCAGCGCCAAACGTTTGACGGAGGAAGTGCTTGCGCGCGTGCGTGCGCGTGCGTGAGGCATTGTCGGGCAGAGGACACGGCGAATTCGCCGATCAGTGGCCACACGTCACCGAGCGCTTCGTTCTTCTCAATTGCTCGGAGCATAGCGACTGCCTCGTGCGTGAATTGGTGTTTGAACGGAAGTAAGCGCTATCGCCTGACAGCGGCGCGTGTCCCGGATCGATTTCGCCTCCAACTCACGCCTCCTCCTGCGACGGCCTCGCGATCCTCGCTCTTACTCATCACTCTCAGCCCTGCTCTTACTCATCCCTCCCTCCCACTCACCCCGCGCCTGACATCCCTCTCACTGAAACGGCCGCATGTCTCGCAATATCTCCGCCCCCTCTACACCCACTACCATCCCCGTCACAGCCCATGCAGCGAGCATGCCCGGCCCCGCGCCGAGATCGTACCTGACTGTCCTCGCCGCGCATGTCTCACCAAGTCTCCGCTGTCTCATGCAGATCTGGCTGTCTCACTTCCCATCTTCCAGAACTTGCCAGAGGGTCTCTGGACACGGAGGATACGTAGATGGTCGATCTGGGGTGTGGGATCTCGGGCGCTCGAGCTCGCCGGCGCCCTGCGACCGGAGGCCCGAGGAGCACGTGCACGAGCATACAGCACCCGCTGAACGGCCGACGGCGGCTCATCAGCACTTGGACTGGAGCCGCCGTACCTAAGCCCCGCTCTCCATGCATGACGGCACACTCACACACGGCCACTCGCGCACTACGACGATCAGCGGGAGGCCCGAAATGCGCCGTGCGCGCTACTGCTTGATCGCTTGAGACAGATCTGCAAGGCGTTTTTCGGACGGCGTCCAGACGATCCAGACCTGCAGATCTCGGGCGGGGTCTCGGGCAGCGGGCATGGCATGTACACCGCGAATGTCTCGTGCAGTGGACACGTGCTGCACGGTAGTTGGCACGAGTGCCGCGGTTGTAGGCGCGCACGAGACGACCGGGTCGTCTGCATAAGCGGTGACAACTCTTCCCAGGTGGCAACAAGCAACATCGTACCCCCGCAGTGCTGCAGTGTGGGCCAACTGATCCGTACGTCGAGGTACCACTACTATTGGGATATCGTCGAGCTAGAATAAATACGAAGAGAGATGGGTGGCCCAGGAGCGAGGCCTGCACCCAGAGGCGTCGGCATTCGACATCTCTGCATACAGAAGGCCTTTTCAGAGCGAGTGCAGGTTCAAACCCTGGCGCCACCAACATCAACTACCACCCCACCAACGTACACGCGCGCCCACCTGCACCTTGTGAGATTATAGAATACCAGAGTCGCGCAGGGCGTTCTGCAGAATCGTCTCCTTCACCGCCGCAAACACCAGCCTGATCTGGGCGTCAGTCATGAACAGATACAAGAAAACTCACGTTGGATGTGTCTGTGGCTTGTGTCAAGTGAGGGTAGATGCTCAAGCGTGCGCGGTTGGTCTGGGTGAAGCGCCAGAGAATGTACTTGGCTGCCTTGTTAATGTCGGCGCCACCAGTGTATTCTGGGAAGTAGTTGACAAGTGGGACCTTGGGCAGCTTCTGCTTGAAGATGTCAATCTTGTTCAAGAAGAGGATGACCGAGGTGCGCAGGAACCAGCGCGAGTTGATTACCGACTCGAACAGGACGAGCGACTCCTGCATGCGGTTTTGTCCGTTCTCCTCGAGAAGGACCTGGTCGTACTCGCTGAGCGCGACGCAGAAGATGATGGATGTGACTGCCTCGAAGCCTGCGGTGTTAGCGTGGTTTAGGTCGTGAGAAAGGGTGGGCGATGGAGCCGTTAGAGGGTGTCCGCAAGGTCCATGGCAGGCCACGCGGACGATTGAGACCTCTGCTCGCTGTGCGCCAATGTGCTCTCCCCCGCCAACAAAGATTCCCTTAGGCCGCGTCTCCCAAACACTCACAGTGAATCCACTTCTTGCGCTCGCTGCGCTGACCACCCACGTCAAACATGTGAATGCTAAGCTGGCCCATGTTGAATCGAGTCTCGCTGATACCAGTCGTTTTTGATCGGGCGCGGAGGACGTCGTTCTCGTTGGGAACGTACTCGGCGGACGAAATGCGGTCGAGATTGGAGAAGAAGTAGGTGGCCGAGTCCATGAGGTAAAACTCGGATGAGCGGTCCATGATCACCGGGATGATGGGGTCATGCCAGAGCGCCTCGATTGCCTGGAACAGCTCTGCCGACATGAAGCCTGTCTCGTCAATCTTGTAGCCCAAGATGCGGTCGGCATATGTTCGGTTGGTAGGCTCCTCGGGGTCGACACCAATTTTCCTCATCGCCATGACGAGTGCTTGTGCCGAGACAAGCACGTTACTGTGGATCGTGGGCTTGAACGCCAAGAGCTCCTCCTTGGTGTAACCGTTCTGGTGAATAATCTTCATCTGTTTGACGATTGTCGACTTGCCGGACTCGCCGGAGCCTGGTGTCAGCTGGTGTTACATGCGGTGCTGCCGAGGAGGACAAGAAAGGTGGCGGCGGGGAGGACGCCGGATACCGCATTGGCTTTCTTCGGGCCGTGCTGCTCTTCTTCTCGATGCTATTTTTGCTCTGCTATCGGCCTCTCGTGGGCTCCGTGACTGCAAAAAAGGGGAGTCGCGGTGCGCAACCGACGAGAGATAAGGAGAAGCCGCAAAGGTCTCGAGAAGCGAAGAAGGCTCCAAAAGGGGACAGACACCACCAGCGAGGCCAGGCGTCTTCGCGACGACAGTGTGGAGCGTGTCGCCACCTTCCTCCGATGCGTAATGGACACTCCCGTAACATCTCATCACAACAACTCACCTAGGAGGAGAAGTTTGCACTCCTTCTTAAACTTCTTCGAGTCGTCGTCGAGCTGTTTGTCAATCTGGTTGCTGTTGTCCTTCTTGGTCGCGCGCGACTCGCCGTCCGGGGGCGGTGCGGCGGCGAGAGCGGCGGCCAATCCCTGCCCGACGCCCTGGGGCGCACCGCTCCCATTAGGAGTCGGGCCGGTGTCTGCTGTCGCTTGGCTGATTTGGGACGCTGTCTGCTGCGGCTGCTGGGTGGTGGAGGTCGTGGACGTGACAGCCGCAGCAGACGCAGTCTGCGCCTCTTGGGCTCGCGGTGGTGCCGGTGGGGCGGGCTTTGGGGGCGCTGTGCGCGGCGCCTCCGCCTTGGTGGCCTCCGAAGACATGCACCCACCCATGTTTGGGCTAGTTGGGGTTTGGGGGAAGGCTGTTCAATGTAGTCGAGTGGGGAGGCGGACGTTGCGCGAGGCCAGCAACGCGTGCGAGCGACCGGGATGGAAAGGGTTGCTCAGAGAAGACTAGAGAGGATGTCAGTGGATGTTGCAGGGGGTGCGGAGTGGGGGGTGGTCAAGGGCAGCGCGAGGCGAGTAGAGCGCGGGAAGTTGGGGTGGGCACTGTGAGGAGGAGGAGGAGGAGGAGGAGGAAAATGGTGGATGTGAAGGAGGAAGACGGAGGCGCGCCGTGAAGAGTTTTGAGGTGTCGGGAAGAAAGAGAGTGGGGAGGTGGTGGAAACGATGACTCACCGGAGGGAAAGGGGGAAAGGGGAGAGGAGGAGAAGGTGAAGAGAGCGTTATGAGATCAAGGGGGGATGGCGATGGCGTAAGAAAGGACGAGGGCGGCGACGAGGGGATCGGAGAGATGGAAAGTGTTTGAAGAGTAGAGTGTGGAGGAAAGTGTGCGTGAGAGAGCTGGAGGAGGGAGGAGAGGAGGGAGGGAGGGAGGAGAGTGTTGTGAAATGCAATGGTCCGATCACTTGTAATCAAGTCGGGGGCAGCGAGTGGGCGCACGGGCAAGGCGGGTGCGAAAGGATGTTGTTGGAGAAAAGGAGGAAATTGATATTGAAGAGTAAGAGAATGACAAGATTGAGCAAGAGGAGATGGATGACGAGGAGAGGAGGATGTTGAGCGACGACGACGAGGAGGAGGATGCTCGAGGAGGATGATGCTTGGTGGTGGTGGGAGGATGGTGCGAGTGACGGTTGAATGGGGGCAGCCAGTTGAAGAGCAGAGCAGAGCAGGGCAGGGCAGGGAGGGCTTCGGGGAGAGAGCAGAGCCAGGCAGAGTGTGGCTGGCCGGCCTGGGTGAGTGATGGCCAAGGGTAAGGGGGGGAGCAAAAAGGGATCCGGGCCCGCCTCTGGGGCTGCCTGCCATCTGGGGCGTCCGGCCCTAATTAAAACACGGGATCATTTCCTAATCCTCACATATAATACCACAATACTCCCTCTTCTTTGCCTCTTGTCCATCTCATCAAAGGCACGGTGGGCTCTCGATCATCCTGGCTCTCTCCGGCCTCCGTCTCTTGCCCATCCTTCTCACCCCGTCACCGCCATCGTCCATCGTCACCGCCGAACATGCATGGATGCCTACAGTACACTCTCGGTCGGACCGTCATTCACATCGCCTTATCACACAATACTGACGAGGCTTGGAGGCTGCGGCCGATTGACCTCGATCACAGGGCAGAGGCTGGTGGCTTCCCCAATGCGCCTATCCCGGCCTCGACCTCCCCTGCGCCCTCTGATTTTCTCGCCGGCGGCCATGATTCCAGCTCCTTGTACAATCCACAATCTACGTCGACATCAGTCATCGCATACGCGTCTGGACGATCGGTGGAGGCGCTAACAGGGGTGAAATTGGCCGTGGGCACCGTGGGCACCGTGCGCACGCGAAGGCGGAACTGAGCTGGTTGCGCCTCAGTACGGCCAAGACGCCGTGGATCATGGATCATGGAGTGTCTACTCCGTCCGCGTGTCGGGCCCGCTTTTAGAGCGCTTGATGAAATGAGACTCGGCCGCGTCAATTGACGCCCACCGCCCCCATGCATCCTTCTAGCTGCATCGCAGCATAGCGCGTAGCATAGCATATATCTGCATAGCTGTACACCCGACGCCATCACCTCACCGCCACATCTCCCCGCCCGCCAGGCGAGGCGCTCATGCTCGACGCCCGCATACGAATGCACATCTCCCTGTTCCATTCCACCGCCTGACGTAATGCACTCTCCCTGCGCCATGCCGCCAGCGGGACGGATTCCTTGCTGTGTCCTTCATTGCGATCCTGCATAGCCTGCGTTGATCCTGCAATCTTGGGTCGTCCTGCGTCAGGTGGCTGCCACGTTCGGGCCATGAGAGAGGTCGGCGGGCACCGTGTCAGAGGCGGGGTCAATTCGGCGGGACCAAACATCCCGCCTAGGCGCTTGGAGTGACGATGGGTCGAACGCGCGAGCTATTGCATGAATCACGTGATGCCGGTGTGGGGTGGATTTGAGACGCTCCGGAAGACGGATGAGCGTCTGTAGATGGAGAGTTGTGGGCGAGAGCTCAAGGGGTGAGGGCTCTAGCTTGAGGGCTGACGCTACCAACAGCTTGCACACAATGACAGAACAGTTATCGCCCAATTGCACAAATTACCGCGGCTGTACTTCGTCCTGAGCGGGTAAGAGTTCTTCTGCTAGGCTCGCGCCGGTACCACGAGAAACCGTCAGAACACAGTCGGCCAGATGAGTGGAGGTCAATTTCGCCAATAGCTCGCAGCTCGCAGCTCGTTAGCAATCAGCGGCATGCTGGACATCTACCTGAAATTTGCTTGAAGCACATACTAATTGGACCTGCTAGTCCCGCCATTGACCCCTCGCACTCTATACTGACACCTCGCTCCCAGTATCCATGTGCCGTGTGCCAGCCCCAATCTGGGTATGCTGGATTTGATTCACACCCCAGTTCAACGCGGTGCCGGCTATGAATGCCATCCTGATTACAAAGCATGCAGACGCTTCTGTTCGCGTCAACAGGGTGGGGATTGGGGTCGCCACGTGTTGTGCACGCCACCGGCGCGTCTTCGACAACCGTACGCTAGCGGCTAGCGGCATGTTCTGGGGTGCAGTTACGCGGTGGCGCCGGTACGGCCCTCGGAAGTCGGGGATCGGGGTATTGATAGCCAGACAAGTATTCACCGTTCTGGCCGCGCTGGCCGTTCTGGGGCCGTCCGAATGTGGTGCTGTGGCGCTTTGGTTAGAAATGTGAGAGACAAGGGTGGGCTATGAGCTATGTATGACTGCATGTCAATGGGAGCCGAGGATAACTCGAGCAACGAGACTTTGCTGGATGGAAGGCTGAGCGATCAGCGAGGAAATGCAGGCCGAGCGTCGCAGGAATTTTTGATCGTCCGCGCGTGGCCCCTTGCGTTTGTTGATCCATGCAGGGCGGGCGGGGCGTGATCCGCGGATTGTTCATCTTGCTCAATTGCTCAATCGCTGCCCAATGCTCGCCATGCTATGCCCTTGGCGAGTGGTCGCATGGTCGCCTGGTCGCCATGATCATCAGCGGCATGCAGTAGAGTTTGCGGTAGTCGCGGCCATGCATACACACCGTAGACTGCCTCTGGTCCCACGCCTCGCACGCTGCAACCCAGAGTACCAGAGTACGTACAGGAACAGGGGTGCCTGGGCCCGCGAAGATAATGAGGGTCCAGCGGAATCAGGGCGATAGCTCGATAGAGGGAGCCATGCGGTGCCTGGCTCTGTAGCAGCAGCATTCCTTACAAATAACAAATGTTGATGAGGAGAGAGAGCCAAAGCGCACGCGCTCGCTCCTGGTCGATGCCACCCCATTTTTGGATTCGATCCTCTTGCTCTCTTCAGCTTGACTCGTTCACTCGTCGTTCTCTCCTCGCTCTCATCTATAAGAGTGCGCTTGCCGCTGTGCGTCGCTCTCACTCTTTCTCCCATCTCCCATCTCTCTCTCTCTCTTCTTCATCTCCTCACCACCTCCCCACCACCTCCCTTCCACCAGAGCTAGTCTCGCTTCACCACCTACCCACCCCCTCACACTCTCTCTCCACACCTGTCCTTGACCCCGCCCACTACTATCCATCTAAAACATCCTATCAATCAACCAAATAACCATGCTCTTCTTCATCGTCCTTCTCGCCTTTGCCGCCCTCGCCAGCGCCCAGAGGGTCCTCTTTGAGGGCTCGGGATACCGTGCCACTGTGTGAGTGTCGGCTCACATTGGTGCACACACCCCCCCTTTCCCTCCTCCCATCAATTACTCCGGCAAATGCTGACCCCAGCTACTATGGTGTCAACGACGGCGACGTCTGCGGCACCGACAACGGTGGCCCCTTCCCCAACCGCTGGGCCGTCACCTCGGGCATCAACGACGGCTACCCGTTCTGCACCTCCAAAATCCAGGCCCAGGCCAAGACCCTCACACAGTACAACACCAACCGCATCGTTGCCATGAACGCCAACATGATGCAGAACGACCGCGAGTACTGGTGCGGCAAGGAAGTTCAAATCTTCAAGGACGGCAAGCAGATTATTCTCGACGAGGGACCATTCATCCTCATGGACGGCTGCGCCGCCTGCATGACCGCCAGCATCATTGACGTCTCCGCCAAGGCCTTCACCCAGATGTCTGGCGGCAAGTGCGGCGACAACCCCGAGGGCTTCACCGTCAAGGTCATCGACAACGACTTGAGCGCTACCCTCGGCGACGACGCTCGCGGCCCTGCCAAGGGTGCGTCGGTGTACAACCCCTCGGGCGATGCCGCTGCCCCCGCCCCCGCCCCCGCCGCGGCCGAACAGCCTTCTACCGTCTCCTCCCTCGCCGCCAACCCCCCCGCCACGCCTGCTGCGCAGGCCACTGGCGCCCTCGCTGCTGAGCAGCCCCCCATCGACACCCCCCCGGTCGCCGTCAAGCCCGCCGCCGCCCCTGCCGTCACGCCCGCCCTCGCCGCCGCCCCCGCCGCTCAGCAGGCTGAGCCCCCGGTCGCCGACACGTGCACGTACGGCAAGTGGCGCTGCGACGGCCTGCGCCTGCAGATTTGCAACCGCGCCACGGCCGGTTTCGCGTGGGAGACGATCGCGACGTGTGCTGCTGAGTGTTCCTTTACGGTCTCGGGATCCGCCGTCTGCCAGTAGCTGCGGAGCAGCGTGACGGCCGAGGGCCCGGTGCCCAGCCTGAGTCTGTATATTAGCCTGGAGCTGGAGCCCAGTATGCATGTTGTGATACTAGCGGAGTGACGGCGGAGGCTGGGAGAGGCGATTGAGTAGATCAAGTGGGGCAATCAGTGAGCGCGATGTCAGTGAGCAGCGCGATTAATCTTCGCAATCGAGGTTCGTGATCCCACTCATTCCGATCAAGCCATCAGTCAATCGCAAGCACATTCTGCCCATCCACCGACCATCCATCTGCCAATCCTCGCATCGATTACCTTGACGCGGACGTACGGCACAGCCCGCCGGCAGAGACACGAGGCACAGCAGGCCACTCAAGGCTGCACCACCAACGGCGGGACGTACGCCCACGCGCCGTCCCACTCCGGCTGCTCCATCTCGGCGCGGTATCCGAGCGCGCAGCCCGCATACCGCACGCGCGGCAGTGCAGCAAAGTACGCGTCGTACTGCGCCGCCAGTGCGTCCTGCAGCGTCTGCGCGCGCGGGAGGAGGGCAGACCACGGCCGGCGGCACGTGTCCCCCACACACGTTTTGAGGACGAGGAGGAGGGCGTCGAGGCGCGCGAGGAGGGCGGCGCTTTCAGCGCCGAGGAGCGCAAAGTCCGCAAACGGCCCGCGCGCGTTCAGCCCCGCGAGCAGGTTGGCCGTCTGCAGCGGGTCCGCTTCCAGGTCGTACAGCTCGCGCTCGCCCGTGCACCATACCGCGTAGGAGAGCGACGTCTTGCGGCTATGCACGGTGTCGCTGATCCGCAGGGTGCGGTACGCTGGGGTCAGCGAAGCTTGGCTCACCTACTATTGTTGGTGCGCCACGGGCCGCCATAGATCCCCTCTTCGACGCCGAGCACCCAATACTCCGCGAGGGCGTGGCGCGCGTGGCGCGCGTGCCGGGCGTCGCTGGCGTTGTCGTCGCTGGCGTCTTTGGCGTCCCGGGCTTCATGGTGCCCGTGGATGTCCATACGCGCCCCGTCGTCCACGTAATCCGCCTGCGCGCCCGCGATATCCATAATCGTCCGGGCGAGATCCACGATCCCATAGCTCGCGTCCCCCGTCCCCTTCCGCACGCCGGGGCCACGCACCACAAACGGCACGCGCATGTCCTCTTCGAACGCCAGCGTCTTCCCCGGCTGCCGCCGGTGCGTGCCCATCGCATACCCGTTATCCGCTGTCTCAGCGCCGCCGTCTCTAAACGCACAAGTGTAAAAGATATATGTGTTGTCCAGCGCGCCAGCGCGCTCGAGCCGCTGCACCACGGCACCCACCATCTCGTCGACGGCGGCGAGCGCGCGCAGCCGCCCCCGGTGGAATTCGTCGAGGTACGCCTCTTGCGTCGCGGTCAGGCGCGGGAGGGTGCGCACCCAGGACACGCCGTGCGGCTTGGCGGGGTTCCAGCTTGCGGAGCGGGGGAGCTGTTCCGTGCCGAAGAGATTTGCGTGGCGCGGATGCGCGGCGGGGACGTGCATCACTACGCCGGTGGGGGAGTGGGGCGAGTCGTGCGGAATCCCTGGGTTAGCGGTGAGGAGAGGACACATACATGAGTGTGGTCCGATGGGGGCTATGCCCAGAAAGAAGGGCTCGTTGCCAGCCAGCCCGTCTTCGAGATATCCCAGCGCCTTGTCGCGCACCAGGTCCGTCGAGTACTCCCCCCGGTGGACGGTCACGGGCCCATCTGCCTTCAGCTCCGCAGCTCAACGGGGCAGCACGCACTGTCGCGCGAAAAGCCCGGATTCCAGTAGTCATACGTATACGGATCTGCGTGAGCTCCCCCTCCCCCCCTGCGCCGCACCGACAAGAATATCCGACGATGTCTGGGTCAGCGCATCCCCTCCGCTCGCCACGCACAAATCCCGACACCGGCATGCTCTCGCAGTTCTCCTCCGTGTGCGCGTTCCTGCATCAGCCCCCCTCGTCACGGCGCGCACATATACTTGCCCGTGTAGAACGTCGCGTACCCCGCGCGCTGCAGGAAGTCGGGGAGTGTGTGGCCCACATACCCGCGCGCATTGAACACGTCCCACCCGCCCCACGGCGCGCTCACGAACGTCACGTTGTGGTTGTGCGCGTGTTGCGCGCGCAGGAGCGACACGCGCGCGGGGCAGCACAGCGACACGGGCGTGAAAAAGTTCGGGAGGCTCAGCCCGTGGTCGATGAGCGCAGAGAATGTGTGCGGCAGGAAGCGCCGGTGTAGCGTCCCGCTGTCTTGGTCGTCGGTCACTGCATTAGTGTTAGCGCGGACGGGCGCGCACGGATGAGGACGATGTTGGGCTTTTTGGGCGCGGCCGAGGCCGAGGCGGCCGCGAGAGTGAGGAGCAGGAGGGCCAGCATGAGTGTGTGGTGCATCTACAACTGCATGCTTCGTTTTGAGGACGGGTTGAGGCGGTGGCACACGACGGTAGGCGAAAGCAAGCGGAATGGCGGAGTTGGCCGGTCGGCGATCACGCCACGAGCACGCATCACAGCGTGCCGCGTCTTATCGCCATTGCGGCGTACAGCGCGCGCTCAACGCCGAGCACGATTTGCAGCACGGCGCGGCGTGCTATGCCCTCCAGGCCTCTATCAGCATATCGCCATCTTCGCTCGCGATTGCGGCGCTCGAGCCATGGCGTCGTCTGCGCTTACAAGCGACGTCGGTGCCGGAGTTACATTCCGCACGTCCGTCGTCAATGAGACATACTGAAGATTTACACCATGCAATGCCCACTCATGTTCACAGCAAGTCCGAACGTACGCTCCGACTCGAGCGTGCATCTCGACTGCGAGCGCATTAGACGCCAAGCAAGGCGAGCAAGTCCGCGAGTCAAGCTGTACACCGGTAGACCACCCCAGACACCGCCACGAACACCACCCAGTCCGACGCCGCCCACGACACCCCATCCCTCCAGCCTCGCGTCTCCCTCCAACCTTGCATCTCCCTCACCCTCCCTCCTCTCTTCTTCACACACGATGAGCTCGGAACGCACACCCCTCCTGTACCGCAGCGGGCTCTCGCCCGCCCGTCGCCGCCTCCTCGTCGCCACAACTATGCTCACATCCTTCCTCGCGATGCTCGATCTGACCAGTACGCCCCCCCCTACCTCGTCCGCATTAACACAGTCGTCGCAACCTGCGTGCCCACCATCGCATCCGAGCTCGGCGCGTTCGATCGCGAGGCTTGGATTGGCACGGCATACCTCTGGTCCAACGTAACCTTTACGCCGCTGTACGCCCGCCTGTCGGATGCGATCGGCCGCCGCACCGCCTACTTGCAAGCCGTGCTCCTCTTCACGGTCGGCACGCTCGGATGCGGCCTCGCACCCAGCTTTGGCGCCCTCGTGGTCGCCCGCTTTGTCGCGGGCATGGGCGGCGGTGGAGCCGGCACCGTTGCCTCCATCGTGCTCTCCGAGACGTTCGTCGAGGACCGTGGGTTTTACCAGGGTCTCGGGTTCGCCGTGTTCGGTGCGGGTATTGGGCTTGGTGGGCCCATTGGTGGATGGCTGACGCAGGCGTGGGGATGGCGTGCTGCATTCTACGCCCAAGTTCCCGTTGCGATTCTCTGTATCGTCCTCGCGCGCCTCACGATCCCTCAAGACAGCGAGAAGAAGTACAGCGCCGAAACGCTCGCTGAGATCGACCTCGGGGGGAGCGCAACGCTGCTCCTCTCCATCGGTTCTCTGCTGTTGCTGCTGCAACGCAGCAGCGCCGACATCCCCCTCCGCCACGACGCAGTCGGGCTGGCAGCCTTGGTAGCCAGTATCGGATTCTTCGTCGCGTTCATCGTCGTCGAGACGCGTATCGCGAAACGGCCCGTCCTTCCTCTTTCATTGTTGAAGCAGCGCACAGCGCTGTGCGTTGGCATAATCGCCGGCGTGATCGCCATCGTCAACTTCAACATGCTGTACCACTTACCGTGAGTCCCCCTCCTCTCCGCTCACCCCAGCATGGTGTTCGAGATCGTCTTCGGCGAGTCCCTCTCGCAGGCCGGCGCCCACATCCTCCCCAACAGCGTGGCAATGACGCTCTCCGCCCCCGTCATGGGCATCCTCGTCAAGCGCACGCGGCGATACAAGTGGCTCACGGTGGTGTGCTGCGCCGGCCCTGTCGCTGCCATGGCGCTCTTGTCCACCCTCGGGCCCGGCTCCAGCTCCGCCATCCGCTGGCTCGGCGTCATGCCCATGGGTGCGGGCTTTAGTGGCCTCCTGACCCTGACGCTGATCGGGATGCTCAACACTGTGCCGAGTGAGTCGCCCGTCGCCCGTCGCCGTCGTTGACACCAGAATCGCAGATCGCCGTCGCCACGGGCTTCGTCTTCGTCTTCCGCTCGCTTGGCCAGGTCTTCGGCGTCGGTATCTCGGGCGCTGTGTTCCAGACTTCGCTCGCGGCTGAGCTTGGCCGGCGCTTCAAGGATCCTGAGGTGAGCCGATCGCGTATAAGCTGACATCTAGCTGATCGACACCCTGCGCCACGCGTCCGAGGCCATTAAGCGCTTGCCCGAGCCGCAGCGGTTGCTGGCTATCGCGGCATACGGCGCCGCGCTGCGCAACACATTCCTCTTTGGGCTGGCGGGGGCCGTGGGTGTGTTCGTGACGTCCCTGTTCATTCCGGATCGCCAGCTCGTCGACGAGGAGGGTAAGGTGCCGGCTGGCGAAGGGGAGTGACGTATCGACAGAGTGACATGGCGTCCTGTCATCAGAGCGGTGCACGATCTCATTGTTAGAGGTAGATTGTTATGCATTGTCTTGATTGGTAACGCCACCCCGTCAGTAGCACACCGTCAGCAGCGGCGGTCGCGCCGCGGGTAGGAGCATTGACTGGTACATCACAACACTATTACTAGTACCCCGGGTGCTTCTGAGCTTATAACGGACCATCCAACCACTCTACCAACTACTTGCGGCCGACGTCGCGGGTCGTCATGCGCCGCAGACCCTCAGCGACGGACTTGCGGCGGAGCATGGCGCTGACAGACCCGCGGCGGAGGTCGTGCGGCTGCTGGTCCTCGTCACCCTCGTTGCGCGACGTGACGCGGTGGATGGCGGCAGACACCGAGCTGCGGCGGCCCTCGGCAATGCGCACATTGTTCTTCTCACGCACGCAGATCGGGCACTCCGGGTGGTTGTACGGGTCCGCGGGATCCTTGGGATGCGCGGCGTGCACGAGCGCCTCGGCGGCCGCGCGCACGTTGTTGTTGCTCATGCTGAGCTGCCGCTCAGCCGGGCCGCGCGGGAAGCCCATGTTCACGAGCTCCTCGACATTCTCGGGCGTCGCCTGCTGCATGTGCGGCCGGTCAAAGACCTCGGCGGACATGCGGCGCATGCGGTTCATGAAGCCCTCCTTGGGGGGCGAGAGGGCGGCCTGGGTAGACGCTGCTGAGGTCAGCAAGTGCACGAGCAGAGCGCACGGACGGAGCGTGACCCCGTCGCATTCACAGGGCAGCCACAGCTCTCGCGGCTCTCGCGGCTCTCGCGCTCACGCGAGCTGTTTCACTCACTCATTGTGGAATTCTGAAGGGTCGGAATCGACTTGCGGAAAGTTGATGCTTGTGCTGAATGCAGGTGTAGGTGCGGTGGCAATGGATGGGGATCGACGCGCCTCACCTCGCCTTCTTATCTAGGTGGGCGTGAGCAAACGAGTCATCCGTCACTCCGGTGGTGCGGGTCAGCAGACGGCGTCGACAGCCAAAGCTGGTCAGCGGCTGCGGCCGGATCCCTGTCTTGGCAAGTCTGTGCAGCCCACCTGCTGCTGTACGTGCGTGACGCCCGCCACCCAACGCCCCTGCGAGCTGCTCCGCGGCCATTGTCCTTCGCCCGCGAGTGGGCGTGGGATGAGCCTGGGCTTGTAGTCGAGCAGCTGGGCAGCTGGGCGGGGGGTGGCAACCTGTCGGCAATCTAGCGTTCTCCTCTGCGTTCCTGTTGTTCACTCTCGTCATTCCCTGCGACCCCGGCCGCGCCCCTGGGAAAGTGCTTGTTGTTTGCGAGAGCGCTCGCAATGCGCGGGGCAAGAGGGGAGCCGGCGCCAGGGTGGGCTCACATGACCATTCTCCAGTAGTCCCGTGATCAGCGGAGCTTGGCGCGACGGGCGCGACGGCGGAGGAGCGGGGCAACTGGCAAGCTGGATTATGACAACTTTCAGGATATGCATGTGGAATGCCATCTCTCAGAAGTTGGCGTCGAGACGAGCCAGCTTGAATTATGGTGTAATCCGGATCATCCCGGACGTATTGAGGTCGGCAGTTTCCGGAAAGCTTCATAAACTCCATTGTTCTTATCCATGGTATTAACCGAGACATCCGAGAGTGGAGGCATCGGAGATCATAGCTACTCCGGTACACGTGGGTATTCGTCACCCAGTAGTCGCCTCACCCAGGCGAGGGTTGTTGATGCGCTCACGATATTCGCTTCTGCAACATTGTTCACCTCTCCCTCGATGCCGCCAAAGAAGTACCAGAAGGACTGGTCATGGTGCAATCTTATCGACTCGTCTGAAGAGATCACCCTCGAGCACTGCCGCCTAGCGGCTGGTCTCCATCCTAGCATCAGCCCCAAAGCATGCCCATTACCATCCCCGGCCCGAAACCGACCCAAGTCCAAGTCACCAGTCACTTCCAAGGACCTGCGCAATTGCCACGGCAAGCGAGCTATTAGTATCGATTCAAACAGCAGCGACTCCTCCACCGATAAATCCGTTGTCGCACTCGACAAGAAGGGCGACTGCCAGGCTAAGCGGTGTCACAACAATCCGCGATGCTTCAGTCACTTGGGCATGGAGGAGGTGGGTTGCGGGGGCAGCGAGGATTGACCACAGTGGTGGAAGGACCACGCACGCGAGAGCTTTATCAAGCCCCGGATGGGGGTGGAGTTGAGAGAGCGCAACGATAGCGGTCCTCCTGGGCTCCGTAATTATGGGGCAACGTGCTATGTCAGTTCACTGATCGGGAGGGCGGGGGGCGGGCTGACAACAGGCCAACGCCTTTTTACAGGTATGGTTTCACAACGTGTCGTTTCGTAACGGCGTATTCGAAGCTGTCGGCGACCGCGTCAACCCTCTCTTTCACCTGGCCAAAATCTTTGCCGCGATGCGGTACACGCGCCGCTCTGTTGTCGACCCAGGGGCGCTCATCGAGGCCCTCCGTCTGAACAAAGGCGCACAGCAAGATGCCGCCGAGTACGCCGCCTTCACTGGTCTTCTCTGACAGGCAGGTTTTCCAAGCTTTTCATGGACCTCATCGAGAAGCAGTTCAAGGCACAGGGCGGCCTGCTCGCAGGCTTCGTCGCCGAGCAATTTGCGGGGCGGCTCGAGTACCGCACCAAATGCAACACGTGTGGTTATACTTCGAGCAACACATGTGAACGATCTGGGAGGCTGAAGCTGAAACCTAGCCCCGTTCATGGAGCTCGAAATTCCCCTTCGTGACGGGTGTTCTCTCGAGGGTCAGCTGAGAGCAATGCTCGCACCCGAGCTCCTCGACGGCGACAATAAATATCGGTGCCCTAATTGTGACTCGCTCCAGCCCGCCAGCCGATCGACCCATCTCCAGCACCTTCCGCTTGCGCTTCACTTCGCTCTCAACCGCTTCGAGTACACTCTGACCTCGGACGAGCGCAAAAAGAGCAAGGCGCGCATTTATTACCCCCGCAAGCTTCGGCTAGAAAACATCGACTATGACCTGCACGGAGTGGTCGTACATCAGGGAACAATGGTGTGTTGATCTGACACCAACTCTGCTTACTGACAGGCCATTCACGGCCACTTCACTGCTGAAGTGTACGACGAGAAGTGAGACTAGCACCCAACCTTCACAACTAACCACAGCGATAAGGAGTGGTACTTCTGCTCGGATGGAGAGGTGTCCAAGCTCTCTGAGCGCACAACCAAGAAGATCAAGCTGGACCCCGACTTTCCAGACGACCAGGTATCCCGAGATGCGTACATGCTCGTCTACCAGCGCAGGAGGAATCCTCCTCCACAGCGGCATGCCCCGGAGCATATGCGCCGGGAGATTGAGCTTGACAACGACGAGTTCACGGGAGCAATCGCAGCGCAATTCGACCGGAGCGACTTGCTGGGCGATGCGTTCGACGTGCTTGTGAAGGAGAAGGAGGCCGTGCTGAAATTGCTCCCCGGTGTGCGCTTATGAGTCTTGCAGCGCTGATCGCAGGACGATTGTGTTGTGTCGCGCGCAGCTCTGGCAGGATGGTTTGCCTCGGACAAGTTGAAGACTAAATGGTTTGTTCCCAACAACATGAGGTGCCACCATGGCCGGTACGATCCGAACGCCTCGGGCTTTCGTCTTGTTTCCCGCGCAGCGCTTGCGCGACTCAAGGCTTTCTATGACGGGGAGTGGGATCACTTGGCATCAGAATATCCCACGATTAATCCTGCAGCCTTTGAGGTTCTCAAGGAGTTCCAGACAGACGTCCAGAAGGAGAAGACGTCTGCGCCTGCGCACGAAAACGGCGGGCAGCCTGAATTCAGCACAGAGAGCAGAGCGAGCTTCACAACCTCCACGGTTGGCTCTGACAAGGAGAATGAGCCCCCCGCCGAAGAGAGAGATGGATACACGACTCCTGATGAAGAGGCCCAATCAAGCTCGAAAACGCTGCAAGCTGAAGACGATCATACCACGCCAACTGTGAACGGCTCGGCACCACAGCCTGCGTGTTCCTATCCCCACCGCCCGTCATCGCCGGACCCACTCGCCCTCAACGGCGCGACGTCCGGCTCCACACACGGCTCCGAGATGTCTGTGGCCACAGAACCGCAACCATCCACGTCTTCTTCAATGAACTGGGGCTCGCCTCCTGGGTCAGTTGCCGGCCCCTCTGGCGGCGCACCTGAAGAGAACAGCAACGCATCGGACTCCGACGACGACGTGCACTGCCTCTCTCCGCCCCCTGACTTCCCCGAGTTCGACATCTGCATCCAGTGTGTAACCGAGGAGTACGAGCGCAAAGCCGGCGACACGCGGCAGGCTGAGCTCCTCGACGAGTTCAAGCGAGCCAACGAGCGCGGCGGGCAGTATCTTCTCCCTCGGGCTTGGACGACTGCGTGGGCGAAAAACAAACTCAGCCCAGGCGTACCTCCCACTGATCCCGAGTACACGATTTTCTGCAAGCACGACCGTCCTTTTCCCGGTGACAAGAAAGTCGACTGCGTCTCCGAGGAGGCAATTCTTATCCTCCGATCGGTGCTGGGCGAGTTTCCCGTCTTCGATGAAGCGGCAAACCAGTGCGAAGAATGCTGCGCAGCCCAAGAGGTGTCCAATAATGAGCGTGCAGCCTGGCTTGCCAGGGTCAAGGACGAGGAGAAGCTGTACAAGAACAACCGCAACCAGTCGCAGGTGTTTGGCACGCGAAACTATCTCCTGCCCCAGTCCTTCTTCGAGCAGTGGGAGACGTACCTCAAAGGGCCTGTCGAGCGCCCCACCCTGCAGCTCGACCTGTGTCCGCACGGACTGCTCGACTTCGATCCGGGGCTGGACAAGGCCGAGTATATCAACAGCTACGGCTGGGAACAGCTTTGTGAGCTGTGAGTTTGTCTGTGTTCGCTCGGGCTGATGGCAGATACAATTTTCCGGTGGAGGACGGCGTTTCTGTCGAGTACGACGCGCAGCCCGCCAAGGGCAAAAGGATTGCTATGCACAAGGCGTCGCTTGCGACGTGTGGTCCGTGTCGGGCGGAACGGTGAGCCTGGGACAAGTGGTGCGCTAACTCCAGCTTCTCTGACTGGAAGGAGATGTGGCTCCCCATCGTGGTAGGAGAGAATGAGGGCCCTACGAGCAATGACTGGACGCGACGCCGTCCCCCGCCGCGCGGGAGGCGGGGGAAGGAAGCGCAGATTCTCGTAACGAAGCGCACGTCGATCGTGGAGGTTCAGATGGAGTTGTACGAGATGTTCAAGATCACCCCCTTCTCGCAGCGGCTCACGCACCACGGCCGCGAGCTCGACCGCCAAGAGACGATTGGCGGCATCGGCGTGCTCATGGGCGACCACTTCAATCTGCATGAGGTAGTCGAGGTCGACAACGATTTTGGGATGATTGTGGAGGAGGGCGAGGGGTTCGGGGGCACCGCGCTGGTCGGGCAGAAGTGTGCGTATGCCGAGTGACGGCGCTGACGGCAGCTTGCGAGCACTGTACCATGTTCAACGACCCTGGGGCTGCTGAGTGCCAGATGTGCGGATTGCCGTTTACGGCGTGATGCTGATTGCGCGGGCCCTCGATGTGTAGCATAGTATCGAGTTTGTATATAGTAGTGTATCATGTGCATGTAAACATTCGCATCGCATTCGCATTCGCATCGTGACTAAGGACGACATCCGGTTCGCTGTGGAGCCCATCGTGCAGTTCGTCGACTTGGGGCGTCTCGTCGCGCCATCACGGGTTGATCCCCCGCGAGAGGGGGTTGGAGCCGCGGCGCTGCTCAAAGTCCCACGAGAGGCGGCGGTAGCGCTCTGCCGTCAAGTACGGCGTGGACGAGAACGCACCCTGTGCAGCCTGGGCGTGGGCGTCCGCCATGACGCGGTCGTGGAGAGATGGTGTGGCGGGGTGGGCGGCGGTGGTGGTGGTTGGCGACACAGGTGCGGGAGTGTGCGTCGCACCGGTGTTGGGCGGTGGGACGGAGACTTGGGCAGGGGTGGAGACGGAGGGCATCGTGCTTGGGAAAGTGGCGAGGAACGCACGGCCGGGTAGACATATGTACTCTGCCGTGGGCTTGGCATGTGCATGTGCGAGAGCAGCTGATCACGAACGGGAGGATGGAACAAGGCCGCTTATTTGGCCTCGCGGTTGCTTATCTCGTGAGGTCATTGATTGCGTGGGCTGGTGTCAGTGAGAGTCGGGATGGCGCTCGACGCCGAGGCGGACCACGACGCCGAGGACGAAAGGCGTGCTCGATTGCGACGGCTGGATGGCGCGGGTCTGCGGGAGCGCTAACGACTCCATGACTGTGACAGCGAGCCACTGTAGCATCTCTTAGCGAGCTCAGTGGCTGCATCGTACGCATCATCACAACGTTGCGAAAGACACAGTCTGCATTCTTCGACAACCTTGGGCGACTTGGCAACAAATATATCACACGAATACAACATCTGCCGGCAGCCATGCCGGGCGAAGCTCAGTTCCGGTACGTTCACATCACTTCCTTGCCCGCTTAGAAGTCATCCTCGTCCTCTTCAGTCGTGCGGTTCTGCTGTGCGAGCCGGAGCGCGGCCTCGCGCCGGTCCTGCGCCATCTCGCTGTGGCTCATGCGGCGGTGCGGGCGCTGCGGCACCGGCTCGTCGACCTCGGCCTCGACCGGCGACTCGAGCGGCGCAAGTGCCGGCGTCGTCTCCTCTGTAGCCTGGACGGTGGGGGGCATGGGTATGAGCGCGACTGCTTGTGAGAGCGTGGCGGGAAGCGGGAGGCGGAGGACGCGCAAGAGGTGGCGGCGGGTGCGTGAGGCGAGGGCGGGGGCGCGGATGGTAGCGTTGCGAGAGTGGGGGACGGCGGAGGGACGGAGAGGGCACGAGGGCATATATATGCCACTTGTACGGCTGGTGGAGCCGTGTACCCGGACGTTATGGAGGTCAGGTGATCAGGTGGGAGGTGCGGAATGCTGTGGCATGCCGATAAGGAGCCGCTTGTGACGTCCAGTCTCGCGCCGGAAATTCCATCTGTCCTCGGTTGCTTGAGCCGGGTCTATTTATTAGTCTCTTAGTGGTGTGGGCTGGACTGCTAAGCTTGGGCTGGACTGCTGAGCTGCTGAACTAGTCGGAGCGCGGAGCGGCTTCCAAGGAGAGCGGTTGGTGAGCCTTGCATCCAAGCACTCCGGGCAACGTTGTCCGACTGCGTGGTCTCCGCCGTACCGCCCTCGTGGCAAACCTCGGTGCTGACACGGCTCCCACGACGCCCAGCCCTTGGCCCACTCAGCTGGCAGTCCAGTAGCTCCGATCCTCCGGGTTGGGAGAACGTAGGCTGAAAGCGAAGGATGGCCACATTTAACGACAATGACGAGCAGACAGGTGGCTTTCGTTCCAGCTACATATTTGCGCACGAGCACGAGCACGAGCACGAGAATTGCCCAGTTAGCCAGCTAGGACTCACGTCTGGTGGGAGAGGGGCAAGTAGAATGTGGAGCGGGGAGCGTGGATTGGATGGATATAGTGAGTGGGTAATGCCAATTTGGGTATGGAACGGTCCCGAAATCCGAGTTGGGATGGGGAGCTGGCCATGGCCCAAGATGCCCGTTCAGGTCAAGCGAGAACTCTGACCTCGAGCTGTGTATACCATACGGGTCAGCTAAGCGGCGCAAGCGTTGGGGGCAGGCACGCCACGTTTGATCCTCTGTAAACACGCTCGCATCGCAGGATTGGGTGCGGGGGGCTCGCCTAGCCTATGACAGGCCAAATCAAATGATACATACACACATGGGATGTGAATTTACAACTGTGGGGTGTGGCGAGTCTATTATGCGACGAGAGGACGACTGTGATACGGGGTACGAGGATAGACAGGACGAAGGGGACGATGACGGGTGCGATGAAGTGCTCGGCCATTCACAGGACGAGGCGGAGACGACGTGATGGGTGGCGGGAAAGAAGTGCTGCATACGAGCGCCGATGGGGACGATGACGGGTGGGACGACGCCCTGGCTCACAGGATACTCGGCGTAGACGGGGGGGCCGGAAACAGATGGCGTGGGGACGAGATGCGATGCGGCGACCGGGTGTGCGACGAGTGGGGCGAGGGAGACGACGGAGCGGGGTTGGACGAGGGGGAGGACGGAGCGGGGTTGGATGAGGGAGGCGACGCGGACGCGTCGGACGAGGACGGAATGGACGACGACCCGGACGGAGGATCGGACGAGGTCGGCGAGGACGACTGGATGGACGGCGGTGGCGAGGGTGCATGGCGCCTGGAAGTGGCGTGCTCGGGTAGGTCGGGTTGAGCGCTGGCGTTGGCTTTCTCGTTGGCTTTCACGTTGGCTTTCGCCTTGGCTCCCTTGGCTTCCTTGTTGGCTTTCGCTTGGGCGATGGCATTGACAAAGCTCGCGGGGAGAGGATCGGGGGTGGGAACGCGCTCAGAGTTGTGGTTCAGCCACACGATCACGGGCTCGGCGGCTGGGTCGTGGTTGACCTTCGTGAACGGACGCGGGGGAAGAGAGTCGAGGGCGGGGATGTGGGGATCGACCCAGTCAGCCCACTGGCCGTACCCTTGCTGGCTGGGCGGCGACCCCATACTATCAACAAACTTTTCCCACATGCAGCCGACACCGCCGAGTATGAACGGCGTGATCTCGTCGAGCTTGTTGAACCGCGCAAGGTCCTTCTCGTCAAACCGACGCCGCAGGACAACCATGGCAATCTGCGCCGCGTACTCGATGTACAACGGCATCATCCCCATCCACGTGTCCGCGTCCTTGAGTGCGTAGCCCCGGCGCTCATAGCGCCGGCGGGTGTAGACGATCATCTCTGCAACTTTGTCGAAGACAGCCAGTGCGAAATCGCCGAGGGACAGCTGGGCAAGGGCTGTGGTGTCGCGCGAGTCGATGATTGTGGTCCACTTTCGACTCAGCTCGCGCGCGACCCAGTGGAGCTTGAAGCAGTCCTTGTAGGAGGAAGTGGCAATATCTTGAGGTCCGAGGAAGACGATGCCGGACCACTGATAAGTAGGGAAGTTGTAGATGTAGTCCGGAAAGGGGTCGCCTGGCTGTTGGGGGGGATCGGTGGTGTAGTAGGTCGTGGCGGCGGCTGCCATGGTGTGGGAGTGTGATGGCAACAACGACGAGAGAGGAAGAGAACGATGCGTGGAACGATATGCGATGCGGGCGTACTGTTATGAACATGGATTGGGATCAAAACAGGGGATGACGCATCGCGGAACCAAACGGGGACCAAAACGTGGGATTCACGGAACACATGGGAATCACGATGCCAGAATGTGGAGGGAACGCGTTGTCGACAGATGGTGGAAGCCGTACGCAGGCGCAACAGCAGAGAGAAAGAGCTCGAGAGATGACAGGCGGCAGGCGGCCTTATAGAGCAAAACCAGAACAGAGCGGAAATGTCAGAATGGAGCGGAACCAGAGCATGGATGGGGGAATGACGAGGAGATCGGATAAGAGAACGAGATGGGAGAAGGACCCACGTGGAGGACGGACAAACGACCCCACGTATACGGGCAGCCTGCCTGTTGCCTGAGGTCCCAAGCGTCTTGACAGTGCGTGGACGGCCCTCCGGATGGCACCTGCAACATACCGCTCATCGTCGCCGCTGCTGGGTGGGTCGACGTGCCGCAGGTGTCGGAGTGATGAGATGCTCGTCGGTGGTGGCAGGGCCACTAGACACGGGATGCTGTGGCGTCGGCACCACTTCCGCAGTGGGGTCTGGCCAGGAGGAAGCCGCGGCCTCTGGGTGCATGTAGGCAAAAAACGCCTCAGACGCGAGGAAACCGAAGAGGGAGCTGGGCACGCAACGCGCAGGTGCCGTCGACGGCTCTGCCTGCGCCGTCAACGGCTCTGCGGCAGCGTCCAACTCTCCCACTGCGGTCATCATTCGCTGGACGACCGCGCCCACGTCGTTGGGCTGCACTTCGCGTTTCTTCCAGACAGCGAAGTCCACATCCAGTGGCAGTACCGATGCGCCGTCTGCGTCGATGCCCGGCGACAGACCAAACGTCACCACGCACTCGTGTCGTGGCGAGAGGCTGCACCCAGCGGGGTGAGGTACTTGAGCCCGGCAGACGTCGACGATGCTGTCAATGGGCAAGTCTAAGAGACTGGAAGATCTATACACTGGTCGTTACTGAGTAACGATGGCGCTATATATACTACGAGCTGTATGGATGTACTGTATCGTGCAGAAGTACCGACAACAAGTCACGTGATGGACCGGTTCAGCATGCACTTGACATGTCAGCGTAGACTGTGCATAGGTCGCATGGTCGATGTCGCTGGGACCGAAGGTGGCGCCACGACAGCTCGGCAAAGGCGAGGATCCGATGACCCTTCCCCCCCTCGGCCCTCTCCAGGACGGAGAGGTCGAAGATTGCCTTCCGCGCCGCGCGCAGCATGCTAGCCACGACTGCCTTGGTCTCCTTCTCCTTGTGGGCCGGACCGTATGAGCTGTCCCTCCCATGGTATGGGGCGTGTATGGCAGTGAGCGGAGTGCCTGCGCCCAGGTGGTTGTCGGCTGTGACGTCAGGAAGGTCTGATTGGTGGTAGAAGGGGCTTACGGAGAACTGGCGCAGGGGCTGCTGCTCGAGCTCGGAGGGGGCGGCTTGCTGCTGTGGGGCAGTGGCAGACTCGGAGGGCGACTAAAAGGCGGGTTGGGACGCGACTTGGGCATCACAGTCTCTTCGCGCGTCGTATTGTGAAAGGCCCCGCGTCGTCGACACCGTCTCTTCCCAAATCACCAACCCACCATGTGCACCCCGGATCCAGTGAACAGGCGCCCGTAGTCACCGCCGCACCTCTACGCATTGTATGTGAAAAACCAAACGCCCGTAGACCCCATCACACCTGTATATTCCTTTGTGTGTATGCATCATGTCCCCGCGCCAGACGCGCAGCGCATTGCATGTGAATCGCCACATGCCTGACATCTCCATGGAGGTCCTTCTGGCCTAACAGCCCGCTCGTGCTAGAGTGCGGCGAGCGTCGCCTGCGGGCTCGTCTGTAGCGTCAATCCCTCGGGTCCAGCGAGTGGTTCAAAAGATGGGATGAGCCTGAACATCGGTCACATGACATGGGCTGGAGCGGAATGCTCGGCAAGCCCCTTCGGAGTGTACCTGTCGGCGAAGTTTGACGACGCTTCGGGGTTCAGCGTGGACCTCGTCCGCCTGTGGGGTCGAGGGCGTAGTGGAGCATCGCTGGCTGAGTGTCACGAGCCCGGCTGTGTCGGGCATCAACAGGCGAAGTTAGTGGTAGGAATTGTGAGATCCACCTTCGCTAGATCCAGCTCCGCCACTGCAGATCTGCGAGAAACCCGGCCTCTCTGCCCTCGTGACGACGACCAAGGCCGCCCGCACAGGTAATGCTACATGAAGATGCTATGATTATAGGCTGCGTGTTTAGCGGCGCTGTGTGTCGTGTCGTGTCGTCGCGGTGGCAGAGCCAGCGCCTGTGCTCGTAAAGGATTCCCACCCTATGATCAGTTCGCACTAGGTCGGGGCGTGGAATGGGCTGGTGGGTGTGCGCTTGGGCTCGGATTCGAGCTCGGGCTCGCTCGGACCGAATTATCGCTTGAGCCACGAGTCGCGCTCGCGCTCGCGCGCGACAAACACGCTCTCGAGCGGCGTCTCGATGCGCTCGCGCTCGTAGCTCAGCTCGCTGTCGATGTCGAGGCTCAGAGCTGGGCGGCCGCGGGCCAGCCGGCTCTCCCACTGACGCTGGGCGCGGAGGCGTGCGGCGCGGGCGCCACCGATAGGCACGACGCGGCTTTCGGCGGCGGCGGCGCGTGCCGCGTCGTCCTCCTTGATCCGTGGACGGGTGGGGTTGGGTTCAGCCGGGCGCGCCATTGGTGCCAGGAGCAGGGGGCGTAGCTCGGGGGTCGGCTCGCTCCAGCGAAAGAAAGTGGCAAGCGTATCACGCTTAGCGCGCGCCTTGGGCTTTGGTGCCGGTTTGGGAGCGGGTGCGAGGGTGAGTGTCCGAGTCGTAGGTGTGAGAGAAGCCTGCGGCGACTGGGGCGAGAGGGGCGTGTAGAGTGCGCGCGCGGGGGATGGGTACGACTTCAGCACCGGGGAGGGTTCCGGAGGTGGGCTGGGGAGTGCGGTGGGAAGCGCCGCGTACGGGTGATTGTGGCGAAGAGCGTCGACGACTGTGAGCGGGCGGGCTTGCATCGTCGGCGAGCTCTGGGCTCGAAGGAAGTCGATCATGCTGAACTGTGGTGGGGGAGAGAGAGGGACCGCGTTGATGGATCGCGGGCGAGTGAGCTGTGATGGCGATGGTGGGAGAGGGGGAGTGTATGGCCTGCGGCGAAGGCTGGCGAGAGCGTGTTGCGAGTAGTGGGATGCCGATGCTGTGGACATGGTGGGGGGTGCGGGTTCGCGAGCGGGGAGAGAGCGGGCTCATATGAGAAAAACGCCCGCGGGGCTGGCTGTGCGCTGTGACGCGCAGAGCGCGACCCACTCCGCGCCCATCGTCACCTGGAGATGCGGGATACGGGGCACAGGCGGTGAGAGCCGGGACACACACGAGGGAGGTGTGGGGGAGCTTCTCGCACTTGCCGGCGCGTACGCACTGTTCGACGCGGACGCGTTGAATGCTTTCGCTTTCGCCAGTCTTTGGTGCGTTTCATAATGAGCCCTGGGCGTTGGTGTCATCAGCACTTGTCAGAGAATGAACAATGCCTCGGGCAGGGTCGTGGCGCACGCCGCTCGGACGCCATTCCCTCGTGCTCCCCCCGCTGGGCAGGACATGCAGGACAGAGCGCGTCGTGCGCGTGTCGGGAGGCATTGTTCTCATGGCGCATCCGTTTCTCCGCGTCTTGTCTTGGGCCGTTGTGGTGACTCGAAGGTGATGGAGAGTTGGTTGAAGTGAGTTGCATTGATGAAGTGCAGATCAAGGTCGAGGGCCGAGACGCGTCAACCACGACGCGTCTTCTCTTGGCCCGCGGCCCAACAAGGCTAAATCCTCCGCTCAGCGCAGACTCTTCCGCTGGATCCCGCTCGTGACATGCTCGTGCAGCATATTGGACGGCTGGAGCTCTGGAGAGTGGTCGAGGTTGTGTTGGTGTGCGCAATGCATCATTGAAAGCAACCATGCGCGCCTCATCAATTTCTGGGATGAGCCGATATCGGCTCATGGATCGAATTCATCCAGATCGGAAGATGACCCCCTGAATATTACGTCAGCAGCTAGTGCGGAATGTACGTACACCTCGACACGCGGCGCGTCACTCAATCCAATTCTGAATTCTCAATCTCTCCAGCCACTCGTCCGACTCAATCCAGCTAGCGCGCAACTGGGTTGCGGTGAGTTGCCTGGTAGTATGTCTGACGCGAGATGCAACGTTCGGTTGCAGTTGCCGTCGCTGCCGGCGCTATCTTGACATTTGTTTATCACGTCGTACGAGCGCGTCCGGTGAAGGAGAAGCAGAACAAGGGGGACGAGGAGGACGAGGAAGGAGAAACCTTCAAGCTCGGACTAGTACTCGGCAGCGAGCGGAAGGGTGGAAATACAGTCGGCATGGGAGTCTACCTCTCCGCCCTGCTCCCCACGCTGCCCTTCCCTGCTCGACTGGTTCTCGACGTCGTCGACCTCGCCGAGCTCGACCTCCCGCGCACATTCTCCCATGTCCCTGCGAAGGGTCCCCAGCTCACGTGGCAATACGTCCCCTCTGCCGACGCCCTGTGGTCTGCCCGCGTGCGCAGCTGGGACGCCGTGCTCTTCGTCGCGCCCGAATACAACGGCCACGTGCCGGGCATCCTCAAAAGTGCCCTTGACCGACTGTATGGTGAATGGCAGCGAAAGCCGGCTGGGCTCGTTGCGCTAGGCTCGGAAGGTGGACGGCGGTTGCTGCAGAGAGGAGCAGAGCTGTTCGCCGAGCTTGGGATGGAGGTCGTTGGAGGCGTAGGCGTGACGACATCGGGCAGGCGGGTGACCGGAGATGAGGAGTGGTTGGGGGCGGTGCGGAACGATATTGAGAGCGTGGTGCTGGGGCTAGTGGCTGCAAGGCGTACGTAACCATACAATGGTAAGTTTCGATGTCGCAGGAGGATTCAGCCACCCGGAGGAATTGACTTGTCAGGTGTTCGACTTGCTGCGGGTTGATGCAAAATTAAAAATTGTGTCACCGCTGCAGGCTGCAGGCACCCATTCAATCCAGAGGCAGCCGTCTGACCATGTCAACGACGGGCCACTGATGATCAACAAGGATCAGCAGAAATTATTTAACTAGGGCCATCTCAGCCCTCTTCCTGCTCATCTCCCATCACCGCTCCCATGACCAGTCCTGCAAATGCGTGACCTCTTTGCTGAGGTGAGTGTCTAGCGCCTGCCAACTGACAGGGAGCTGCGACAGGCTTACTGGGAGATGTATCACGCTGCATCTCCCGAAGTCAGCTCGGCGTCGAGCAGCGACGGCGAGATGGATGGGTCCGAGACTGATGGGAGCTGCGAGATCGCCCCTGAGAAGAATAGCCAGACTCAAGTCAACACTGTCATCGAAACCCGAGAGGAACATTTCAACGTCCAAGCCGACAGCAACCAGGGCGAGGCCCAAGGGGAGACACCCGCTGGGTCCGCACAGGCCGAGTCGACACAGGTTGAGTCGGTACAGGTCGAGTCGGCGCAGGTCGAGTCGGCAGAGGCAGAGTCTGCGCCGGAGGCCGAGAGGGAGAAGCGTTGCCTGTCCACCGGCGAGCACATCCGCTACGATAGAACCCGTAGACGACAAATTGCCGCCTTAGGAATGACCTCGATGTCTGAGGCTGAAAAGGCTCCACCACCCCTCCCAGGCCACCGCCACTCTTTTGGTGGCACCGAAACGACACGCCAGCTTCCGCCCCGCCGACTATCGGCGGACGACTACGGCAGCGAGCGCATGGGTGGCGTTGCAATGCAACGCACCACCGCTACGCGCGGACGGCAGCGTGCTTGACCCTGCATTCATTAATAGCCATCGATGCGCCAGTTGTTTTTGCCGCATGCAGAGTTGTGAAAGCAGGCGCGGGTGCGGAGATCGACGTGTCTCCGCGGTGCCACATGACGATTTCGATGTCGCTGACCCTCTACCCTCCCGTGTCTTCGACTTCGCTTCCATCTCGCACTCGCTCACACTCGCTCTTCATCTCACTGCAATGGAGAAGTTCTCCAGGTGGAGGGTACGTTGCCCTCATCCTCTCACTAACAACAGGACCCCTCGACGGGCATCCAGCCCTTCCTGCCGCTGGCTTCGCCCTCCTCTCCGCTCCGCATCGTCCTCTCCCCCCTCTCTTTAATCATTGGCCTTGCGCGCGCCGTCCTCCTCGCCGTCCTCCTAGTCATCTACCTGACGCTCGGCACGCTTGCCGCTCCCATCCGCCCGCTCTCCAACGTGGTAACCTACATCTGTGCGCGCACCGCCCTTTTCATCTTGGGCTGGTACTGGATCGACACGGAACTCACGAGCGCGAAGAAGAAGAAGGGCACAGCATACACCCCGCCGCCGCCGCGCCGCGGCGACCTCATCCTCGCAAACTGGACGAGCTGGGTCGATGTCCTCGTCCTCGCCTACCTGTGAGATAGAGATTACCCCCCGCTCGCTGACGGCAGACACAACCCCGTCTTCCTCCTGCCTGTCTTCACGGGCCCCGCGCCGCTGCCCGAGCCCTCGTTCGGGCGCGCGACCGGCACGGGATCAGCGAACATCCTCGCGCCGGCCGGCCCGCCGCCGCCGTGCGCAGGCTACGTCGCCGTCTCCCCTCTCGCACTCATGGCGCGGGCCGGCACGCTCCCGCCGCTCGTAGATGAGGTCGACCCCGCGAGAGTCTACCCCACGCTCGCGGCCGCACGCCGCGCGATTGCTGCGCCCACCGTCCTCCTCCCCGAGGGCACGACGAGTAATGGCCGCGCGGTGCTGCGCTTCGGCGAGGGCGTGCTCGCCGAGGATGTGAGCCAGGGCGGCGTCGTGTGGATCAAGTTCGTACGGCACGCCCCGCCTAGTGCGCTCCTTCCCGGCGCCGCGTGCTCCTTGCCCCGCGCGGGCGCACACTTCCGCAGCGTGCTCTTCACCCCGCCTGTTCCGCGCGCCGCTGCCGTGCGCACCCTCCACCCCTCTAACGCACCGAGCGCGCCCACGTTCATGCCCAGCGAGGTGCTTGCTTCGCAGCCCGGCGGCCTGGGAGCCGCCAAGGCCGGCGCGGAGTGGCGTGACGCGTGCGCCATTGTGCTTGCTGAGACGGGGCGGGTGCGTCGCGTCCCCGGCATGGGCTGGGTCGAGAAGGCCAGCTTCCTCGACTACTATGCACGGTCGAGGCGATGAACCACATCTCTCATATCCCATGCACAACCTGCACAGTCATACAATCTGCATCAACGAGTCTATATCATTTGCAGTCTATCACAACTAATCACATTTTCTTTCATAATTACGAGACGTGGTGTCCGCCCGCCAGCTCACGCTCAAGCGCCGAATTAGGGTGCTCATCCTTGTCCTGCGTTGGGTTGGCCGTTTCAGAGAACGCGGGGCCAACGCCAGCACCGGTGCTCTGTGGAGGGGGAGGCGCGGGTGGCAGCTCGTGTTGCGACGTCTGGGGCTGTGGCATGGCATGCTGGCGCACCAGGGCGCGGAACGAGCGCACCTCGTCGACGATCAGGTCGCGCATCCCGGTTGTCGTGTCTTCCCGCTCGAAGGAGAAGTCGAATGGAACTTCGCACGAGGGCTCATCGACGGGGTCATGCCAGACGGCGAGGCTGGGGTTAACTCTACACCGCCAAGAGCAGCCAAGGCTTGGCTTGGGTGGGAGATTAAGAGTTGATTGCGCAGTCGGGGACAATGACAGTCGCGGGGCTCGTTCAACTAGTCTCCGACTCATGAGGCCCGCTCACACACCACGTCTCACTCACTAGGGGTGCTCGAGCGCCTCGGCGCAGCCGATACGCTTCGCAGGGTCAAACGCGAGGAGCTTTTCCAAGAGGTCAAGCGCAGAGGGACTCGCATTCGGGTACAGCGTCTTGAACTTGACGCGGGGCTTGATGGGCAGCGAACGAATGTAGCTGGTGTCAACGTGGTTGGATGGCAGGAACTCACTCCTGGGCTCGGGGCGAGCCAACGCGACGGAGCGTGTCCTCAGTCGGGGTGCCGAGAAGGTTGAGGATACGGTTGAGCTGGTCAACATAGTCGTCACCCTTGAAAATGGGCTTGCCGCCAAGCAGCTCGGCGAGGATACAGCCGACGGACCACATGTCGACTATTTGTCAGCAAGATTACTTGATGCGCGCGGCGACGTACTGCTCTCGGTGTAGTTGGCGAAGCTCAACATGATTTCGGGTGCGCGGTACCAGCGGGTCGCGACGTCTGATATCAGTGTTGAACGCAGAGGGACTACCCACACTCGGTCATAAACCCGGCTTGTCCCTGCTCAGTCTGCACGACGCCGCGCTGGAAGCCCCGGGCAAGGCCAAAGTCACAGATCTTGAGCTCGCAGTCGGCGTTGACGAGGAGGTTTCCTGGTTTGAGGTCGCGGTGCAAGACGTGAGCTGTGTGGATGTACTGCTGTCAACAACCGTCCGCCAGTTGCGGGCCCACCTTGAGTCCACAGAGTGTTTGGTAGATGAAGCTCTGGAAGTGGGCGTCAGACAGCGGCTGGCCGGAGCGAATCTGAGGTCAGTGTCGGCGCGAAAGGAAGGTCATACAATGGCGTGCAGGTCGGCCTCCATGAGCTCCTCGTACAGGTACACCTCGTTGAACATGCCCGATCCAGGCGGGTCGAAGACAATGTCCATGTCATAGAGGCTGTGGTTAGATACATTGTGGCCAGCACGCTCACCAGGTGATGTTCTTGTGGCCGCGGAAGTGGTGAAGAAGTCGAAGCTCACGGAGACAGCGCTTGGTAAGGATCTGACGTCAGTCGGGTACAAACAAGTCACCTGCCTACCTTCTTTGTGAAGACGTTGGTGACCTTCTTGACGGCGCAGGTCTCTCCGGTCTGGGCATGACGCGCCGAGGAGACACATCTAGAAGAGTTAGAGGATTTGGACACATTCTGTAAATAGCGAGGTGCGACTCACCCGTAGGCGCCCTGTCCGAGCTCCTTGACAAACTGCCAGGGCTGCTGAAGGACGCTTGTTGTTAGTTGATGGATGAGGACGGAGTAGCTTAGCTTACTAGACGTTGTTAGTTGTCTGGAATATCTGTCGAGGAGTGGGGTCCATCTTGTAGACAAAGAGAGAGAGAGAGAGGAAGAGGGAGCCGAGAGGATGAGGATGGGAGGGAGAGAAAGAGATGACTAGGATGAGCTAAATGGGGAGGACGAGTGGGGACCAGAGTCGAGGAGCCGAGCAACAGCACACGCCCACGCCATGGACGGGAATGAGCGAGAGCGGTCAACGCTCCACTCTCCGTCTCTCCCCCTGACTGCCCCGATCATCAATCATAATCTTGACGCCTCGACGCCGCAACGCCTCTTCCATCTTTGGATACATCACATAATGCATGCCACGGTCAACTACTCCGTGTCGGCCAACTGAAACTTATCTACATGCCGTTCTTTGCAACTTGCAAGGTGGAGGAAAGGTGAAGGTTGAGCCGACTGGAGGCGATGCTATGGCTGTGGACTCTTTGAGCACCGCTCAGCACCGCTGCTCCCCACTCTCACTCAAACCTCACCCTGGATATCCCACCATGTGAAACAAGTCACGTGATTTACCATGGAATAGGTCTCCCACGGTACCGTCCACCACTGCTCCGACTCACTTTTGCCACCGAGTCGCGTGGTCGACCTCCACCGGCAGTTTGGTTCCGCGCCTTCCTGACGACGCTTGCTCAGAATTCTCGTCCACCCACGCAACACTATACGCGCATTACGAGTCTCGCTCAGCATCCACCTTCCACCGGCACCCACAGCAGGTCATGGTTCCTCCTCCTGCAGCATCCGGCCCCTCACGGCCGGCAAAGCGTCCCGCTTCAGCTGCTGCTGGTCGGCCCGTCGCAAAGGCCCGCCCTTCGATCACTCCGGCCCCGGCGGGCGGCTCAAAGTCCGCCGCCGCCGCTGGCGGGCCCGTCAGCAGCGTGCGGAAGGGCAAGATGGCTAGCCGGCCCGCCAAGCCCCAGTCAAACCTTCAAGAAGGAGAAGAAGAGTGGGCAGAGCTCATGCGCAAGACTCATGGTCCCAAGGGCGCGGACTGGTACGCCAAGGGAGTCAAGACTGTCGAGGTGGGTCGCCGGAGGATAGAGCTCGGCCTGAGATAGAGAGAATACGAAGCTAACGCGCAGGACAAGTGGGAGCTTCTCCCAGCTTTCCTCAAGGTCAAGGGTCTTGTCAAGCAGCACCTCGACTCGTTCAACTACTTCGTCCACACCGATATCAAGGCTATCCTGCATGCCAACGCGCTCGTGCAGTCGGACGCCAACCCCCGGTACTACATCAAGTACACCGACATCCGCATTGGTAGGCCACTACGCAAGGAGGTCGGCGCGGTCAACCAGCGCTTGACACCCATGGAGTGCCGTCTCACCGACAACACTTACTCTGGCGGCATCTACGTCGACATCGAGTACACGCACGAGGATAAGATCCGCAAGCAGCAGGGCATCCATATCGGTCAGCTGCCCATCATGCTGCGGTCCGATCTCTGCCACCTCGCAAACAGGGGAGAAGCAGAGCTCGCACGCATGGGCGAGTGTCCCCTCGACCCCGGTGGTTATTTCGTTGTCAAGGGCACAGAGAAGGTCATTCTCGTACAGGAGCAGCTGAGCAAGAACCGTATCATCGTCATGGCCGACCCCAAAAAGGACGTCGTCACCGCAGAAGTCACCTCGTCGACCCACGACCGTGTCGTCAAGACATATGTCACTACGGCGAAAAAGTGCATCTACCTGAGGCATAACTCGTTCCGCGACCCCATTCCTATCGTCATCGCCCTCAAGGCTATGGGCCTCACGAGCGACAAGGAGATTCTTCAGATGACCTGTGGTTCGGATGAGCGGTATCAGGAGGCGTTTGGTGTTTCTCTTGAGGAGGCGACTAGGTGAGCTTTTTTATATCTGTTGTTGTTGTCTACTAACGTCAGGCTCAAGATCTTGACTAAGCGCCAGGCGCTCGAGTGGATCGGGCAACGGGTGTCGCCAAACCAGGACAAGGACGACCGTTCGGCTGGGCAGAAGCTCACTGTCGCCGACGTCGCCCAGCAGGCGCTCGCGACCATGGTTCTTGGTCACGTTCCGGTCAGCAACATGAACTTCAGGCCAAAGTCGATCTACCTGTGCACCATGACCCGCCGCGTGCTCATGGCGATGGTCGACCCTAACATGGTTGACGACCGTGACTACGTCGGCAACAAGCGCCTGGAGTTGGCAGGCCAGCTGCTCTCGCTTCTGTTTGAGGACTCGTTCAAGACCTTCAACTCGGATCTGAAGAAGCGCATGGACAAGATCCTGGAGAAGAAGTCGCGTGCTGGACCGTTCGACGCGTCGTCGCTCGTGCGCGTTGGCGGTAGCGACATCATCACGTCAGCATTTGTGCGCTCCATCTCCACCGGCAACTGGTCGCTCAAGCGTTTCCACGTCGAGAGGGCAGGTGTCACCCACGTCCTCTCGCGCTTGTCGTTCATCGCTGCGCTCGGTATGATGACGCGTATTACTTCTCAGTTCGAGAAGACCCGCAAGGTTTCCGGTCCACGTGCACTGCAGCCGTCTCAGTGGGGAATGCTCTGTACGTCCGACACGCCCGAAGGAGAAGCCTGTGGTCTTGTCAAGAATCTCGCCTTGATGACTCACATCACCACCGACACGCCGGAAGACCCGCTCATCAAGCTCGCCTTCATGCTCGGCGTGGAGGACATTAACCTCATGACTGGCAACGAGCTGTACCGTCCTGGCGTGCACCTTGTCCAGGTTAACGGTAGCCTCATCGGCGTCACATCACTGCCGAAGCGCTTCGTTCGCACCTTCCGCAGATTGCGCCGCGCTGGCCGGACGTCCGAGTTCGTCTCGATCTTCATAAACACGCACCAGCGTGTGATCTACATCGCGTCGGACGGCGGCCGTATCTGTCGTCCACTGATCATCGTCGAGAACAGCCGGCCCAAGGTCACGCAGGAGCACATGCGGCTGCTCAAGGAGGGCAAGGTCACTTTCGACCACTTCCTGCGCTCCGGGCTCGTCGAGTACCTCGACGTCAACGAGGAGAACGACTCGTACATGGCTTGCTATGAGCACGAGATTACTGAGGACACGACTCATCTCGAGATTGAGCCGTTCACCATCCTCGGCGCCGTTGCCGGCCTAATCCCCTACCCTCACCACAATCAGTCTCCGCGTAACACCTACCAGTGCGCCATGGGCAAGCAGGCCATTGGCGCGATCGCGTATAATCAGCTCAACCGCATTGACACCCTCCTCTACCTTATGACGTACCCCCAGCAGCCGATGGTCAAGACCAAGACGATCGAGCTTGTCGGATACGACAAGCTTCCTGCCGGCCAGAACGCAACCGTCGCCGTTATGTCGTACTCCGGCTACGATATCGAAGACGCGCTTATCGTCAATCGCGCCTCGGCGGACCGCGGCTTTGGGCGTTGCCATGTTCTTAAGAAGCAGACTATTCCCCTCAGGTCGTTCCCGAACGGCACATCCGAGCGTCTTGCGATGCCGCCGGCTGAGCTGCGTCCAGACAGCCATAACTGGCTGGACAACGATGGCCTCGTGGCGCCTGGATCGGTTGTGGCGCAGGGTGATGTGCTTGCTGCACGAGAGACTCCAATCGACACGCGCGGTGCCGGCGGGCCTGGCTCAACATTCAAGCCATCGCCTGTGGTGCACAAGCTGCCTGAGGCTGCGCTCATCGACAAGGTCATGGTGACAGACACGGAGGACGGAAACCAGCTCATCAAGATCCTCACTCGCCAGACGCGTCGCCCCGAGCTCGGCGACAAGTTCTCTTCTCGTCATGGTCAGAAGGGTGTGTGCGGTCTTATCGTGCCGCAACAAGACATGCCTTTCAACGATCTCGGCATTTCGCCCGATATTATCATGAACCCGCACGGTTTCCCGTCACGTATGACGGTCGGCAAGATGATCGAGCTCCTCTCCGGCAAGGCGGGCGTGCTGTCGGGCAAGTTGCAGTACGGCACGGCGTTCGGCGGCTCCAAGGTCGTGGACATGAGTCAGATCCTCGTGGACAACGGCTTCAGCTACGCCGGCAAGGACATGCTGCAGTCCGGCATCACGGGCGAGCCGCTCGAGTGCTACGTCTACTTTGGCCCGATCTACTACCAGAAGCTCAAGCACATGGTCATGGACAAGATGCACGCGCGTCCGACGGGTCCGCGTGCCAACCTGACGCGCCAGCCGACAGAGGGTCGATCGAAGGACGGTGGTCTGCGTCTTGGTGAGATGGAACGCGACTGTTTGATCGGCTACGGCGCGACACAGCTGCTGCTTGAGCGTCTCATGATCTCGTCGGACGCGTTCGACGCACAGGTTTGCGAGGCGTGCGGCATGCTCGCGTACTCGGGATGGTGCAAGGGGTGCGCGAGCTCCAAGGCCGTCGTGAAGATCACGATGCCGTACGCCGCGAAGCTCCTCATCCAGGAGCTGCTCGGCATGAACATCCTCCCCAAGCTCATGATGGAGGACACGGTGTAGGGAGGGGGCGTAGCATATCATCGGCAGTGTATCCATGCATAGTTGGCACATCACTGATCTGGCCTGTCGGGGCTGGGTCCGGGCTGGTCGGCGTTCCGGCTCCACCGGACATACAACCTCCGGCACCTCCACCTCGAGGTTGCTTACCACTGCCCACTTCACGAGCGACATCATCCACCATGCAGCGCACTATTAATACCTCCTACCACGCCGTGCGCGCGTCCACCTTGATCCTCAACCCAGAGCGTTGATACCCCCGTTACCATGACACAGGAATACACCGTGTACGGCCTCGCCGCGCGCTCGCGCGGCCCCAACGTCTCCTCCTTTGTGCACATCACGATGAGCGACATGGCGTGAGTGCACATGCTGGGCGCCATGGCTCCGACTCTGCTCGCCCTAGTGCGGACACCCACTAACACCAGCATCCTCGGCATTCACTACAATGTCGTGCCGCTCACCTTCCCTGTCATCCGCTCGCGCCTCGCGCAGGAGACGGGCAACCAGCAGGTCACGGTGCCGACTATGATCACGCCTGATGGCTACGTTACTGACTCGTGGGAGATCGCGCAGTGGGTGAGTCACCACGTTGCCTCGGTCCTCGGACGTCTCTGCGACCCGTCGGCGCCAGCTCGTTTGACAGACGCTCACAACAGCTCGAGAAGAAGCACGGTTTGCGGGACCGCACCCTCTTCCCGGCCGGTATCGACCGCTCGACCGACGTGTGGATGCAGACACGCCTCGCGCCAGCCATGCGCCCGCTCTTCCGCCCCGGCTTCTGGGCGATGCAAGACGGCGCGAGCCGCGACTACTTCCTCACGACAAAGTACATGGGCGACGAGGCGGCGCTGGCGCGCGACATCGCCAACATCCAAGACCCGCGGGCGGCGGCGACGGTGTCGGCGGGCGTGCGCCGCGTGCTGGGCGAGTTTGAGCGCAAACTTGGCGAGACGGACGGGCCGTTCGTGCACGGCCATAAGCCCAGCCACGCCGATAGCGCCGTGTTTGGATGGTACCTCTCCGGCCAGGTCAGCCGGGACGCAAACTACGACGCGTGGTGCTCTGACGAGAATCCGCGCGTCGGGCGGTGGGTCGAGGCGATGGAGAGGGCGACGAGTATCGTGCCGGGGTACTAGATAACTGTAGGAGGCATGGTGTGAGTGTAACTTTGTCGTCGGGGACTGACGCGCGCTAATATCGTCTGGGATGGCCCGTCTGGCATTTTATGCTTGCGCTAGCATGGCCGTCACTGATGGCCATTCACCCTTGCCCATACTGACTGTCTCAGATGGACCCGGCCGGCGATAGTCTGGCCAGTCTGGTCATAGGCCACATTCAATGGAGAGGGCATCAACTCACGCACAGCTGGAGCTAGCAAGGAAGGTGGCGCACAGCCCAGATCTTATAACCGCTGCGAGGTCGCTTTGCAGTTTCACTCCCCCGTTCTTTCAAAACATCTTGTGTATACGTCCTCCTCAACGCCAGTGCTACCTGTCCATTCCTACTCGAGCTACATCCGCTACCTCTCCCCGTCGCCCCATCCAGAGTCACCTACGCACGTCGGCCCGATATGCTGTCCCTCTTCAAGTTCAAGTGGCTGAAGTTCGGCGACAATCACGACGCACCTCCCAACACTCCCGCATCCAACTATCCCCCAAACAGCCCATCTCCGCCTTCCCTTACCGGTTCCTCCTTGACTTCGAGCCCTTACGCGAGCCCTCCCCAAGATGACACGCCCCGGGAGTCTGAACTGCCCTCGCTCGTGCCTTCGCCCAGCCCGACATTGCACAGCTTGGTGGAAGCCATTCCACTTCTTCAGCCGGCGCCACGTTACTACCGCCACAGCGGCTGCAGGGCATCGCCAAAGCGTCTGCTTGGACGTAAGGACCCGCAGTCTATACCCGCAGAGGAATCCGATCGCCCAACCCCTCCTATGGCCCGCGTTTATCGCTGGACGTCTACCGGTCCGCGACCACTTGAGAGGCATCTCAACTGCTCTACCTACCGCCGCCTCGCTTCGCGCATGCTGTATTGGGACTTGCCTCCGCACAAGGAGGACGGGGAAGCGGAACCTGCCGACCACCACTCCATCTGCCTCTGGCCGACTTTCGGCATTGAACCGGCCGAGCTCAAGGCGTTCTTGTCTGTAGCCGTCGGCGAGGTTGCCTCGATTAACATCCGGTCGCAGTACCTCACCATCTCCTTCGAGAAAATGACGGGAGCGGGGGCGGTCTGGATTTGTGAGTTGCTGGATGCATTGTTGACTCTGACGCAAGTGAAAGAGTTGTTCGTCCTCGTGGGGCCCTGAAGCTAAAGTCCGATTGTGCTGTGCTGAATGTGCATCTGTGATATTGTGGACCTTGAATGTCTATAGCTGCGGCGCCACCAGGGAGAGGATGCGTCAAGGAGTCACTGAAGGCTCATGTTCATCATGTTGACTCACCGTGATGGCTGGATGCTGGTCAACCATAACCCGTCAACAATCTCGCGTCAACAATGCGTCACCGTCTCTAATCTCTTCTCCCTTCCTCCCTCTTCTCATAAGATGATGAACTCGACTCTTTCTCTTTCTCTCCCCACTCAGTCGACTGTCAACATGCGCCCTTCCGTGCAACCTCCCCCCTCCCCTCCTTCGACTCCCCCGTTTCCCCGTACTCCTCACTACCGAAGGTTCCTGTCCCCCCGTGATTTTGACACCCCCGACTCCGCCCCCGAGACCCCGGAACCCATCAGTCCTCTCTCCGATGGCTTGCCCCAACACTCCTCTTGTAGCCTCGAGTCACCTCTATCCACCGCTGTCCGCCGCCTAACCTTCTCTAGCGTGCGCATAGATATCCCCGCCACCCGCGTCCCGGTCATCTTGGCCCGCTTTCCGCCCACGCCACCCACGACCTCTCTCCTCACTTCCACTGCCGCCGTATCTTCCCTCATTGCTCCAATCCCCCCTCCCCAGGCGAATCCTTTTCTGTCCGCCGAAATTCCCGGCACATCTACAAGCTCGAAGCGCCTCCTCGATTCGCCCGTCGAAGACTCCTCGCCTCTCTTGCCCCCTTCCAAGCGGCCCCGCGCCGTCTCGCCTCGTTCCCATCATCTCGCTCAGCTAGCCTCATTCCTGCCCCCGCATCCGTCTTGCAACACCCTCTTCGGCCCCACTCCACCAGACTTTGACGAGGCCTCCTCCGCGTTCGCCATTTTTGGTAACTCCGCCGCCTCGTCTACTACTACCAACAATCATGATGAACTGCAAGATGGCCTCACCAGCCTGCTGATCACCCCAGCAATCGCCCAACACGCTACGCATTCCACAACCTCTCCCTCGGCGCCCCCACTCCTTCCGTCCCCTCTCCCCCTGAACGAGCGCGTCATCATCCTCGAGAATCTTTCCCCGGGCTTTTCGGCTGCCCTCATTGAAACCTCCATCACGCGTCAGGTCAGCCCAGTAAACGTCGTGAGGATTGGCACTTCGGCTGCGGTCGAATTCATCCATCTCAACGCCCGCGTCGCAGCCCCGTATCGTCAGTACACTTGTCAACTGGGGCTTACTCACAGTTCTGTTCCTCCAAATCCACCACACTCGGTATCCCGTGGTGTATGTCATCGACGAGGATGAATGGCGGGGTCCGACGGCGCATGATGGACCTTGAGCCGCTCGGCTGGGGGTTGATAGGCGGTACGAGATCCGAATAAGCCTTGCTATGTAAAGCCGATGTATAGCTCGTACCCCCATGTAGGACTCTGACGGCCAGGATGGGGTTTTGCTAACTGTGGTCGGGTGGCAAGAAGGTGCTTGCAGAGAGCTCAGTTGTCCGAAACGTTTTGATACAGTCGCACACTGTGGCTGCTCTCATCGCCATTGCTTCTCAGGCTTGCAGCTCTCAGATTTGTAGCAATGTGTGTGCCAGGGCCGTGCTTGAAGGCCTCTAACGGCATCTTTTGTAAAGGCTATGTGTTCTAGAGATTTGGACACGCGTTCCGTGAGCTCCGTGATGATGCGGCGATGCGACTTTGACGTCAACGTGTCGGGCCAAAGAAGACTGCTGTGGTAGGTTTAAGCGAACCAAGACCGCCGTGTGTGGCTGTTTATGGAAGAGATCAGAAGAGGGACCGGTGGCTTGAAGTCGTGCGCGAGAGCGTAGAATTTGTGTCGTAATTCTGACAATAGACCAACTGGGCTTGAGATCCTATGGTGTCCTTTTCGGGTGCATCCGAGAACGAATCGTGCACACGAGGGATGAGGACGCGACGTATCAGTCGCAGCACGTCTTGCACGTTTGACGGAACGAGAGATCTGCATCCCAGTAGCTCTGCGACACTGCATGCGCATGGGTACTAAACTAACTTCACTGCTCGCGTGCTGTATGCTGGGTATGCTACCTAACATGGAAGGGAAATCGGAGTTTGCGAATTGCAATTGCTATGCCTTTCGAGTCGAAGGGCCCACGACATCACTGAGGACCGTAACCGTAAGAGAGAGCCTCTTGACGCGAGCGTAGTTGTAGACTTAAAATTAGCGCTTCCTTTTGTTTTTGCTCACGCTGGGGCTTGGCAAGGCGAGCGGGCTTGTTAATGAAGCAGAAGATGGCCACGCCGCGGTCGTCATCGCTCTCAAAGGACATGTCTCCCATCCGCTGGTGCAGGTAGGCGCTGAGCTCTTTCGCCACGACCGAGCGAGGCTTGTACTGTACAACGAGAATCCGCTCCTTGAGGTCGAAGACGGTCTCAGTGTTGTCGAGCAAATTTGAGCCAGACGGGACGTTAGGTGTGCGATGGCGAGCAGAATCGATGTCACGGTGGTGGCGAGGGGTTGAAGAGGATGAAGATGGCGCCTCGCGGTAGCCGGGAGGAGGCGGAACGATGGGCACTGGGCGAGGGGTGGGGTGCCTCGTGGGTGCCCAGAATGGTAGGTGGCGCAAGGTGATGTCGGGTCCGGTAAACTGGATGTCGGGTTCGACATGAAATCCCAAGAGGGGAAGCGGGGACTGAGGAGAATGAATGTATTGCTGGTAGGAGGCATAGCTGTCTGGAGAAGGAGGGAGAGAACGCACCGAGCGAGCAGCGGCATTCTTGCGGAGAGGCGAGGAGAGTGCTCGCACGAGGGAAGGACGCGCATTCGACGGAGCTTTCGGTGCAGCAGCGATGGTGGCCATAAGCGAGTCGGGAGGGCGCCCATAGAGTGTGCGGGAGCGGCTGCGATGGTGCACCATGCCCGCAAGGGTGTTGCCTGGCGCAGGTAGACGGATGGGAGGTGTGAATGCTGGTGATGCGACAGGAGACGGGAGGCCGTATGAGGCTGGAGTGGGGCTAGGGAACGGAAAGCCGTCGTCACCGATGGAGCAGACTGCACTGTTGATAGTGGCCGCCGTGGAAAGCGGGGTATCACCAGAGCTAAACGCGCTATCAAAGCCCTTGTCGAAGTGGCTGCTGTCTCAGTCATGAGAGAGGTGGAGGAAGGTACGGTGACTCACTGACGGCTTGCAAAGTAGTCGCTGTCTAGTTCACCCATGGCGAGAGTTGGCTGTGATGTGATGAGGAGCGTCAATGGAGCAGGTGGGCGCGGATGACAACGGTGAGTTGATGGACGGTGACAGTGAATGTGTGGATGGCAAGACAGATGGTGAAAGGTAAGAAAGATGAGACAATGGGTAATGGAGAGAGGTGAATGTCGTGTCCGCACTGTTTTAAATAGACGATAGGGGGAAGGAAGGTGTGAGCGACGACCAAGCGGGCTGAGTACAGCAGAAGTGAGGCGTCATGTCCTCCGAGTCGAGCTAGAACAACATGCATGCCCCGATCCCACGCCTACGCGCCCTCGCCACCGCTCTCGTTGGTGAAGTCGATGTGCTTCTGGATGTCGGCCAGACTGACCGTCGGCCGGTTCACCTGGATCGCGCGCTCAAAGTCGCGGACGCCAAGTAGCGGCTCCTGCAGCTCTTCCGAGTTGACGTCGCCCCACGTCTTCTCAATCGCGCCGGGAGCACCAGGGGAGCACGGCGTGAGCTTCTTCACCGTCTGCGTGATGCCGTCCTTCTCGACTTCGACGTCAATCTCGCGGAAATGCGTGGCGGCCAGTACTTTGCGCACAGGCTGCATGAGCGCGTCGCGCACAATGACGGCGATATCTGAGCCCGAGTAGCCGTCTGTGATCGCTGCGAGGTGCTTGAAGTCGGCGGGGACCAAGCCGTGGGGCGTCGTCCCGATGTTGAGCTCGAACATCCTTCGGCGAGCCTCCGCGTCTGGGAGAGGGATGTAGATGCGCTTCTCGAATCTGGTGTTAGGGAAGCACGGACGGCCGGGGTAGCTTGTGACGATGGTGTGGTCGATGGAGAGTGAGGGACGGTAGCCATAGGCCGCGAGATACTCACCGACGCTTAATCGCCGGGTCAAGCTGCCATGGGATGTTGGTAGCGCCAAGCACAAGCACACCCGTGTCATCGTTGCCGACACCGTTGATCTGAACGAGGAATTCGGTCTTGATACGACGCGATGCCTCGCTTTCGCCCTCACCACGTGTGCCAGTAAGCGAGTCAATCTCGTCGATGAAGATGATCGCCGGCTTGTTCTCGCGCGCCATCTGGAAGAGCTGCTTGACGAGGCTGATGTTAGCTGACAATGCTGTGAGGCAAGCTCACCGTTCACTTTCGCCCATCCACTTGGATACCAGGTCGGACGAGGACACTGAGAAGAATGTGCTCTTGGCCTCGGTCGCGACGGCCTTGGCGAGGAAACTCTTACCAGTTCCCGGAGGTCCGTACAGCAAGATACCGCGCCATGGCGTACGCTTGCCTGTGAACAGCTGAGGGAACTTGATCGGCAGGATGACAGCCTCCTTCAGCGCCTCCTTGGCCTGCGCGAGACCCGCGACGTCGTCCCATGCCACGTTTGGTGACTCGCTCAGAATCGCGCCCTGCAGACCCTGTCGCAGCTTCTTGATCTCGGGGTCGTCATCGTCCTTGCCTGTGGACGGACCGCCAGCCTCGGACCCGCCGCCTCCCGATGCGCCTACTTTTGCTCGGGATCGTTTCTCCTCGCTTTTGGCGATATGCTCCTTGAGCTTCTCGGCGCGGTCCAAGTACTCGGTGAACTTGTTGCGAATCAATGCCTTGAGCTTATCGTTCTTCTCGTCTGCTGTTAGCTGCGGCAGGACGGGCGCTGGGTGGCGGCAGCGGCAGCGGGGGCGCGGTGGATGAGGTATTGGGATGAGGTAGGGTGAAGATTGTGGGCGAAGGAAGGTTGATAACCACCGCGCCGAGGACACAATGGCAGTGCGCACAGAGCTGAAAGTTCTGGCGTAGGCAGCCGCACAACTGAGGTGCCCATGTGCGCAGTGGCCCAGCAACGCCCAGTCGAGCCTCGAACGCCAACATCAACCCGGCCCTTTCGGCGCTTCGCCGAGCCGCGCATCACACACACTCACACTTCATAGCCTGCAGTTAGATAACACAGACACACACAAGCTCACCATCATGAAGTAGTCAAGCGAGTCCTGGTACAGCTTGTACGCCTCGGCATAGTTCTGCTTGACATCTTCATCGATCGCCTTCTGGACGATGCTGATTGCTTTCTGCTGTTAGTGAGCTCGGGCGCGGGGCGCACGTCAAGGAAGTTGGAGTTGCTCATTGCGCCGGCCTGGGGGAAGCGGGGAGGGCCGGAGGCGATGAGATGGACGGTGGTGTTGGGAGTGTTGTTGATGGTGCGCAGGGTGCTCTCGATGACGCTGGCGCTCCGACTGCTGGCGCCAAGTGACATTTGATCCCGTCCAGGCACGGTCAGCCGGCCCACGCGCTTTAAACCACCTCCACCACGCTTGTCTCTGCCCATCATCTCTCTCGACTCTTTACAACTGCGATACATACCTCCATCCGCCCCGTCGACCCCAATTGTGCGCCATGGCCAGCGCATCTGGATACAACTACCACCGTTTTGCCCGCGCACTCCTCAAGAAGTCGCGAAAATGGGAGCCATCACTCTCCATCCAGCTCTACCAGACATATTGGAGATTCGAGAACTCCGTGAGTGTCCGGTCAGGAAATTGGGAAATGAGCGGCAAAGTGCCTGGGGGCTGCTTAGGACCGTTGGGACTATGCGGATGACTACTGGTACACCGTTGGCTACATCTATCCTTCGTGCTCCTGCCTCCACCTCGTCGCGCGATGGATCGCGACGCCTCGGTGACTACGGCTAATGATAGGAAATCAACTTCGTGTACGATGGGCCAATGAAGCCGTTCTTACTCGCGCTGCGCGCGCAGGTTATTCCTGCCGCCCTCATCCCATTCCTGTACGACATTCGACCGCCGGTATCGTTTGTCGACGGCTGTCTTGTCGTCGAAATCCAAGACTTCCGAAAAACGCCAGAAGTACGAAGTCGTGTGGTCATGCGGCCTGCGCCGGAGACGCTACCGCTCACGATCGACATCATGCTGGGGCGACGCGCCGAGACCTGGGACGAGGCGATGACATTAGAGCTGGAGAGCCGTGTGATGGTGAGGGTAGCTACTCTTCCGCCGCGCTGACACTAGGCTGCCACATCCGCACCGCTCTATCTCGGCACATCTCCTCTTGCGGCGCGGAATGCTGCGTTGTCCTTGGCGCTCACCGCACCGGCCAATCCGAATGTAGGAGCCGACGGCGCGCCTCGATCGGCCCAGGCCCAGGGTGAGGAGGAGGACAGCGAACAAGAGACATTGCGCAAGCTTCTCGGGATCGGGACTGGAGCCCGCGCATTCCAGCCCAACTGGTCTGTGTTGCGGGTTACCGAGAAGATGGAGAACTACCGAAAGGACCGAGAGCGCGACGCAGCCCAACGCGCAGCCGGCAACGGCAACAGGGAGGAGAAGAAGAAGCCCAAGAAGAAACGGCCAGCAGAGGAGGAGAAGGCCGAGGAGAGGAAGGAGCCGCCAAAGAAGAAGAAGAAGACGGCAGCGGCCAAGGAAAAGGAGGCCAAGGAGGCCAAGGAGCGCGAGGAGCGCGAGGCGAAGGAGAAGGAGGAGCGGGAGAAGGCCGAGAAGGAGAAGGGAAAGAAGAAGAAGAAGAAGAAGGACGAGGAGACCGCGCCCGCTGCCGCTGCCGCCGAGAAACCCAAGCCGAAGAAGAAGAAGAAGGAGGACAGCGACAAGGAGGAGGAGGAGAAGAAGAAGCCAGCGCCCAAGAAGAAGAAGAAGGCCGCTGCCAAGGAGGATGCGAAGTAGGTCAGTGGATCCAGTGGTTGAGCTGTGCGAGCGGAAGGAGTGCGGGAGGGTCGGCGCGCCCTATATTTGTAGTAGTAGACGAGCACTGTATCATTTTCAGCATGTGAGTTGTTACCCGCTTAGCTTCTGTGTTGTGAGGCGCCAAAGTCGCAGCGCCACTGCAAGACTCAACGTGCAGCAGTTACTAGTCTCGTTTTAGCCAACCCCAAACTTGCATCAATCTTAACAACGACCCCTTGCTAATAATCGCTTGAGAAGATGGCTCAAGCTGCACCTCTCCGTTACTCCGGCATGTGGCACACAGCCTCGATGTTGTGGCCGTCGAGGTCGTGCACAAACGCGCCATAATAGTTGGGGTGGTACTCGGCACGAATGCCCGGCTTCCCGTTGCACTTGGCGCCCGCCTTAATGGCGGCCTCGTAGAACGCGTCGACAGCCTTGCGAGTTTTGGCGGTGAATGCGACGTGCACGGGACCAATAGGGGGCTTGTCTTGGGTCGCGCAGCCGGCGCTGATCCAGAACGAAGGCTCCATGGGACTGGGACCCCAGCCGCTGACGTGCGGCGCGGGCTCCATCTGCATGCTGCTGCCGAGGGTCGCGAGGACGGGCTCGTAGAAGGCCTTGGAGCGCGCGTAGTCGGAGACGGAGATGCCGATGTGGTCTAGCATGGCTGCGAGCGTAAGCGGAGGGTCGCGCAGGAGGGAGGGGAGGAGGCGGCGCGGGGTGGTCATACTGAGGAGGATGGGTTAAGCTTAAGATTGAGAAGACTGGAGGGAGAAGAGTGAGTAGAGTGAGTGAAGAGACAGCTGGAAGAGGAGGTTCCACGTCGTGCTTAAGAGTGGTTTGTGCAAGCGAGAGCGCGAGCCCCGGCTTCAGATGTGCCCAGAGAAACGCGGTGAACGGAGTCCAGTCAACTTTGGATCTGTGGATCACCTCCACCCGCGACCCCTCGCTCCCCTCGCTTCCGAACAACTCGCTTCATTAGCATTGAGGATTAGTATTGCTTGCTTCCGCTAATATACCTAACACTTGGCATTCCTCGGTGCTGGTCGCGTCTCCGCTATCATTCTGCTTCCCCTCCTGCCTCCTCTCCCTTTCCCGTAATTTGAGATCACGTCTTCCTTCTCAACCTCCATCTCTTGCACCGCGCCGTGCGTGCGTCCGCGCGTTATTCATCCCGCCGCACCGCTCCTTTACATCACACTCTCCTTGCTCCACCGTCTTGCTATCGTCTACCAGCGCCCTCGCCTCTTGACCCCACCGCTCGCTACCGCCGCGCCATGCCCGCCCGCTCCCGCGGCAAGCGCGGCGAGCGCGTCCGCTCTGTCCTCTACCATACATCATTCACTTTCTTCCTTCTCCTTCTTGCTGCGCTGTTGATGGGCTCGGCATGGGGTCTCGGCGAGCAAGCATGGCGCACCGACCACCAGCGCCGGTGGAATATGTTCGCAATGGTGGCTGCGTATGCCGCAGTGGTGAGTCTTCATCATGCCGATGGGTCGAGGAGGGAAGGTGGAGCACTGACACCAGGCTATCATCTCGTTATCGCAGATCTGGTCGCGCGTGCTTTCGGTCAGGCGCGCACTGAACACCATGCCCAAGCCTTACATGCCTACCAAGACGATGGACCTGCCGAAGGTGCGTTGGCTCTTACCGCGACCCGAAAGTCACGCTGCGAGTTATGGACGGTGTGATGGGCAGAAAGCTCGTGTCATGACATGCCCGAGAAATCTAGCACACGGACGTGGCTGATTGCAGAAAGTCGCGAACCACATCGCCACCGAGTACTCTCGCACCGCCATGATTGCGCACATTTCGCAAGCGACCGCGGGGATGCACGAGGGCTGGGGCCGACCAGGGACCAGGTGGGAGGGCATCCACTACCGGACCTTCATCCTGGACACATTGCCGGAGATGCGTGAGTGATATGTGGGAGAAGGACTGAGATCTGCGATGGGCCCTCCGGCGTTGTGGTTCTCTTCTCTCGCGCCGCGTGCGCAAACCTCACTTCGTGACTTTGGGCCCTCACCCGCTCGCAGAAGCAGACTGCCACTTCATGCCGATTATGGGCTTCTGCTCTGTGCTCTCATGACAGAATTCGCGCCCCGCTGACATTAGACGTCCTCCTCCTTGACGACGCGCCATTGCGCCCCAACAATCTCAGAGCGCTCACCGCCGCTGCGCAAAGGATTGATCCACCACAACGCTCTGGCGAGCCGTCGACGCTCGAGCTCTTCGTCGCCAGCTACGTCGACATGCTCCAGCGGGCGCGATATGCACGCGCCGAGCCGACAGAGAAGGAGGCGGGTGCCGTCGAGAAGGTCGTGGCGTTTGTGCGCAATTTGGTCGCCGTCAAGCGGCAGAAGGCAGAGGAGGGGCGGAGCGGAAGCGGGCTGCTGAGTGTGCCCACTGTGAAGACTGTACAGGAGGACGCTGTGTTGTAGCATAGTGCTGTATGTAATGCTTGGCTTTTAAAGGGGTAGTCTATTGTGGTTAGCAGGGGCGACCAGCACATTCGGCTTGCTCTGTGCTGCGCAATAATCATCCACTCGCTGCACACGTCACATTGATGCATGTCCTCGTTTGCTCCTTCTGTCACGTTACACCTTCTGGGCGTCAGCCACCTCCCTTGCCCCGCGCACCTGCCTCTCATCTTCGCTCCTCCCGCACGCGACTCTCCCGCCGTAAGCCATCCGGCTCATTTAGCGCCGCGCGTGCTCTCAGCAGCCGCACGCTGCGGCTCGTCCTCTTCGAGCTCCGGGTCGTCATCACACCCGATAGGGTGGACACCGATCTGCCCGTCCGCACGACACTTGCGGACCCCACACGGCGGGCAGGGTGTCAGCGCGCGTTCGAGGTCGTCCTTGGGCTCCATTGGTCTGTGCGGGTAGTTATGGCAGTGGGGTGAAGGCAGTTGGAGTACTGAAGGCAATAGCAGCCTGACCAAGTGGCAATGTACGAACGACAAGACGCTGATGTGTCCCATTGCATAACAACCGGATGGACACATGACCGGGCGATGGTGGGGACCACACAAGATACGGCGGCACGCCGCGGAATGCTTCTCGAACATGGTGGGCGGGCCTCCGCGGGGCCTCGGCAGCCCCGACGATCACTCCGTGCACCGTCCCCCGGTTCTGTGATGGTTTGAGGTGAACCTGGTGTCCGGTTCCGCATTAGCCATCCCCCTCGCTCTTCCGATTGCTCTCCGTCAATCTGGCGAGAGGAGGACCGGCGTAGGCCATCCCGTGTCAGTATCACATGCGGGGCGCGGAGTTGCCTCTACAGCATGTACATGGGCAGTACAACACTACAGGTTCTTGGTAATGGTCTTGGGGTTGGTGGTGATTCATGGATTGATACTCTGTGCGTCAGCGCACTCACTACTGGCTGCGGGATGCACCTCGCGCACGCCGGAAACCCACCTGGCGTACCTATGCCTTCTTCGCCTCGGCCTTGTCATCCTCGTCGTCCTCGAACACGGCGCTGTCGTCCGCTCCACCCTTGACCCACTCGGGCTTGCCGGCGGGCGGCACGCGCCCGTCGCGGCCGACCTGGCTCGGCCTGCGGCCGTACAGCTCCGAGCGGGATCCGACGACGTGTGCGCGCCGGTCCGTCTTGTCTGCCGTGGGCGAGATGGCGCCGCCAGCCGGCGCGGCGGCCATAGTCGCGATCGGGGACGGGGCGGTGGGCGAGAGGCCTGCTTTCGCGCGCTCCTCGGCCTCCTTCGAGAAGTCGCGGAAGGCGAGGAGCGGCGCAGGCGGAGACTTGGCGGTCTGCGACGGCCGGCGGCCGTAGATCTCGTCGCGGGATGTCGTGCCGAACATGCTGGGCTTGGGGATCGAGGTCGGGAGTGTTGTGTCTGTGAGCGAGTACTTGCGCATGCGGTCGATGCTTATGCAGTTGAGAGAGAGAGAGAGAGCGGGCGCGTCGTTGGCCCATGGCTCAAGGGCTGAGTGGGGGCGATCGAGGATAGGGCGATCCCGTGACTGCCGCCGATCCGGCTCGGTCGCACCTCGGCCCGAAGCTCCACCAATAGATGCCATCCGCCCGTTCCGCACCTCGACGTTTCACTCTGCGCCGCGAACGCGGCCAAGGAGGTGTGATGCCATGCATGATGTCTATGCCCTACTGCTTGCCCTCCGCGTCCTTCTTGCCCTCCGGTGCGCCCTCTGGCGCAGCTCCCTCCGCCGCCGCAGCCTCGGGCGCAGCCTCCGCCGCAGCCTCCTGGCCTTCCCGCTCCGCCTTGATGCGCTCCAGCGCCCGATACACCTTGCTCTGCAGGTAGTGCGAGTGCGTCGGGCCCTTGGCCTTGGAGCGCTGCCGCGCGTTCTGGGCGCCTGCCTGTGCCCCGACGGCCTCCTTCTCTTTCGGCGGTGGGGGCGGGCCGTTGGCGGCAAAGATGCGCTCGTAGCTCTGTCGTTAGCCTGTTGCAATAATCACAGGGGGTGGGAGAGTTTGGGGTGGAGGGACGCAAGTCACACTCGCGATTAGGGCCTCGGAGGCACGCTGGCCAGTATATCGGCGCCAAGAGCTTCGGTCTCGCCGGCGGCATCCGGTACAGGCTAGGCCGTGGGCGGAAAGCTGGCCGCGCTTGCGGACAGATGTGCCGGCCTCCGTTGCCCCGCCTCGCCTGCCGACACTCTAGGCAAACCCCGCATCGCCGCAGCATCCCCTTCTCGAAGCATACGCACCTCCAGGATCTTCTCCATCGACTCCTCCTTCTTCACGTTCAGAATCATGTGCGCCTCCTCAAGAGACATGCCCAAGTCTTGCGTCACCGACTTCGAGCCGCCTCCAGGTCCAGACGGTCCGGCGTCGGGCGCCTCTGGCCTATGCCTTGCGTCTGAGATTAGCTGGCGACGGGGAAGGTGCGGAAGGAGAGCAGAAAACGGGAGAGCGAGGCGGAGCGGCAAGCAAGGACCCCATTGGATGGTCTTCGGGCTGCACCAACATCCAAGGAGCGACGACGGGCGTCGGCATGACCGAATCATCATGCTCGCTCAATGCGTCGCTGAGCCCAAGCACGGTATCAGAGCGCTTGCCGCACATCGCCTTACTCTCATGTCACACCCGCAGGGCGCCGAGGTTCAGCTTCGGCGCGCGCCTGCCGTCCGCCCGCCAAAGTAGTCCTCCTAGCACGCCTCCAACTCGACTCACTCGCCATGGCCTGGCGGCCCGCCGCGGCGAAGGCCTTGCCAGTGATGCGGATGCTGTCGACGACGAGCTGCGCGATTGCTCGGGGTGCGGACTGCAGTCAGTTGCCGCCTGATCGCCGTGCCGACGCACCATTTTGAGTTAGATTAGATGGGTGAGGAAGGGGAGAAAAAAGAGAGCTCAAGGAGATGTCAAAAGGCGCGCGGAGTGGTCGGAATGGGCGTCGGCGTCAACGGAAGAGTGCTCGGCGATGTCGGAAGAGCGACTTTTGAGATTTGGGCGGCAAATGCAAACTCACCCACTTGGCCATGCAGCCACGCACGGAGTTTTCGGAGATTTACCCGGGGCTCCAACTCCACGTGCGTGACACGCGCGTGGTTGTTTGGTTCCGGAGATGACTGGACATCAGGTTGTGGGTGGAGGTGAGGATCGAAAGGAAGGCAGGCTGCAGGCTGCCTTGTACCTCGCGCTCGCACAACCAATTCCACATCCTGCAACGCAACATTGTTCTCGACGCTCCGCATGTCCGCCTTAGCGCCTGGCACGGGGATCTTCGCCCCTCCGGCATGGCAGGACGATGTGTTCGCCCACCTCGACCGAATCGAAACTGACTCGGCGTTCAATGAGGATCCAGAAGACATTGAGGCGTATGAGGCGTGGGTGCGCTCCGAGGTCGTGCGCAAGCTGGGAGGACATGGGGATACTCACAACGCATCCAGCCGCGTCGCTTCTTCCCGGGTCAATCACGATGTCGCACCGGCATCTCGGTCCTCCTCTCCTCCATCGCGACTCAGTTCCCCTTCCAACTCTAGAATCGCACGCCCCAGCGGAATCAGTCTCCCACACCACACGCAGCTCCAGACCCGACACATCATTGGGACGCCCGCGCGTATCAGTACCGCTCCTACAATCGCGACGCCCACTCTTACCGCCCCCCTTCCCCATCCTCCAAGTACCCGTATTAGACTCTTGGACTCGCCCATGAGTATCGCGACTCCTCAGTCGCCTGATAGAACAGACCCCAGCGCTATCGCACGTGGACGTCGCGATGATCCGGCTACACCCGTGCCCCTCGGTACAGCAGAGCTCGACAAACTCAAAAAGCGAAAGGGGTTCCAAGAGCTCACCAAGCACCTTGCAGACATCATGCCCCCGCCAGCCCTTCCTCAGTCCGCAGGTCGTGGGCTGGGGCGAGGACGTGGAAGGGGACGGGGCCGTCTTGGAATGACTGGGCGCGCCAAAATCGGAGGAACCGCGCTTGCTGGCACGCGCATCTGCCTCGCCCCGAGTGGACCGTGCAAGCCTCGCGCGGCTATCGTAAGTTTCTTGGCTTGGAGCGCGAGCTGACTTTAGATCGTTCAGTTGGGTGGGGAGGTGGTACTTCATCCTGACACCGCCGTCACACATGTCATCGAGGATTCAGGCGCGTCAGCTGCCATGCTCGCACGCCGACTTGGACTCCAGTCTCTTTCGGATCTGCCGGTCGGGACGCAGATCGTCAAGTGGGAATGGGTCACCCAATGCAAGTTTGAAGTGGGTTCCGATCAATCTCGAGCTGATGACAGGCCAAGCTACTGCCAACTGACAACTACCTCACCTTCCCCAGAACTACGTTGACGGCTGGCTCGTCCCGCCTTACCGACATCACTGAGCGACTGCGCTCAGGATCGCGTGCTATACGCCGGTGAGCCCATCAACACGAAATCAGCTAACTCGCAGGCAACGCTCGCATACACCTTCCGACTCCGAGACAGAATCTGATCGCCCACGGCGCATGACGGCGGCCCGTCGCCGCACCGCAGGCTTCGATGCCGGCGGCTTACCTCCTCGCTCGGTGCCCGCCCTCCAAATGGCGCGCTCCGGTCCGCACGCGATTACAACACGCAACGCTTCGCGAAACCCTTCCCGCCCTGTTTCCACCGACAATCTATCCAGCATACATCGCTCCAGTGACACTGATCGCATTGCCACGCGCCATGAGCCATCTGGAGGTCCGGGGTGGATTGAGCCGACCGGTGGAGAGCAGGATGCACTTGACATTCTAATCGTTGGCGTCAAAAACGGAAGCGTGTCCACAGAAGGTGTGGAATCCGGTTCGGAGGCTGAGGACGAGGTGGGCTTCGCCCTGTGATCTGACTGACACCAGCCTGGCAACCCGTCACGCAAAGCCGACTTCTACAAATGCGGGCAGAAGCACGAAGGCGAACCAAGCAGAGGCCCAAACGAGTGGCTTGCCGTCCAGTTCGACAAGCTCCATCACGTCTACGAGGGTCAGCAGGGCAAGAATGAGTTTGCGATCCGTGGATATCAGCGAGGTGATTATCAAGCGTGCCTTCAACCTCTGTTTTCCGCCTGAGAGCCTGCTAATGAGCAGCTGCCGGTATTCTGCGCCGCACTGATATACCAATAATCAGCGGCGCGCAAGCGCGCAAGATTAAAGGCATCGGGGAGAGCTTAGCTCAGCGGGTGAGTCCCACAGGCCAATCCCTACCACGCTTTCTGCTGTTCATTCAGGTGCCTTGAGCTGACGGAAGATAGATGAGTTTCTCGAAGGACGCCAAGGCCGCGCGTATTACGAGGACACGCTTGAGGCTCGCACCATCGCCACATTTAAGGACGTATACGGCGTAGGTAAAAACTTTGCGGCTGAGCTGTATCGCAAAGGCGCCCGGACGATTGAAGACTTGAAGACAAAGGAATACGGCTTGACCTCAGGACAACGGGTGAGCTCGTTGTGACAAGAGTGGCTGACATCTGCTCGGTGTGGAGCTCTACGACGACCTCATTTCGCGCATTCCACGCGATGAGTGCCGGCAACTGTTCGAGTTGATCCGTGATGCAGCGCTGGCTATCGATGGCAAGCTATGGGTAGAGATCATGGGCAGCTACCGCCGCGGAGCCGCCAACTCAGGAGACGTGGACATTCTCATCACACGCGACACCGCCGACAGGCTCACGCACGCAGGCATCCTCTACCGCCTCGTCCACTCTCTGCGCCAGAGTGGTGTAATAACACACGACGTAAGTCTACAAAGGCTCTGTTTTCGTTGATGGCAGTTGTCATGTCCACACGATTACTTCGACCTCGAGGCCAAGTGGATGGGCGTAGGCCGCATTCCGGGTGGCAAATACCGTCGGATCGACATCCTGACGATTCCCTTTGAGTACTGGGGAGGCGCGCTGATATACTTCACTGGGAACGAGGTTGTGAGTAGATTCGTTGGCTCGTTCCTGACATCAGTTTAACCGTTCGCTCAGGCTCTATGCGCGCAAGCAGGGCTACTCCCTCAATCAGCGTGGTTTATTCCGCGGCGTCATCCGCGACCGAAAGGGCAACAAAACTACAGAAGGTCAGTTGAAGTAAGGCTGCAGCAGGAAGACCAGAGTATGAAGTGACATCTTAGCTGACTTCAGGGGAGCTTGTTGCCTCTCGCACGGAGGAGGAGATCTTCGATGTTCTAGGTATCCGCTGGCGGCCGCCCCATCAGCGTCGGCCGTAGAGCTCTGAGCCTGCGCCCACACCATCCGCATTCAGCACACCCGACATCCCCGCAACGAGAACGCAGCCCAACATGATCATCTTCAACCCATCAGCGGACCACGTTGCTCGTTCCCCACTCCCAAATCATACGCGATTACGTACGCGGCTTTCTGCGAGGCACAGTCATTGTCTTAATATTCAGCTGTTATACTCTTGTAATGCGCGGCCGTCTGGGCGGCATTTGCTTTTCGCGTGGCGTCCACTGCGAAAACGTGGCCTGAACCCAGAAGGTTGGACAGCTGGACAGCACCCTGGCACCCAGAGCTGGGTCGCTGGGTCATCGCCACAACGCCACCCACGTGATGTCATCTCTTGACGTGCAGGAAAGGCAAGTGGCAGGGAAGGCCTTTGGTGAGCACTCCCAAATCCCATGATAGTACCACACATGTCCAGTCTTCAAGTGGTCCCCGGCTTATGCACGCACGCACCTTTGTCAAAACACGCAAGCACAGCCACCCATGCCAGCCATTCGAATCCGGTGAATACAGCGTCCTCAGCAGGGGCGAGAGATGAATAGCCAACCAACCCTGAATTGCTGCGGTGTAAACAATCGCTCACGCTAGCGACCGCCGCTTGCATCAGCCAGGGCGTGAGTTGACTCAACTCAACAGCCGTCTCTTCGAACAGCCGTATGCCAACTGTTAACGCCGCGTGTACGGGAAAAAAATAGGTGAGTTAACACCGAAAGTCAGGCGCCTCGCGGTGATACAAGCCCTCACACACAACAACTCACTCTCACCATCTTTCTTCACACCTTCGTGATCATCACATCACTTAACAACACCTATCCACACCTTCAAACACCACACACTACTCTGTTAACCACTTCCACACACTGTCATCAACCCGCTCCCCTTTATCCAACACCCTCTACACGCTCACCGCGCGTCTCTTGCTCTCGCAGGCAGTTCGCCCAGACCCCAATTCTCTCCCCATAACAAGTGAGTACAGTCATACCGCGCCAAAGGATTGCTGCTGACAACAAGACTCACCAGCCTCCTCGTTGTCTAGCTCCCAGTACGCACATCTCCCAGCGGTACGGCCTTGCGCTAATCGCCAGAGCTCGCAACTTCCACACCCCTACAATCAAACAACTCTCTCGACTCCTCCCCCCTAAACTCGATCAAGCAGTTTTTCCAAACATGCTGTTCACCCTTTCCAAGGCGCCTGCCACTACCCAGCTTTCTGATGCCTTCAAGGCGAAGATCGCTCTCCCGACCAACCTCCCTAGCCTTCCGGAGGCCGCGACCTACCTGCGCGGCTGCTTCCCCTCCGACTCCGCCCCAGCCTCGATGAACGATTCGAACACGCCCCACAGCTCGGTCCTCAACTCTCTCTCTCTCTCGTTCTCCATCGATACTCTCTCGACTGGCCTGTCCTTCGGGGTCAAGCTCGTTAAGGCGATGCCCGTTATCGGCCGCCCTGTCGCCAGCATCATCAACTATGGCCAGACCTTCGCTTCCGCCAACGTCGCGGACAAGGAGATGATTGCGGATCTCCAGGCTCAAATTGTCGCCCTGCACGCTCGCCAGCACGAGATGGACGAGGATGCCGCCCTCTGTGCTCTCCAGCACCAGGCCGACATGGATGCTGCCCTCCTCGCTCGCGAGGACGAAGCCGACACCCACGCTAGAGTCATCAACAGCATCAAGGTCGAGCTCGACTACACCAAGGACGACCTCAAGGCTGCAAACGCCGCTCTCGAGGCACGCAACTCCGAGCACAACACTACCAAGCTCGAGCTCCAGGCCGCCCACGCTTCGAAGTCACAGTCTGACGCCGAGAAGACTCGTCTCGAGGGTCAGGTCTCCTTCTACAAGAAGCTGTACGAGAGCGTCTCCAAGGAGCTCAATGCCGCCGAGGAGGAGCTCGAGGAGGCGCGGCTTGCCAGCCCCAGCGGCGGTGACGGTGAGCTTCAGCAACTCCGTGCCCAGCTGGTCGCCTCGAAGAAGCGTGAGGCCGACCTTCGCATCCAGCTCGATGCCATGAACGAGTCTGAGGTAGAGCTCGGCTCCCATCTCCAGGCTGCTGGCCAGTCTGTCGATCATCTTCGCTACAAGCTCTACTCCATCAGCGCAGCCAACACTGGACTGGCCCAAAGCCACGCCGTATCCCGAGTAACCATCGCGACCTTGCAGCAGGAGATTGCTGCGCTCAAGGGCGACAGCAACTGCAACGGCCCCAGCAAGAAGAAGCAGCGCCCCAAGCATGGGGCCGTTTTCAGCCCTTCTCCCCTCCGCAACGACATCACGGACATGCTTGTGCACCCGGCGTGTGGCAACATCGTCGAGGAGACGCATGAGGAGCAGGAGCAGTGCTTCGAGGCCAGCGCGAACAAGACCACCTTTGAGGACGACGAGAAGATGGATGTCGACGAGGACGTGATGGTTTTTGACAGCGGGATGGATGTCGCCATCGAGAAGGAGGTCTCCATTTACGAGGTCGAGGCGCTCGTTTCGGATGAGGACGAGGAGGACGAGGACTCCGAGGATGAGCGCACGCCGCCCCCCCGTCCTGGAAACCCTACCCCCTACGACCAGCGTGACTAGTCGGCTGCTTGCAGCTCAAGCCGGTACCTTGACTTTCGGTTGTTTTTGTAGCACACATGCCCAGAGTTAGCTCTGGATGTATCCTTAGCGCATTGCAGCGAGGAGAAGTGGACGAAGTGGGCGACTAACTTGTGTGGACGCGCCTTGGGCCGTCGATCCGCCCAGTGTACGTCTAAGGCCCGAGAACACACTGACTTGCATCCACCAGGCGAGGACTATCATCTACAATGTATGAGGGCGTGTCTGTCATGCATTGCATGTCTGAACGCTTAAGGAGGCTGGGAAGGGCGCACGGTGCAGCCAGCAACGTCGCTACGCTGGACTCCACAGCTCCATAGTAATTTTGAGAGGGGACCCTCCCCCGCCCCCCGCCCGCTTCCAACTACGCTAAGTCACCTGTGTCCCTGCCCCTCTCCTTCACAGCGCTTGCGTCCCATCGCTCGTCACGGATTTGTGACGGCTGTCCGCGTCATTCAGGGCTCCTGCCGATGTAAACAATACGCAGCGATGACGCGCGCCGACGCGCCCAGATTTAAAGGAGTACGTCGTCCACAATCCAAATGTTTAGCAGAAGGGCGGGTGGAGGCAGGGATGGACGCGAAAAGTAGGCGTGTCTCAGCCGCACGCGCCAACGCTGTTCCTAGATCGCGTTGAATTGATTAGACTGCACCGCTTCGGTTTTGGCCGAGGCGTTGGCTGGGCCCGCGTGATGCATGATGGGCAGTGAGGGAGGCGGGGTGCACGGTGTGGGCGAAGTTTGCGAGTGCAGACTGAGTACATCACAGACAATTCACGGATGTCCGGCAGATCATTTTCTGGCTGCGTGGATGACGTCCTGCCAAAGGCCATGCAAACCGGACTGTGAGACCCTGCCCGGCCACGCAGCAGGTGGTGTGGTCTGGACGCTGGAATCCGTGAGTCCGTGGATCCATCGACTGAGACATTGATGTTGGCACGTGGCACGGTATCGTCGCGTGCGCATGTCTGCAAGACTCGGTGCGGGCGGTTTGTGCGGCCGTCCAGAACCACCCATGCGAGCGGTGCAGTTGGAAGTGGCGGTTGAGTGTGGCATTTGAACAGGATACGAGTTTGTCGGTAGTTAGGTTGAGTGTATTGATGGCTCATGAGACTTTGGTGGAGTTGGTCTGTAGCTGCGCTAACTGCGTAGGCGCTCACTCCCTCGACAAAGCCATATCGCCCCCTTGGGAAGAGATTCCGTGTTCGTTGCTGGTCTATGCGCACAGCCCAATCCCTGTCATGGCTAATGAAGACCTGGAGAAATTTGATGCTTGGATTATGGCTAGCTGGTAACAAGATGCATGCTCTGCTGAAGGACGAGGCCATGAAATGCGGGAACAGGGGATACAGTGCTCCGAGGGACCGGAAATCATGGTAATGGACTTGGTTCTGGCAACGATCTACCTCGAGGAAGGGTTTCGGAGTGTCAGCGACGCTCAATAATAACCCCTAAAGGCACTGTAGATCCGCAGATCCTCAGAGGCGTGCAGGAACTCATCCTCGCCGCGGCCAAGGGGATGAAACGTTTCTCCATGTCCGACTCGCTCGTGACTAGGAGGTGGGAGGGGGATCTTCGCAGCGCCCGGAGTCTTTGATCTTCTCCAAAGAGGATCGACAGGGGTTGTGACGCGCCTAGGCAACATCCATCTGGCCGCGCGCAGCAGGCTTTTGCCCTTGAATCAAGGCGAGCCAACTCATCGCTCAAGTGAGACTTGAGGGAGAGATTTGGGCGATGAACAGTGGGCATCCCTGAGGCGCCGAAGCTATCCAAAATGACGAGTGGCATCTTCCAGTCCGCAACGCTGTTATCCGCGCTCGCTTTTATCACCAGTACAACAGCATCGCACATATCCCTTGATCGTCTTATCGAGGCACCCCCCTGCGCCTCGTGCAATGTGACAATATGGAGTCACGCAGGCACAGAATCGCCGCCGCCGCCACCTCGCTACGCACCTTCTGTCCACCATCACGCACAAATTACCACCGGCCCCTCTGCGCTTCCAGCGCCGGCATCTCCAATGCTCCCGCGCGGCGTGAGCGCCTCCAAACAGTGGGAAACCACACAGCACGCATCACTCGATCACTCGAAAATACACACTGCGAACACAGCCATCCCATCACACAAGATATTCGCCACCCACCCGCAATTTCCTGCTCCCTCCGCGTCTCCGCGCCGTCCACCACTCCACGCGGCGCGTGTGCGGCGCGCTCGCCTGCACCGCGCCCGTAGCTGCGTCCTCGCGGTACAAGCGTCGCGATGCATGCATCGAGACAATTTCTGCTTCCTCCAAACCTGCTTCCCTCTCCTCTGGAATATTCGTGCGAGCCCAGCGTCCGTAGGCGTGCGGGGAGGCTGCGCCCCGAGCCGAGAGCCGGCCCGCCGATTCGGAGGGCCGAGGGCGCGGCCCGCAGCCCCGCGCCCCTGCGCCATGCATCGTCGTCCGTCCGTCCAAGATACCATTGCGCTGTCGTGCGCATGCATGCATTCTTTCGAATGCATGGCTGCATGCATGCGTGAGATGGAGGCGTATGCATACTCCCCGCCCGCGTGGAGAGGAGGGGTCAGGTGCTTCCGGCCAGAGAGCCGGACCCTGAAGTCCCGACCCTTGAGGGTGGCAACTCGCTCGACCTGCTTCCGTGCGCCGCAAGTCAGTGATTCTACCTCCCACACAGCATGAGAACGGTAACGATGCATACCAAACAGTGTGATAAAAGACATGGAACGATGTCTGAGGTGAAAGGAGTCGGTGTGGGCGGATCGAGGGCTACGCGCGCTGGGGCGCTGGGGTGCGGAAGGTGGTACGTGATGCTGGGTATAGTAGGGCGACGCGGGTATATTGTAGACGCTGAGTTGTGGGGGCAGACCTGGGTGGCGCGGTAGGGGGGAAGGGCTGAAAGGGGGAAAGGAGGATGGTTGGAAGAATGATTAACCCTTCGTAAGCACTGTGCGGATGCGCTTGCGGACTCGCTCGACCGCGCGCCGAAGACCGCGGCCCATGCGGCTGCGCTTGGTTTCCCGCTCGTTCTCCCCATGTGATGTGGGGGTCGAGTTGCTGCTATGCTTGCTGGAGGCAACATTGCCGCAAGCGCTGTCACTGCCGGATGATCGCGAGGCCTCAGCCTCACTGGAGTCGCGTTCGCTGTTGCGGAGCTCGCTCTGTTCGCTGTTGCTGGACTCGCTCTCCTCGCGGTTGCTGAGCCCGCTCTGCTCGCTGGTGCCGCTGTCGCTGGGGTCACGCTCGCTGGTGTCGACCTTGCTTTCGCTGTCGTCCACCTCGCTGTGCTTGCTAGCTTCCCCCTGGCTGTTGTCTAACTCGCTTTGCTCGCTGCCGTTGCCCTCGCGGCCCAAGATCTTGGTCTCCTTCTCGTTTTCGGGCGCGGGGAGAGCAAAACGAGCTGGAGTGAGTGGGGCAGACTCGTGCGCGCGCCCGAGAGTTTGGCCGAGACGGATGACAGCCTGCCACGGGATGCCGACCCCAGCGCGAATGGAAGGAATACAGGGCCACCCGGCGAACGGAGTGGGTGCCGTGAGAACTGCGAAGGGAAGCAGTTTTACCGCGTTCCTGTCAAGTTCGCTCAGGATGAGGGGGGTACTGCTCTTGCGCGCGATGTGACGTACAACTCGTACGACCTTGAAGCGTCCCACGAAGCTTGTCTCCACCGGCTCCACGCGTGTCGCCGGGAGCTTTACGAGACGTGCATCTTCGCGTCCCACAAAGCGCACACGCCGGGCCACGCAGATCTCTCCCTGCTCCTCGTCGGACACCGAGGAGACGTGAGAGGATATGTCGGGGTGTGAGGGATGGTCGTTTTGCGAGAGGCAAATCTCGTCAATGTCCGAATGGTTCAGGTACTCCGTCTCGTCGATAGACTCGAGCTGTTCAGGCTGGGGGATCGGGTCCTTGTAGTGGTCGGCAATGTCTTGAGATTCGCTTTCGCTTTCGCAGAAAGTTAGCCGCTCGGGCACGGACCAGGGGTTTTGGAGATAGTCGGTGTCGGTGTCGGTGCCGCTGGTGGCCGGGTTCCATTCTTGGCTAGCGGGAACTTTGGCCCTGGGTCCCAGGCCCCAATTGTTGGCCCAAAGTGGGGCAGGGACGCGGGCAGCGGCAGCAGTTCCGAGGAACCTGATGTGCGAGACCGAGGCAACATGGTTGGCATTCGGATAGGGGTTGGCGATGTTTTGGAGTCTGTGGCCACCTTCGAGATCGATCTCGGGGAACATCTCTTGAAGTTGCCGCGACGTGAACCGATTCACGTGCCAGGGTGGATTGTAGGGTGGCGTAGCGACGTCTTCGTCGAAGAAGTCCTCGAGCAATGATTCAACAATCCTAAGAGCCTGGCTGGCACCTAAACGCTCACAAGGATTCTTGGCCGTCAAGCTCTGGACGAGTTGATAAAGGTTTGCCTCCAGTTCGAAATTGCCGGTAACGCGCTCGAAGCTGAACTTGGGTGTCGAAGACTCAACATCAGGGGGGTAGAGCCCCGTGAGAAGCTCCGCGAGGATCCAGCCGACAGAGAAGATGTCACTCTTCTCGTCGAACACCTCTTCAGGAGCTACGTACCCGGTGGTACCGCACCTTCCAACGCCCTCCCCGTCCTGCATGAACTCACTGAGGCCAAAGTCCGCAATGGTGATTGACACATCAGAAAGGAAGCCGTTCTTGATAGCCCTGCCGGTGCAAAGGATGTTACCAGGCTTTAGATCCCTGTGCAGGACGTCGTGTTTGTGGAGCTCGTCGACTGCCTTGAGGATTCGGCGGATAATCCGCAATGCCCCGTCTCGACTGACCATATGGGCGAAGAAATGGCCGGACGCGGTGGAGTTGTCTTGGGTGGCGAGCGGGACAAAGAAACGCTTCGCCCAGTGAAGGACGTCCGCGAGGCTTCCAAACGCGGCAACCCGGGTGATAGTGTACCCCCTGTGGAATTAGCACGCACGTTGAGGTGGCGAGTATCAAGACTTACTGGGACCAGCGTTTCCCCCACAGATCGGCCGTTGCAAACTGGTCGCCTCCGCCATTGAGCTCTTTGAACATCCGGACTTCGTTCTCGTATGAACCCGTGTTCACCTTCGGAATGCATCTGGGATAAGTGCTGAAAAGGACGCGACTTACTTTAGTGCCGCCTCCTCCCAAACATCCTCGCCTTTGCTGATGAGGACATGGTCAACAGAGCCACATCCTCCTTCGCCGAGATGGCCCAGCCTTAGAACTTTGTAGGCCTGTGTGGTTCCTGTCTCCTCATCGAAAAGCTTGAGCACACGGGGACGCTTCCAAATCTTCGAGTGTTTGGAGAAGAAGTTCGCCTTGTGTGTCTCCCAGGTGACAGTTGTTGTGGACGAAGTCTCGCTAGACGCAGTGTCGCTCGGGGTAGAAAGCGTAGACATTGTCAAGGTTGTGATGTAAGGGGTGGAGGCGAGGAAAAGTGGTACAAGGTAAGGTGAGAGATGGGTGTTGAAACAATGTTGAAGGTCGAATGAACGGAAGTGGGATCAGTCAGCTTAAAGGACGGGGACGTATTGGTGGGACAAAGGTTGAGACGGAGATATGGACCGGATGGAGGGTGGGACAGACGATGGCTGGTCGGTGTGGAATCGAATTGGTGTGTGTGAGTTCAATTAACTGTTTTATCGGCGCCCTGAGCCCGAGCTCGTTCTCCGATGAGATGAGCCGTGCTTGGTCAACACAGCACTGCTTGCAGTTCTAACTTGCAAACGATAACATGGGCGTTGTTGATGATGCAGCCTGGCTAGTCAGAGCCAATTCCAGCGATTTACACACGTACCGAAGCAAGAGCGACGGGGGTGTGGCGACAGACCTCTTAAAAAAGTGCTGGAGCACTTCCGGGTGTGGGAACTGACGTCAGTGGTCAAATGTTGGGGCTACGGCTTTGCGCCGCGCCGTAGAAAATCATCTCGTCGGCCGGGCTCTGCTGTCTGATTCTCGACGGCGAGAGCCTCTTCGTTACACTCAATTTGAGCCCCTACCAAACCAGTGGCAAGGAGGTCAGCGGGGCGGTTCAAGATGTTGGTTGGAGACACGAACTAGTGCTAACATCTGATCAGTCTGCAAGATCAGTGGCCACCTGCGGTCAAAGACCTGCTCATGAGAGCTTGGTCGTTGAACCTATGCAAACTCGTCGTTGCGTCACGTGCAGCAATCGTGGTGAAACTCTTGAGCTCCGTGGAGACAAATATGATTAGTAAAGTGGGGCAGGAGTGCGGATAGGTGACGCTGAGGTAGTAAGACTGGGGCAGTGTAAGCGGGTAGGCGCTCACCACAGATGTCCGACGCATACGTGTATTTGAGGTTGTTTTGCAGAAGTGCTGAACGGTCGATTAAGACCCCCTCAATGTTCTAATTGGGGAGATGGTGGAAGGATCGGGCGCAACGTTGGTTGCGTCGACAGCATGTTGTGAAGAGCAGCTTCGGGGAGCCGGTTCTGCGGTCAGCGTGGCGTCTCGCCACGGCGCGGTCTGATGTCCAGCGAGGGGAAGGGAGAATTCAGATGGCACACAAATTCTCACAAACACATAGATGACGCGGTTCTCCTTTCGTTATGTTGGTCCTCGGTCGTCGTTAAGCAAAGCAGTTGCAAGTGTAAGTGTTGAGTGCTGTGTTGGACGAAAAGTGGGAAGGTGGGAGTCAGAGGCAATGATGGCGGCGCTGTAACACTGAGAGTTGGCACGAGGGTGTGTGCTGCGCCCCAGAAAACCCAGGCCAGGTGTCATTTCCCGACCCGACATGGGGGAGAGTGGACAGCATCACGAGCCTTATGAGCATCGCAAGGGTGGGGTCCAGTCGTTCATGCCCTCTCTTGGGGTTTGGTGATCCTCGGAATCACACATAGCACAATGCATTTAGCCATCAGCATGCAACTTATCAATTGGCCTCGCGGACGTTCTAAGCATGCTATGCAGCTCGTTCCTCATCACAAATTACATGCCCCACTTCATGCCACCCAATCACTTCGGACCGAACAGAGGGAGGCTGTCAGAGTGGGGCGGAGGTTCCCACTATTCTAGCCCCCCCTCTTACCTTCATCACCCTCCACCTCCCTCCCTCTCACATTTCGTCATTCCTCGCATCTTTCCTTGCCCTCACCTAACATTTGAATATCTCTCACTTCAACATCATGCCGCCCCGCCCCCGCCCCAAAGCTGTCCCCTCGACAGACTACACACCTTCTACGCTTCCTGCCGACCATCATCTGGTGCGCCTTGGCGGGCCCCAGGGCTCGAATCAATTCGCGACGGAGATCGAGGGCGAGCCCGAGCTTGTTGACATGCCCGCGCGTGTGCGCCGGACAGCTTTCGCTGCTCGGGGTGAGTGAGGAGTGCCAAGTTGGCGAGATTGTCGCCCAAAGCGATGGTTGTGCAAGGGCGGTACTCTTGCCTAACTGCCTACCAATTCTTGCGACGCTGACCTCCCCCAACGTATCAGCTTGAAGGGGGATGGGTTAAGGAAGGCGACGTCAAAGGCTGATTTGCAGGGTCCTTCGCCATTGTCCAGCTCTATCCAAAGGTGGATGACCGCGTAGCAGGCGAGATCGTTCACATAGTCACCGGAGCAGAGGTCAAAGCCTGGCGCAAAGTTGGGGAATGGTGAGTTTTCTTCCCAGATGTTCATGACTTCGAATCCTTCGGGGCACAGGGGCAGTTGCAGCAACGTAGGAGGTCGAGGGACGCCTAGAGAGGCAGAGGCTGTGGGGAAGAGGAATGAGGGAGCAAGGACAAGAGGCTGGGAGAACAGAGGGGAGCGACCGAAGGGGAGCGGCCGAGACGAAGGTGGCTCACTTTTCCCGCTCGACTCCGACTCTGGCGCTGTTCCGCTGCATGCATGCATGAGATACTGACAGCAGGCCGAAGAAGTTTGATGAGGCAATGGCCGCTGAACAGGCGCGACCTTCCGCGCAGCGTGAGGCCAACGAGGAGGAAGACAGTGACGCCTCCTTGCCAGAGAACACCAACCGCCGAGTCGTCCACGCCGAGCCCAGCAGCGACGAAGAAAGCGACGGCGAATAGCGCAACGTTGCTTCCCAGCACGGGCCGTTCGTGTCTTATCATCATCGCACTGTTGTGCACAGTCGTTTCAGCCCAGGCGCCTCTGCCAGGTGCGTGTCGCGCCCTTTGAAGCGCGTCCGAGAAGCAAAGGCATCGAGGACGTAGCGACTCAGAGCTACATGTAATGGTTCGACCCCCGCCAGTGTGCTCCGCTTGCATTCTAAACGTCGTCTGTCTCGGGAGGTTACTCAGCGGGCCGCTGCGGGGCATTGTGATGCTCACACCACCCATTGATCGAGAAGAGCACAGCAGGCCGCGGTTTGGCTGGGCAGCGTTCCGCGTGAGTCGGAGAGGAGGCCGTGGGGGCAGACGGTTGGGCGGGGAAGGACTGGCTAGGGTGTGGCGATATGCGTTGGGCAGGCCCTGGGGACCGAGCGGGAAGGAGCTCACCAAGTCCATGCGGTGTGGTTTGCTCGAGGCGGATGCGAAGTCCGGACATAGCCGACGATGCAGAACGTCTCGTCTCTGCCGATTCCGTCTGTGTCACCGTGGGCATCGTGAATGGGGTACGGGAGATGAGCTGCGTCGCTGAAGCGGGTGGACATGTGGAGTTCAGGACCCCACCTGGCTCGCACGAGTATGTGCTGTTCTCGCTTGCAGGGTCGATTGGATGTGCTTCGACCTGCCTCATGTTCCTGGAGTTGCATCCAAGCCCCGAAAGGAATCGCCGTGCGGAGTCACTGTCCTCGTCGAGTGAAGAAGCGCGCACTGGTGCTTCGGTGCGAACCAGCGCCGGCGGTGAGACATCAACGTCGTCCGGGTATAGCGGCGGCGCCTGCAGCGGGCAATGAACGCGGTATCCCGGCCCGTAGCGCAGAACTTGCTGATAGCGAGTCATGTCGGTGATGTCGAGTGGGACGGTACAGGGGGCGAAGGCCTTCGCACGCTCTTATATGTCGCGACAGGACGTGCAGTGTCGGCTGCGTCGTCTCCACTCCGCCTCCAAACTCCATCTCCGCACGCCAAGACGTGCATGCCATGTCACCTGTCTTGTGCGGCGACTGCATGGCAAAACAAAGACGGCGGGGCGTGCCTGGGCAGAAATGTCCTTAGCGGACGCAGACGACGATCTCCGCTTTCACTGCTCATCTCCGTGCCCAGCCCTGCTGCATACCACCCAGATCGCAACGGTCAGCTCCTCCCCGGCCGGATGGCACCTGACTCGAGCTGCTCCAGATGCATGCGGACTTCGCTAACATACCCGCACTAATCGTAACGCGCAGACTGATGCAACTTGCCTCATGGAGCCGATGACTGCGACAGCTCCGAACAGCGCATTTTGGCTATGCACCATCGTCGTTGCTAGTCGCAGGGGTCCGGACGACATTCACCTAAGCGAAGGCAGCACGCGCTGCGGGACCGACATCGGCGGTAGGTCGCTGAGCGCTTTGGGGTGTGCGACCAACCGCTGTTCCAATGCATGCACTCCCTGCACTCAGTCCACCGCGCCGCTGCGACAAGTGGCGACCAGCCACCAACGCGCCGCTTGCGACAAGTGGTGACCAGCCTGCTCGTCGGGACCAGCACACCTCTCACCCTCTGATCCACCTCACATCTGCACCACGACTCCTTCATGTCCCACTCCGCGACCGTATGACCGCACGTATTCAGACGTCCGGCCTCTCCTCGATTGACAACAGGCATCTCACGGACAGCTGTACCACCTTTCCCACCGCCTAAGACTGGATCTGGCATAGGACGGCCTGCTCAAGCGCAAGGTGGAGGTGACGCGGCACGCGCGGCCTCCCAACCACCTTCCGAGAGAGCCCAGGGCCCGTAAGTCATCAGCAGCGAGTTGGTTACGCTGATCGCATGTGTGCCAGCACATTAATCTACACTGCCAGCATGCGCACTCCTGGCCGCAGCCCTCACGAGCACGTAAGACGCAAAGCTGCACTCTTGAGCCCGACGCCGACTCACTGAAGCGCGGAGCCGAGGTTATGGACGAGTGTCTCATGTCGCACACTACTCGAGCGGGCGCGTCCTATCCCCTTATGCGGCAAGGTCTCGGTATCACGCTGGGTCGTCGGCAAGCAGCTGTCATACCTCGGGCGGATGTGCCCCCCAACGCCGTCGCGACATACACGAAGATCGCACCGCAACGGCAAATCATCGCCGCATGCATCGACATCACGATCACGGGGCGGCGGTTGGAACAGCTGAGCTCACCAGCACACTGCTGTCTTCGACTTCTCCGACGTTCTTACACGAGGACTCTACGAGGTGGACGCTCTGCCTTCTTACCTTGTTCTTATGGCTGTGTGTCTGAATCTCCGGTGGCTCATGCCGTCGTTGGATGGTACCCACTCTCATCGCTGACTTTCGCGGTCGCAAGAAGGTCCATCATCATCACTACACCCATGCCAAACGCCATGAAACCCCATGATCCTCGCTGCTCGCTTGTCGATGCGTCTGCTCTAACGGAGGGAACCGCTCCCAGCAACAGCAAGTACTTCCAGGTTTGGCATCGCGCAGCAAGTGGCATCCTAGCGCGGCCCCGCACAGCAGACCTCCCTGCTTCTCCCACCTGCCGTTGGCCTCATCACATTTTTTCCTCTCTGCTGCGCATCCCTCATCTAGAATCCTCACACACCGTCACTCCTGTCGTCCCTCTTCTCTCTCGTCCCCGGTCCTCTTCCCACGCGAACGCGATTGCGGCGCGAATCATCCAGACGGCCCGCGCATGCGGCCGTCAAGACGTCAATGGTGCTGGCGCCGGGCAGACACAATACTTCGAGGGCGCCCTCGCAGACCCAGACGGGGATGTGCTCATCCGCTTCCGCTACATGCGCCCGTATGCCACGCTCTCGACGTGGGCTGGGACGCGAATGACCGCTGCGCGGTCAGGCGCAAGCGAGGCCACCTATGTCGACACGCAACAAAGGGGAGGTCACGCGCAGCACCTCGACGTGTGGCATGACGAGGGTCTTGGGTAGTATCTCTAACAGGCGCGACAATGAGTATACCTCAGGCCATCACGGCAATCAGAGAGCGCAGGCTGGGAGTGCCTGTTACGCGCTGTCGACTTGCGCTGGCGCTTCAGTTTGCGGGGCCGTGTCTCGAGGAGACAGTCATAGAAGTGGAGCGAGCCGGCCCTCAGAGCCGGCCAGTCACATGCGGACATCTAGTCGCATGCTGGGGCACGAGGAGCGCTACCATAACGAGCGCTGGGGGGTTTTTCGTGGGCGTGCGCGCGGCGACCGATGCCCAGCGCCTCGAAGGGGACAAGGCTACCTGGCAGCAGCAGATGGTGCAATCTGGCTCAGAGGCCGCACCGGAGGAGCTTGAGAGGTTGTGGTCGGGCAGGAGCTCGCCATCCTTCCGTGTGTACGTGTGTGCACTGGCATCACCTAATGGAGAAGCTGACGCCAAAGCCGCAAGAAGCTTAACATTGTCACGGCTGGGCTCCCACGAGCCCCATGCATCAGCGTGCGTTTGACAACAGATAACCCGCAACATCAGTGAGAAAGGTGAGAGTGACGCGAACACGTACATGGATAACTATGCTATGCCAACCTGAGATGTACACACCTGTACACTGTTCTGAGATACGACTCCTGGCGCGCCGCGACTCTGCTCGAAGGGTGCGCCTAGTACCCAGCATTCACCCCCGACACGTCGATCCCATGCTCCTTCGACAGCTCGGGGTACCACTTGCCGGCGACGTCGCGATGCGAACTCATGCGGTTGACAACAGCGTACAGCCCTGGGTTCTGCGCGTACAGCGCAGCGTACTGGAACCCAGCGGTGTCAGTGACGACAGTCGCTGGCTTCTGGTTGAGTATGTGCTGGGGCATCGGCGTGGGATAGAGTTTCTGGTCGAGGCGCGCGCCGTGGAAGTACGCGATCGAGTAGCGGGGACCCTTGCCCGGCAACGGGTTGAGGACACGGTGGGTGGTGGCGACAGCGACGCCGTCGACGAGGTACTCGAGCCCAGTGCCGATGTTGACGACGAACGTGCCGCGCATGGGGGTGGCGTCGATCCAGTCGCCCGCGTGGTTTTGGACCTGGAGACCCGGCATGTCGTTGGCCTGGTACAGCACGGTGAGGAGGTTGGCCGTGTCGCGGTGGGCGCCGACGCCCTGGTTGCCGTCCGAGGGCGCGAGCGCGTCCACCGCCGGGTACTTGATGAGCTTGGCGCGGTGCTGCTGGTTCTGATCGACGTACTTGTCGAGGGCGTCGGCGGGGAGGCCGAGCGCCTCGGCGACGAGGTGCGTCAGGCGGTTGGCGAGCTCGTGCGTCCGGTCCCAATACTCGAGGATGGCCTCCTTGAAGCCCGGGATCACGGCCTCATCAGGCCATACGTTCGGCCCCGTGAGCCGCTCGTACTCGGGCTGGCCGGGCTTCCAGAACTCGGCGAGCTCGTTCGCAAAGTCCAGCTGCTCGCGGTTGTCCTTCTTGTTCTTGGTGATCTCGTTGCCCTGCACGCTGTAGCCGAGGAACGTGGGGCTGTTGATCTTGTCCGCCTTGAGCTTCTCCTCGAGGGGCAGGTCAAAGAACTCAACGGCCTTGGCTGTCGTCGCGTCCAAGAACTCGACGGGGATGCCGTGGTTCTTGACGTAGAAGAAGCCGACAGTCACGAGCGCAGCCTGCAGATCCGCCAGCAGGCCCGCCTTGTCCGTCTCGACGCGCGAGAGGTCGAGCACGGGAATCGACTTGAAGTCGTCGGTGTTAATGGTCATCGTTGAAGAATGGGGACGGGAGGGAGGGGAGGCACGGGTTGAACCGAGGCACAGAGGGGCGCGTGATCGCGCGAGTGGAGTCCGGTCTTGGAGAAGTGAAGAGAAGTGAGTAAAAGATGAGCCTGCAACTCCGCGAAAGATTATCAGCCCGCTGCGCCACCGAGTGTGAGTGCGAGTGCGAGGGCGGTGGGCAGCATGCGCGGTGAAGTGCGCACCAGGACCGACCCGACAAAGATCTCTGTCAGCAGCCCCGAAATCAATGGCGTCATGAAAACAAATGAAAACAAATCTCCGCTCCCCGCCCACGCCGAGCTTCCAAGGCCCGAAGGCCAAGAACGCCACCCGGAACTTGGACGCGTCGCTACCGAAGATTCTGAGCACCGCAACCAGAAGAATCTGTCGCGCCGCGCTCGCTTGCAGCAGTCTCTCGAGATCCCGGCACTGCTGTTTGCGTGTTCGTTGACTGGACGGCGATGAAGCTTGGCCGACGCCGACATTAGCGGAGATCTCCGAAGACGCAGGGTTCAGGCATTACTGCTGTAATCATCGCCAATCTTTTATATCCGCTTTCCAGGATGTCTTTGTCCTTCGCCTTGGCCCTTGTCGCATTCTTTGCCATGCATGGTGCGAAGTGTGTGCATGCTTACAGCTCCTATGCATACAGGTGTGGTCGTACACTTGAGTTGTGTCTAGCTTTTATCATTTATCGTCGCACAGGCGACAGGTGACGCACGTCCACCTTCTCAGGCTCTGGGTCGAGGTCAGGCAGTGGCGCAGGCAGCTGCACAGAGTCCTCGCTCTGCCGCGCTGCCCACGATACACCAGGCATCTCGACCTTGAACTTGATGTAAAGGTCACCTTTGGATGCGGTTCCACGCACGGGCATGCCCTCGCCGTGAATTACGAGCTCATCGCCATGCTGGATGATGCGCTCGCCACGCTTCGACTCGACACGCAACCCTCGCCCATCAAGGTGGACGATGAGGATGCGCCTGAAGCCCAGCAGTGCCTCTGACAAGTTCAGGGTGGCCGTTGTCTGGAGATCATATGGCGACTGCGTAGGGCGCATGAATGTCGTGTGCGGCTTGATTCGAATGTGGAAGATGACATCGCCCGCTGGAACATCCGGCTGCTGTCAGATCACACCCATCGAGTGAAACCAATGAATGAGCATCACTCACCTCTTCGTCGCCCTCTCCCTTGAGTGCGATGCGCTCTCCGTGCTCTGTCCCAGGCTCTATCTGGAACTCGACCCTCTTCTTCTCCTTCATGACCTTCTTGCCCTTGCAGCGCTTGCAACGGTCTCTCTCGCGAATATGCTCACCGACTCCGTCGCAGTCGGTGCAGGTGACACGCATCTTCCCAACAACACCTGGTGCCAGCTGATGCGTCAGTGCGTTCTCAGAGCTCCACAGCGCATCCACTCACATGTCGGTCCGCGAACATGACGCCCTTGCCCTCACACTTGCCACACGTAGTCATCTTCATGCCCTCGCGTCCTCCTCGTCTTTTGTCAGTTACGCCTATTAACAAACAACGTACCCCTTGCACGTCTTGCAGATGCGGTCGCGCTCAAGGGCCATCACGACCCGCTTGCCTTTGTACGCCTCCTCGAGAGTAATCTGGTACTCAACGTCAGTGTTGTGGCCACGCGTTGGCCTTGGCCCTCGCCCTGCGGGGTCAAAGCCGAACGATGCGCCGCCGCCGCGGCCACCCATGCCAAAGCCACCAAACATGGCGTCAAACATGTCGAATTCGTCGGCGAACCCGCCACCTCCGCGCGGCGGCCCGTCCGGCCCATATCGGTCGTAGCTTTCCCGCTGCTGTCAGCTACTGCGGAAACCGTTGTGGCGCACAAGATTGGGGTCCATGAGCGTTTCGTACGCCTGTCCTATAGCCTGAAAAGTCTCATGCGCCAAGGGGTCGTCTGGGTTTTTGTCCTGTGGGTCAGCGGGTGGGCAGGGATGGGGCATACCGGATGGTGCTTCATCGCTTTTTTCTTGTAGGCGCGCTTGATCTCGACCTCTGTGGCCTCGACGTGAATCTCGAGGAGGTCATAATAGGCAGTATCCGCCACCACTGTGGGGTGAGCTCAATATGCAGCCCGTCAGGCTTACTGTCGGCAGTTCAAGATCGATATGAAGGTGGCAAAGAGCAATGACCACGGAGTGATGGAAATCTCGGACCTCCACCTGCCGCAGCTTGCACGTGGCTGACTTGAAAATTGGCCCCGCTAATGCTACGAGACGCGTTTCAGATGTGACCAAGTAAGGTTTGTATTGGAGCGGGAAGGGACGCGACCTCCACCCTGTGGGTTCACGCTGCAGGCACGGATCAGCGCGCGACGTGCTCCTCTTCTCTTTCTTGTCGAGCTCTTCATCTTCTTCATCATCTTTCTTGGTATCATCCTCTCTCTCATATCTCTCCATCGACAACAAGAACACGCCCTTTACGATCCTCGACCCCGTCTTGCCCGGAAACCTCCCCTGTATCCATTACATTGCCCAAAAACAGCTACGAACGCAACGCCCCCTCACCCACCTGCACCCCCTCACTGTCCCCCCGCTTCCAAACTTCACCGCACCTGGCGTCATGTCTTCCGTTGCCAAGCTGGACACTGGTGCTGACGTGGTTTCCGACGCTGCAGACGCACAGCCTGCTGCTCCCGCCTCGCACAACAGTTCCACTAAGCCCCGCACGGCCTCGACTTCGGGCGGTGGCCCGAGCAGGGTGCGCGCCGCCGCCTCCCTGTGGGAGAACAAGAGCTCGAGCTCGCCGGGGACCAAACCACCTGGACGGCCTGCATCTCCAGGAAGGCTGAAAGGGTCAGGCCGCGTGACGCCGAGCTCGGGCAGAGTAACACCTTCCTCGCGCCCCATCACCACGCGCTCGAACTCGAGCGGAGGCCGTATCCCTTCCACGACGTCGCCCATCTCGACCACTAAACGCACCCCGCTCTCACCCAAGCTCAATACTAACAACGGGCAGGCTGACGGGTTTGCGCCCAGCTCTTTCAAATCGACAAACAGCGAGCTCGAAGGCAGCTCGCCTCGCTCATCCACACCGCCGCCCTCCGTGCCATCCCCCACGCCGCCCGTGCCGCCCCTTTCTGCTGCTCTTTCGCCTGTGGAAACGGATAAGATTGAACTGCCCTTGCGTGAGGCTTCCTCGTCGCCAACCCAATCTCCAGCCAAGTCCTCCGTATCTCCAGCCACGACAAGCCTCCTCCCTCCCGCACCGATCTCGCCCGTCATCGAGCCTCCGTCTGCCTTGCTAGATCCTGCGCCCCTGATCGCTGCTGTGCAACCGGACTCTATTGTTCAACACCCTGCTTCCATGAACGTGGAAGAGAACACGCAGGCTGAGATAGTGGCGTTGAGCGCCTCACTGGAGTCGACGGCCGCGTTCACGGACACTTCCAGGGCTGCGAACAAAGCCATGCCAAAGGCGGCTACCAAGACGGTGCCAAGAGTCCAACGCAAGGCGGCGCCCAAGCTGGAGGAGCCGGCTGATGTCAAGCACAAGCTCACACCTGTGCTCGTAGACAAGCCCGCGATCAAGCTTGATGACAAGCTCAAGAACGCTATCAGCATCAAGCCCGCTGAGGAGGTCGTCGACGACGCTGCGAAAGATCTGACCATCCATGAGGAACAGGCATCTCCCGTCGGGCACATCCCAACTGAAACGCCCAGGCAGTCTGTCAGCGACGACGCCATGCCCTCGACTCGTACGCCTGCCGCAGCCGTTCCGCCACCTGCCTCCGCGCCATCCACACCAGCGGCGCCATCGCGCGTGGCAGGCGTCGCATCACTCTTCAGCCGCGTTCTTCCATCGTCAGCATCCTCATCAACCCTTAATCCACCTACAACCTCCACTGTCCTCTCCACGGGCGCTACGCCACCTCGCGAGTCATCCAAGACTGCTCTCCGGGATGAGCATGTCGACGAGGCAAAAGTGTCAGACGAACAGTGGGCCACAGCAAAGGGCAGGAGTGGTGATGCTGGCTCGAGCAAGGATCGCGAGAGCACGTCCGCCCCATCCCCTTCCCCCACCCCTACCACGAAGAGTCGATTCTTTTCCAGCGCGACGTCCGCTTTCAGCACGCTTCAGCTTCCGTCCGTCTCCTTGCCCTCTTTGTCACCGTCCTCCTCCCCTCAATCTCGAGCAGTTGACTCCACGTCGCCTCCAAACGAAGCCTCAGTCTCGCATCTCGCGCCTGCACCAGCCATGCCTTCGCCGGGACTGAGCGCGTCGCCTGGATCTTCTTGGCGCACCACAATGACGCATTTTTTGCAACGTGCGCAGCCGACGTCTACCACCCCTCCTCCCATCCCTGCGACACTCTCCCGCAACGGCTCTGGCACGGCCCAGACTCTGAGCCGCCTCGACTCGTCCGATCAGCACCACATTCGAGAGGCGGAGCAGGAGCCGCTAGGGGAGGGCTTTGAGCGTGTGCGCAACGAGATGGAGGTCGCAGCGCGTGAGATCCGTCGGGAGCGTGCAGGACGCGGAATCTCACAGGGCACAGACGAGAATGTCGATTGGACCTTTTGGGGAGCCGTGGTGCAGGATTATGATGCTGTCGCCAATGAGCGACCCAAGGAGCTGTCGCGCGCCATTCAGCAGGGCATTCCCTCGGTCATACGCGGTCCCATCTGGCAGCTCATGAGCGCGAGCAAGAACGCCAACCTCGAGGAGACTTACAAGACGCTGCTCAAGCAGTCGAGCCCATACGAGAAGAGCATTCAGAAGGATATCAACAGGACCTTCCCGTCGCACAAGTTCTTCCAGGGAGCAATTGGCCAGGAGGGACTATTCGTCGTCTGCAAGGCCTACTCCCTATACGACCCAGATGTTGGCTACACACAGGGCCTGGCCTTCATTGTTGCCACACTTTTGCTGAACGTGAGCTTGTCCGCTTTATCACGCTCACAGAAAGATGCCAGACGAGGAGGCGTTCTGTGTCCTTGTCCGCCTGATGTCATCGTACAACTTGCGGTCCCACTATCTGGACAACATGCCCGGGCTTCAGCTGCGCCTCTTCCAGTTCGACCGCCTTGTCGAAGACGTTCTTCCACTCCTGCACGCGCATCTTGTTCGCAAGGGCATCAAGAGTTCGATGTACGCGTCGCAGTGGCTTATGACATTGTTTTCGTACCGGTGAGCATCTAAGACCTTATCAATTGTTCAGCAAGTTGACCACAGATTTCCCCTGTCTCTGGTTTATCGCGTAACCGATATTGTGTTGGCGGAGGGCACTGAGGCCGTATTCCGCTTCGCGATCGCTCTTCTGCGCAAGTGCGAGGACCAGCTGCTCAAGCTTGAGTTCGAGGAGCTGCTAGCCTTCCTCACCGGCGACCTATACGAGTGCTACCGTGTGGAGTCGGAGGATGGAGAGGAGCAATGGCGCAGCAACGACTTCGTCCGCGATGCCTACGAGACCAGGATGTAGGTCAAACAAGCTGGAGTTGAGGCTGACCGATAGCACTCCACTCATGCTCGACCAGTACGAGTCGGAGTGGAACGAGAAGTGCCGCATTCAGACCGAGCATGTCCGCCAGTTGGAGGCGTACGCGCGTGAGACGGAACAGCTGCGTGGTGCCAATCGCCACCTTAGCAGCCAAGTCAAGAGTCTTGAGGCGTCGATCGCGACGATGAATCAGGAGCATGTCGAGCTGGTGCGCCAGCTCGTTCTTGCCAAGATCGCGAAGGAGGACATGGAAACGGAGCTCGTCAAGTACAAGGCGATGTGTGCTGCACTTGCCCAGGGTCGCGAAGACGATGTCGATCTTCCCAGCATCGCAAGCCGGGGGTCGCACTCGTCACTGACGCCGCTGCCGCCGAGCCGTCGGGGAAGCGCAGTGTACTCGCCCGGCTCACACACTCCAAACCTGTCGCCGCCGCGGTCGCCGGCGTCGGGGCTCGCATCGCTGAGCGCTTCGCCGTCGGGACGCGTCTCGCCCGGCCTTACTGGCCGGGCAGACTAGATGGCTTTGTAGACAAGACACACGAGTGTGTGGTGCAATAGGAGGCGGGTTGGGCCAAGATCACAATACATGGTACATCTATGCATGTTCAATAGGCATACATGTGCGCGGAGGCCCAGATCTACGGCGGCGTCGCTGAAGCTCGCTTGAGCTCAGCTTCATCGCGCCTTCACTGACTCTACGCGTCATAGTCCTCGTCAACGTCGACGTCGCGCTGGGGAGCGGCCCCGCCGGGCACAACCTCTTCCATCTCATCGTCCTCGCCCTCAGCGTCTTGGACCTCTGGCTCGTCGTCCTCCTCGCCATCCGCGTCGCTCTCGCTCTCGCTCTCCGACTCGGACACGCCGTCGTCGCTGAGCACCATAGCCGCGTCGGTGGGAACGAGATCAAACGTGACCTCTGTGAGGCGCTGCGACGCGGGCGGGAGGCGAACGACTTCGAACGACTCCGGCAACGGCGGGAGGGGCACGGAGTTGAGCTCATGTGCGAGATTGGCGAGATACTGTGGTCAGCGGGGTCAAGGCAGGCATTAAGAGGGAGAAGCGCAAAAGCCAAGATCCACCCAGATCCACTTACATCCCGGGGAGGCTGCTCGACGAATTCGTGCCGCCTGCGCATCTGGATGGCAAGCTCGACGTCCTCCTTCTCGATGCGATTAGCCTGCGCGCCTGACCGCCCCGCATGGTCGGCGAGCTGCTGAGCCGCGCCCAAAACATCAGCGGTGTACCCTGTGGTCAGTGTAGGTCCATCTCGAGAAGGAAGATGAGCGCGCGAGAGACGGGCAGGTGGAACTGAGGAGAAGGCGGCGCAGCGCATTGAGGGCGGCGGGCAATGCCACTGACGCGATAATGGCACAAATTGGAGCGCATCAACACGCCACACACGCCACACCAGCTGCTGTGGCTAACACAGAGCCGCCACGCATGCCCGTCGCAGCTAAGAGGCCCGTATGAAGGTGCGCGACTCACGGTGCGCGAAGTCGAGGAGCTGGTGAATGACGCGGTCATCGGCGTCGCTGATCCCCTTACTCGCGAGGATAAGGGCGAGAAGACGCCCGTCGCGTGGTACTGCTGTCAGCTCTGCGCTTCTTGAGGACCCACTTGGTCGCGCGGCGGTGGATGTCATGGCGTGGATGGATGATGTGGATGAAGCGAAGGCGAAGTGGAGGGATCGACAACAAACGTCGCTGGAGTGACGGAACCAGGTAGGGCATTAGGTCATTAGGAAGGTTATTAGTAAAGCCACGCGAGCATCGGTTTGCTTTGGATGGGCGTTGAGTGGAGGATGGAAGATATTTGGTCCCGCTTGCCACCCAACTTTCTCCACTGCTCGTCCTCACCGAATCTCCACCCATCATCAACGCCGTTATCAACAGTCGCCAAACCTGCAGCACCGCCTCCGTGATCAGAATCAACGAACAGAGTCAAAATCAGCCCAAGTGCGACACGATCTCACTTCTTCCCGTCCTCTTCGACGTCCACAGCCGATCTCCGCCCCCCTCCTGCTCTCCTCGAGGTAATTCACCCCGCCATGATCGCCAAGGACCCCCCGCAGGCTGAGCTTCATCTCCTTTGCCTCTCATCGATTGTCCGAGACCTGGTTGCCGCATACGAGGGCGCCTCTTCTTCGAACAACTCCGCACCGCCAAACCTACAGCGCCTCCGCGCCAAGTATGCGCAGAAGTATGGTCTCAAGGGTGTGCCACGGCTTACGGACGTGCTCGCTGCCGTTCCGGACGAGTGGAAGGACCGCCTCCGGGGCTGGCTCATGGCGAAGCCGGTGCGCACAGCGTCCGGCGTAGCCGTCGTCGCAGTCATGTGCAAGCCGCATCGGTGCCCCCACGTCGCCATGACGGGCAACATCTGCGTGTATTGCCCCGGTGGCCCAGACTCTGACTTCGAGTACTCAACGCAGTCGTACACCGGGTACGAGCCGACGTCTATGCGCGCCATTCGTGGACGGTACGACCCATATGAGCAGACCCGGGGGCGCGTGGAGCAGCTCCGCAGCCTGGGCCACTCGGTCGACAAGGTTGAGATCATCATCATGGGAGGGACATTCATGAGCATGCCGGAGGACTATCGGCACGGATTTATTGCTGGTTTGCATAACGCCCTCAGTGGCGCGACGACCGAGGATGTCGACGAGGCCGTGAAGTTCTCCGAGCAGAGCAAGACGAAGTGTGTTGGCATCACGATTGAGACTCGGCCGGACTATTGCCTCAAGCCGCACCTCAGGTGAGCCCCCCCCCATGTCAGTAGCGCTGAAACCAGCCAAATGCTGCGATACGGTTGCACTCGTCTCGAGATTGGCGTGCAGAGTGTGTATGAGGACGTTGCGCGTGACACGAACCGCGGACACACGGTGCGCGCTGTGTCGGAGAGCTTCCAGGTATGTTGCCCGTGTAACACAACGGGGTACCTCCAACGCAGGGGCTGACATCTAGATGGCCAAGGATGCCGGCTACAAGATCGTAGCGCACATGATGCCCGACTTGCCGAACTGTGGCATAGACCGCGACATCTGGCAGTTCCAAGAGTTCTTCGAGAACCCGGCGTTCCGCTCGGATGGTCTCAAGCTGTATCCCACGCTTGTCATTCGCGGTACTGGTCTGTACGAACTCTGGCGTACCGGCAAGTACAAGAACTACCCTCCCAACCTCCTGGTTGACATCGTGGCGCGTATCATGGCCCTTGTACCGCCTTGGACGCGTGTTTACCGTGTGCAGCGGTGAGTTGATGCCTGTCTTGCGTTTCACTAACTCCAGTGATATTCCCATGCCACTTGTGTCGTCTGGTGTGGAGAACGGTAACTTGCGCGAGTTAGCGTTGGGACGGATGAAGGACTTTGGCGCTGAGTGCCGCGACGTTCGCTTCCGCGAGGTGGGCCTGCACGAGATCCACAATCGTGTACGCCCTCAGGACCTCGAACTTCTTCGCCGCGACTACTCCGCCAACGGGGGCTGGGAGACGTTCCTCTCATATGAGGACCCCGAGCAGGACATCCTTGTCGGCCTGCTTCGCCTGCGCAAGTGCTCCGAGGCGACCTACCGCAAGGAACTCGTCGGGATGCCAGGTGGATGCTCGCTTGTGCGTGAGCTACATGTCTACGGAACGGCAGCGCCGGTGCATACTCGCGACCCGAAGAAGTTCCAGCACCAGGGCATCGGAACACTGCTCATGGAGGAGGCGGAGCGGATTGCGCGTGACGAGCACGGAAGCACCCGTGTGGCAGTCATCTCCGGAGTAGGCACACGCGACTACTACCGGCGCCTGGGGTATGTTTTGGATGGTCCATACATGGTCAAGGATCTGTAATGGGGCGCAGGTCGCGTGAGATGAATGTAGTACATATGAGAGAGGATGCGACCGAGTAACAGAGCAGCAACTTGGCGTCAGCGACGTTGCTGGGTAGCTTCTGCGGACCCGGAGTAGACTGTGCATCAAGCGATGCGTTGAGAGGGTGTATGCGGGAGGGCCAGGTATCTCGAGAGGCATGTAGGTGGGGGTGCTACATATACTAACGCAACAACCAAGTGCCCCACTCGCACTTTCATTATACCAACTGCCCCACTACTTAGGCTTCCACTCAATTTCGGCCGAAACACCCAGAACTGATGTCAATGGAAGAACTGGATGCGTCTGACACTACTGATGCTTATCGGTGCGTGTCACTTTGGCCGTCCTTGCAATTGGTCGGGGGTTAGCGGAGCGGGGTTCCGTACGGATTGCGGACGACATAGGTGGACGGTGTGAGCAACAAGAGATGGCATGCGTGGACGCTCGTGGTAGGAATCTCTATTCAGCGGGCTGATTTAGGCACGGCCGCCGGCTGGCTGAGAGTGGCAGCTATGTCACAGCGGACACTTTGGGGGTTTAGTGTGGCAGTGAACCCTGGGCCGAATGTTGGTGTATGTTCGTATCGTGGCATGTGGCACCTCTGCGCCAGACGGCTGCAGGTAAAGAGTCATTCGCCGGGACTGCGTGGAATCAACATACACCAAGGCTGGCATTCTACCAGTTGGACATTTCCGGACACAGTGGGCCGGCGACTGCAAGATCAATTGTACCTCATCGTACTGGCCTTCCCGCCGGACATCCAAGCAAGGTGACTCATCTACCAAGTTACCTGGCAAGCCCGGGGACCACAAGATCAAGTCGCGGCTGGACTCAGTGGCATCGTACAGGTGCTCCTAGGTGACTAAGTGCAACCCGTTGGGAGGGTGGTATTCGTATTGGGCCCTCCCCGAGGACAGGATCAAGGGCATTTCACTTCATTCCACTCCCGTGGCATTCACTAGGAACCTGGAATGTGGCACCGTCAAATCGTCACTAGGAACCTGGAATGTGGCACCATCAAACCGTTGACTCGGTGTCCGAGGAGGTATTAGCAAATCAACTGCGAGCGGGGAGGGTGCCTATGTTTTCGAGAGGGATGACTGATGCAGGTGTTCAATGAGCATGCGTCAAGCACTCCACGGACGTGTCCAACTCGTCTCAGGGTCACTGGACCCGCGACTGATTTTACAAATGGCAAATGCCGAAAAGATACGAAAGTGGCAATGCCTGTTAGTGGCATCAGCGTGTGGCAGTTAATTCAACTGGCGGACGTGGTCAAAGAGAAACAATACAGACAGAATGGGCTACGAATAGTCCTTTCCTTGCAGTTCAAGACGTTGACGCAACCCATTGCTAGTCGCAGTGTGGCGATTGCGCAGTACGGGACTCGGAAGCGAGCCGCAAAGGCAGGACATTGACACTGAATTGCATTTACAGTGCTAAAAGAGACATCTGCTCACCTGGCTCGAACTGCCTCGCTGAAGACCTGCTCATGAGTCAACCAGCTGCGATCGGTGAACCCTAGTCCCATGAGCGGTTGGGAGGGGGGGGGGGAAAACAACACAAGCTCTGAGAGCGCCTTGCACTGTCAATGATAAAAGCCCTCGCCCCCCCCTTCTTCTTCTTCACTAACCAACTTCCTCACAACCTCCAACCTCACCACCCAACGCTCACCGAAGCACCCCTAAACACCTCCAAACCTTTACCAACCAACTCCACAACTATCGCTATGTCTGCCCAGACTTCCCAGACCAACGGTGTAGCCCCCCAGCGCGCCAATCCCCGTGCTCCGGCCTGGCACACCAGTGAGACGGCCGTTGACCTTTTCTACGAGGCGCAAGACCTTGCTCGCGAGGATCCCACCATGCTCGCCCTCCAGAGGTATGTTGAACGCTGCTCCCCGAAGCATAGCTCCCCACACTCTCCACAGACTAACAGTAGCACCATGACGGACCCGCAGAACCCGCATCTTTACATGGAGAAGCGCTGCGAGGTCCTAGCCTCCAGGCTCCACAAGATCAGTACCATCCTCAACAACCGCCAGGTCATTGAGGCGGGCACCATCGAGGCTCTCGCCCCCAGCGGTGTCAAGCTCACCAAGATCCTTGGTGCCGGCTCCTTCGGCACTGTCTTCATGACCGATACCGAGGCTGTGGTGAAGGTATCTCACAACATAAGCGGCGTCCGCCACGCTTTTATCAACGAGGCCTTCATCCTCAAGAAGCTCAACGGCATCTCCCAGGTCCCAGCCGTTGTCTTCACCAAGGTGGCGCACTCGTTCCTCTACCTCGGTGTAGAGGCAGCTGAGTACGGCACGATCTACGACCAACAGAAGTCTTACCAGTACACCGACGTCGAGCTCCTGGCTGTAACCTCGTGAGTAGGACAGACACCACTGCTTCTTTCATCAAGCGATTGCTGACTTGACTTGCAGGTCCCTCGTGAACACACTCTTTGACGTTCATGAGCGCAATGTTGTTCACCTCGACATCAAGGGTGACAACGTGGTGTTCAGGAAGCCAGCCAAGCAGAACTTTCAGAGTTACATCCTCAATGGTCGCGAGCCCAGCTTCATCGACTGGGGCGCAGCGGATGTCTGCGAAACCACGATCCCCAATCGCACTTGCGGTACCCCCCTGCGTCTTGCCCCTGAACAGTTGAAGAAGGACGGCCGCCTTTCCAAGGCGACCGATATGTGGGCCCTAGCAATCGTGATCATTGAGATGGTAGAGGGCAAGGTGTTCGAAAATGTGGTCAAACACGGAACCCACGACGAGCTTGGCCTCCTGAAGTGCCCCGAGCGGGCTTCAGAGTATGTGGCGCGCGGCCTGAAGCGAACGTGGCTTCAGAGCCCTCGTTGGGAGAGTGATATTGGCAAGATTTGTAAGTCTGTCCCCCACTGCCGTGCGCCGTGCTGACTTTCTAGTGCGCACAATCGTCGTTGAGTGCATGTTTCTCGACCCAGCAAGCCGGCCCACTGCCCACCAGCTCGCCGTGTACTTGGAGCCCACCTTGGCGCAAGTGCACGCGGAGCTCATCACCGCGGAGCAGCAGTCTTTGGAGCTTGAGGCCGACGACGTGGGAAACGCCGAGGCCAACGCCTCTATCCCCACCATCCCAAGCCACCCCAGCATGCTCACTGTCAGTCCCATGACCAGCCTCGTATCCACGACCTTGGGCACTCCCCTTACAGTCGTCTCAAAGCTTGACAGCTTTGAGGCGACTGGGAGTATCATGACGATTCCCTCTCGGGTTAGCAGCCTCGGGTGCCAACAGAACTCTATCCCCGTGGTCCTCTCCACCCCCGCGGTCGCATCCATGCCCCCGGCCTCTTTTACTCCGGCGATCGCATCCTTGCCCCCGGCCTCTTTGACTCCGGCGGTCGCATCCTTGCCCCCGGCCTCTTTGACTCCGGCGATCGCATCCTTGCCCCCGGCCTCTTTGACTCCGGCGGTCGCATCCTTGCCCCCGGCCTCTTCTACTCCTGCGATCCCCTTCACCCCGGCGGTCACTCCCATCCCGGCGGTTCCAAGCAACGACGAGGACGTCGAGTACGTCTTCGTGCAGCCCTCTGATGGCGCCGAGTACCTCTTCGCCCAGCCCTCTAAGGCCGAGAAGGAGCTCGTCCTCGTCCAGCCTGAGGGCAAGGACGAGCTGGTCTCCGTCAAGCCCGCCGAAATCCAGGACGCACCTGCCACCAAGACTGGCTTGAACCGCAAGCGCTTGCGCACCCAGATCGCGCGCGCGTGCAAGGCCACCAAGCGTGCCCTGTGCGTCTTCGGACAGAGCTGTGTGGAGTGACTGGAGATGAGGGGGAGTGGGGGGAAGGAGGAAGGCGGCAGTGGTGGTGGTGGTGGTGGTGGTGGTTGTGGTTCCGTGTCTCTCATGTCGTGTCTTAATAGCGCTTCCCGTCTCGGTAATAAACGTTTCGGTCGTGAACCTGATGTATGTGGTTAATTCTCGCGAGGTTGGACGTGTGGACGAGTGGACATGGTGCAACTGACTGAGCTGTTGCAATGTGTTTGCCACCCGTCAATGCTCTGCGGGTCACTGATTGCTGGGCTTCACTGTCGCGCGGTGTTTGACGTGGCCGCTCACGGCGGGAAAGAGGGCTCGTCGGCATGCAGGGTGCAGGCTATCGTGTCCACAAGACTGCGATAGTGGCGAAGGGTGCGCATGAGTGACCGCGGCCACGCCTCCACTTCCACCGCCCCCGCTGATGTCATGCGCTCATGTGGTGCTGAGAAGCATTTTGGATGCTATTGAGGTACGTAGGGGTGCCTGAGGCGTGGATATCTCACGGCACAACATGATCACGGACCAGGAAGGCAGGCTTTGCCGCTGGTCTCGTGCGTCCAGGGTGGGTGACGGCCTGAGCAGTTGTCACGATCAATGCACCAAGCGCACAATGCGCGCCGGTGCTGCGAAATTGTGGCGGCGGGTTTCGTCAGTGGCGTCGACGGGCGTCGACGAGTGCGAAGGCGAGGGGTGGTGCTAGAACGTGAGGTGTGACATGTGGAGCGACATGATGTGAGATCTGCCCCGGCTGGGCGGTTGCCTGAGGTGCCATATGATCTTGCCAAGATCACCCAGAAGCGGCGACAACAACGTTGTACCCCGCGGAGGGCTTAGGACGTCGCTGTTTGTCGTGTAATATATGTAAGAGGGTGTAGTGCAGAGCGATATTTGAGGACTGGACGGCGCGTGAGTGTGGAAATCAGCAGTTTCGGTGGGCCCAGTGGGAGCTATACCCTTCCCTCCCACCGCTCCCCCAATCATCCATGCATGCAAACAAAATGCTTTCCACAACACCGAATGCTCTGGATTGTGCCATAAATAGTTCGATGCATGCATTGCGCACTTTGGATGTAAGACTGTAGGAGGCAAGAATATGCACGGTGGAAAATTGGTTCCGCACAGCGAGGGCGGCGCGGATGGAGGCACGCATGCAACTCCACCTCCAGCTTGCGTTTGGCTGGTATATGTATGGTGGGGTGGCATGCAGTTTATCTGGAGCGGAAATGTAGATTGGCACCCAAAAAAAATACCCCCTAGCTGAGTGGTCTGTTTGGGTGCAGATCGTGGGCTAAAATCCTAAGGACCGGGTCATCCTAGGCGGACGGGGGCGGGACGAGCTCATAGGTTCGAAGATCGATCCGCTACGTGAGCAGTTACCGGCCTTGACTACAATCCTTTTGTGGTCCACTGGGTCTGACTAAGGTGGGCCTGGGGGGAGATAAAGGTTGGAAAGGGGCAGAAGACTTCACGTGCAATGCAGGAGCATTTTCGGGCAGGGCCAGGTGGCCGGTCACCGAGTTCATGTCGACCCGTCCACCCCACGACGTGGAACATGTTATGGTGGCAATTTTAGTGTCAACGGCAATGCATTCATGCATAGAAATATGTACGGTTGGTGCATGTTGGCGAAGACAGCAAGTGGTAATTTCCTGTGCATGCATCAGTGGATGCATGGGTGGCAACTTGGAGAAGACGATGACGCATCGTACGACCCTTCCCTGGGCCCAATATACGTGGCGTGGATATCACCCTCTGGCCTCTGCTGAATCCGAGAGACGTCACTAAGCGGGCCCGAACAAGTGCCTGAAAGAAGTGACGCGTCGACGCGTCCATTCGCGACCTCCACCCATTGAAACGCACAATGGCAACTTAACCCCCCGATCCGCGGATCCGCAGTACCTTGTCACGACGTCACATCCACGCATTCCAAAATCACAGAAGGCATGGAGGGGTGTACACTACATGTGGAAATAATGGGTGGCGCATGGCGCAGCAGGAACGGCTTGGGTGGCGGCCTCGGACCTTGGTCCTTGGGAGGAAGGTGGTTGATTTGGGGATGGGTGGATCCGCGGCCTACCTGTCCTGGATCGTCTTCGCAAATTCCCCACAAGCTCAGTTAGGTGTGGCAAACAATGGGAGCAGTTTCAATGTCACAGGAGCGCGATGCATAGCGCTGCAGCCGAGGGGGCGGAGTCGGGCTGTAAGGCCCCGGAAAGGTGGGAGGGTCTGGTCCCGACACCAGGTGGTCTCCGGCCGTGGTAGGCCAGCACGAATGCCTACATAATGTGCAGCTTTAGCCTGACGCGCCCGGACTCATGCTCCGCGTGTTCCGTGTGCATGGCGTGGCGATCAGGGGATGCGCGGACGTGGTGAGGGCCTTGGGGACGGTGATCGGCGGTGGCGTGCCCCATGCGTTCTCCGCCTTTTAACAATTGCTGTCTACGCCCGAGACCGGAAAGAAGCAGATCACACGCTTGCATGAAGGTGGGCGCTTGTGATGATGTCATGATGCATGGCGGCGAGTGATCGTCCACGGTCGACGACAAGATGTGGCGTCCGCAGTAGTGGCGGAGCCGGCAGGCCGATGTGCTTGGTGGCCGAAGTGCCAGCGGATCAAAGACGCCGCCGAGATATTTAGAGCGCGCAGACACCTCTGTGCCTCTGGACATGGTGGGCCGAAATCGTCCCACCTTCACCGGGTGAGCTTGGCGCTCATGTCCAGAAGCGAGAAAGGTGTCCAATATCCAGAACCAGGGGTCGGCGGCGACAGCGGCGTTTTTTACTACATTACTTTGCGCTGCACTCATATAGTATATAGCATATGGCAAGAGGGCAACATGTACACTGTGGTGGTGATCACCTCGCCATGTCCTGGCCTGACCCAAGCAGGTCCGATCCTGGCGTACTGGCGTACTGGCGTCCGGCACTGTGCTGCGAAAACGCACACAAGCCGCCACATTCGGCCGTATGTGAATCGAATTGTCTCCGTTGTAGCCAGCGCCTTCTATGAACTATGCAGCGCCGAGACCCGAGCACATGAGCCAGGAGCCATTTCTAGCAATCACGGCAATTGCGTTGCGCACACTGCACCAAATTTAGGAGGTACTCCCGTTGAGCCGCGTCGTGGCGAATTGTGGCACGGACATTGTTACCATACTTCGTCGACCGCCGCCAAGATCTGCGCTACAGCCACCTTTGTGCCTTTCCATTTTTGGTAGCGGCACGGTGTCACAGCTGGTACAGCTGACGCTCACGCTCATGGCAATGCAGACGGCCAGCGAGGGGATACCTTCCCCTTATGTGACACACCACAGCACGTTGAGGCACGGGGCGCAGATCAACAGGCTGCGGAGGGCGATCGGGCGCGATTGACAGTGTCAGAGCACAAGGTGCCAAGTCGCACTGACTATCGCTGAATGTTGTCATCGACGGGGCGCAATAGAGAAAGTGTAGCGCATGTGCATATTCTCACTGTCTCCCGCCGCCATCGTGGCGGGCCTGATCCCCCGTCATGGCGGCCGGCTCAAAGTCACGCAATCATTACGCACACGGCGTTTTCATTCACCATTGCATGCATTGCACACATTAGACATTTAATTAGCGTAACATGTGGACGATGACTCTGAAGATCTGAAGAGGGCTAGTGAACGGGAAGGTCGACCATCATAAAATCCATAAGTGGTAAAGTGCGCTCTGGAGAAGGCTATAGGCATGTCAGAGGGAGGGGCGCTAAGTAAGGCATAATGCAACGAGGCAGTGGAGTACAGCGCCTACAGGCTCCGTCATTCTACAGAAATTTCCATGTTGCGATGCAATGACCTGGTGACTGGTGCGGTCGTGGTGACGATCACGACGATAGGATCGCGATCCCAACTCCATGAAAGTTGGGCCGGCAGCCTGCAAGTCACGTGAGGCCGAACACGCGATTCTCGGCTGGTTGATTTAAAGAAGTCACTCCTCTCAGACACGTCGTCGTCACGTGTAGGAGATCTGCGAGGTCACGTGGACTCGCCATGTGTTCAACACGTGCGTTTTCACATAACCACACGTAGCATGCACGTGGCACCTCACGCCTCACTTCCCCCACCCACCTCCACCAATCGACTCGACTCGGAAGCATCCTCCCGTCTCGGCATTCCTCCCAAATACCCGGCGACCCCCGCTGCCGCCCAACCTCCGCTCGCACCCAGACGAACTCCACCTCGCTTCTCTCATCTCTCATCAACTTGCTTCTCATTTGTCTCGCGGCGTCGGCGTCATGCGCCTCCTCCTTCCCCTCCCCCTCCCCCTTCTGGCGCATCTCCGCGCGAAGCCACCCACGCTCCTGCGCCCACACCCTCACTCCGCCGCCATCGCATCCGCCGCCCGCCTTCGTAGCCCAGACTTCAGTCCTCCACGGGACGAGCGCCCGCCCCCGCCCTTCGCGCCGCTCACGAGGCATACAAGTGTCCAAGATCTGGAGGAGGGGAGCGAGGCAAGCGACATCCGCGGATCGAGCAGCAGCTCAAGCAGCTCGACCTCGAGCTCAAGATCGAGCTCGAACAGTAGCTCGTCCAGCGCCCGCGACACGGGACAAGGCCTCCGCCCTCCGACAGAGGTACGTGCCCATGCTTCTCTCGATGGCTCACCCCAGCCGGGCCCCGCCCTTGCTCTCGTCCTCCCCGCCAACCTCCGGATGGGGTATTCTTCCGCGTACCCCGAGCTGACCACGCTCATCGCCCGCGTCGCGACGCTGCACGCCATGCACCGGCCGGAGCAGTGTCCCGCCGCTGCAGGCCTCTCGCGCCTGCGCATCGGCCCGCTCCTCGGCGCAGGCCGCACATGGACCGTGTACGGCGCGAGCGCCGGCGCGTCCCGCATCACCAGCAGTTTCGGGGAAGACCCCTCGGCGCCGGGCGAGCCCTCGATGGAGCGGCGGCCCGACACGCCTTCTCCGCGCCCCTCTTCTCCTGCCCCCGACTTTCCTCCGCTCGTAGTCAAGCTGTTCTCGCCGGACATCGGGCCGTTCCCCCGCGCCGAATCCAGCGCACGCACGAAAGAGTCCGAGACGAAAGCAAATATGCGCGCCGCACTCTCCGAGGCGGAGATGTACGCCGGCCCCCTCCGCGCCTTGCAGGGCTCCGCCGTGCCGCGGTACTTCGGCCTGTACTCGGGCGCAGACGACGACGGGCGCTGGCTATACGCGCTCGTGTTGGAGCGCGTGGGGCGCGCGATCCACCGCCGCCGCGACGGCGGCAAGGGTAGCTGGGAGGAACTGCTGCCGCAGCAGCGGCGCGCGGTCGCGCAGCTTTATGCGCGCGTGCATGACGCGGGTGTTGTGCATGGCGACATGGAGCTGCGGCATATCCGGCGCGAGTTGGGCGAGAAGGGCGGCCTGCGGCTCATCGATTTTGAGGGGGCACGGCATCGGCCCGAGGGCGTGGAGGGGGAGCGCGCGGAGCTGGACGGATGCATTGGGCCGGAGTGGCGGAAGTGGCTCGCGTAGGTGTCGGTTTTGGGGCAGGGCGGGGCTAGGCAGGACGGCATGGAGTAGCACGGTGGCATAGGTAGCTAACATCTGCATGGCATGGTATCTCGTACTACTTTACGATCACCGCCTGCCATTCATTCTCCGGGAGCCGCAGACTTTGCTCGTTCGCGCGGAGGGTAAGGCAACAGTGGCGGATGAGTTGGGTAGACGGCGAAATGGTGTGGGTGTGCGAGATGAGCCGACCCCAGGTGACAACCTGGCGATGGACGCAGTGGGAGCCACTGCCACCGTGCGTGACGAGGGTCTCGGTGGCGACTTGGTGTTCAGCACGACGGATCACACCACTTTGGACCCATTGGCAGCCTCGTCGCGCTCAGCGACGATGCGCGCACGCACACGGGTCAACGCCTTGCCAAGTCTGCCGTGAGCCCAACGCCGCATGCCTGACGCTTGCTGCACAACTCACCGGTTCTGGCCCCACTGCGCCTCGCGCCCACGAGCGCGCTCCCATCCCATCCCGATACCCCAGATCGCGTCTCGCGCCGCAGCCTCAACGAGCGCCTTTGTCCCCGTGCGAGCAGGCGAGAGGACAGCCCACGCGTCGGGATTCTGCGTGAACTTGAGATAGTTGCCCTGCTCGACAATGGCGTCGCACCGCGCCTCCCATGTCTGATGTCAGTGTCCAGCCTCCCTGCTCGACTCCCTCTCAGCTCGTCATCTGATCAGCTGCCGCATACGCGTTCCGCAGGGGAACAGCTACCCACCTTCGGGGAAAAGTTCGCGACTTTGCGTCCCAGCGCCTTGGCTTCCCTCGGCCCCGGGGCGGCGAGGATCGCGGGCGCGGCGGCGGGCTCGAACAGCATCGCCTTGTGATACATCATGTAGTGCTCGGCTGTGGTGAAGGTGTGGGGGCCTTCTGTGAAGGACGTGAGGTGCCACTGGCTGAGCGCGCCGGTGGGGTTCGAGGCGGCGTGCCCGTAGAAGAAGTAGTACGGGTATGAGAGGTCGTCGTTGGGATGAGGTGCGGCGGGCTTGGGCTTGGCGGAGGCCGGTGGGGCGCGCTTGGAGGAGGATGAGGTCATTGCGTGTCTGGAGGGCGTAGAGTTGGGTGTAGAGGACTTCTTGGAGCGTGCGAGAGAAGAGCGAGTGACTGGCATGGTCTTATGCAAAACGGGGAGGATGGAGCGGAGCATCGAGTTGAAAGTGAGTCGCGTCTAGATGTAGAGCTTCAAGGGGAACGGGGAACGGATCCGAGTTCTTGGCAGACTCGTCGATCGCCATGTCAGGGACCCCGTATATCTTACACCGCCATCAGGCAGAAATCAGCTGGGCGCGAACGACGGCGGTGTGGGTCGAGGGTATGCCTCTGATGCGTATGGTAGATACATAGCCCGAACGCGTCGACGGGAAGGAGGGGTGGACCGCCATGCACAGCCGGCCGGCCACAGAAGTCCGCTTCCCTTGTACGCTATGACCTTCGAAGACCGCCAGCAGCTAGGCCAAACGCGCCGCCTTTGAGCACCTTGTTTGCGTGCCGGAACGTGAGACTCACGCGAGTGCCGCGCTCATATGTGAAGGCATCGCGAGGAAGCGCGTCAAGGCCTAGCAAACTGGCGTTGGCGACAACGTTGGCGTCTGCCTTGGCCTTGGACGTCGAGCGAGGGAGCTGATCAGCTCCTCCTTCGTCTCCGGCTGCGGCTTGATCCGGCGCGGCAACGTCGGAAGCAATGGCTTCCTTCTCTTCCCGCTCCGGGGCGATGAAAGAGTCACGCTCACGCGCGGCAATACCGTGCAAGTGTGAGCTGTACAAACTTCCCGTGAGGATGAAGAGCGAGCGCGGCATCAGGAGAACATGCCCTAACGGGACAGCCGCGATCGCCCGACCAGAGTCGCCCTCTGTAGCTATCATCGGAGGGGATGGCGCAGTGGGGGAGACGTAGTGGTGGATGTCAAGGATGGTCGGCGCGCCAAGAGAAAGCGTCGCGACAAGCGGCCGGAATGCTGGGCCATCCTCGTGGGGCTGGTGTCAGCGGTCATAGGAAAGCACAAAGATAGCTGTGGGAGACACACACACCGTGCTGTCTCCTGACGAGCACCCGTGTCTACAAGCGTACACACAGTGTTCGAAGCGTACGAGCGACTGTTCCACGAAGCTGACTCACCGAGATCCCCTGTCCCGAGTGATACTCGTTCACAAGCACTTGGTTGATGCCGAGCACGCGATCCTTGCCCTTGGCATCACCGGACGGGGCCTCAGCCGCTGCGTCGAGGAAGGCGTCGATCCGCTCCACAATGTCGGGGCTGTCGTCAGCCTCCGCAGAGGGAAAAGCGGCGCCAGAGCGACAGGGGCTGGACGACACCATTCCACCGGACATGATGAGGAGCATGCCGCTGGCGTCCCAAACGCCAGCTCCGGCAACCGTGCACCCCATGATGAGCACTCACAAGGTCGATAGCCAGTCGGGCATGGGCTCAGGCAGCAGCACCGAGTTCTTGCTCATCGTCCCGCCTAGCGTCAGTGTCTCCCCACCCGCCGCGTCCTCTGTCACGGCCCTCGCCAGCCTTGAGTTGGCACCGTTGCTCCACAAGCCGCGCGTCGCTGTTCCACACTCACCCCAGTAACACAGCCGCCGCCCCGACCCCACCGTCTTCCACTTCGGCTGCGGCGTCTCGCCGACTTTGCGGAGAAGGTAGGCTTCTTCCTCGGACGTGATGAAGTCGGGGATGCTGGTGTGAGCGCAGTGGGGGAGTGACTCACTAGTAGCACGCCGGGGGAAGGAGGGGGACGCGGTGTGATTCGAGTCCTGCGAGTTTGGGAGGGTCTGACATTGGGAGCGCTGAGAGAATGACGGGGAACCGATGAAAGCGAGAGCAGGACGATCAGATGTGATGAGATGCGATGCGATGTGATGAGAGACGATGAGTAGATCGATGTGGTGAGTAGAGTAAAGATGAAGGAAGAGTGCAAGTCTGAACGACAGGACGACTACGAGCTCATGACCAACCTCCACCTCCACTGCGTCAGCGTCATCGACTTTTGAGGCCAGGTGCGAGTCCATCGATCCACCAACCCACCGGTCCAACTCCGCTACATACATGGTACATCTATGCTCTATTCGCTACTGGTCGTAATCATGACTGGCTAAACGTGAATCTCGACACTGATCTCTTCGCGCGCTCGCACCGATCACCGAGCTCTCCACGCCCGCTCCACTCAGCGTGTCTTGGCCTTCTTGCCGTCCTCCTTCTTGCCGACGAGCCACTCGAGCCCGAGGCCCTTGGTGACGGCCGCGCGCACATAGTCCTGCACCGTCGCGCCGATGCCGTCCTGCCCCGTGGCGGGATTTCCAAAAATCGCGGAGAGTATGTCTGGCTGCGGCTCCTTGTGGGCGGCGCGGTGGGTGCGCGTGCGGGGGTTGGCGTAGTGCGTGCCGGCGCGCGTGCGGCGGCCGCCACCGGCACCTGCGCCAGCGGCGGCACGGGCGCGGCCCGCGGCACCGCCGTCAGCCGGTGTCAGGCCCGCGTACGCCTTCAGCGCTTCGTAGACGACCTCGATGCCGCCTTGTCCGGACGCGGCCATGATCCAGGCGATGATGGCGATGACGGGGCCGATGCGGAAGCAGAAGCGGATGAAGCGCGCCGTGTAGCTCACCATGCCTGTCACAAAGGCGTAGACGATGTACAGGGCGAGCAGGAAGATGAGGTATTGCGCGTATGGGGCGACAACGCGGAGGAGGGGGATAAGCGAGTCGGGGCGGCGCAGGTCGGGCGGGTCCGCGATGATCGCTTGGATGTCCTCGGGGAGGTAGGGCGCGACGTACTGGTAAAACAGCCTGTGGGCGAATCCTGTCAGCATGCCGCGCGGAGGGGGTGGGGTGGAGAAGGACTGGTGGGAGTGGTGGGCACCGTGCGGGTAGTGGAGGGCGTGTTCGGGGGCCAGCACCATATCGTACCCGCCGCTGGGGGCGTGGGGGCGGGCATGGGTGTGGACGGGCACGCAGTGGGCGCATGCGCATCCGCTCGGAGCGTACAGCGTCGGCGTCTCGCTTGCGGGATAGCCGTAGAACTGGCAGGGCGGGTCGAACTCGGCCTCAGCTTCCATGTCCTGCATCTCCTGCAGCTCGTCGGTATCGTACTCGTCCGAGAGGGGTTCGGAGGCGCTGCCAGAGCTCGCGAGGTGCGAGCTGGGCGGTGACGGGCGGAGATCCACAGGGTCGACCATCTCCATGCCCTCCGTGACCGGAGAGGGGACCTGGGAGTGGGCGAGACCATGGTTGGAGCGCGAACGTGGGATGTACGAGTACGAGGGCGTGGGGCCGAGAGACGAGTGTGAGCCGGATCTACTCATGCCACCGCCGCGGAGCGAGCTGTTGGAGCTGCTGTGCCGCAGAGAGTGGGTGCTGCTGCTCGTGCTCATCTTGTGGGCGTGTCCGCGGCGGGGTGTGCTCGTGCCCGAACCGGCGGGAGAGCCGCTCGGCGTCTCCCAGACTTCTCGACGACGGGGTGTGGTGGCCGGCGACGCTCTAGCTGGCGTTGGGGGTTGGACGCGATAGCTGGGCGGCTGGGAGCGCGGCCAGGTGTCCGATGCTGATGTTCGGAACGGCATGATGTGTGATGTTGTGAAGAGAGTGGATGGTTGAGAGTGTCGCGAAACCCGGTGATCCAGTGAGAACCAGTGGAGGGTAGGGAGGTGGAGAGGGGAATGGGAGACAAACAAATGCAACTCACTCCATGTCACGCAGTTCAACTTTAGCTTTGAGCGTTTCCGAAGGGGCGTGCGGGGGTTCGGGCGGCGGATGGTCAGCGGCGGTATGCACGGGCGGGGTGGGCGGGGTGGGCGACGCGGGCTATTGAAGCAGTGCGTGCTGGAGAGAGATAGGAGCAACGGGGCAACACGGGCTTGCAAGAACGTGTCATGACGAAAACATCCACCGATGGAGTGGGACGAGCGTGGGAATTATTCCACTGTGCCTTGCTATCTCCCCCTAAACACCACCCCATCCATTAGTCGTCGCCCTCCCAGCCATCCTCGATGCGACCCACAACACCACACCTGCTGACATGCATCTTCTTCGTTCAGACACTCAGACAGGAACTCGCACAGGACAGACACAACATAACATCTAGTTCCTTGCCGCCCCCTCTTGCAGGAGCCCTTCACTCTCTTTGACAACCTCAGCCCATACTTCCTCCACATCCCGCTTCGTTGTTCGGAGGGCGCCTATCGCGAACCGGATGCAGAATATCTCGCCTCCGTCCTCCGACTTGAGGATCGTTTGTGTCAGGTGCACGTCTGGGCGCGCGGCCAGTCGCGAGTTGAGCTCCACATTGAGCCCGTCCAGCTCGCTTGCGCTGGCGCCCGCGCGCTTCAGTCTGAAGCACAACAGGCCGAGGCGCTGAGGCGCGACAATCTCAAACTTGGAGTCTTGAGACACGACCGCAGTGAGGTCCTGGCACAGGTTGATGCCATTCCGCAGGTGCGCCTGCAAGCCCTCAATACCGTAGCCACGCATCACAAACCATAGCTTGACTGAGCGGAATCGGCGGCCCAACGCCAGCTGCCAGTTGCGGTAGTCTATAACTGCGCCCGCGTCGGCCTCTTTAGTGCGCAGGTATGCGGGCGTCACGTCCAGTGCTTCTGTGAGGTCGCGGCGGTCTCGGACAAAGAAGAGAGCTATCGTCAGTTTTGCTGCGCAACATGCTTATCGGAAATGCAGATGTCGAGCTCAGGAACGATGCACGTGCGGGTGAGGAGCGATGATAACCACCGTTTCGGCTTGATATTGGACCCTGCAAATCTACTGAGGCAATTCTGGACAAAGCAGACGCCCCGGTCAGACAACAGCCGCCGGCAGAACGGGCAGAAGAAACTAGCCCGTGGGATTGAGGCATGTGCAGCCTACAGGTGGACCTGGTTGCGCCTCCGTGCCACTCATCAAATCCGTCCATGCAAGCGATCCTTCTCACGCCGGCCGCCGTATTCTGGGGGCGCGGAAAGCCCCTTCGCATCACGAAAGGCAACTCACAGCAATCGAAGCCCACGAGACCCCACTTATGGGCGTTGGTGCAAATCGAGTCGGCGTACTTGTTCACCTCGGCCAGGCGCAGTGGTTCACGCTGCTCCGGCAGCGCCCACGCCATACCGGCCCATGCCGCGTCGATGTGCAAGAACATGGTGGGGTACTGGCGCACAACCTCGCCGATCTCGGCAATGTAGTCGACCGCACCGGAAGATGTCGTGCCGACCGTCCCAACTGGAGGTCAGCTTGCACAGCAAAAACCTCGTGCCACGAGCTTGGCTCGACTGCAAACCCCGAACACTCACTAACAAAGAACGGCACAAAGCCCTTCTTGATGTCCTCCTCTATCGCAGCCTTGAGCACGTCACCGCGCAGAGCGTACCCGTCTTCGGCCTTGACCGGGAGCGCGCGGAACGGCATCCCAAGGAGCAATGCCGACTTTGCACCGATGCTGTGCGTCTGCGTCGAGCCGTACATGACAAGCTGCTTCGTGCTTTCCTGCCGGACGCTGAAGGGCACTTCCGTCGGGCCCTGTGTTGGGGTCGCGTTGCCATTGGCGCTGTGGTGCTCCCGCGCGAGAATGCGAAGGGCGCGCTCGCGCGCAGCGATCGTTGCAGTGAGGCACTGGTCAGAGGCGGAGGTCTGGTGTTAGCAGGCAGCGGATGTAGGACGGGAGAAACATGGATGCCGAAGGAAGTCAATGATCGATAGTGCGCGGCGATGGACACGGGAGGGAGGCTTGGTAGCAGCAAGGCGCAGGGAAGCAATGCACTGCACCGTCATGTGAAGTCTCTGCTCCACAGATTGTAGACCTTGCAAAGCAGCGAAGCACTTCCGCGCTTACCCACGACCCTTCGGCTCCCTTAAGTCCCGCCGCCGCAGATACTCACACCTATGATACCACCACCACCCTTGCCCGAGCTGGTGCGGAACACATCGTCCAGACCCAATATCGTGACCATCCACTCCATGACGACCTGCTCGAGCTCGGTACAGGCCGGGGAGCACGACCACTGTTGTCAGCTGTGCATAGCAAACACCCACGTTGAAGCCCGGGTTCGTCACGGATGAGCTGTACATGTCACCAAGGATTGACTCGAAGGTGACGATGGAGGGGAAGTAGGCGAAGAACTTGGGGTGCTGCCAGTGCGTTATGCCGGGCATTATAAGGCGCTGAAAGTCGGCGGCGATGGCAGGGAAGGCCTCGCCTTTTGTGGGCGGCGTGGCTGGCGTCAGCAAGAGAAGGGAAAGAGAGGCACTTGGAGCGCGCGAGGAGAGAGAGCCAGATGGGAGGAACAGAAGACAACTCACTGCTCAGCTGCTCCAGCAGATACCCCGGCTTTACGTTTGACTTGACATCGCGCTGCTCGAGTGACGAGTAGTAGTCGCAGATCTGATCTATGGCCGCATAGCCTGGTGTGAGTGTGAGATATGGGAGACGGAATGAAGAGCGATGAGGTGATAAACGACAGCTGTTTGATGAGATGCACCAATCACAAACGCTGAGATAGGCGCTGGAAGGGGCGCTGAAGCAGCCGTCGACGAGGAGCTGACGATGGGGTTGCCAGAGAAAGCTGATGAGACAAGAAGACGAAATGAGGCAGGTGGGGGTATTGGGGGCGCCGCAGGCGACATGTCGTTCGGAGGGAGTCATGACGGTAAACGCATAACGCTCGTCGTTGCACGTCTCAGCCGGCCATTCGAACACACAACGCCCATTCACTCGAAAGACGCTGGTCGCGGGGACTGGCGGCCCAGCATCGCAGCCGCTCACTCAGGCCACGCAACTCACCAGCCTTGCGGAATCTGGTGTCAGTCTCTGCCTCCCATGCACGCAGCTCCCGGGACTCACTGTTCCACGTCCATGCTGATTGAGAGCTGGGGAGTCGAGTCGGGCAACGGCAATGCCCGAGCGAGTATAAGTACCTCCACCCCTCAACCTCGCTTGAGCCGCGCGGGAATGGCCGGCAACTGACCGACGGCCCGGTGTCGGCCGGGACGCCGTCCACGTGTGCCACGCGGCTTGGATCTGCCACCACTCAGCTTCGAGCCACAATGACAGCGGAGATGACAGCGGAAGACATTGTCGACATCCCTGCTCCGTGGAGGGTGGAGCTAAGTCAAGACGCATCATGAGCCTCGGGGCTCAGGATGACTTGGACCTCGGCCTCTTGCCCTCCTGCAGTGGATGAGGTTTGATGGTAATTTCTGCTGCCGTTGCGCGAGGTCCGTCCATTGAGTGAGCGCGGCACGACAACGACTCAGGATAGCATCGCCGCTGTGGTTGTGACTAGTGATCAACTGGCATATCGGAGCAAACTCACACTTGAGATTACAGGAGCTTACTGTTTCCCCGCTTTGAGAGCACCAGGGAGCGCAGCGGCGAGGCGATGCAATTTCCTCGCCAGAGCGACTCTTTGCACTGCCGTGCGCAACCGAGCTCGGTCCGCTCGCCAGACCGACCCGAAACGTTTCACTGGGCAGACGATAAGTTCTCTACTCCTGGGACTAGTGCTTTGCTGTCCACTGTAAGAGCACACTGCTTGTGGCTATGCTGCTTGCTCTCACGTCGAGTGGGAAGGGTCACAAGCCGTCTTGCACACGAACACCCAATCTCAGCTGATGTAATGAGAACTTACGCCCGTCGGAGATCCGTTGCAGTGCCGTTTCCGTCAGTCGAAAGGACCCATAACAAGCACTCAGTGTGGGAACATGCGCCCTTGCGTGAGCATTCGGACGCTGGTGGTAGTCGATTCAGACGGAACGGCTGCAGGCTTACACCGTTCAGAGGGTCCTACTTGCGCCTTGAACACCCATGCGAAGCACTCTGAAGTGCAACATACGCTTCTCGGGCGGCAAAACGCCTGTCGCCCCTGCCCCGTAACCTTTTCAAGGCCGACAAGTTGATGCTCACACGCCGAACGTTGGTAGCCTGTATGTGGACACAAGCCGGAAGCGTCGATGGAATGGGGTCGGAATACTAGGACGGCGGGGAACTAGGATAAGCGAGAGAATCATCGAAAGAGGAGGAATGGTCGCGGTTTCTCACGCATAATGTGACTCGTCCTAGCTGTTCACGAACCTGGCAGCTTGCAGTAGTTTTTCGCAACAATGTTGCTCAATGTAACTTCCTACGCTAGTGTACCAAGGTAACGGGATCGGCCACAGCGGTAAAAAAAGTGGTTTTCTGATCAAGCGTGGGACTGTCGAAGTGGCGGTGGCGGAGAGCCTTTAAACCTTGTTAAAATGATGGAGAAAGAGGAGAGGTAGCTGTACGATGTGTGGGAAGAAGGCCAGGTCAGACACAATCTGACCAGCGAAAGGTATTGAGCCAGACTCGGAGGGCAGAAGGTATTTACTCGCTGCAGGAATAAAAGGAATTAGACCAAGATGACTTGTGCCACCTCGTAAATTGCTTGTGGGCCTTCGTGTTCCATGATACCGGCATTTTCTCCGCCAGATTATGACAGAGAGGCCCAAAACGCTGCAAAATCCAGAGGGCTAGGGTGAGTAACACACACATGTGAAGCGCAATCAAACAAATGGACTCTTTGACCGAGAAAACTCAAGAGTGCGATATGGCCTGAGACAGGGACATCGCAGCAGCTTCTTGCATCCCGCCCGGTGTTTGGTGATGAAGAACATACTTTGCTTATACCCACGCAAGAGAGAGAATTTGCTTTCCTCTTTTTGCGCACTGTTTTTGGCGGCAACGCGAGAAGAGGCACAATGTTGACGCTTTTGACGAGTTGTCCGAGCTGCCATTAGATCTTCACCATAGGTGAAAGAAATAGTCATGAGATTTAGCAGATGGCTAACACGAGGGGGTTAGCAAAGGCAAAGTTCAGCAACAAAGTTCAGCAAAGGAAGCGACGTGGGACTGACCACTTGGCACAACCCTCCCCTCGATTCGGTCTGGAGGAAGGTTCCTAAGAACGCGCGTGCTCTGTGGCTCCTGGACTGATGATCTGACACGATCGCGGTTTCCGCACAAGAGCGTACGTGCTTGTCAGGTGGAGCGGCGAGGTGTGTGGTGTGACCCGGCATTTGTGAGATCGAGGGTAGCTGGGTATGGTGGCGACGACGACGGCCACACCTCGTCATTCATCCACTCACACATCTCCGTCCGGTAACCACAAATAGCGTTCAGCACATTTACGGGTGCAGGGACCTCGGGCGGTAGTTGAGTACTGAGTTGACAAGATATCGCAGCGATAAAGTGGTGGCGGAGCTTTGGCAGGAGGCCAGGAAGCGGAGGAAAGTAAGATGAAAGAAGAAGAATGCCTGGGCAGAGGAGTAGAGAGGAGCTGATTTGGTAGGAGGTAGGGAAGGTGGAGATGGGAAGTGCGACATCGATTCTGGTGGGTTGAGACAAGCTAGAACAAAGCGACGGTGAGAAATGGTGTCGAGTAAGCAGCGGGGTATGGGCATCCCGCCTGAAAGGCATGGGGGAGCGGGCAAGGGGATGGAGGAGATGCCGGAGATGGAGGAGATGGAGGAGAGAGGAAAGAGAGGTAGAGTGACGACTGAAAGGCTGGTGTGAGGTGCAGAGTGGAGGGCGTGGAGGGCGTGGAGGGCGTGGAGGGCGTGGAAGGCGTTGTCGACTGTGGCGAATCGTGCGGAACTTGTTTGCCTCCATTGTCTGACGCAAATTACAGGTACATCCGTGCCAAGCATGTATGTTCTTCCTCTGGAGTGTGCTGGGCATAGGATCCATAGGTTCACAGTAGAACAGGCGCGTACAGGCGCTCGATGCGCGTTGAGGATTCAGAGGAGGTGCATAGCTTTGTTTCGCGGGGGATATATTCGATTTCATGGGAAATTTAAGTCTGACACCCAGCTGAGGTTGCTAGGTCACTCTGGAACCTCCCTACTGCGGGCCATGGTGCATGCATACAGGCATACTTCTTGACTATAATGCATTACAGGCTTGTTATCTGCGCCTGTGATAACTGGAAATGCGCTTGACGCGCCACCATATCGCCATGCTGTGCGTTGCGGGTGCATGTAGGCGGAAAAGTCATCAATTAGTCGTCAAATTCCCGCCCCGCTCCGTCGTGCTTGTGAGGACCTATGCTCGCGGGCGGCAAAGCGAATCCAGTCCATTGCCTGCCGATCTTAATGGGCGCAGTGGGGTGGCAGGGCGTCCGTACGATACGCGGATGGACCAGTGCCATTGTGGCCTCGGTGCATTGCTACCGCGCGCCAGTGGGCGCCACGACCTGCAGGCTGCATCTCCAACTTACCTTGTCAACGCTGCCATATTGCGCGTGGCGGAGACTGCACGCCGCGTCCAAGTCGAGGCGTAGGGCGGCAAAATCGGCAACGCCCTCGGCTGCGCCCTCACGCGACACACTTGCATGGTGTCTCGAGGCCCGCCTTCCTATCCTCTCAGCAAAGGATCCCGCACCAGCCGCTCCATGCCCCCCTCCTCGAGCCACAGCAAGACATCCACGCCGGGCTCGTACCACTTCTCTACCTTTCCCTCCCTTCCCTCCTCCGCCCTCCCCTCCTCCTCACCTCCCCGCCCTCCCCGCGCAGCCTTCATGATAGTAAAATACCCCCCGAAAGCCTGCACGAAGTTGTGCGCGAAACGCGGCGCGCCGCCGCCGAAATCCGGTAGCACGCGCGCCCGCGCCCAGTTCGTGACGCACACGCTCCGGTAGCCTGGGAAACACACCATCTTGCGGCGTGGATCGAGGTCCTGCGCGCGCCGGCGTAGCCATGCGGCTACCCGCGGCGCCGTGACGCCGTCTACAGCGCGGCGGATGCGCTGTTCAGCCCAGCCTGGACGCGCGACGTCCTCGGGGGCAGCGAGTAGGCCGAGGCAGATGTTGAAGCAGGCGGGCGTCTCGACGCCGGCGAGGTGCCGACGTACGTCGCAGGCCATGGATAGCTCGAGGGGGCCGGGCGGCGCCGCCGAACCGCGCGCGCACGTGATGCTGCGCCAGAGATGCGCGACGAGCGCGTCGTTCGCGCTTGCGCGCGGGGCGTGGGTCTTCGCATTCGCCCAGATCCGCTCCACCTCCGCCTCAGTGAAGTTGATCGCGTACCGCTTTGCCGGGGCGGTATGTAGTGTATCCCACGGCGGCGCCGGGCCGCGGGCGCACCCGCTCGCTCGGTCGAGATGCTCGATCGCGGGATCTGGCGTCGCGCGCATCCCAGGCGGGGCGCCAGGCGCCCATGCGTCGTAGCGGAGGAGGTCGAGGCCCGCCTCCTCCTCACATGACGCGTCGATGTCGCCTGCGAACGCGTCTAGCGCCGCCCAGTCGACCCTCCGTTTCTCCACGAGCTCGTCGACGATATCCTCCTCCTCTTCCGGGTGGAGAGCGATACGCGCCCAGTCCTGCAGAAATGTGCCTAGCGCCCCGGCGTCGGCAAGGACGTGGCTCGTACCGAAGACGAAGGCGGCGCCGTCGTAGTACAACGTGACTTTGACGCCTGAGATCGGGACCTCGGTCCGCAGTGTGGTAGGGGAGAGGTTGGGCGCGAGCGTCGGGGCCAAGCTGGGGTCTATGCCGTCGAGGTCGTAGATTCGCTCCCATGTCTCAGGGAGGGCGGGGCGGGCGCCTGGACGTCGCTCAAAGGTTAGGAGCAAGCCGGGGTCGTTGTGCCCATACTCGATCCATGGGCGGAGGAAGCGGTGGGTGTAGTCTGGAAACGGGGTGGAGTCGAGGGAGGAGGGGGAGGGAGATGTGGAAGAAAGTGAGTGCTGGAGGGAAGGCGGATGCCGCAGTTGGCCCGCGAACTGCGGGTACGCGTTGAGAACCAGAGCGAGGGAGTGCGCGAGGGCATCGGGAGTAAGCGGCGCAGCGCCGGCGGTGTCGTAGAAGAGGAGGACCTGCGCGGGGGGCGCGGAGACGCTGGATATCGAGATGAGTGGGATGGGGGCACATGCGGACCGCCGTCGGGAGGGGTGGATGCGCATGGAGAGCGCGTCGGGGCCGTCGCTAGCGGAGGCAGGCGCAGCCTGAAGTTAGTGCACTGCGGACAGCCCTTAGTGCGAGATAGTCTCACCATCGTCCAAAGGTTGGAGCGGAGTGGAGAACGTGGAGAAGTGGACAGGAGGAAAGAGGATAGGGGCGAGCGTACAGGTCGCGACGTGCGTCATCGCGATCATCGCAACTTTCAAACATCGGCAATCAACCCATCACGGATCTAGATACTTCTCGGCCGTTACACGCACACACACGCATATGCACAGTTTGCATTCCAACTATCGACGTTGTGAGGAAAAGGAGGGTGGGGCAGCTCAGCAGGTCAGCAGCCGGCCTCCTGCGCCGCGCCGCCGCAGATCACACCTTGTTGGGCTGCAGCTCGTCGCTCTTGGCCATCTCGCCACCGTGGTCGGCGATCGGCAGACTCGAGAAGCTCGCGTTGTCAAATGCCAGCGCGACCTCCTCGAGCGTGTAGCCGCGCGTCTCGACCATGTAGTACTTGACGAGGAACCACTGGATGATGACCAGCGGCATGTACACGGCGTAGTACTTGTAGCCAATCGAGTTGAGGGCGATCGAGTCAACGAAGACGCAGTAGATGGCCTGAACTTGGGTGAAGCAGTTCCACACCAGCAGGCCCTTGGAGCGCATCGAGAACGTCTGCACCTCGGCGGGGTAGCTCCACAGCACGGGGTTGGCGTAGTTGTATGCGCCGAGGTAGATCCACACGAGGACGACGGTGGCGACGCCACTCTTGGTGTCCGTCGAGCCTGAGCGGTCGAACATGCCACCCGCGACGCACAGGCCGACGAGCGAAAGGAGGAGGGTAGGCCAGACCCCGAGGATGATTCTCTTGCGCCCGATGTACTTCATCGACCACACGCCGGCGATCTGCGTGCACCACGTGAACATCGAAAGACCCGCTGCAATACCGGTCTGCACGGTAGGGTCGGTGATGCCCACGAGCTCAAAGACGATCGTGTAGTAGTAGTAGATGATCGAGGCGCCGCTCATCTGGGTGAGGAACGTCATGAGAGCAGCGAGGCCGAGACGGTGGCGGTTGGAGCGGCCGCGGAGGATGACACTCCACTTCTCCGCCTTGGCGAGTCTCTCCTTCTCGATCGCGGCGCGCATCTCGTCATACTCGAAGAGGACGAGGGGGTCCTCGCGGTCACCGTTGCCGTGGTACTCGACGAGGAAGTCGAACGCAGCGTCGTCGCGGCCCTTGCCGATGAGGAAACGGGGCGTCTCGGGAACAAATTGGACCGCGATGAGGATGTAAAAGGCCATCGGGATTTGGAGGAGGTACGGGATGCGCCAGCCCCACGAAGACGTCATGTGCGACGTGCCAAAGTTGACCCACGCGATGATGACACTGCCAAGAATCCAGAACGAGTTCCACGCCCCCGCAATCAGGCTGCGCGTGCGCGGGTGCGTAATTTCTTGCACAAGAATGAGCGAGGTGATGAGGAACGACCCGAGGCCGAAACCCATGACAAAGCGCCCAATGATGAAAACGGTGTAGCCCTTGTTGCCTGCGAGACTCGGGATACCCGCAACGCACGACAAGACCGTGCCGAAAAGGATGGTGTAGCCGTAGACTGTGGAGGTTAGCACTGGCGCGGTGCAGGGTGGTGGTTAGCTCACAGCGTAGACCCCAGCGGCGGCCCCAATTCTGGTCGATGTATGTAATCACAGGGCCGATGGCGAATGCCGAAAGCGGGCCAGCAGCGTTAAGAAGACCAAGAAGAGCAGCGTAGTTGGGGTTGTCCTCGGTGAGACCAATGTCGTTGTGCCAGCTGTCGAAAGCTTGGAGGCCAGAGATGAGCATGCCATCATAGCCGTTCAGCACCATGCCGACATAGATGATGCTGATGAAGCTGGGAGGGGGTTAGCACTGGGCGATCAGGCAGATAGGCGTACAAGTTGAGCTTGAGGCGACCCTTGTCACGGTGCCACGGCGTCGAATCGCGCGCATTCGGGCTGGCTGTCAGCAATTGTGCTCTCTGCGCTGTGTTGGTGTCTGCCCAGCAACGCCGGCATCACACTCACATGGTGTGCCAGTCTTGTTGCATGCTGGGCTGGGGTGAGCGCGACAACAAGTGAGAGGCAACTAGCGACGCAGGCATTATCCTGGTCCGCTCAACGGTATGATCTCAGCACAGGTGGACCGACTGCGCCCACAGGGCGCAGGCTATGGCACCACCCGGCACCCGTGTTGCATCTCGAAGGCGGGGGCCGCGCTTCTGAAGAGGTGTTCAAGGGATCATGTTGAGAGGAGGCTTGAGAGGCATGCTTGCTTGCTGTTGGGTCATGGCCATGGGTAGTGGGCCATGGTTGTCTTGCAGACTAACCTAACGTCGGCGTGTTACAAGAGAGGGGGGGAGGGGGACAAGAAGGAGAGAGATATGGAGAAGAGTGGGAAAGAGAGGGAGAGGACGGAGCGCCGAGGGCTTTTATGATGAGGAATGAGGAAAGCTGGGCACCGAGCGAGATCCGAACCGCCGTTGATGCATGTGATGACCGCACGGAGTCAATTTTTGGAATGTCACCTTGACTCGTTGACTCGTTTTAGACCAGGTCACTCTGCACTTGGACGGAACGCCGCGGCGCCGTCGACATGAGCCTTGCCTGTTCTTTCTTGAGCTCTCCTCTCGTCGTTGCCAATGCATCATCACCTATTGGTCCCCCCGCTCCACTTTTGTCTCTCAATGTCATCAACAGTGCGCCTCACAGTCCCTCCTCCTTCCGCCCACGGACGTCAGCGCGCCCGCAGCGCCCGCCTTGACCCCGAGTCAAACAACATCATCTGCGGGATTGCGGCTGCGGGAGGCGGCGAAGCCGCAGAAGACGCCCCCGGAGGCCAGAGCCCCAGCCATGCCAGCCACGACATTCCGGATCAGGCGGATGTCACCTCCGATCTCGATTCAAACGCCACATTCCCATATTCCCGATTACATCTTCGCACGGGCCATTACATCTCCTGCTCGCGTATTAGGCACTATTAGCAAACGACCACGTGCTTTCCTCTCGTAGGCCCCGCCTCCACTTTGGCAGAGACAGATGGTTACGCTGCGGCAGCGCCGTCATTGCTGCGCTCGCTATCGCCATCGCACCCCCCGCTACTAACACACCCTTCCTCGCCATCATCCTCCTCCTCCCTCCGTGGCCCGCACTCGCACTAACGACCCAAGACTCCTCACATCTCATTCACCCGCGCGTCACCCCCCACTCACAGCGCGTGGTGCAGCACGCCCAGCATGGTGAGTCGGCCTCAAGTTGCCACCGAGCCAAATGCGGCCTACTTTGCGGCGTGGCGGCGTCAGCAGCGGCCTGACCACAGCTACTGCTCACGGTCCTCTTGTGTGCGACGCTAGCGAACGCGCTCCCGCACCCGCCACAACAGGTGCCGTTTGGACCTTCCCCGCCTTCCCCCCATCCAACCCCGCCACCAGGTTTCCAGACCTACGATGACACCGTTGCGCAGGACAAACCGTCGACGCCGGAGAAGCGCGCCGCCATGGCCAAGCTTCTCGACAAGTATGCGCCCGTGTTCAAGCTTGCGTGCGTGTGCTGGTGCTTCTGGACTGACCCCAGATCGACCGAGAGGTACTATCCGAGCTCGGTGCCATTCATGCTTGAGCACTACGACTTTGTCGAGTGGGAGAACGGGACACAGTTCGAGCCAGTGCGTCAGAAGCGAAGCGTGTGGCGCGGCTTTTCATGACGAGAAGGAGAGAAGAGGCTGATCACAGACAAGAGACGTGTTCTCGAGCTCACGCCTCGACTCCCTCCCGCACCATGGGAAGCGCCAGCACCTGTCCGTCACGCCGCCACATAATCCCCAGCCACTCGTGGACGGGCCCGAGAGTTACTTCCTCTACGGGCCATCTGGCATGCCCGACGGCATGGAGTACGGCGAGGACGGGCGAGGACGCGTGCACGATGAAGTGTACGGCTTCTGGGTGGACAATGGGCGAGGCGTCGTGGTGAGTCCCGTGTTGAGGTTCCAGAGGTTTGGTCGATCGATCATCCTTCCTTCTCGATCGCGCTTACGCCAGGATCTGTGGTACTGGACCTTCTACCCATACAACCTTGGCAAGGAGGTTGGGTATTTCGGATGGCTTGGTAACCGTGCGTCCAGCTGCGGAGCTTCGAGTGCGGCGCCAGCTAATATCAGACGTGACAGATTGGGAGCGATTGCGCGTAAGGACAGTAAATGGGACCGCGCAGTCGGCGGACTTTAGTGAGTTGGCCGGCGTCGGTAGACCGGGCTATGTTGTGTACAAGCCCAAGGCTGACAACAGACACACACTCTGGCGGGGCGTTCAGTGCTGGCACATACCGCTGGTCCGACATGGAACGGCAAGGCGAGCGCCCGATCGCATATGTTGCTTCTGGGAGCCACGGCGTGTGGCCCACGCCCGGCAAGCACGTCTATGCGCAGGTGTGTGGTTGTGCCTTGTCTGGAGCCCGCTTCTATCTGGCTCTCGCTCACGCCAGCTTCTCAACCTGTGGCAACTTGTCGACATGACAGACGACCACGGCGCAATTTGGGATACAAAGGGGCACGTTGTGCCGATCGAGTGGTGGACAGGCCCCGACCTCGCACACAAGATCAAGCACACGGGCAAGGAAAGTTGGCTCGAGTTTGTCGGCTCGTTCGGAAACCGCGGCGACTCAAATTGCTGGTGGCATTCGATCGTTGGCATCTGTCAGCTTGTGGGCGGCCCACCCGGCCCGAACAGGTGGTTCGGCGACCCGCCAGACGTGAGTACCTTGGTCGTCCACGTCTAATCCCAGTGCATCATCGGTGGCGCCGCGCCCGACCACTCGACATACTCGTTCTACCTTTCGCGCAACGTGACCGAGCAAGCCCGTGCGCTAAACGTGTCGACGGTGCTAGTTGAGCAGATCTGCGCTCGCCCCGAAGTCGCATTCGACGGTGAGGTGGACTGGAACACACTGCGCGCCGACCAGATGACGGTGTGGACGGTACCGGGCCGCGCAATCCCCTTTCGCGGCACGGCGCAGCACCACGCGACTGCCGACCCGTGCGGCGGCGGACGGAGCGCGGCGAAGGCTTACCGCCTCGCACTGTACAACACGGCAGGAGAGCGTGTGTCGACATCGAGTCTGCGCGTGCTGTGTATGTACGAGCCGGGGAAGCGGGGGTGGGTGCTCTCCCCAGCAGCGGATATCGACGACGTCGACGAGTGGCGGTGGATGCTCAAGGAGAAGCAGCGTGAAGACCCGCCGAGCCACACGCCGCCGAGTCCCACAAGTAATGGGCGTCCGCCTGAATATTAGAGAGGGGGTGAGTGTACAGTAGCATCATGTAGCCACGTCTTGACGAGTAGGAGTATGCAATGCCATGCATTTGAGAGGTGCTGCCGTCGTCTATGTCTACTTGGTCTCTGTTGGGGGCTCGTCGGTCTCGTCCTCGACGTCCTCTGACTGTTAGCATGTCATCATACACGCCGGGCCATGGCTCGCCCTGCGCACAGATGCACATTCTCGCCCTTCGCGCGTCTCGCGGCACGGCCACCCCGCAGTTTCTCACTCACCCTCGCCGTACACATCCGGGTGCTCGCGGAAACAGTCCTGCATCGCCTTGAACTTTTCCACGCAGTCGATGCCCTTGGGCTCGGCCTCGGAGTAGACGAAGCACGAGAACGCCGCCTTGAACTCTTCGCCGCACGGGCCGGTCGCCATGCCGCCGAGGCACTAGGGTTAGCTGTCGTCCACATCGGCGGGAGAAAGTCTGGCAGAGAGTCGAAACGGAGGGCACGACGAGGGACCAAGACAGGAGGGACAGTGTGGGCGGCGGCGCGACGGGGCGAGATGTCCCAGACACCACCCACGTCCCCCCGCCCCTCTCATTCCGCCCGTGCAGCCGCGTGGCACGCCGTAGACCGCAGAAGCCGCGGCGACCAGCGACCCAAGCACGACGCAGCGGAGCACAAGCCATTCCTCCATCGCCTCTATTTATCCGCCCGGCGGAGGCTACGCGCGCTCGGGGCAGCAGCACGCGCAGCAGCAGCAGCACGCGCACTTGTTGCGGGGAAGGGCGGCGCAGACCTTGGGCTTGGGCTTTGGAGCGGGGGCCGGGGCCGGGGCGGACTTGGACGCAGGAGAGACGGAGCAGCACGAACTCACGGGGCAGTCCCAGTTGATCTCGCCCGTCTCCTCGTTGAACGCGCCCTGGGACGCGGCTTCGGCGGCGAGCGCGTCCTGGCTCGTGCTCGTGTGGGTCTGGAGGCCGAGCGCGGCCTCGGCCTCCGCGATGAGGTCCGCGAGGGCTGCGTCTGCGGCGGAGATGACTGCGGTGAGTGCGTGTCGGCGGTCCGCGGGCGCATGGCTGACTCACCATCCTCGACCTTCTCCTTGGCGGACTCGACGGCCGCTTCGGCCATCGACGCGTCCTCGTGCTCCGCGTCCGCCTCGGCCTCGTCCTCCTCCTCCGCGACCTCCTCCTCCCGCGGCTCAGAAGGGTGCACGTTCTTGATGCGCAGCTCGCGGATCGTGCTGCCCGCCGTGACGAGGGCGACGACGGCACCGGTAAGAAGCGCAAGGTTCTTGCCGTGCTCAGGCGCGGCGCGAGTCGAAACGAGGCGAGCGGGCGCCGCGACGGGCAGGCGGCGCGCGGCGCGGGCAGCGGGGCGGACGGCACGGGCGAACATGTCTGGTGATGTTGACGGAGGCGATGATGGAATCGTCGCCGACTTTTTCCAGACGGAACCAGAAGAACACAAGCATCGGATGAGAGCGGATTAGGCATTCTGATCCCGCTAATGCCATCGTCTAATAGCATGGATGCCTGCTTCCGAAGTATCCCTTGCATGCTCTATGATCTATGAAGCTAGCTACTCGGCACCGCTCGCCTCGAGCGCCTGCGCAAAGTCGCGCTTGAGATCTTCGATGTCTTCGATGCCCACGCTCATGCGCACAAAGTTGGGCGCGATGCCCGCGACCTTCATCTGCGCCTCGTTGAGGCTGCCGGCCCACATGGCCGCGGTGTGCACCGCGAGCGTCTCGACGCCGCCGAGGCTCACGGCCTGCGACGCAAGCTTTAGGCCCGCGACGAAGCGCGACGTCGGCTCGTACCCTCCGCGCACGGAGAACGCGACGACAGGCCCGCCGCCGCGCATCTGGCGAGCGGCGATCTCGTGCTGCGGGTGCGACGGCAGCATGGGATAGTACACGACCTCGACTTCGGGGCGCGCCTCGAGCCACGCGGCGAGCGCGAGCGCGTTCTCGTTGATGCGTGCCATGCGCAGCGGGAGCGTGCGCATCCCACGTAGCAGCAGCCATGCATCCATGGGCGACAGCGTCGAGCCGAGCGTCAGGCTCGTGTCCCACATCTCTTCGGCGAGCGCGCGCGTTGTGCAGATCGCGCCGGCCGTGATGTCGCTGTGCCCGCCCAAGCTCTTCGTCGCCGAGTGGAGAATGACGTCGACACCGAGCTCGGCGGGACGGGAGTTGATAGGGCCAGCGAACGTGTTGTCCGCCAGTGTGAGGATGCCGCGCGGGCGCGCGAGCGCAACCACGCCCGCCAGGTCCGTAAGCACCAGCGTGGGGTTCGCCGGCGTCTCGACGTAGATGAGGCGCGTGTTGGGCCGGATGGCGGCTTCGATCGCACCCAAGTCCGACTGCTCGACAATCGTGACTTCCACCCCAAACTTTGGGAGCATCTCGTCGAACAGCTTGGCCGTCGCCATGTAGTGCCGGCTCTGGGCGATGCAGTGGTCGCCCGCCTTGACGAGGGCAAGAACGGCAGTCGAAATCGCACCCATCCCCGACGCCGTAAGCATCGCCACCTCCGTGCCCTCGAGTTTGGCCAACACGGCCGCCGCCTGCTCGTGCGTCGGGTTGCCGTAGCGCGTGTAGAAGCCCGCATGGCGCGTCTTGGACGCCATCTCGGCAAAGTGCGGCGCATCAGCGGCACGGAACGTTGAACTGTAGTAGATCGCTGGCGCAACGGGGTTGATGCCCTCGAGGGGCACAGATGCGTGGCCGTGCACGGCCACTGTGTCGGGCTGCCAGTCGCTCATGGTTGTGATGTGGACGATGATGATGGAGAAAGACTGGAAAGTTGACGACGAGGAAGTGGGCGATGGCGCGATACATCCGGCTCGGCCGAGATTAAGGATTCGGAGACGTTCCGCTCGCTTGGCTTCAGGCCGGGATAACCGGCGTCAGCCTGGGCAGGGAGCAATGGCGCCGAGGGAGAGCATACGATTGCGACGCTACAGGATATGGACATGCATCGGCGTGATCTGTGCTTGATTAAATCTGCGACCGCTGGCCGGCCTGGGCGGCGGCCAAAACCTGGCTGATGGCAGGGGCGGCAAGTCCGATCGCGCTCCAAATCCAGCCGCGGTACAGCGCACCTAGTCCCTCCTCAGCCCGGACAGTGCTCCAAGCATCAATAAGGCCGGTGTAGCGCGGCGGCGGGCGGGCAGCGACAACGACCTCATTGGCGATGCGTCCAAACTCAGCCTCGGCGGCCTTGGTCTCGGCCGCTGCCTCGGCATCCTGCCCAACGGCAAGCTTCTCCGCCAACACGGCCAGTGGCACCATCCACAGCGACGCGGCCGTGTTGGCGACCACGTACATGAAGCCGAAGTACTCGGGGGATGCGCCCTGTCCCTGCATCTGCGGGGAGGAAGCGGCTGCGACGCCATAGAGCAGTGGGAGGGTGACAGTGGTCACGGTGATGGGCAAGACAGTCTGCAGGGTGTAGTTGGCGATGAGGCCGGGGATGGTCCACAGACGCCAGGGCTCGGCGCGCTCGCGCTCCGAGGTGAGGCCGCGGAGAGCGCGAGTGGAGAAGGGGAGGCGGAGGGGAGTGACGACCGAGCGCGACGTGAGGACCGAGAACGGGATGAGCGAGATGCCAATTGCCAGGGAAGCAGTGACGCCGGCAAGGACCGCCGCGTTTGGCGACAGATCAAGGCTGGCGATAAGATTGTTGACAAAACCGGCGTTGGGGTCGCCAGGGAACGGGTTGGTGAGGTAGATGAGAGCCGAGCCGAGAGAGACAGTGAGCGATGCAATAGTCGAGGCATACGCGCCTGTTGTCAGCACAAGCAAGACGTAAAACAAACCCTTGAACATGCCCCACACGCCCTCAACGTCCCACGTCCGCTGAAGCGCACCAATAATGCCGCCGAGCTCCGCGCTGTTGTCAGCAACGTCGGCGAGAGACGCGCACCCCTTGCCTTTGCCCTTGAGCGGAGCCCAGTTGGCACGGAGACGGGTCATGGCGCCGGCGAAGGGCGTGCCGAGCGCCACGGTGGTGAGCTGGCTGCCCACAAACACAGCAAGAAAGCCCGGATCGATGTCCATGGTCGAGTTGAAGATGGAAGAAGGAGATGGAGCGCAATGTCGGTGACGTGAGTGGTCTGACAAGGACACGGAGATGGAGCAAGTGTCCGTCGCATAGGTGATGGTGGAAGCATGTACCCGAAGCAGCATGAGCTTGCAGCGAGAGTCAACAACACCACAGATATCCATACATCTAGTCTACTTCTGCGGCAGCCCCTCAGTGCAAATGAGCACCACAACATCGTCCTTCTCAAACTGCGCCTTTCTGGCCGCTGCGAGCGTCGCTGCGCCGCATGGGCCGACCGCACACCCCACCTCGCTGAGCCGCGCCATCGCCGCCTCCGCCTCGGCGTCCGTCACAACCATGGCGTCTGCAGGCCGGATACTTGCGCGCAAGTCGTCCCAACCCAACGCGCTCACAGTCGGGCAGTTGAGTCCCGGCATGATCGTAAACCGTTGCTCAGTCGTGCTGGTGAGGTTGCCAGCGGCCAGTGAGGCATGAAGGCATGGTGCGGCATCTGGCTCGGCGCTGATCACGCGCGCTGGATGTGCGCCCCCTGCGCCATAGTACGACACAATGGCGTGGGCGAGCGAACCAACGCCGACCGGGACGACGACTACGCTGGGCGGAACGGGCAGCTGCGTCGACAGCTCGCTTGCGATCGTCGAGTAGCCGTGCACAATACGCTGCGGTCAGCGATACGTTGTACAAGGTCGCGTACCAGCGGAATGTCCGTGTACCCCTCAAAGCTCGTATCCTGCACAAAGAGGCCCAATTTGCCGAGCTTGCGCGATGCCTGCAGCGCGGCCTCTACTGCCCCGTCGTAGTCCGCGTCGACGGGAGTGACAGGACACCCCTCCGAAGCGATGGCGTCTATCGACCACTGCTCTACGGTAGACGGGACGAAAATGTGCGCAGCAAAACCCAGTAGGCGGGCGGTATGGGCGACCGCACGCCCATGGTTGCCTGGAGTCAGCGTCGCCCTGCCCACAACCAAGAGCACGCACCGTCCGTCGCCGCAAACGCAGTCAATCCCGGCACTTCCTTCACCCTTGCGCGCAGCACTTCAATGTCCCACGGATCAACACCCCACCGCTGCCCCAGCACGGAGCAAACTGCCCAGCTCGCCCCGAGCACCTTGAACGCTGGCAGGCCGTAGCGCGAGCTCTCGTCTTTAACGTACACTGCGGCGCACCCGAGCTCATCCGCAAGCGCGGGGACGAGGCGCGCCGGTGTGGGCCCGAAGCCGGGGAAGAGGGCCGCGTGGACCTTTGCGATGGCTTCTGTGTCGAGCGTCATGTTGGGATGAGAAGAAGAGGAGGAGGGGGGGGGCAGAAGATAATCGATGGGAGGAGAAGCGGGCAGATAAGAGTGTCTGGCAGGAGCGGGCAACGAGCCCCCCGCCGCAGAGCCGAGTCAAATGACGAGTGGAAGATGGACGGCGTCCAGACGAGTAGATGCTCGAAGTTGGAGGATATGGGCAACGTTGGGAGCGAGATATGACCTCGGTGACTGAAATCGGTAAATCGCGGTTTGGGGTGGTTCGATACGAGACGCCGATTGCCCACATCTCATCCTCGTATCTCCTCCGCCTCTCTCCTGCTCGCACAGCTCAAGCTCATCTCCGACGCTCACAAAGTACTTATCTCACTGCAACTGACTCTGCATCACCCACTCAAACGCATCATGGCCACCGCATCCTCCTCTTCCGCACCAACCACCACGACACAGCCCACTCTCCGCCTGCGGGGAGAGGCGACCCTCGAGGCATCACCTGCCACCCCCGGTTTCCCAATCACGCCGGACATCGCAGCCTCGCCCTTCGCAGATGTGCAAGTCGGCCCGACGCGGGTGATGCTTCCGGTATTCGCGACGCCTCTTGACGAGCGGAGGTACAGGAAAGAACACCTCGCGCTCGTCTTCCGCATCCTGCACCGCTTCAAGCTGGCCGAAGGCATCGCAGGGCACTGCAGCGTGCGCGACCCCGTCGAGCCGGACACGTTCTGGGTGAACCCGCAAGGCAAGAGCTTTGCGCGGATGCGCGCGAGCGACCTCGTGCGCTGCCGCGTCTCGGACGGCGCGATGGTGGAGGGGCGCGCCCCGACAGATGCGTCGGCGAGTTCGATCCATTCGCAGATCTACCGCATCCGCGGGCGCACTGGCCCCGCCGGCATCGAGGCAATCGTGCACGTCCACGGGCCGCACACCAAGGCGTTCTCGTCCCTCGGCCGCACGCTCGACATGATCTCCCAAGATGCATGTGCGTACCATGACGAAATGGTGCTTGTGCCTTTCGGCGGTGTGGTCATCGATAACTCGGAGGGCGAGCGTATTGCCAACCTTGCGGGCGCGAAGCGCATCGCCATCCTCCAGAACCACGGCATTATTGCCATGGGTAAACTCAGCATCGATGAGGCCGCGTGGTGGTAAGTGCGGGTTGCGTGAGCGGGCTGCAAGCGGGCTGACAGACAGGCAGATCAACTTTGAGATGTGTTGCCAGGCGCAGTTGCTCGCTGACGCTGCGCGGCGCCCTACCGACCCCATCGTTGAGGCTGGGCCAGAGGAGATTGCCAGCACAAAGGCTGAGATGGGCACGCCTGAGATGGGGTGGTTCAGTCTCGCGGCGTACATCGAGGAGGAGGAGTGGCATTCACAGGGCGACCACAAGTTGTAGAGCACGCGCGGTCAAAGCCGGAGGCTACGACCGTGCGCAGTTGACCTGCAACGCACGGTCTGGACAACACGGGCACAGCTTGAAAAACACACAGCCATAGGAGTGACAAGCGCTTCTCTTGAAGGTAGTACGTGACGAGTAAATAGCTGTTATCAATCCTTAAGCAACACACTGGGGATAATCGAGGCAGCGGATTGAGGTACCAACCACTAGCTGGCACGCATGCTGGGCGTTCGCGGGGTCACCAGACGGCCCCACGCCCGCTTTTCTTCGTCAGCCGCCCACGATGCCCACGTTGCTACACGTGCCCAGATGGGAAGTCATTGAGCAGGGCATGTACGAGATATGCGGGCGCGGTGATAGGAGGAGCACGAGTCCGCATCGCCCGCGGTTACGCACGGCTGAGCGTCACTGTGATGTGCTGGCCCGTTTTGGGCCAGTTATGCAACCCAGTCTGACAGTTAGTGCCTGTTCCCTTGTGAGCATAGCCGCCGGCAGCTCGGCCTGGCTGACGGCCGGCGCAGCGGCCAGTGGTGGGGCCTCGGACAACTCCGAGGGGCACCAAGTAGGCCCGTCCTGCCGGTGTTCGGCATCTGCTGTGGTGCTGGTGGGCGACCGACCACCCACCGAGCTCATGTAACGTCTTAAGCTGCTGGCCTCGCCTTCGTCTCCTCAACCATCATGACCAGCATGACGACCCAGTACCCCGCGCGGACGATGGAGGAGTGTAAGTTACTTTCGGTGCGGCGCTGACGGCAGGCGACGCGATCCTGACGGCGCCCGGCGCTGTCGGAGAGGTCGAGGAGGTGATGGTCAACGGCGTCAAGCAGCGCGTGTGGAAGAATGTGAGGCGCAATCCGGCCCCGCTGACGCCAGCAACCGACGAACTACCGCGTCGCCCTCGAGGACGGCTTCACAAAGTACGCCGAGCGCGTCATGTACGTGTCCCCGCTGCCGAACTCGCCCGAGTACGAGGAGGTCACGTATGCTGAGCAGCGGCGGCGCGTCGTGCACCTCGCGGCGTGGTTGCGCACCCAGGGCATCCGGCAGGGCAGCAAGGTTGCGGTGGGCGGCGACAACAGCTCGCGCTTCCTTGTCGTGCCGTGGGCAGCGCACTATCTCGGCGCAGTGCCCGTCTTCATCAACTCTACTCTGTGAGTGCGCCCTCGAATCAGCTGACGGAAGACACAACGACGCGACCGTACATTGTCTCGGGATCACGAAGCCCGATATCGTGCTCGGCGACGCCGACTTCGTCGCGTCGATCGTGCCAATCATGGGTCGGTTGAAGGAGCGCGGCGTGGGCCCAGTTTACAGCTACGACCCGACGGAGCACCTGTCGTCCGAGCTGCGCGCGGCGATTGCCCGCATCCCCGACTTCAACCCTACGGCGACGCAGCTGCGGCAGATCGAGAGCGGCGAAGGCCTCGGCCTTGAAGTCATGACTCCTGAGTCTGAAGGCCACATCTTCTTCACCTCCGGCACGTCGGGCATGCCGAAGGCCGTGCTCTCGAACCAGCGCGGCGCGCTCCACAACTACGTCTCGGGCACGTTCGCAGGCCTGCGTGCGGCGCTGCGAGCCGGCGCGACGTATGAGCAGGCGACGGCGCACCCGGTCGCGCAAGCGTGCATGCTCGTGCCGGCGCCCCTGTTCCACGTGACGGGCTGCATCTCATGGACGACGCGGCAGATGACGACTGGCGCCAAGATCGTGTGGATGAAGCGCTGGAGCGTGCCCGAGGCCATCCGCCTCATCGAGAAGTACGACGTCAACGTCCTCGGTGGAGTGCCCGCCACCACCAAGGCCATCTTCCAGTCGCCGCTGCTGCCCAAGACGCGCATGTTTACCGCCATCTCGTCGGGCGGCGCGCCGGTGCAGGCAGGGCTTGTCACCGACCTCACGAAGCGCTTCCCGGGGATTTCGTGCTCTAACGGCTGGGGCTTGACAGAAACGAACGGCCTTCACAACGCGCTTACTGGGCGCGACTACCTCGAAAACTCGGAGAGCTGTGGGCCCACCATCCCAATTTGCGACGTTGAAATCCGCGACGCCGACACAGGGCGCGTATGCGGTCCCGACGAGATGGGCATCATCTGGGCGCGCGGCTCCAACGTCATGGTGTGCTACTACGGCGACGAGGCGGCGACGCGCAAGGCCATGACTCCCGACGGGTGGTTCAACACGGGCGACATGGGCAGCCTCGACGCCCGCGGCTTCCTGTACATCCGCGACCGCGCGAAGGACATCATCATCCGCGGCGGCGAGAACATCGCCTCCGCAGAGGTCGAGAATGCGCTCGCGCGCCTCCCCGAGACGGCCGAGGTCGCCGCCGTTGCCGTGCCCGACCCCGTGCTCGGCGAGCTAGTGGGCTGCGCGGTCTCGCTGGCGCCAGGCAAGTTCCTCACGCCGCAGATGGTGCTCGACCGCGTCGCGCCGATGCTGCGCTACGCCGCGCAGCCCGTGTTCTGCCACATCTACGAGGGCGATTTGCCGCGCAATGCCAACGGGAAAATCAGGAAGGACGTTGTGAAGAAGGAGTGTGCGGAGCGGTGGGTCAAGTTGACGGGCGGGAAGCGCTGGGTCCGCAACAAGGCCAAGCTGTAGTTTGAGTTGTATACTTAGAGATCATGGATGAACACAGTGCAGCAGTCCCAGCATCGTACTCATTACCAATGTTTGTCAAATAGTAGCAATGCTTACCCTAGTCCTCTTTCCCCTCGCCCAAAAATAGTACTCCAATAACCCTGCATATCTTCTGACGCTACTACTCGGCTACAACGTGATGTCCGGCAATCTGCCTCTGAGACAACCAGCCTCGCCTACTTGGAGTAATCGATGACCTTGCGGCCCGAGGTCTTGGACTCGGCGACAGCCGCAAGGGTGGCGGGGAACTCTGCGAAGGGCACAACCTCGACGTTCTCCTTGACCTTGCCATCGGCGAGGTAGCGGAGGGCGTCAGCCATGTCGACGCGCGACGTGACGAGGATGCCGCGAATCTGGATACCGGCGAAGGTGACGAGAGCGGGGTCGGCGCCGGCAATAGCGGTGCCAGCGGCGGGGATGCCGACGGCGACGATGACGCCGAGGGGGCGGAGGAGGCCGGGGGCGTTGGCGTACGCCTTCGGGTTACCGGCAGCGACGATGACGGCGTGGGCGCCCAAGCCGTCCGGCGAGAGCTTGCGGACCTCGGCGGGGAGGTCCTTGTCGGCGACCTTGGTGACGTCGAGGAAGTGGGCGGCGCCGGCGTGCTCAGCGACCTTGCGCTTCGCGTCGCCCACGTCAATGCCAATGACGTTGAAGCCGTCGGCCTTGCAGAACTGGGTGACCATGTGGCCGACACCGCCGCCCGCGCCGAACACGACGATCGTGTCGCCAGGCTTGGCGCCCGCGGCCTTCGTGGCCGTGTAGGCGGTGCCGCCCGAGCACATGAAGGGCGCGGCCTGCGCGTCGTCGACGTTGTCGGGGATGCGGATGGCCCACGACTCGTGCACCGTCGGGTACTGGGTGTAGGTGCCGTTGACGGCGTTGGCGATGTACGACTTCTTGAGGCAGATGGTCTCGTGGCCGTTGTTGCAGAACTCGCACTCGCCACACGTCCAGTTGACGGGGGTGATGCCGACACGGTCGCCGATCTTCCACTTGGCGGGGTCGACGCCGGGGCCGAGCTTGGCGACGACACCAGCACCCTCGTGGCCGGTGCAGTCGACGCCAGGAGCGGGGCCAAGACCCCAGTCGCCAGCCATCATGTCTGGCATCAGCAAGGTCACCAAGCCTTCAATGCCGGGACGGGGAATGGGGCGCTGTTATCTCGACCGAAAGATCGCGGAGCGACCAAGGTGCCACACTCGTCACCAGCCAACAGAGGACGCATACCGCTACGTCGACATGCACTCCAGTCGAGTAGCATGATGATTGCATGCAATCGAAGCGCACACGACCGCAGACACAACCATAGGATGGCTTGGTTCACCCGCGCCGGCGGCATTGGGGCACGCCGCGGCGATTAAGCATTCAGCCTCGCAGGGCATTGAGGTCACCGCAATCTCCCCCGCCATCTCCATCACCCCCCACTGCATGCCCCGCGCCCCCCACATCCCAACCCCGCAGACTTTGGGACACTCACGGTGGTCAGACTGGCAGACGCCGCAGAAGTTGAGCTTGACGAGAAGCTCGCCCTCCTTGGGCTCGGGGACTGGGTAGTCCTCGCGGCAAGTGATGGTGTACTGGTGTGAGCAGGTGAGTCAAAGGGGATGGGGGATGGGAGGTCGTCGACCGGGGCCTCTGACAAACCCTTGCTACAGTTGGCGAGGCCGCAGCTCTCCACACCAAAGACTATCACAAACTCACGTTCATCGAACCAGCATTGGTAGCGGGCGCGGCGCGGCAAACCTTGGGAACGTCGACCATTGTTGTGTGTGTGCTGAGTTTAGATTCAGGAAGATGGCGAGCAACAAGCCTGCAGATGCGAGCTATATAGTGCTGGCCACGTCGATCGATGGCCTGCTACCACTGGAACTGGGGCAAGCGAAGCAGCGCGCTCTCCGGTACGGTGTAGGCTACCGAGGGGGGCCGACCCGACATGTTGCCGATTGCCGTGGTCAGCTGACAGGTATCAAGATGCCGGTCGGCGCCCGCGTGGTGCACCCGCCCAGGCTCACCTCAGCTGGCTCACCTCACTCTCTACCACGACAAATGGTTTCGCTTGATGCAGACAGCTCCCCGTGCCTGCAACATCTCTGTCATGGCCCATGGGGTTTGAATGCCCGAGTAAGACACCGCGACCGGCCCGGCAGCTGGCAGAGTATGCGGTGCCTGCGGCGTGATCTGCCGAGTGCGGTGACGTGAGCAGCAGCCAAGCCCACCTTGGTGCACTATTGGGGTCTCCACGTGCCCCCGCCAGCGTGCGTGCGATCGCCGCTTCACCACAAGTTGAATGGAATGGCATGAATGGGCTTTGGCAAGTTACGCCGCGGCTGATTTTGAATGGCCAGGTAGAAGGGCGGAGGCACGCCGACCGATGACATTGTCCCGACCCGCAAACTCCCGCCGCAGCAGACACGTGTCAGGCTGAGACTGGACGGAGGATGGTCGGGCCGGGCAGCGAGGTTGAGCCGGCAGCGAGGACAGGCATGTGGATGATCCAGAGAGCTGGGAGCAAGAAGATGCTTGGAATGTCCGTGAGCATTGGGAAGCTGATAAGAGAGTGGAGTGGAGGTGCCTGGATGGAACAACAACACGCTCCTTCTCGATGCCCCACACAGATCGGCAGATCGACTGCAGAAGACGGCAGAACCTCCCCTCCGCAGTAAACGTCCATGAGCCTCCCATCAATATCTCACAGCATCGCGGCGTTCATCAACTTCACTCCCCCTCCGTCGTCCACTAACTCAACTCACCTCCCTCTTCGGAATGCTTGAGCGTTCACTGACCCCACGTGCCCCTCACGTGCCACATTCCGCCCCAGCCAGCCGACTCTTCGGCCGTGCCAGGGCCCGATAAACCGATAAACTTGCCCCTCGTCAACATCGCCTGAATCGCGAGAGCCATGGTCCGAAATCTCCCCCCAGTCCTCCCCCAGCTGCCCCTCGAGGCGAGCTAAACTGTCTGTGCGCGAAACCGGTCACGTACGCGGCGCGCCGCATCTGTATCTGCGGAACTCGCGCGCGATTCTGCGGGACTTGGCGTCAAACTGGGCCAGGTCACAACCGGCGGCGTTGGGTCATACCGGCACTGCCTGACACCGTTCCGGTGCACTATTTTTTTTTGCATCATCTCGACTTTGGTCAGATCTTGTCTCTTGTCATCTCGTCTCGTCGTGAGCCCACCTCGAATTGAGGAAAAATGTCTACTGCCGATGAGAAGGGCGCAGTCGTGGCGCAGCCCCGGCGACACCTCGACCAAAACATTCCCGCCGAGGCGCACGCGTGGGTCGATAGCCTCGCGCCCGACGAGTACCAGCGCGCACAGGCCAAGCTGAAGCGCAAGGTGAGTTTGTGTGCCGAGTGAATAGCGACAGCGGAGCCCGCGGCGCATGGTCTTGATGGCATGCCAAAGACACAACGCCCACCTCCGCGTCCGCCGCGTCCGAGTTCCGCTTCCGCTGACGACAGATCGACATCCGCATCCTGCCCACCCTTTTCATTCTCCTCGTCCTCAACTACCTCGACCGTGAGAGCCCCCGCCGACTCAGCTGACGCCAGGCAATGCCGTGCCCCTTGCCCGCGTCCAAGGCCTTGACAAGGACCTCGGCCTCGTCGGCACCCAGTTCAACACGGTCATTTCCGTCTTCTTCGCCGGATACATCATCGGCCAAGTGCCCTCCAACATTCTCCTCTCTCGCTCCCGCCCCAGCCTGTATCTCCCTGGCTTTGTGATCCTCTGGGGCACCGTCAGCGCCAGCGCCGCCGCAGCAAACAGCTACTCGCATCTCGTGGTGTGCCGCTTCTTCCTCGGCGTCACAGAGGCCCCTTACTTCCCCGGAATCCTCTTCTTCCTCTCGTCATGGTACACGAAGCGGGAGTTGGCTGTGAGTTCCTGCTCCAAGGACCACTACTTCGGCTCATGCTAATCCCAGCTCCGCACATCCATCCTCTACACTGGCGCGCACCTGTCCGGCGCTTTCGCCGGCCTCATCGCCGCGGGTGTTCAGCGGGGCCTGCACATGGCGCGCGGCCTTGAATCCTGGCGCTGGCTGTTCATCATCGAGGGCGTGCTGACCGTGTTCTGTGGCCTCGTGGCCGCCGTCATCCTCCCAAACTGGCCCGCGACGACGCGCTGGCTCAGCGACCGCGAGAAGGCGCTCGCCGCCGCGCGCCTCGAGCGCGACGTCGGCATGGGCGACGACGAGTACATGCCGCTCGGTGCGGCGATCAAGGCTGCCGTGAAGGACTACAAGATGTGGCTCATGGGCCTCATCTACTGCCTCATGACCACCGCGGGCGGGTACACGGCCTTCGTGCCAACCGTGGTCAGCACTTTCGGCAAGAGCCGCGTGCAAACGTAAGTCCATCCTCGGCCCCGCTTACACCAGCCTCCTCCTCACCGCGCCGCCATATCTCGTCCCGGCGATCACGGAGATCTTGGTCTCCTTCTCGAGCGACCGCCGCCCCGAACGCTGCTTCCACTACACCGTCCCCATGGTACTGGGCATTATCGGCTTCGTGATTGCGGCCACGACGACAGCCACCGCACCGCGATACCTCTCGATCTTCTTCATGACCGGCGGCATGTCGAGCTCGTTCACCGTGCTCCTCGCCTGGGTGGGATCGACTTTTTCGCGCCCGCGCGCGAAACGCGCTGTCGCATACGGCACCGTCAACGCGCTCGGTAATGGTGCGTACCCGGCCTCATGTATCTGCTTACACCAGTCGCACAGATCTGGTCCCCGTACTTCTACCCTGCGTCCGACGGGCCGCGGTACGTCAAGGCTTTCGTCATCAACGCGTGCTTTACAGCCGCAGCGATCGCGCTCAGCTTCGTCCTCCGCGAGTGCCTCCGGCGCGAGAACCAGCGCATGGACGAGCGAGACGACGACGACAGCGTCATGACGGAGAAGAGGATTCGGTATGTGCTGTAAAGGGTGGCTAGACATCAATAGACAGTTGGTACAAAAGGAGAGCTAGGTATGCGTGATGATGCATTGCAGAATGAAGGGCATGGCACGCAAGGATTTACCCATCGCGTGCGATCTTGGGAACGAGAAGGGGGCGCTGCAATGCCGTGGCAACATCTGTTTTGTTGGGGCACATAGCGTTCAAAGTATCATAGTTGAAGATAGGCTTGTATACAATGGCGTGAAGTGAGCGTCACATCGGCATAACGGTCATGGCCCATAAGATGATTCAGGTCGTCAGATGGGATGATGGACGGAACTGATCGAAGAGGCGTCGCACCATCTATGCGTTCCACGGTGGCGGGAGGACCAGTGCCCCGGCTGTGGCACGATGCTTATTCTGCTCTGCCCTCCACCTCAACGAATGATGTCTCGCTCCACTGACTTGGTTCTCATAATGAAGGAGATCAGACGGCAAATACAGATAATGCTCATGCCAAGTATTCTGAACACATCAACGATCATCCCTTCGCCACAATCCCCGACAGTAGTGCGCAGATATTACATCTATCCATCTATGTGGGCCGTCTATCAGTCTATACCCGGAGGTGTCTATGTGAATATACTGTACAATAATCTACACCCTGGCCGTCAACCGCGGGTCCATGCGCAGTCTAGCACCCGCCATCAACACTGCTCCTGTGAGGCAGAGGCAGCCGCCAAATACACCTGCGAGCCGGAATCCCGCCTCGCCGGGGTGTGCCGACACGATAGCGCCGGCGATCGGGACAGCGACGAGGTTGAACGGAGCATTGAGGGCGAACATCATGCCTGTCCTGGCGCCGACTTGGTCCGGTGCGCTGATCTGGGCCATGCACGGCGTGTTGAGTGAGAAGAGAAGGCCGAAGAACGGGCCGTATGCCACGGCAAACCCGAGGAGCTGGTCGAAGTTGCGCAGCGGCACCCAGAATGTGAGGATGAGGATGCCGACACAAAGTGTCGACACGATGTTGAGGTTGAAGCGGCCGGTGATGTCTCCGAGGGAGGCGGCTAGGCGGCCGACCATGGATGCGCCGAGGAGGATGGAGAGAGTGTAGAATGCAAGGTCGCCGGCGCCGAGATGGATGGCGCGCAGCGTGATGAAGAACGAGGGCATGAAGCAGCCAGCTGTGGACAGGGAGACGCCGAAGGCGAGCAGGAGCCACTGCGGGTCTTTGAAGCACTTGAGGGTGTCAAGGAAGGGGGTGGCTTTGCGGGGCGGGAAGCGGGGCCGGATGAGGGCGCATGCAACGGCGAGGAGCGCGGCCGAGATGAAGCCGGAGATGCGGAGCGCCCAGCCGAAGCCGACTTGTGCGATGAGGCGCTGGAGAATGATGGGCCAGCAGACGCCGCCGAGGCCACTCCCGCTGATAGCGAGGGCGCCGGCCATGGCCCGGCGCCGCGGGAAATGCTGGTTGGGCAGGGAGATGACGGGGGTGAAGATGAGCGCGGCGCCAACGCCGAACAGCACTGCCTGCCCCAGCATGAATTGGTAGTATTTTGTGCAGACCGAGGTGATGAAGAGGCTGGCTACGAGGAGGATGGAACCGGGGACGATGCAGAAGTGTGGGCCGCGCGCGTCCAGCAGGCGGCCCGTGATGAGGCCTCCTGCCATAAACAGGAACTGCTGGATGCCACCGAGCCAGCCGACCGCGTCTGACGAGTGGGCAGCGAGCTGGTGTGTCTCGTAGTAGGCCTGAAAGACGCCAAAGGCGTTGTTGAGGCCGAACTGGACGAACATGGCGCAGAAAGCGCCCGCGAGCGTCATCCACGCCTCGCGGCCGCCATCTTCTTCATCGTCGAGGTGAGGCTTGATGACTACGCCTGTCTCCGAGGACGAGCATGACGTCGAGGGCGTTTCTTGGAACTCCTCCTTGCTAGGAAGCTCGTTGGGGAGGGACATCGCGACTACTTTGTATGTGATCAGGCGGAGATGGGTGAGTGCTGGTTAGCTGTCAGACGCTCCCCTCGCCGTTCTTATACCCATCCTCGCTCCACGACGACAGACAAGAAAAAAACTCAGGTGTAGGTGAGACACGGCGTCTCGGCCGCTTGTACGGCGCATCGCGAGTCCAGACCCCGAGATATCGCGGGCCCCCGCTGCTAGCATGTTGTTCATGACGAACAATGCGGCGTGCGGAGTGGTGATAGGGCCGGAGATGGCTTCTAGTGAGCCGTTGAGGTCGGGCCTACCGGTGTTTCGCCCGAGACGCCGCCGCGCCCGGATGTGGGAAGGAAATTTGCGGATGTCGCGATGCATGACTCGGTTGCCCGCAGGGCCGTCAGTTCGGGCAGCGTTAGCGACGGCGCGTGATGACAAAGATGACGCTGTTTGAATCGAGTCGGCGGAGTCGAGTGATGGATGAAGGAGGGAGATGAGATGGAGGAAACGAGACCGCGTCGGGATCTCGGCCAGATGTTGACATCACAACAAACCCCATGCCCTGCAATCCATGACTGACCAAGAACATTCATCCACAGGCCCCATGCGCGCTAGGAAGCGCCGCGCCATCCTCTCATGCGCTCGCTGCCGTGACCACAAGCTCAAGTGTGACCGCGGGCATCCGTGCGCAGCATGCGTCGCGTACGGCGAGGCCCAGCTCTGTGTCTATGGGTGAGTCTCCCGCGTTACTGATGTCCGTCCGTGCTCCGGCTGACGGCAGCGCGCCTGCTGTACGGCCACTGCCTCTCCCTCCCGTGGTAGCTGGGGGCAAGAAGCGCGCGCTTGCCGCGTGTCTCCGCTGTCGTCGACTCAAGCAGAGCTGCAACGCTGAGCGACCATGTCGGCGCTGTATCCGAGCGGCCGAGACGTGCGAGGATGACGACTACGACGAGCCGCGATACACGCCCGAGCCCCCACCGCTCATGTCTTCTTCATCCCACTCGAGCTTACCCTCTCATCCTCCGCATCCACCTGTTCAACTTCCCCGCAGCGCACATGCGTCGCGCGCCGCCTCGCCTCTGCCCGTTGGACGTCTCCGAGTCGCTGACGGGATAACAATCGCCGGCCCGCCGCTGCGCACCTTTGTCCCTGCGTTGCATGACGACCTCAGCAACATCCTCGCAGTCTTTCCCACACCCGATGAGTGCCGCGCTTTGCTTGCCAAGTTTCTCAACTTCGACATCATGTTCAGACTGGTCCACGCTCCGAGTTTCACCCGGCGCGCCGAAGCTGCGATCGCGCGTCTTCCTCACGCCGAGGACACCGATGCCCCATTCCTTTCCCTTCTTACCGCTTGCTTCTGCACAGCCATCACTGTCTCGACCAGCTCGGATCGCGTAGCCGGGGAGCGGCATATGATAGCCCTTCACGAAGGCTTGATCTCCTTCTGCGAGAATCAGGGAGCCTACACAATCGACTACGTTCAGGCCCTCCTTGTCAACGCCTGTGCCCGGCTCGGCGGCGGCGCAGCCTCGCCGGCAACACTCTTCCTGGAACTCGGGCGCGCATATCAAGCTGCCTTACTGGTGGGAATGTACCAGGATCAGCCGGGCGAGACGCTGTTCCAGCGCGAGATGCGGCGCAGGCTGTGGTACCAAATTCTCATCCAGCGCCAGTGAGTAACGCCCCTTGCATTTTCGAGTTCTGCTAACCCCAGCCTCATGGCCGACCGCCTGCACATCGACAGCCAGCTCGACGTCAACATTGTGACCCGGCCCCTCATCATTTCAGATGAGGTTATGGATCACCTCTCCCCAGAGGTTCGGAGCACACCGCACGTCCTCACGGAGTGGGGCTATGTCGATGCTAGAGCGGACCTCGTCAACCTCATGCTCGACCGCAAAAAGGTCATGGCTGATGAGAGTGTGCCGCTGCCGGAGCGCTGGGAAGCCGCCGAGGAGCTCATCGCGCGCTATCTCATCACTCTTCCCGCGCACTTCCGTACCACACATTCCCGTGGTCCAGGAATGCCAAACTGGGTACACATGCAGGCTTGTGTGCTTGAGATTGCGGCACACGACCTTAGCACACAGCTGTACCATCCATACTTCTCCTCGCGCGACCCCACCATCGTCTCCCTCGCTCTCCTGAAGGCCGTCAAGGCGGGTCACCGCCTCGTCGACTCCACGCGCGCACTCATGACCTTCATCCTGTTCGACTATGTTGACGCGCCGTCTGCTGGGCTGTGGACGTACACAATGCGCGCATTTACAGCCGGCCTGCTTATGGCGTACTACATCATGGTTGTGCCCACCTGTCCTGAAGGCCCAAGCCACATCGCCGCCCTCGACGCTATGGTCGGCGTCCTGCGCTCCAGTGCGTCCATGGGTGGATCTACCACGTCGAATCTCGAAGCTCTGAAGACGCTCGAAATGCTGCGCGCCAAAATCAAGGGCACAGCAGCGGACGACGACGTCGTGGGCGTTACAGATCCATACACGGGCGCATCAGTTGCGCTACCCTTCAGCATTCCTATCCAGAACGTGCTGCCGGGCGACTGGCTCGAGTGGGACGCACTGTTCAGGGATCTGTTTGAGAGCGCCCCGGACGCGAACAACCAAGTGGAATCGATGGTCGTGCAGTGCTTCGAGGAGCTGGGGTAACCGAGCGATGCAGGGCTTCGTTGGTGGTGCGATCAGTGTCTGGAAGGCCGCGTAGTCCCGCTACGCAGCCGCTATGGGACGATCACAGGCGTTGGACGCAAACACGCCCTGCAGTATGCATCGCGACCGAGTAGGCCATGTCAAATGCACAGATTCGGGGGCGACTTGGCACAAGAATGGCTCTCAGCTCGGTTCCCTCCTGCAGTGGTAGCGTGGCACGCGCCGTGCTTTGTGGTGCGGAAAGCGGAACGCGGGGTGTTCAGGTTATCCTGCCACCTTATCGTATGAATCTAATGCGTGCAATTCCAGTGGGCAAGGTCTCCACGGACGAGGCCGAAGCCGTTCGAAGTAACCGAAGTCCGCGAAGCCAAGCCGAACTATGGTGAGCAAGAGCCACATGCACTATACCGCTCCCACGATTCGGCACTGAGAAGGCGGGGCGCGCCGCCGGAATGTTAACGTCACCTGACCACATGACGCGCGCTCATCTCCCTGGAGGCGAGAAGTCGAAGCGCTACGCAGCTCTTTGGGTTCGGTTCTGCGTTTGCTCCTCTCCATGCTTAGACGGGGGGCATGACTGTCGGCTCCCGGTCAGACTATATCATCCTTTGGCGCTTCTCAAGCTCTCAATCGACCCCACACCTGAGCTGAGCTATCACCGGCGCCATGTCGACGGTCCTCGCCCAGCCTCTACCGCTGACCCTCACCCCACAGGTGGTGGGCTATGTGCTACTCTCCCTCGTCGTCGTAGCCCCCTTGGCCCTCTGGTTCTACCTGTACCCATACACGGCCGCGACACTGCCGTTCAAGAACCTTCGCGGACCGGAGCCCACCTCAGGCTTCTTCGGCAGCCTCATCACCGTGTCCACCAAGCCGATCGGGCAGCGCTACGCCTCCCTCACGGAACAGTATGGCGCGTCGACGGTGCGCTTCCGCGGCCTGGTCGGCCGCTGGCGCATCATGTCCACGGACACGACGGCGATCGCGCACGTCCTCCGGCACACGGGGCAGTGGCACCGCAACGAGGGCTTTAATGGACTTATCGAGCGCATGACGGGCGCCAACGTCCTGTGCGTCGAGGACGAGCCGCACCGCCGCCAGCGCCGCATCTTGAACAGCGCGTTCAACGGCACGAGCGTGAGCGCAATGATGCCTATGTTTTGGGAGGAGGCGTACGACCTCAAGAAGAACGTTGAAGAGGTGGGTTGTCGGGAGGGCTCGCTAATAGCAGTTGCTCGTTGAAGGCCAGGAGAAGGGCACGCAGGTCGACATGCTCCAGGTGTATGTCCGCACGGCCATGGACATCATCGGCCGCGCCGGCTTCAACTACTACTTCGAGCAGCACAAGGTGAACGGCGAGAACCCGCTGTCCAAGGCGTTCAACGACATGATCAACGGCATGCTCGAGAATAGGAAGCTCGTGCTGGTGCAGAACATCTTCCCGCAGGCGCTTGATCTTGTGAGTGGACGTCTGAGCCGGAGTTACGCCCCCTGTGTCCATTCCCAACGCCTTGCCGCAGCCTGACCCTAGCCTACCGCCAATCACCGCCGCGTAGCCAAGTCACGCGCCGTGCTGGACGGCATCGCTCGCGACATTGTGCAGTCACGCCGTGCTGAGATTGCGCGCGACCACATTTCACTCGACAAGGGCGACTATGAGGGCAAGGACGTGATTTCCCTCTGCCTCCGCGCGAATATGGGTGCAAGCGAGCGCGACAGAATGACTGAAGCTGAGATTGAGGGCCAGATCGGTGCCCTCATGCTCGCGGGCAACGAAACGAGCGCGACGGCATTGAGCTGGGCGACGCTGCATCTCTTTGAGAACCCCGACATCCAAGCCAAGCTGCGCGCCGAGGTCATGGCCGTCCCCGACGACGAGCCCAGTGTGTGAGTGACATCTTATCTTTGCGTTCTAACGCCAGCGAGGTCCTGAACGGTCTCCCCTACCTGGACGGCTTCGTGCGCGAGCTGCTCCGCCTCGACCCGCCGCTGCCGCAGGTCGTGCGCACCGCCGCCGTCGACTGCGTCGTGCCCCTTGGCACGCCCGTGCAGGGCCGCGACGGCTCGCTGATTTCCGAGATCCGCGTGTCGAAGGGCACCGACTTCGTCGTGCCTATCAGCGAGATGAACCGCGACCCGCGCATCTGGGGCGCCGACGCTGACAAGTTCAACCCAGACCGATACGATGGTACAGTTCCCCGAGTGTCGCTGCCCGGCGTGTGGGGCGGTCTCCTCTCGTTTATTGGCGGACCACACCACTGCCTCGGCTTCCGCTTTGCTCTGCTCGAGATCAAGGCAGTGCTGTTCGTGGTGCTGCGCAACTTTGCATTCGAGCCCGTGCCGGGCAAGCAGTTTATTCGGTTCTCAGCGGGCATCATCCAGCGCTCGATCGTCATCGGCGAAGAGAGCAAGGGCATGCAGATGCCGGTGATAGTGCGTGCACTGGAGAGTGAGTAGGTGGGGGGGGGGGGAGGGTGTGTGGTAGTAGACAGGGAGGTGGAGAGCAGTGTACGAGATTGTAAGTAGCGCAGTCGGTCGATGCAGATGTTGTGAGGAACATTGCCCGAGACCGTGCTGCCCCACTTGTGCTTGGCATTGCTGAGTCCTCGGACCTCACCGATCACGACACTGGCTCCGGCTATCATCCCGCCGGATCCTCCGAGAATGATTTCCGCCCTCGCTCGTTTGCACCCCCGGATCCCGGAGTTCTCTCTACGCCTCTGCATGCAAGCGAACTCCAGATCTGCAGACAGGCCCTATGCCCGCCGGTGACTTGCATCTTGATCAGCATCGCGCTCCGGCTGACGTGCCGGCGGCCAAGTGTGCGAGGAGTGTCACGGTTATGTTGCTTAAATCTCGCCTTCGATTTTGATATCTTGGTCTCTCTTTGTCTGCCCCTCGTTTTCCTCATCCCCACCTCGCCTACTCGTCATGCCCCCCGCTCTCTTCACCCCCACACAGGTCGGCGCGTTCACGCTCAAGCACCGCGTCGTCCTGGCCCCGCTTACCCGTAACCGCTCCGACGCCAAGACGCTCGTGCCCCCCGCCGACCTCGGCGCTGAGTACTATGCGCAGCGCGCAACTGGTGAGTATTGAGGTGGAGGAGATGGGCAGGCGAGGCTTTCACGACTCGAGGTGTCGAGACGTGCGCCAAGTTGCCCGTCTTCGCTACTTCCCCTTACTTCCCGGCGCCTACCAACCCCGTTCTTCGCGAGCCCCGCTGACCCACCAGACGGCGGCCTCCTGATCTCCGAGGGCGCCTTTGTCGCCGCCGAGGCCGGCGGAATCGCAGCCGCGCCTGGCATCTACTCGCCCGAGCAGGTCGAGGCGTGGAGGACCATCACAGCTGCAGTGCACGCTAAGGGCGGCCTCATCTTTTGCCAGCTGTGGGCTCTCGGTCGCACGGCGAACCCGAACCTTGTCCCGACCGTCTGGGGTCCCAGCGCCGGCGAGTACGTCGCGAACCCGAAGAAGCCGTCGCCGGTCAAGATCACGGAGATGACCGAGGCGGACATCGACCGCTTCGTGGCGCACTACGCGCACGGCGCGCGCTGCGCGATCGACGCGGGCTTTGACGGCGTCGAAATCCACGGCGCGAACGGCTACATCGTCGACCAGTTCCTGCAGCCCGTCTCGAACACCCGCACGGACAAGTACGGGGGCAGCGTGGCGGCGCGGCAGCGCTTCGGGCTGCGCGTGCTCAACGCCGTGTGCGAGGCCGTCGGGCCCGAGCGCGTCGGCATCCGCATGTCGCCCTTTGGCATCGTGCAGGGCATGCGCGGCAGCTTCGCGCCGCTCGACACCTTTGTACCCTGGGCCAAGGCGATTGTCTCGGCCCAGCCGGACCTCGCGTACGTCCACGCCGTCACGCCGCGCACGTACGGCACCACGGACATGCCCGAGAACATGATTATCGCGGACGACGACCTCGAGCCCATCCGCCGCGTCGTGCGCGACGCCGGCGTCGCATTCATCTCCGCGGGCGGATACCGGCCCGAGATGGCGGTCGAGGTTGCTGAGCAGACGGGCGACCTCATCGGTTTCGGGCGCTACTTCATCTCCAACCCCGACCTGCCGGAGCGCATTGCGCGCGGGTGGCCGCTCAACGACTACGACCGCAAGACGTTCTACACCCCCGGACCGAAGGGGTACATCGACTACCCTACGCACAAGGAGTCGAGCGCGCGTCTGTAGACAGTAGATACATACATGGATTACTTGGATTTTAGCTTCATCTAACACGCATTCTCGCCGACGCTCGCGTCGACGCGCACGAGGATCTTGCCTGCCGCATGTCTGCCCGCGAGCTTGTCGTACGCTTCGCGCGCATGCTCAAAGTCCCACACGCTGTCGCGCACGACGCGGATCACGCCGCGCTCCATGAGCCCGACGACGGCCTCGCGCTCCGCCAGCGACGGGTGCATCATGCTGCACGCGCCCCATTTGCGGCCGACGCCCCCGAGCCACCGGCTCGTCGGCCACCACTCGTTGAGCTTCATCGTCCACACGGCGCGTAGGAAGTCGGGGATCCAAAACGTCGGCGGCTTGATGCCGACGCTCTCGTACACGCCCCCTTCGCGCAGATAGGCCGGCGACGCCTTGTACAGCGCCTGGAAGCCAAGCGTGTCGAGCACGGCGTCGAACGGCGCGCTGGCGTACGTCGCGGCCAAGTGCCGCGAGAGATCTTTGTACAGCATATAGTCGACGATCTGGGTCAGCCTTCTTCGAGAGGGGACATACCTCGTCTGCGCCGAGGGCGCGCACCATCTCCGCGTTTCCGCCGCTACACACGCCCACGACGACACCTTGCTTCCCCACCACATGCCGCAGCATCTGCACGGCCATGGTGCCGATGCCCCCGCTCGCGCCCACGACGAGCACGCGGTCGCCCGCCCGCGCCCCGCTCTCCACGACCATGCGGTGCGCCGTGAGCGCGGCGAGGAGGGCCGCCGCGTCCGCGTACGCCACGGACGGCGGCTTGCGCACCGCATACCGCGCCGGCAGGGCGACGTACTCTGCCAACGCGCCCGTGCCGGTCGGCAGCGTGTGTGACGCGGGGAGCATCGCGCATACCCCTTCGCCGCGGGCGAAGCGGGGCGGGGCGGCGGGCCCGACGGGCGTCTCGCCGTCCGCGCTGGCGGGAGCGGGGGCGGGGACGGCGCCCTCGGCGGCGTGCGGACGGTCGGGGTGCCACACGTCAACGACCACGCCGCTCATGTCCATCTCCGGCACGTTGAAAAGGGCTTTGCGGAAGCGCTGCGGGAGAAGCGTCATTTGGAAGATGGCGCCGGGGTTCAGCGCTGCGTAGGCCGTGCGGACGAGGATCCACTCTTCAGGCTCCGGCACGTCGGCGGGGAGGGGGTGCGGCGGGAGCGTGGGCGTCGGCCGGTCCACGAGCTGCAATACGTTCGGGGGCAGCCCGCGCGCCGTGATCGTCCATGCGCGCGAGGTCGGTGGGGGGTGCTGCATTGGGTGGGGGGTGAAGTACGGAATGGTGGCGGGTTGGCTAGAGACGGGGTATGGAGGGAGCGGCGGAGGTGAGGTGAGGGAGAGGGCAATGGGAGGGTGATGAGTGCGAAGAGGAGGAGGATGAGCAATGGCGTCTTATACTGTCCTCGAGCGACAGTGACGAGCGTGGGAGTTGGGCGTTGTTGTCGGTTCGGCACGTCGGCAGATGAAGATGGATTATGACGAGTCGTCGCGGCAAGTGGCGGAATGCTTGGCGGTGCGGAACGCGAGTGCAGCAGAGCAGCGAGTCTGAGCGTGCCGAGACCACAACGCATCCTCGGCCTCCTCGTCAACGTGGAAGCCCGTGAGGCGCCGCCGAGCGGACTGCCTCTCCGGCTGACCTCGCATCCGTCTCGGCGCCTATTCGCTTCACCTCCCCGCGCAACACCGCGTGGTACAAGTGCAAGTTGCATACAAGAGACATCATCGCCTTACCTCGCCCCCGCCCCACGCTCACACCAGCACCTACCCCGCAAACAGACACCGGTGCGCGTCGCTCGTCAACATCTCCCAATGCGACACGGGCTCGCCGCGGTCTTGCCGTGCCCAGAACTCCTTAATAAGGCGGATGCACGCGCGCGTGTCGTAGCATTTCTGCGGGCCCGGGTGCTCCAGCAGTCGGATGAGCGGCTCGCGCCCCTCGTGGCCGAGGTGGAAGCCCGCGAGCATGAGCGGCCAGAGGAACCTGGTGTCAGTGTGCGTTGATTATTGTAGTGAAATCCTCCGGCAGACTCACCAGTTCAGCGTCGGGCCTTCCTCAAAGTCGAGTTCGCGCACGAGCTCGAGAATCGCAGTAGCGGACGAGACTACGCGCTCGTCCGTCGCGTCCAGATCAAGCACGTCACGCATGAGCGCAATCCGCATCGCGTGCCGGTAGCAGTGGTTGCCGTACTGCGCGCGCGTATGGTACGGGCTGTAGTTGAAGCCCTGGTCGAGCACCTGGAGCTCGGCGAGGATACCGTTCGCCGCGTCCTGCAGCTGTGCGGGTGGGGCACGCACACCTACGCTCTGCAGCGCCTGCGTCTCGCGCGCCGTGCCAATCAGTGAGCACGCGCGCGCCATGACGTCGACCATGCCGCGTGTCACACCTGGCGTCAGCAACGAGTCGAGCTGATTAGAGCACAGCGCCACACCCACGCACCAAATAACCGCTCAACGCTCTCCCACTCGACCTCACGGCCGGACCAGCGCTCGATCTCGAAGAACCACGGCTCGAATGGTTGCCGGATAATGCTTGGCCGCCGCCCGAGGGTCATGCACGCAATCACGTCGCGCACCGCTAGCTGCTCGAGCACGAAACGCGTGACAGAGTACTGGTCTTTGAGGGAGAGCGAGACGACCTTTTGTGCGCCGCCAAGGCGGTCGATGAGGCGCACGGCCGTAATCAGCGTTTCCTCCCACGTGTTGTCGGCCGCGAGCGTGCATGCCACGATGCACGATAGCATGGCGGCGAGCGCGCCCTCGATCTCGCTCATGTTCTTCTCTGGATCGCGGAGGATCGGGTCGAGCAGCTTCATGACCTTGCGCCGAGCGTCGCCTGCGATGCGCTGCGCCGCGCGCTGGTTGCCTGGGTCGTCGGCGTAGCGGAGCCGCACAGCGCCCACGGCCAGCAGGCCTATCCTCAACGCGTCGGAGGTGGGCGAGACGCTGCCGTCAGTGGCGAAAGACGACGAACTCACCCAGGCGCATTGCGGAGGGCGAGAGGTGCGTGGATCGAGACCCAGGGGTTGAAGGGGTTCTTTGGCGGGTTGAAGGCGATGAGCTCCTCCGCTGTCTGGATATAGTAGCGGAACGTGAGCACCTCGTCGCTGGGGTCAGAGGCGGTTTAGGAGAATCCTCACCTCTTGTGGAAGAAGGTTTCGAGCATCGTTCTGCGGTCAGCGCCTGCCGTTGCTCGTACACCCACGGATCCATCATGAGCTTCTTGCGCGTCGTGTGCGAGATCCACTCGATGCCCGTGTCGATGCTACCGATGCTCGGAGATGGGGGCAGTGTCACAGACCCTCTGGTATTCGGGGTGGCAACGATGACCTGCGGCGATGCGTCGGACCCGCTCGCCGTCTCCTGACGAGACGGGACGGGCGGGCGGCGCCGCTTGCGCGGATTGGGCGGCTTCTCCACTCCCCATCCGCACTGGCGTCAGTACATGAGCGCAATCAGCGGCAATCTTATCGCCGCGAAACGAGGCCCTCGTATCGCACCGCACGCACCTCCCGGTCCCCGGCCTTGCAGCGCGTGCATACGGGCCGCACTTCGTCGCACTTGACACGGCGCGCGCGGCAGGTGAGGCAGCCGTTGCGGGAGCGCTGGAGCTGATATTCGTCTTCTTGTTGCGCCATGATGAAGAATGAGAGAGTGGAGGAGGATTAGTGGGAGGGCTCGAAACGAAGGGATCGGCAGAGCGGGTGTATTGTACTACTCGTCTTCTTTTCTCTCTCTTCTCCTATTCTCGCATTCCGCGGCGGCAAGCTCCAGCTCGGCTCGGAGACTGGGGCACATCCTCCGGGTTCGCCGCGGCATGGCCCGGCCTTGCTCCACTGACACGATCTCTGACTTCTCACTGGCTCGCGACGCCGGCATGCATAAGAGGGGCGCGCGGGAGTCGGCGGCAAAACTCCTAGCTTGACCGGTGCCTCGTCTCGTTGCCTGTCGAGGCGGGATGATCCGGCTCTGCTGATATGCTGATGCGACCGGCCGTAATCTGGCCAGCAACATCCTGCTGGTTATCTCTGTGAGCTCTCATGGCGTCGAGGATCGTGACTTGGGTTGCCGTTGCTCCGTCGTCAGTGGCTGAGGCAGCGAGATCGGCGAGACCCGGCTCGTCAGGACACAAGCTCTGTTTGCAACCTCTGCATGGTGCATGTCACTGCTCACACCTCGGCTGCAGGGCCGGAACTCGGAGCAGTAAATGCTTGGGTGAGATCTAATTTAACCTTCCCAACTACGCTATAAACGAGCCATCGCTTATGCGCTTATGGAGACGCAACAGGAACCATGCCGTCTGGCTGCAGCAGGTGGAGGTCGAGTGATCTCGCTTCCACTCTGAGGTTAGTTGCATCGTACCCGTCATCCACTGGTCCGTCAATGTGTGCGAATATCATAGCACTGTTTCGCACTGTTTCGCAGCAAAGACTTCTGAGGGTCGAGTCTGAAATCATACACAATGAGAATGCGCTAATTGTTGCTGTCGGCACACAGATCACGGCGCCAATGGGTTGCCCCATGCCTAGTTGTCTATCACAACCTCGACGTGCATCCCCATCCTCAACCCGACCTCGAACTTGCTCCCACCAGGTTTCGGGACGTTGGACAGAACTACTTCTCGGAAGCCGCCTTTGCGCTTTGTCCATCTTCGCGACCCGGATGCAGGACAAATCGTATGGGTCTGTACTTGTGCAGCTGCAACAGCCAAAGCGGGATGGAGACGCAGACGAGCATCAAGTAGTGAGCCCATTTGAGAGCTGAAAATCAGAATTTCAGATTGGACGGGATGGACGTGCTGGTGCACGTCCGAGACGGCCCCTACGTCATACCTACAGCAGCATCGGAACGGAGAGTCGGAGAGTCACACCCCAGTGCATCTCAATTTTCCTGCTCGACACATCGCCATGCTCTCTCTTGAATGTAGCAGCTGAAGCACGCACCGGCCACCCAGAGGTCGCCGTTCGCGGCTCGCCGCTGCACGCCCCGCGCACTGCCGCGCGCCTCGCCAAATCTTGCCTCGGCCGAGAGGCTACATGACATGACGCGTGCCTGGTGTCCTGGCGAGAATGAGGTGATCTACTTTTAGGTCTGGCCCAGAGAAGTTGTTCCGATCGCCCGCCACGGACAAACGGCATCGCGGCATCTGCTCCATCTTCAGCTCTGCCGAGCCTCCGCCTCAGGCTCCACTGTGCACCAGAACAGCGCCGCTCATGACAGAGGTCCGACTCGGCTCGTAGCCGCATCCCGCTCGAGACAAAATCTTGACTCTGCTCATCGCTCGATATCTCGCCACTACAGATACGATAGGTGCAACTTTGCCCACCGCGTATATCTTGCATCGTCGTCGCATCTGACCCCACCGACAACTCGTCTCCTCCGACGTCGCCCTCCTCCCCTCTCCCCTCGTCGACTCTTCATCGTCACTCCCCCACGCTCCTCACCCCTTCCCCTTCCCCTTCCCCCCCTCGATGCCCGGCTTCAATCACATTCGAGTACGCAAGTCGTACTCGCGGGACACGCTCATGGTGTCGCCCGTTGACGAGAACGGTGTCGCCGACCGATGGGCCGACGCTTCGAATCCCCATGTCGTCTCTGCCGTGGCAACCGCGACGATCGTGGACGACGAATGCAACGGGAGTCTACCATCTTCCCACGTCGCGGCATTGGGGCTCGCGGACGCGCTGCGGCACGTGCACATCCTGCGGCGCGGGCCCGAGACGAGCGGGGGACCGGAGCCGCGCCCCGCACTCCCCGGGCGCGTCGCGACGCACACAATGGTGCGCTTCATCGACCTGACGGCGTGGAACTCGGACGACGCGGAGACGTTCTGGCGCACGCGGCCGATCATGGGCCTACTGGCGCGCCCAAAGGGCGCGACGCGCATGGTGCTCAACTCGTCATTTGACCCGCGGCACCCGCGCCTGCGCGAGGCGAGCTTCAGCGCCTACTTCCTCGGCTTGAGCGAGGTCACGCTCATCTTCACGCCGTACGAGCGCGTGCGGTCGCCGCCGCCGAGCGGCGACCTCATGCCCATGAGCGCGGCGAACACGCCCACAGGAACGCCGACGACGTCGCCACGCACAAGCACCGACAAGCCTACGCGTCCCGGGTTCATCACGTCGAATATCCCGCCTGAGCAGCGATGGCTCGGCATGCTCAATGACCTCATGTATGCGCTCTCCGAGTGCTTCGGGGGCACGACATGCAGATTCACCCTCGTGGGTGTTGAGACGATCCCGGCGGCGGCGCTCAACCTCGACCCCGCGCTCGCGGACGACTGGCCGTCCCGCCGCGAAACGGTGCGCAAGCTCATCGGCCGCCAGGTCAACTTTACGCGCGGCGTGTATCCCCCCCAGCCGCCGATTCCGGCAGACGAGCTCGCGCACCTCCTCCAGGACATCCGCATCCTCACGCGCGAAGAGTACCGGCAGCGGGTGGGGGCGGAGGAGTTTGAGTTGTTTACGATGTGGTAGAGGTAGAGAGGGGTAATGTTGTTTACTGCAGTATGCTAGACTTAATTTGTGATGACTGACGTGCGCGGGGTAGGCTGAGGCGACGACGCTGGCTGCTGTGTAGGTGGTGCGGCTGGCATGGAGGTGGCAGTGCGACGATGTATGCTGACGTCCGAGGTATCTGGTAGTCACCCCAGGCGTGGGGCGCCAAGTGAGTATGCAGGAATGTGCCCGTGGCACTTCCTGCTCTGCGTGCCCGGAAGGCGTAGGCTGGTGGCGTCGCGAGGCGCGCTCGGAAGCCGCGGGTATGGGGGCGTGGAACTGGGCTTGTAACCCACGGCACGCGATTACATATCGCGGCTGGTCGCCGCGGCTTGCTTCGAAACGACCAGTTGTGTCACCTCCTCGTCGCTTACTTGCCCGTTAGTGATTCCTGGCGTGATATATCTTGTCAATGGCTCGCCTGCAGACTCCCCCATCATTGCGCTCACATCAGCCTAGGTACTATCAGCACAGACCCAGCGCCTACTGGCTTATCAGTAAGCGACGTCTCTCTACAGCGGAGACCCCAGTGAACGCGAGCGACATGGGCCAGATCAGCATGTCCTGTCAGGTCCCTCGCAGCACCCAGAGGCCGGAGGCATGGAGACGCAATCTGCCGGCGTGCCGGCATTCGGCGGTCCTCACAGCAGCACCTGCGCCGCTGACATGCACGTCTGTCATGTGAAACGCCTGTCACGCGCAGGACTTGTGCGTGCAGTTCTGCCGGAGCTGGTGCCGCCTGACCACAGAGCAAGCGGGACTCGCCGACTGCGGATGAGGTCGGCAACTAGCGCCTAATTGGGCGTTGTCGCACGTTGGGATAGGCGACGCGACGGTGGGCATGATCTCAGCCTCAGCGACTGGGCGGAAGCCTCAGCCCCACGGCGCGTCCTCAGACTGCCTCTCCTCAGCCACGACCCGATGCCGTCGTCTGCCGTCCACCCTAGATTGCGCGTATCTGTGCCTGCCAGGCCCAGGATAAATCACTCATTTGTGGAGCGCACTCTCTATCGCCTCCATTGGCCGCGATGTAGGATGTCAGTAGGATGCCGAGGACAATAGCTCGGCACGATGCTCATCCGTCGCACGCCCGGATCCCTCTTGGCGTGCGCCTGCCCAACATACGCCTGCCCAACCCCCGCAGCCGTTCTGCAGACCCAGTCCGAGCACTTGCCGCCTATTCATCCCGGTTCATGCCCGTATACCGCTGATCTCGAGCTGGGTTATTCGGCTCCATGCAAGCGCCCCTCTCATGCAGAGATGATAATGAATAAAGAGCGGTAAGCGCGATATGCATTACCCGACGGGGACTCCGCGGCGCCCCAGCGATTGGGCTCTGGAGAACCGGGACAGACGCCGAGATAGCGACGCACCACGCGCACCCGCCTTCCGCGGTCACTCCGCACCGCCTCACTATTTGGTCCGGTATCATGTGACGCGCCAGAAAAGGAAATGCAAGGCTCGTGCCTCGCTCGCGGTAGCCAAGAGAGCTTGAGCGGCAAGGATAGCGAGGTGAGCATGATGGTGTCGCACGTTAGCCTGCCCTGATAGGCCTTTGGGCGCGATGCATGAGAGATGCGAGATGCCATTGCCATTGAGCCCTCGCTCCACGGCGCCGGCAGCTCCATGTTGTGTCGAGATGGGGTGCGATCGTATCCAACAAGACGCGAGCCTTAAAGCGGCCCGCGCCGGCTCTCGCACCCCTCTTCACCCCCACCCGAACACACAATGAGATCCTCATACGACGAGAAAGACGAGAAAGGCATCGGCACACTGATGCACGATGTGCGCCCGGTGCGCGAGGTCGAGTACGAGCTGGGCCACACCGGTCTCGGCAAGGCGACGATCCGCACTATGAAGCCCCGCCACATCCAGCTGATCGGTATCGGCGGCGCGATTGGTACTGGTCTCTTCGTAAGCCCATCCCCTGTGCCACCTAACACCAGGTCGGAACGGGCACCTCGCTCTCGAACGCGGGCCCGCTGTCCCTCGTCCTCGGCTACGCGATCTACGGTGCCCTCGTGCTCATGACCTTCAACGCGATGGGCGAGATGACGTCGTATCTGCCCGTTGACGGGTCGATTCTCGTCTTTGCCGGCCGCTTCGTTTCCAGCTCGTACGCGTTTTCCATGGCATGGCTCTGTTTCTGGAATAACGCAATCACCGTCGCGGCTGAGGCGACGGCGATCGCGTCCATCATCAAGTTCTGGAACGAAGACATCAACTCGGGCGTGTGGTGTGCCCTCTTCGTTGTGTCGATTATCCTCATTAACATGTGGGGCTCGCGCTGGTTCGGCGAGGCTGAGTGAGTTTCCCATTACCTTTGACCTTTGTCTCCTCCCCACTGCAGACCATCCCTCTACACCACTAACCCCAGGTTCTGGTTCTCGACGTTCAAAGTTCTCCTCGTGTTCATCATCATGTTCTTCACGTTCATTACTATGCTCGGCGGCAACCCGCAGAAGGACCGCTACGGCTTCCGCTACTGGAAGAATCCGGGTGTCATGCGCGAGTATCTCGTGCCCGGCAACATGGGGCGGTTCCTCGGCTTCTGGTCCGTCTTCATCCAGGCCGCGTTTGCCTACGGCGGCCCAGACATGATCGCCATGACGGCCGGCGAGGCGCGGTACCCCCGCCGCGTCCTGCCCAACGTATTCAACCGCGTCATCTTCCGTCTCCTCTTCTTCTACATCGGTGGCACTTTTTGCATCGGTACACTTGTAAGTAGCACGGGAGGAGATGGCACCCTGACGGCGCTACGCCTCTGTCGGTTTGCCTCGCACCTTGGCAGCGCTCTGACCTCGACCTCGCTAACGCCCAGGTTCCCTACACCGACCCAAACCTCACGGGTAACGGCGGCAAGGGCACGCCGCCCATCGTTATTGGCGCCGACCGCCTTGGCGTCCCTGTCCTTCCACACATTATCAACGCGATTATCCTCACCTCGGCGTGGTCGGCCGGCTGCTGCCTGACCTTTACAGCGTCGCGCAACCTCTACGCGGCTGCGATCAACGGGCACGCGCCGCGCCTCTTCCTCGTCTCCTTCCGTGGTGGTAAGTCTCCCTCCGGATCTTACTCACGCAGTCCCCATCAACGCGATCATCGCCGTGACGATCGTCTCCTGCCTCTCCTTCATGACTGTGAGCGACAAGGCCATCACCGTCTTCACGTGGATCACAAACATTCTCGGCGGTATGTGGATCCTGAACCTGTGGCTTCAGAACGTGCTCTACCTCCGCTTCCGCGCCGGCTGCGACGCGCAAGGCATCGACCGTAGCACGTTCCCCTACCGCCGCCGCGGGCAGCGCCTGTGCAGCTGGATCTGCGTGTTCGCGTACGGCGTCATCTTCCTCACGAACGGCTTCAAGGTGTTCATGAAGGGCCGCTGGAGCATCCGCGACTTCCTCTTCGCGTACCTCGTGCTCGGCCTCTTTATTGTGCTGTACGTCGGGCACATGGCCTACGATGTGCTCCGGAACGGCGGGTCGTGGCGCCCCCTCAAGGGCGAGGACATGGACTTCACCACCGGCAAGCGCGAGGTCGACGAGGACGAGCTCACGTACCCGCCCGTCGGCAATACGCGGGGCGCACGCTTCGAGCGCTGGCTCTGGGGCTAGGCGTGTCGTGTGGAGAGGCTGGGCTGGGGCGTATCACGTGTGGCGGTGTCGGGTGTGCCGGAAAAGAGTGGTGTGAGGGTTGTGGAATAGTTGTCAGTAGTTTTGTGAGAATGCAAGTCGAGGTAGTCAATAACGTCAGCCGTCACGGGGTTCGAGGGTGGTCGGAGCAACAAGTCGACACCGAGCGTTCTCACCTGACCGGACGGACTGGACCAACTTGGAATCAGATTGGTGCCGCAGATATCGCAACCGACGGCTTCCGTCCCGATCCATGATATGACGCATGAAACAAGCATGTGACCGGCGCCATGCCGCATGCCGATGGCTTGCGTGTTGAGGGCGCTGTACTATTGCTCGGGCGCTCTGGAGACTCAAGCGAGATGTGTGGCAATCCAACAGCCATCAAGTCTGCTGGAAATGCCAGTCCCGTTGTCTTGAAGACGCCAAGTGAGTAGTCTTGGCATGCATGTGACCGGCGCGCGGATTCCCTCGACTCCCGCACGGCCACGCCCAATCGTACACTCCCGAGCGAGCAGCAGCGGACCCCCTGATGGCCGTACGAGTCAGAGTCCGAGTTGGTGTTTGGGGGTGGGACGAGGATGGTGGCGGCCGTCAGAAAGGACTTCTTCAGCGCTGGACCCCCTCGGAGAGGACGGACTGAGATGCGTACTCCGCCCGTTATCTCCGCTTCACGTGGCGCCTCCTGCAGGGTCGTTGAGCAGGCATCACCGTAGCGCCCGTGCCTGGTGAATCAACCTGAGTGGACTGGGCGGAGTACGGGGCACATCTCCGCTCCAACCCTGTGGGAGTGGCGGCATCGGGTTCTTGGCACGACACCTTGCTCGAGGTTTGTCTTGCCTCGTTCGAGTCGGGAGCTGTCGCTTCCCACTCGTCCTCGTTCTACAACAACTGACCCCATCATCATGCTCATCTCGTAACTCTCTCTCTCTCTCTCTCTCTCCATCCCATCACTCATCTCGCTTTCATCATGGAGGACAAACATCCAACTCATTCCCCAGATACGGGGGCGGACCTCAATGAAAAGGCCCCACCACCCACCGCCGCCGGCTCCAACGATTCGTCCCTTGCTCTCGGCACAGAAAAGGTCAAGGCCGAGCCTGTGTCCACGAAGACGGCCCAGTCCGAGAAGAAGGGCTGGTTCGGCAAGAGTAAGAAGGAGGTCGCGCCCAAGGACGACGATAACGCCGATGAGCCCCCGCCCGTCAAGCCCGCGAGCATCCCCTCGCTCTTCCGCTTCGCTACGCGCAGAGAGCTTGCTCTCCAGTACCTCGGCCTCTTCATTGCCGCGTGTGCTGGCGCCGCGCTGCCCTGCATGACAATCGTGTTCGGCGAGCTCGTGACTCTGTTCACCGACTTCGGCACCGTTTCGCGCCAGATCGCTGTTGAGGGTCTCACTCCGGCAACCGCTGCCGCCCTCGAAAGAGCCAAGGCCAACCTCAAGAGTGAGGTCGGCAACTGCGCGCTCTACCTCATGGCCATGGGGTTCGCCATGTTCATCCTTACCTACTCTTACATGCTCATCTGGAACTACACCAGCGAGGCACAGAGCAAGCGTCTCCGCGAGGCCTATTTGCGAGCCGTGCTGCGCCAGGAGGTGCGTCCGGCGAGAAACAGCGCTGACCTCAGATTGCGTGGTTTGACGACATGGGCGCTGGTGAGATCGCTAGCCGCATCCAGACAGACTGCCACCTTGTCCAGACAGCCATCTCGGAGAAGATGGCCATCACCGTTCAACACTCTGCGACATTCGTTGCCGGATTTGTCGTTGCGTACGCTCGGAACGCCCGCCTCGCCGGTGTCCTCACCACCACCTTCCCTGTCATTGTGATCTCGGGTGGTATCAGTGCGTCTATCATCTTGACTCATCTGACGCGCAGTGGGGTTCTACGAGACCAAGGCACAGACCAAGTGTCTCGCACACATCGCCAAGGCCGGCAGCATAGTCGAGGAAGTTGTCTCCTCCATTCGTACAGTCAAGGCATTCGCAAGCGGGCCGTATCTTGGAAAGCGGTTCAACACTGCCATCGGCGCGAGCCGTGATGCCGGAGTTGGCGGCGCCGCTCCTCAGTCGGCCGGCCTGGGTCTGATGTGTACGTCCTGCAGGCACCTCCGACACAGCTCACACCAGTCTTCACCGTCTACGCTGCGTACGCTCTCGCCTTTGCTTATGGCGGCCGTCTCGTCGAGCAGGGGCGCGCCACCAGTGGTGATGTCATGAACGTCGTCATGGCTATCCTCATCGGCGCGTTCTCCATCGCAATGATTGCCCCCGAGCTGCAGAGCATCAGCAAGGGCCGTGCCGCCGCCACAAAGCTGTTTGAGACCATCGACCGGGCGCCGACCATTGACTCGGCCAACGAAGGTGGCCTGCGTCCAGAGAAGGTAGTCGGCGACATTGCTTTCGAGAATGTCGCCTTTCACTATCCATCACGTCCAAACGTGCCTGTGCTCAAGGGCCTTTCAACTACCTTTAACTCGGGAGACACTTGCGCCCTCGTCGGTGCCAGTGGTAGCGGAAAGAGTACGGTCATCCAGCTTCTCGAGCGCTTCTACGACCCGATCGGCGGGAGGATCACACTCGATGGTATCGACATCCGCGACCTCAACCTCAAGTGGCTGCGCCAGCAGATGGGCTACGTTGCGCAAGAGCCAGTGCTGTTTGCCACCAGTGTCCGCGGCAATGTCGAGCATGGTCTGATCGGCAGCAAGTGGGAGCACGCGCCTGACGTCGAGCGCCTCGAGCTCGTCAAAAAGGCTTGCGAGGCCGCCAACGCCGACGGGTTCATCTCCAAACTGCCCCAGGGGTACGACACCCACGTCGGCGAGCGAGGCATGCTCCTTTCCGGCGGTCAGAAGCAGCGCGTGGCCATCGCGCGCGCCATCGTCTCGGACCCCCGCATTCTCCTTCTCGACGAGGCGACCAGTGCGCTCGACGGCCAGTCTGAGCGTGTAGTCCAGGACGCGCTGGAGAAGGCGAGTGTGGGCCGCACCACCATTGTCATTGCACACCGCCTCGCCACTGTCCGCGATGCAGACCGCATCATCGTCATGGGTGCTGGTGAGATAGTCGAGCAAGGCACTCACAACTCGCTCCTTGAGGACACAAACGGCGCGTACTACAAGCTTGTGCAGAACCAACAGCTGCAGCAGAAGGCCACTGAGAAGGCCGGCGACGAGTCCAACTCCGAAAGCGAGGACGAGGGCCCCAACCCGCTCCAGCGTCACATCTCGCCTGAGCTCTACCGTCAGCACACCCACGGCAACAGGTCTCTCGCGTCGCTCGCGCTCGAGCAGCGTCGCATGGATGTCGCTGCATACTCGGCGCCATACGACAAGGCGGGCTTCTTCCCCCTCTTCGGGCGCCTTCTCCGCGTCAATCGCGAGCACTGGGTGTGGTACATTCCCGGCGTCCTCGGCGCGACTGCAGCTGGCATGGTGTACCCCGCAATGTCGATCCTGTTCGGCAAGACGATCGCCGACTTTGAGCTGCCGCGTGAGACCATCCGGCCAGTGCTTGACCGCAAGGGTCTCTGGTTCTTCATCATCGCCGTCCTTTCCGGTATCGCCATGTTCTTCAACTACTGGTCCTTCTCCCGCACCGGGTGGGAGCTCGCGAGCACGCTGCGCACCCGTCTCTTTGCTGCGGTCACCCAGCACGACGTCGAGTGGTTCGATGAGGAGGAGCATGCGACCGGCACGGTCACCAGCGAGATTTCCGATCGCCCGCAGAAAATCCAAGGCCTCTTCGGTGTCACACTCGGTAGTATACTGCAGGCTGTGGTGACGCTTGTCGGCGGTGTCATCGTTGGTCTCTGTTACGGTCCGCTTCTCTCGCTCATCGGTATCGCATGTGTGCCGCTCATCATTGGTAGCGGGTACATCCGTCTGCGTGTCGTTGTGCTCAAGGAGGAGAAGACGAAGAAGTGGCACGCCGGCAGTGCGCAGCTGGCATCCGAGGCTGCGGCGAGCGTGCGCACTGTTGCGTCCCTAACTCGCGAGGAGGACGTTGAGGCTATCTATGCTCGCTCGCTCGAGGGCCCGATGACCATCAGCATCCGCACTGCATACAGCTCGCAGGCTCTCTTTGCGGCTAGCCAGGGCATAACATTCCTTGTGGTCGCGCTGGTGTTCTACATTGGCGCGCTTTGGATCATCGACGGCAAGTACAATACCGAGACTTTCTTCATCTCCCTCAATGCTGTCGTCTTTGCGGCACTCGAGGCTGGTGACATCTTCCAGTTCGTCCCCGACGCCAGCAAGGCCAACTCGGCAGCGCGCAGTGTCTTCCGTGTCCTTGACAACGTGCCCGAGGTCGACGCCGACTCGGACGAGGGCGTCAAGCTTGACCCTGCCACCGTGCAGGGGACGGTTGCGTTCCACAATGTGCACTTCCGCTACCCGTCTCGTCCTGGCGTGCGCGTGTTGCGCAAGCTGTCTCTCGAGATTCCGGCTGGCAAGTACGTGGCGCTCGTCGGCCCCTCGGGTTGCGGGAAGAGCACGACGATCCAGCTCATTGAGCGATTCTACGATCCGCAGGCTGGAAGTGTCACGCTCGATGGGCATGACCTGCGCACACTCAACGTCCGCAACATGCGCTCGCACATCGCGCTCGTGTCGCAGGAGCCGACACTTTACGACGGAACTGTGCGCTTCAACGTGGCGCTCGGCGCAGCGGACCCAAACAACGTGACCGAAGAGCAGATCATCGCGGCGTGCAAGGACGCCAACATCTACGACTTTATCATGTCGCTGCCAGACGGGTTCGACACGCAGGTTGGCGGTAAGGGGTCGCAGCTTTCCGGAGGGCAGAAGCAGCGCATTGCCATTGCGCGCGCGCTCGTGCGCAACCCCAAGGTGTTGCTGCTCGACGAAGCGACTGCAGCTCTGGACTCGACGTCCGAGCGCGTGGTGCAGGCTGCGCTCGACAACGCTGCGCGCGGGCGAACGACAGTGGCGATTGCTCACCGCCTGAGCACGATCCAGCACGCCGACATCATCTACTTTATTGAGAACGGTGCGGTCGTCGAGCGTGGCACCCATGACCAGCTCATCGCCAAGGGCGGCGCCTACGCCGGCCTTGTGCAGATGCAGGTGCTGAGCCGGGTACACTAGGCTGTCGTTTACGCTTTGTCACTTCTTGCCCTTCCTTGCCCCTACCGTAGATTGCAACTAGAGCTGTATCGTCATCATGCACGCTGCATGTTCCCCGCCGCGGGCAATGGTGAGCGAGAGTTGTGTGCGAGGGACGGGCGGAATGGTGCGGACTTGCCCCGGTTTGGCCCCGTCTCGGCCGGTTATGCCGGGTAACTCTTGCCCGAGGCCGACGCCGAGGCCGTGCTCACGACTTTGGCTGTCTCCATCGCCACGTACGTGTTGACAAGCAGCACTTATATCTGCCACTTGAGGCATCTCCCGCTCGATACTCGTCGCCAGGCCATTGCAGATCACCAGCTCAGCTGCACCGGGTCCACGAAACGCGTACACTTCCCCACACTCTTTGCCCACCACCTCCTTCCACCGCTGCTTCACCACTGCACTGCCACAACTACCACACCCTCAACCACCACCACATTCGTTATCATGCCGCCCAACACACCCACGCTGTCCTACTTCACCCGCCTCTCGCCGAGCGTCTACTACCTGCCGCGCAGCAAGGCTGTTGTTACATCCTCGTCGACTTCCTCCGTCTCCTCCTCCTCGTCGGCCTCCTCCTCCTCTTCGCCCTCGCCCACCCCATCGCCCTCGACCATACCCCCGCCCGCCCCCGCCGCCGTCCCAGCCCTTGCGACCCCCGCATCCCCAAGCCCGCGCCTCGTCGTCCTCGCGACATGGATGGGCGCCCAACCCCCGCACATGGACAAGTACATCGAGCCGTACCGGCGCCTGTTCCCGTCCTCCCCGATCCTCGTGCTGCGCTCCGAAGCTGGCGACTGGCTGAACCCATGGAAGAAGCCGAGCATGGACGCGGCCGCGACCGTCGTGCAGTCGCTGTACGACGCGTCTGAACTCGCGCCTGCATCTGCGTCTGTTCCTCATAGCCCCACCGACCCCGACCTCGTGATCCACGTCTGGTCGAACGGGGGCTCGGCGTCGCTCGCCCGCCTCCGCCAGTCGCTGGCGAAGCAGCGCGCCGCCCTCCCGCCCTACACCCTCGTGCTGGACAGCACGCCCGGCCAGTTCTCGTACCGCGGGACGTTCAGCGCGTTCTCGCTCGTCGCGCCGAAGAAGTGGGCGTGGCTCCTCCGCCCGCTGCTGCACGGCTTCGTAGCCTGGTTCTGGCTGCTCACGTACGTCCGTGCGCGCCTCGACTTCCGGCGGCGCGCCGAGGTTGGCGAAGCGCAGGCCAAGGGCAAGTCGAAGCTCTTCGGCCCCCTCGCCCTCCTCGCCGCATCACACAACACCGCCGCCGTCCGCGCGCGCGAGGCCCGCAGGACGTACATCTACTCCCGCGAAGACGCGCTCATCCCGTACACCGACGTCGAGGAGCATGGGGCGGACGCGCGTGGCAAGGGCTTCAACGTGCGCATGGAGGAGTTTAAGGGCACCGCGCATGTCGCGCATGCGCGCACCGAGCCCGAGCGGTATTGGGAGATCGTGCGGGAGACGTGGGAGGGGAGGCCATATGTGCGCGACGCGGCGGCGGAGGAGGAGGTGAAGGCCGAGGCTGCGGCGGCGGAGGGCAAGGAGGAGGAGGTGACGGCCGTCGAGCAGCATGTCACTGCGTAGCCTGCAGCCCACAGCCCGCGGCAGGCTACCCGTGCCAGAAAAGATAGACAGAGAAAGAAGATAGGCCGAGGAAGATCCCACTACATAGAACGTAGAACAAACCAGACGATGCTAGACGTGTCTTGACGTCTTGACCTTTTGACTTTTGTCTCATATCGGCCCTACTCTTCTTCAGTCACCTGCACACCGGATATCGCAGCAGCTGCACCGAGCCTGGCGAGATCCGCACGCCAATGGTCTGCATGCATCGACCTCTGCATCGATCGCCAACCGCAAGCCGCCACGCCACGCGCCTGACATGAGCGTGCATGTGCTCATTGTACGTGAGCACAGATATGCTGGGCTGCATGGCCTGGGCAGGGTTGCGTGCGCGGATCTAGCGGAGATTGCGGCAACGCGCCAGCCGGACGGCGCTACTCCGGGCGTACCTGACCTCGGTGGTGTCTCGGTCTGCGGCTTGTCTGCGCGCCCCGGGCTCAGGAGCTGGCGCATGCACGCCAGGCTCGATAGGCTCCTACGCTCACGGCATGCGGCCTAGCCTACGGGATCGCGGCCTGCATGGCATGGCATGCCATTGTCGCTGTGGGGTGGCGCCGGCCTTGTCCGCCCACCGGCAGTGGGGGCAGAATTACCGAAACCCGCCCGCCCACTTGCCGGCCCTGCTTGCGGTCACGAGAATATATCCTCCCAGCGACCCATTCTGCAAGCGAGCATCTCTCTCATCTCTACGCTACACGACACGACACCATGGCCAAGCTCAACACCCCCATCACCGAGCTCTGTGAGTCGACGCTGGGGGGCAGCAGTCTCGCTGCGCACCTCGTGAAGCCACTAACGCCCAGTCGGCATCCAGCACCCCGTGATCCTCGCGGGCATGAACGTCGCCGCGGGCCCCAAGCTCGCTGCGGCGGTCACGAACGCCGGCGGCCTCGGCGTCATCGGCGGCGTCCGTGCGACCCCCAAGTACCTCCGCCAGCAGATCCACGCGATCAAGAAGGACTTGAACGACCCCAACGCGCCGTTCGGGATCGACCTCCTCCTCCCCCAGATCGGCGGCAGCGCGCGCAAGACCAACAAGGACTACACTGGCGGCCAGCTCGACGACCTCATCTCCGTCATCATTGAGGAGAAGGCTGCGCTCTTCGTCTCGGCTGTCGGTGTGCCCCCGAAGGAGGTTGTCGACCGCCTGCACAAGCACGGCATTGTCGTTATGAACGTGAGTGTGGCAAGTGCAGGCTGAGGATGGAGGAGCCTTCGAAACGCTCGCTCCTCGATCCTCGCTTCGCTCGGATCTTTGAAGCGCCGCTGACCCCAGATGGTCGGCCACCCCAAGCACGTCGCCAAGGCGCTCGCCGTCGGCGTCGACCTCATCTGCGCACAGGGCGGCGAGGGCGGCGGCCACACCGGCGACGTGCCCTTCTCGATCCTGATCCCCGCATGTGTCGACGCTTGCAAGGGCAAGGTCTCGCCTCTGACGGGCAAGCCGATCTCCGTCATCGCGGCGGGCGGCATCGCCGACGGGCGCGGCCTCGCCGCGTCGCTCATGTACGGCGCCGACGCCGTGTGGGTGGGCACGCGCTTCGTGGCGTCGACCGAGGCCGGCGCGCCCAAGAAGCACAAGGAGCTCGTCGTCACTGCCGGCTTCGGCGACGCCCAGCGCACCCTCATCTACTCGGGCCGTCCCATGCGCGTGCGCTACACCGACTACGTCAAGGACTGGGAGGAGAACAGGCAGGAGGAGATCAAGGCGCTGTGCGACCAGGGCATCATCCCTCACGAGGACCACATGGAGAAGCACCCCGAGACGGGCGCCAAGGGCATGAGTGAGTACTGCTCCGGAAGAGGTGGAGGCAACATTTGCTTTCTTGAAGCTACAGCCTCCATCATTTGATTGCGAACAGCGCTGACAACGCAGAGTGGCTGATGGGGAGTAACGCGGCCGTGATCAACGACATCAAGCCCGCAAAGGAGATTGTCGACGAGATGGTCAACACCGCCGTCCGCTGCATCCAGACCGGCGCGACCGACCTCTCCGCCGGCGGCCGTGCGCGTCTCTAAGTTGTAACGGCGCAGACCTGGTGGAGTAGCCAGCCGGGCCAGCTGTTGTAGTAAAAGTAGGTTGGGATTACATGCATTGGTAGGACTGTAATGGGGGCGATTAGTTGGCAGCGGGGTGGGCATTGCGGGCATTGCGGGCATTGCAGTGGCAGAGCGCCTGGCGGATGGATTTGCATCCTGCGTACGGCACGCACAATGGCGCGACGCGAGGCTCGCTCGTCTGTCCGAGATCACGTTGACGAAGGCTACGAGCGTTGGATGCCGACACAGAGATGCAGCCGAGGCACGGCCAGCTAGCCGCCGCCACACAACCACTGTGGCGATGAGGCGCATGAGGCGAAACTAGTTCATCATCCTGCACTTGCATCGCATGGCGAGACCAAACGCCTTACACAGAAAGCACTCTGCATGCATGCATGCCAACAAAAGTGTTGCAGTCAGAATAGCAAAAGCCGCTGTGGCTGGACCGAAGTCCGCCCTCTCGGGGAACGCCGCGCCGAGGTGACTGTCGTTTGTATAGTTGGGGCCCTAACCTGACGCCTGCGAATCGAACGCCCCGACTGGCGATGTAACGTAGAAGCAAGCATAGCCGGAACCGCGAATAGAGGCGGACAGTTGAATAATCACTACTCTGCTATCGGTTCGATGGGGAGATGGAGGGACGATTGAGATCACTCACGTGGTGGCCTCCGCAAGTCCGCTGTCCGCCCCCACGTGCCGACCTCCACCCGTGAGTCACCAACTCTGTGACTACTGTACATGCATCCCATCGCACCATCTCATCATGCTCCGCCCCCTCTTGCCACGCCCGCGCCCCCTCGCCTTCAGCGCGTCGCTCGCCCCCGCGCACGCACTCATTCCGCGCGCCCGCGCCCGCGCCCTCTCCACCACACAATGGGACGTCCCGCCCGTCCAGCTCTCCTACGACGTCCACGACCCCCCCGCCGTAACCGGGAAGGGATGCATGGTGATCGCGCACGGCCTGCTGTGCGTCCCACTCCCGCGGCGCTGACCACAGCGGCTCGAAAGCCAACTGGCGCGGCCTCGCGCGGCGCTTCGCGAAAGAGCTCGGTGTGCCCGTATACACTCTCGTGCGTTGTTAGGCGATTGTCGTTGACGCAGGATATGCGGAACCACGGGCGGTCGCCGCACGCCGCGCCGCACACGTACGCCGCGATGGCGGGGGACGTGGCGCGCTTCGTGCGAGACCACGCGCTGCGGGACGTGCATCTCCTAGGGCATAGCATGTACGATGGGGGTGGGAGGAGCTGATGCAAGGGGCGGGAAGACGATGATGGCGCTGGCGCTCAATGCAGGGCTGAATGCGCCCGTCAAGTCGCTTGTTAGTGTCGATATCGCGCCGACAAACGCGCCAATCGAGCCGCAGTGAGTCTCCACCTCAGCTCAGCGCTCACGCAGATATGCCGGGTACCTCCGCGGCATGCGCGAGATCGAGGCGGCACGCGTAGGCAAAGAGGAGGCCGAGGCCATGCTGGTCCCGTACGAGGCGGACGCGGCCGTGCGGCAGTTCCTGCTGACGAACGCGGTGATGGCGGGCCACGTGTGTTTCCGGGTCGCGATCGACACGCTCGCGGCGGCCACGGACGGGCTCGGCACCTTCCCGTATGCTGTGGGCGAAGCGGCGTGGGACGGCCCGACGCTCTTCCTGCGCGGCAGCAGGAGCGACTATGTGCTCGACGAGTGTCTGCCGGACGCCCGGCGATACTTGCCCCGCCTACGGGTGGAGACGCTCGACGCGGGACATTGGGTGCATGCGGAGCGGCAGCGGGAGACGGGGGATGCGGTGGTGGAGTTTGTAAAGGGGGCGATGGGGGAGTGAGCATGCATGGATGCTTGGAAGCATACATGGATGCATGGTATATGCATGGCTGCTTGCAAGGATACGATGTGATGTCATTGGAATGCGCCTCGTCGGCCCCAGGCCCCACTCTACGCGTCGCGCTTCGACGAGGCTGATGGCCAGCGGAGGGGCCACGGTGCGCCGCATGCATGCGCCAAGCAAGACGCGCGAGGCGCTTGGGCAATCTTACCATGGCCGGCGGAGGCGGTGCGGTCGTCCTCGCTGGAGGCTGCGAAATTAGGGTCCGCTGCTTCTCCCGCACAGCATGTCGACTTGCCACCCAACGCTTGGACCTTGGACGTTGTGTCGTGACTCGATGTCACGAGCGCATCGTGCATTGCACTACTCTTGCGCTCTCGCGACCTCGCTCGATCTCGCTCGATCTCGATCCCATTCTCTCTTCTCCTATACTTTTCACGCTCCCACCTCCCTCCCGCGCTCCCATCCCTATTCCTCCACTCCTCCACCCACCCCACGCAACCTCCCCCCCTCCACACACCCCCCATGACAATCACCGCCGACGACTTCTGGGCGACCATCGCGGCCGCCTGGGCGCAAGTGCGCGGCGGGGCGCGCGCGCTCTCCGGGCTGACGCACAAGAAGAGCTACGTCCGCCGCGTCGCGGTGGCCGCGACGAACGTGCTTCTCCCTGACATGCTCAAGGCGCTTGAACGCAGCCTGCGCGCGTACGCCCCCGAAGAGCTGCGCGCGTGGGACGCACACCTGCAAGCCGCGCTCGCGGCGCTCGAGCGGCCGGACGTGCGCGCGGCGCTGCGCTCCCCGTCCGACGAGGCGTTCTTGTACGCGCGCGCGTGGGCCGTCTGCGCGGGCCGGGCGTACTATGCGTGCGTGGAGCGCGAGCCGGGGGCGTATGGCGTGCACGACCAGTGGGAGGAGGGGGTGTTGTATGTCGCCGAGCGCGTGTATGAGAAGCGGCACGGCAAATGGGCTTGAGTGGGTGCCACGTGGCTCCACGTGGTGCCACGTGGTGCGGGGGCTACTCAGAAGTTGGCGGCATGGCGGGTTGGCAGATTTCAGGAGCAAGCGACAGTGCCGAGGAGAGACAGCGATGTGAGTTGCCCACGCTGACGAAATCGCCACGGCCGATGTGTGGTGGCATGCATCGAGTCACTCGTATGTGGCATGCATCAACACGCGTTGTGCGCGACCAGGTTGCTGATGCTAGCCTCCACTCCTCACCGAAAACGAGATGTACATTTCCATAGCTTTTCCATAGCATGCGCGGCCAATACGTAACGGAGAGACATGTAGCATGATGCCGTGCGTGCGTATGCTGCATGCTAGCTGGCGCTCGGCTCCCAGTGGCGATGCTGCGCATTCTGCTTGGCCATCCTGGGCAGGGCTGTGGTATGTGGCACAATTCGACCGCCGACTTGGCTCCTATAACCGTGGCTAGCCGTGTCTGGGTACTTGCTAAACACGGGAGTGACAAATAATCAGAACTAATGAGCAATGTGGCCGTATTAGTAAACCTAGTTGTGAGACATTTCCCGAGGGATGGAGGGTCAGTCGAGGGCCAAGGATCGAGGGATGCAGGATCGAGTTGCGCATGCCACTTTTTGCGCTCCTCGCTTGGATGCCTTGACCTACGGAAATATGCCAGAGGCAGTAGCTCTGTCGTCGCTGTGGCCCTCTGCTGCTCTGGCGTCACACTGACCTCATGACCTCGCTGTAAGCGACGCTGCGACGTTGTTTACAGTGTGCAGGAAACCACAGTGCTCACGGCCTCGTGCTCACCTCATCGCCGCCGCGTCACGGGATCACGAGAGAGGCCAACATTCAGCAGATCAGCCAGCTGATCGACAAGGGACGGCGCTTGGCGCCGGGGTGTGACGTGTGCGAAAGGGAGGACGTGCGGCGCCGAGCCCGAAGATCCTTCCCAAAATAAAATAAAAAGCAGACGCCGGGGGAAGGTACGGCGGCGGCACCCAAATGCACTAAGGAAATGTGGATCAGGCCCCCGGATAATGTGCAGATCCCCCCTGCGCCCTCCCCTGCCCTTCCCGGATAGAAGCAGGTTTCCGTGGCGCGGGGGGGTCGAATTTACCGCGGTACTGCTGTACTGGGGAATAGCGGAGCGCGGCGTTCCGAGCACCACATCAGCAACACCAATGGGACATGGAGAAAGGAGCGTCGTTCCATCGGAGACGCTGCATGCGCTGACGAATGCTCAGGCTCTCTCTCGAGACTAGACTGTGCTAGCCGCTTGGCGCCTATTGACACGACAGATACCATGAAACAATGTATACCAGCAGCAGCACTGCGAGTGATTTCGTCACGCTGCAGACAATGTTATCCAGCATATGACATGGAGGGCACTGCCATAATCACGACGGATGCACGGTTGTAGCGTGTAGCAATATTGCCGGGTTCTGTGATTAATGCTCGAGTATCGGACGCACGCTGACGCGTCATAGACATGCGGCCAATACGGTGAGCCTGCGCAGGCGGCCGTAAGGACCCAGCAAGTTGGTAGCTTCCTGCACGCCCCCTGGCTGCACAGCCCAGTAATCGAATTAGGTCATCCGGGCATCCGGGACTGCTGCGCGTCGCCGGGCCGGCATAAGTGCCTGTGGCTAGCGCCATAAACAGCACGTACAACAGCACGGGAAGGAGGACAGTGCTAGGCGGGGAGCACAATGCCCGAGAAGAAGAATGGCTCAGCGGCTCACAAGCTTAGAGGGAAAAGGGAGAGCGGGGACCGATGAAAGCAACTAGTCATAATGTTTAGAAATGGAAGAAAATGTTCCTGAAGGGAAGGCCAACACAGTGGAGCAGCTCCACTGAAACATTCAGGCAAACCCACGTCAACTCATCCAACTTGCAGGCCGTGGTGCAAACACGCACATAGATCAACGCGGTCATGTGACCTCGTAAGCGTGTGGTAGGTGGGGGGGAGGGGAGGGGAGGGGAGGGGAGTGCGCGGCGAGAGGGATACTCTCAAGAGCTGGCCCCCCCCGCTCTCAGTTTCTCTCTCATCATCATCTTCTTCTTCTCCACTCATCCTCACTCCCCTCACCTCATCACTTGCCCTCATCGCCCAACAGTGCTTGTTCACTATCACAATCTACCCCCTCGATAACTCTCATAGCAGTAACTAGTAGCACGGTAAGTATTCCCTCTGGTGTGATCAATGCTCCCCTCCCCTCCCCATCCTCCCCTTCATCCTCCCCCAACACTTCCTTCCCCCCGACCACCATCACTCCTCGTCTCTACTTCCCCCTTCGTTCCCCCTTCGTTCTCCCAGGCATCCATCTCGCATCGTCTTTCCATCTCGCATTGTCATTTGTTCCCCCTCCCTCCCCCTCATTCCCCACGCCATCGCTCTCCACCTCGCGCCGTGTTTACATCTCACATCGTGTTTCCGTCTCGCACCCCCTTCCATCTTGTATTTTCTTTCCATCTCGCATCGTCATTTCTCCTCCCTGCCCCCACCCCCCATCCGCGCCATCGCTGCTTTGCATGTTGCCACAGTTCCGTTGACGAGGCCCTTGCGCTGACGGCAGATGTCCTCTGCTACTCCTCCCACCCCCAACCCGGGCATCGTCACCCCGCCCGACCACGATATCTTCGACGTCGGCAACCACCCGACCTTCCCCATGTCCCGTCCCCAGGACGAGACCGAGGTGTCTGACTTTGTCCCCAACGACATGCCCAGCATCTCCAACGATCCCAACTCCTTCTTCTCCCACGTCGATCAGGTGGGCGGCCCCGCTTTTAACAACGGAGTCAACGTCGACCTTCCCGCCTGGGCCAATCTTCCTACCATGGCCAATCTTCCCGCCATGGCCACCCGCTACGAGCCCAATCTTGGCTATTATGGCTCCCTCGACCCGGCACTTTGTGCCCCGCCCATTCCGGCGCCCTATCTCAACTTCGACCCGGCACTTTATGCCACTTCCAACACGGCGCCCTACGCCACGATCGACCCGGCGCTCCTCTGTGAGCCTCTGCCCGGCACCGTGCCCGTTGCTACTGCCGTGGCCCCCCCTGTCGCCACGGCCGCCGCCCCCGCCGCCCCCGCCGCCCCAGCCGCCTCAGCTGCCACCGTGGTCGCCGTCCTCGCCGCCCCCGCCGATCTAGCTGCCCTAGCCGCCCCCGCGCTCCCCCCCGCTGCCAACGCCATCACTGTCGCTGCCCCCCCCGCCGCCGCGATCGCCCTCCCTGCCATGATCGCCCTCCCTGCCGCGATCGCCCTTCCTGCCGATGCGGCCGCCGACATTGCTGCTGGCCTCCTTGTCCAGGACAATGGCAAGGGCAAGTCCAAGGCCACTGGCAAGGGCAAGGCCAAGGCCACTGGCAAGGCCAAGTCTCGCGTGAAGCCCACGTCCACCGTCAAGGCGATCAAGACCCCGAACGCTCGCAAGCCGCGCAAGAGCGGCGCCGCCCACACCACGGTCGACCAACCCCCCCACACCCCCCTCGCGCATGAGCGCTACCAGCTTGCTCTGACGGCGGGTCCGACCGGCGCTGGTCTCTACACCGTTCCGCCTGACTTCCACTCTTTCTGGCAGGCTATCGAGGAGACGTGGGTTACCCTCGGCCTCACCGTGGGTGTGCACGATCGCCCCACCGCCCTGCTCAACCCCGACGTTCACCCGCCCTTCTGGAATCTCCTCAACCACAGGCTGGGCAAGGAGTCGGGGGCGTATGGTGTCAATTGGGGAAAGTGTTATGAGGCTCTGTGGATGATGGTGAAGAAGCACGGCGACGACGCCACTTGGGACGAGGCCGCTTATCTTATCGCGCTCGGCTACCGGGCCTTTATTGAGCGCGACGGCAAGGTCTACCAAGGCCGTGGTGCCCCGTTCATGGCTCAGCTCGGTAACGAACTTGTCACCGCGCTCTACGAGGGCATCGGGGCTGTGCCAGGCCCAGGTCCCTTCCAGAACCTCCAGGAGTCGCTCAAGGAGACATTTTCGGAGAATGAGGCGATTTGGCTGGAGCAATGGACGATGCACAGCGGCTCCGGGTCGGCGAACGCCGCGCAGGACGAGGCCAGCTCCGGTGGGCGGAATGACGGTGGGGCTCAGGGGCCCAGCTGCGCCGGCAGTCACTAGCCGGACCATCATACATATTGTAGCATCTCTGAAGAATGCACTGCCCTTGTTGTTCCACACACTGTCCATCATGGCGACGCAAGCTGACCAGCAGCCCTCTTTCACGGAAAGTGGGCCCTTCTGCCACCAGCGCTGACGGCAGTCGACAGGCAACTGTGCAAGCCTGGCACGCCCTTTGAGCTTGAGACGGTCCAGATCAACGGCCGTTCAACCGTTGTGTGGAAGCATGTGAGTGTCGAGAGGAGGGGGCCAGGGGACGCTCAGCGGTCTGCTTGGCTTGTGGGCGTCCGTGGGCGTCCGGGAGAGATACTGCTGCAGCGAGGTCGCGCCGCCCTCTTGAGCGGCGGTTGCGTCACCTCTAGAGGATCGGTGTGTCCCGCCCTCCCGCCCTCCACTCTTGTCGTTCCCCCAGCCCGCTGACCATAGCTCCCAAAGACCTTCCGCCCATACCTCCTCGACAGCTTGGCCAAGTTCTCCGACAAGGTGCTTGTCAATGCGCCGGCGGTAGAGCCGGCACCTGCGACGGAGCGTGTCGACTGGACGTTTGGGCATGTGCGCAAGCTCGCGCTGGCGACTGCGGCGTGGATGGCCGCGCGCGGCGTCAAGCAGGGCTCGCTTGTCGGCCTCGTGGGCTGGAACTCGGGCGAGTGGGTCGTCTCGTGGGTCGCCATGCACATCCTCGGCGCCGTGCCCGTCATGGTCAACGCGGCGGTGCAGCCCGACAGCATGGTGCATTGCTTGCGCCTCACCAAGCCCGAGCTCGTGCTTGCCGACGCGACGTCTGCCTTTGCGCTTGCGGACCACGTCCAGGCGCTGGCGGAGGGCGGTGTCGGCCCCCTGTTTTCCTGGCAGGACACGGCGCACCTCGGCACGTGCGCTGTCGAGACGGTCAACCTCGCCCAGCTCTCCGTCACCGCGGCGCAGATCAAGGACGCCGAAGAGGGCAAGGGCATCACCGCGGACCTCGGGCCCGAGAGCGACGCCGTCGTCTTCTTCACCTCTGGCACCACGGGATACCCCAAGGCCGTGCTCAGCTCGCAGCGCGCCGCCCTCCACGGCGTCATCTCGTCCGTGTACCGTGAGTGCGTCGTGTATCCCTCTGACGCCAGCCCTCGCCCGCCTCGCGATGCGCCAGGGCGCCCCCGCATCCATGGTGATGGACATGGTCAGCAACCCCCCGCAGGACGAGGACCCCAACGTCGTGCTCATGGCCGTCCCCTTCTTCCACGTCACGGGCTGCCTGTCGATCCTGCTCAAGGCCATCGGCGACGGCAACACCCTCGTCCTCATGCGCCGCTGGGACGTGCCCGAGGCCGCCCGCCTCATGGTCAAGTACAAGATCAACGTCATCTCCGGCGTGCCTGTCATCCTCCTTGCCGTCATGCAGTCCGGCCTGCTCCCCAAGGACTTCAAGCTCAAGTTTGCAAGCTACGGCGGTGCGCCCTCGCCCGAGCGCATGCCCAGTGACATCAAAAAGCGCTGGCCGGACATGACTGCGTGAGTTACGGGGTTTCCAGGGTCGCAGCGACTTTTGCTGACCGCAGCGCAACCGCGTGGGGCATGACCGAGACCAACGCGACGCACACCGTTTTCGGCGGCGACGATTACGTCAACTTCCCGAAGAGCGCGGGTGCAGCCCTCCCCGTGAACGAGGTGCGCATCGTGGACCCCGAGACGCGGCGCCCGCTCCCCGTGCGCAGCGTGGGTGTGATCGAGGCGCGCGGCATGAATATCATGAAGGGATACATGAACAACGACGAGGCGACGCGCAAGACGATCAACGCCGAGGGCTGGCTCGACACGGGCGACGTCGGGTGGATGGACGAGCAGGGGCTGCTGTACATCTCGGACCGGGCCAAGGACATCATCATCCGCGGCGGCGAGAACATTAGCTCGGAGGAGGTCGAGAACGCCGTGTTCCGCGACGACCGCATCGCCGAGTGCGCCGCCGTCCCGGTCCCCGACGACATCCTCGGCGAGCTCGTCGCCATCGCCGTCTCCCTCAGCCCGGGGGCCAAGGCGACGCCGGATGACATCATGGAGACCGCCCGCCCACGCCTCCGCTCGCACGCACGCCCTGCGTTCGTGTACATCGCTGACGCGCCGCTGCCGCGTAACGCCAACGGCAAGCTCATCAAGACCGAGATCAAGAAGACCGTGCAGGCCCTCTATGCGCAGAAGAAGCGTCGTGAAGCCAAGCTGTAGTGGAGCCTAGATATGCACTGCAGTGTGTGCGGCGGCGACGTGGGGTTGCATCTGGAGGTCTTGAGTGGATGTGGGCTAATGGCGTGCAATTGGCCTCAGTCGGTGGATCACAGGGGGTTAGGCAGGATGGAGGGTCTAGACGGCAGGCCAGGCTTTGCCCATATGACTTGCGCCTGCCCAGTGATCCAGCTGTCTTATACCGAGTATCAGAAGGCTGAAGGCCCCGACATGCATGCACCAAGGTGCATGCAACGATAGCGCGGCCTCCTCATGGCATCAGCTGATCTTGGCTCGCCATGGCGTAACCACGCGTGAGTCAGAGATATGCATACGATGCGTGTCGCGGCATGCGTCCGGATTCCAGCATTGCCGAAACAGGGATACCTCCCGTTGGAACATGGCGATGGCGTGAGGCTTGCTGGGAGTGCGACCTAGGCACATCAGTCCAAAGAGCGAGTCGGCCTCTACCCCACCAAATCTTAACGACGCGACACAACTTCGGGCTTGGTAATGAAGGCGCTGGGGGTGGGCTCGCCGGAGAACTTGCGACGCATCACTGACTCCACCTCATGAGGAAACATGCGATGGTGGGCCCAATGTGTACTGATGACAGCACTCGCCGCTGCCGAGAGTCTAGGCAGCGGGCGCACGGCGTTCAGCGTCTTGCCGGAACTCTACCAGTTTGAGAAGGGCACTGAGCATCAGCGTTGCCAGCATGTCGGTGCTAGAGCGGTTGTGTTTGAGAATGAGTAAGAACTCGCGCAGCCGAACTTCATGGTGAAAATATTAGAAACCAAGTTTTCACCGTGCTGCTGAACACGACCCTGACCGATGCCGCTATGTAGCAGACTTGCGGTCTCTTTGAATGGCAGTGGCACGCCGAACTCACAGAGGCAGGTATCCTTACGACGCCAAATCTGGGTTCCCGTGACAAGGAAAAAGCTCCCAGTACTGCCACGGACGGAAGTTACCGAGCTGTTATCAGCTTTTTGACGCCTTTAAAGTCCCCTCCTGCCTACGAAGCGCGGTGGCAATGAGTGTCTTGAGTTTGAGCGATCGAGAGATACCTGTCGCCACTTTGGATGGTGTTTGGCGTGAGTGTGTTGGGGCAGTCGATGGGACGTATAGCCACCTCCCCTCTGTCCAGCGCTGTCTCTTCCAGTTAATTCGTTAGGCTGACAGAATTCCTTGGGGGGCGCCTGGATGGTCCCATTGTCGCAAGCTGTGCGGCGAGCTCCTGTCGTGCGTCCAGGGGTATGCAGAAAGCTGAAACAAGTTAGAACAGTTGATCAGCTGTCGCCCTTAAGACTGCTCCATCGTCCATACGGCAAGATACTCACCGTGATCAATACCACTAGTCCCGACACAACGCCGGCAACGCCCCGACAGCGGCGCGGAAGGAGGAGTCGTCGATCGGCGACTCGGCAACAGGGCGTATGGCGTGACTCGGAGATTCCGCGACTTACTGTCTGCGGTTGGGAGCCTCGGTGGCGACTCCTCGTCGTCCTGTGACTCACTCTGCACCAGTTAGCTGCCATGGCAGGGGCGTGGCGTGTAGAATGAGGTACAATGGCACCCCAGATGTCCTGTGTGCGGAATGATTGCGAGGTCGCGTGACTGACCTGCGACTCAAGCGGGGGAGCGTGGAAACCTGCAACGGCGGCGATCCTGCAAGGTCCGACACAAGGTGATATCGCCGAAGCGCGGATAATCACTGCACGTAAGTGACTGGATGCGTCGAGCGCGTCGAGCTGCCGAGCTGAACATGGGGGCCGGCGATCGACGGGACTGTGCGGACTTTCGGGGGAAGGCGAGGTCGCAAGTCGGGAGATGTGATCCAAAGTACCATTTGGACCGTTGATGGGCTGGTGATGGCTTTTGTGGGTCGTTTCGGGTGATGGAGATGTTTGGTACGTACTCGACAGGTTCATGCGGAGGAGGTGCGGGGAGCAGACGCGGTGCGGACGATATCGGCTGGGTTGAAGGAGTTGAAGGGGCGAAGGCAATTTGTGTGCCCGAAATTGCTGGCTTGCCTGCATGCACGATGCTTTGTCGGATACTGAGCGCGACGCGTTGTCAGAACAGCGGATGATGGGTACGTACTTGTAGAAAGAGATGCGGCGGGGCGAGAGGGGGATGGTGGTGGACGGCTTGGTGCTGAGTATGGATGATGGACTGGTTGAGATGAGGTTGTCCCAGCTGGGGGGGGGTGCGAAATGGAGGAAGGCGGCGGCAGCCACGTACAGTCCAGCACCAGCGAGAGGTAGAGGCAGTAAGCAGTGATTAGCATCGCCTCATGAACCTATTAGCCTCGGCTATATCTCCGCACGAGATGGTAATGGACAGATTACCTTTGCCTTTGTGACTGATTTGATCTGCTATATGCGCTCATCACCCACCCCGCGTCCAATAAGTTTGTGATTTAATTTGTCATTAATGTGTCTTTCCCACGCACCCATCCTTCTCTTGCCAGACTGCAGTACAAGCGCACACACCAATGGATGCATGGTCATCTCGCACCGCGTCTGGAAAAAAGGCAGGCACTGGTCCGATGCAAGGATCATTCCGTCACGTCCGGCAGATCGGCAGATTTCAGACGCGTCCGAACACGGCGCGGCGCGTGGCGATGTTGCGGAATGGGCCGTGTACGGCGTGTGTTGAGCGCTTGGCGGTGGCGCGGGGATTGGGTGGTCCCCGAATGTGAGGCTGCGCCCGATGCCCCAAATTAGAGTGTCCGCACCTGGAACACAGGGCAATTATCACAAAAATCGCAGTGATCGCATGGCGCATGGGCGCAGTGGCACCAGTCATTTGAGCTTTGAGGTTGCGATTCGTGGATAGTGGACCATGCGTGGCCATGCGTGTTGTGCATCAGGCTTGAACAGTCATCATAAATTGCAGCATGGCCGGGAAGACCTCGAGTATAGGGACTCTCATGACATTGCGAACTACACAGGGACACTATAACCTGGACTTGCAACCATTTGCCACTGCAGGCTCAACTCTATGCGGCGAGCACCATGACAACTTACTCGGTGAAGAGCTCAAGGGGCTGGCCGTAAATGTGCATCGACAGCATCGGGGCCAGATGGATAATGTCACGACAGCTCACTCCGCGGAGCGCGGTGAACATGCCCGGACAGGCAGCGACAGCGAGGTAGACGTCGAGGCCGGCGGCGATAATCCAGGCGCGGGTGAGCGACCACTCATCTTCGGAGCTGGTGGGGGCGAGCGCGGCGCGCACAGGCGCAATGTCGAGGCGGTAGTACATGCCGTGCGCGATATCGTTCCAGCGACTGATATCTTCGGCGGTGCACGACGAGAGGTACGCGGCAAGGATGTCGAGCATGTAGTGCATGTCGAGGGTGACGACTTCGACGAAAAGAGGGAGGGCGGCAAAGTCGAGGGTGCCGTCGCGGATCCCCGTGACGAGATGGGTGTACGCGTCGCTGCGGAGCGTGTCCCACGCCTTGGCGATGGCCGCCCAGAAGCCGTCGCGCGTGCTGTGCGCCGAGCGGTTGCGCTCGCGGACTTCGAGGATGGTCGTAGCAATTGTGAGGGCCTGCGCGTGGCGCGCGGCCCAGTAGGCGTCGAAGGAGACTTCCGGGTCCGCGACGGACGCGGCGTCTTCGTAGCCGAGGCTGTCGTCCGAGGCGACGCTGCTCTCGGGAGACGTCTCGGGGCTTGGCGTCTGGAACGCGAGCGGGCCAAGTACGAGGGGCGGGTCGGGGTCAATAGGTCTTGGAGGAGGGGTGATTAAGTGGGTGATGAGGGACGAGATGTTGGACATGGTCTTGGAGTGGGCGGTTTGCGTGGAAAGGGAGAGAGTTAAAAGAATGAGAGAGGGATGGTGGCAAGTGCGAGATGCGGACACTCAGGTCTTATATTCACCGCGAACCTGGTCCCCAGAAACCGTGGGAAATTCTGGGGCAGGTTCGCAGTTTTAAGACAGCACGAGTGGCACCGGGTGCACCAAAGATCCAGAGGTCAGAGGCATCCACAGAGCAGGCCGACGTGCAGCGGCGGAGGGATTGGTGATATCATTGCCGTGGTAGAAGGAATGGGAAGGCCTACACATCCTGTGAGAGCGCATACATACATCTCACCGCATCCACCTGGGATGCTGACGGCTGAGGTGCTAGGGAGAGCGAGAGCTATGGTATGGATATACGGATGTAGCAATCATCGAACTTGTCGTTGTGTTGCGGGGTCTCAGGCACTGCGTGCCACTGGGCCCTATAGGACATCAATGGTGCCCTGAACCCGAACCCGGAGACGCCACCACCATATCGTCCACCCCACCACTCGCACTTCCTGCCACGCCGTCACCCGAGACTGCGGTGCCTTCGCCGCGTTGCATCGCTCAAGGCTCAGCACTCGTTAGCGGCTGAAAATACGTAGGGGGCTACGCCGGGTGCAGGTGAGTGCTCTTGTCTTTTTCTTCCATGTCCAGATGGCCAGATGGAGCCTGACCCCGAGGGAACATGCATGCAGCGGATGCAGTTGCAAAAGTGGCCCAAGGTCCTGTTCTCATGTCCGCGCAGCACGCGCCCAAGGCAACTGTCATCGGTCAATGCATGTACAAAATTCCAGTGCATCACCTTCCCCAATTCCCCAACGGCCAACAAGTCATCACCAGCATTCTGGCACGCCCCAACTCCGATCCACAAGGCTCCAGATCCATCAGAGGCTTGCTAACTAAAATAACTTGAACCGAATGAACCGCCGTCTCTTCTCAGGTTCGAGGCAGTCGCTGTGAAGACTACGCAGAAGGCCGAACAGTAACACGTCCTGCACAAAGTGGAGGTGTTTGTAAGTGATGGGATTTGCACGGAGCGTGTGGTAGATCTCACGACCCATGATGACTACCCAGCAGCGGGTGTGGGTGCGCTTTTCGTCGGGCGAGTCGGAGTGGCCGTCCCACTTGTTGAGGTCGTGAAGGATCTGGTGGAGGCCTTCGCGGAAGTACATGCGCGCAGGCTCGTCAAAGCCGGCGACGACCATGCTGAGGGCCATGAAGAAGAAGGGGATAAGCTCGTTGGCCTCGTCGACAAGGTCGCGGAGAGATTGGTCGTCGATGGTCTTGTTCCAGGATGTGTGGTAAAGATCGTCGTCGCTGAGGAAGGTGGCCAGGATATCGGCGCGGATCCCGTTCTCCTGCACGCGTGACCACGCGTATTCGATAACACCCCAGAAGCTGTGCACTGTGGGTGTGTGGTCGTACAAGGTAGTGTCGAGGTCGAGCATGGTGTCGTTGTCGCGCATGGTGGACGCGGGCTCGTGTGAGGTGAGGTGAGGGAGACGAACAAGGAGCAAGTTTTGTACGCGGAGTCTTGTGATGATGTGATGGAAATGGGGGTGTGGGCGCGAGGGAAGGGTTAACTGAAGGGGTGATGACGGGACCAGTCGGTGAGCGCGGTGAGACAGAGAGTAGAGGTGCGAGGTGCGATGTGCAATGTACGAGGGGGTAAAGGACAGAGGAAAGAGGAAGGAGGATCAGAATGATGCGAGAGGGAAGGGCGAGTATGAAGACACAAAAGAGACACAAAAGATGGCGAAGTGGGAAGAAGAGAAAAGCAGAGGACGGTGCGAGTTGGAGATGACATGAGCAACCGCTGGGCACAATCTTCCTCGTGCGCACTGCGCACTGATGGGCATCTTGGGAATGACTCGTGTATACGTGTAGGCGTGGGCGAGTCGGGTCGCCAAGATCGCCAATCATCTGGCCTCGGGCTGTAGTGCTACATCTGCTCTCTCTTTCCGGCACATATATGTCTCCTAGCTTGAATCGAAGAGCAGAGGTCAGAGGCGAGCAAGGCTCTGTTTGCAGCAAGTGATCGTGAACAGCTGGACAACCAGACAGAGAGCATACAAGCGGTGCACATCGAAAGCTACTCTACAACAGTCTGCACTCCAAGTCACTCAACCTTCTTCGCCACCCGACTGCAGCTCAGCCTCACGAAAGCTATCAGCCTCATTCGAAGAGTCCGACGAGAATGCAGAGTACGGCTCTGCAGGTGGATCGAAAGGTGTGTAGCGCTGGCCGTGGAGAGTATGCGCGATGGTGTGAAGGGGGAAGCGAGCAGTTTTGACCAGTTTGCCAGTGCTTGCGACGTGTTGAGCGAACGCCTGGCCCATGATGACGACCCAACCGGCGCAGTCCCAGTCCGAGTCGTAATCGCAGAAGAATTGCTGCACTGACTGCATAGCGTTGACAGCGCACGTGTTCCACTGAAGGAGCTGAGGCGAGGTGTACAACTTGAGGATGTGTTGGAGGTTGCGCTTGAAGTCATCGAGCCGGGTACCGATCTTCCAAACGGCGTGGGCTTGATTCTCTGTGAGAGACTGCAGGGCGGGAGGGCGGGGATATAAGAAGAAGCGGTGGGAGGCGGGGTCCAGGTTGAACTCCTCCTTGGGAAAGATAGCGGGAAGACGCTGACGGAGTGGGGTATCAATAGGCGCCCAGGCTGCCTCGATGGTGGCATAGAAGCCTTGAGGTGAGGGAAGGGGTCCGTCAAAGTCGGTGGAGTGGTCGGAAGAGCGGTGAGGGGAAGGTGGGGGCACGGGTGGAAGAGGCTTCGACGATGACATGTCGAGGTGAGAGTGGGAGGGACTCTTGGCGGCGCGACAACGAACACAGGTGGAGGGAGAAAGCGAGGAGCAAGATCGGTGAACACAAGGGGCTCGCGAGGATACGCGAGGGTAGCGGGGGTGTTGGGAGCGAATGGTACACGCGACGATGGGATGATGAGAGATGAAGACGATGAGAAAGAGAGAAAGAGAGAAAGAGAACGAAAGATCGTTGGTCTCAAGAGGCCGCTCCAAGTCGCACATTTCAGCCTTCTCCCTGTTGCTCGCCTTTGACCATCGATTAGTGGATTAGTGAGTGCCCAGCAAATACACCCAAAGTGCTTGCCTCGAGCAATGAGACATGAGACACGCGAGCCCATGGACATTGTTGTCGCCATATCGCCATGAGATCGATGATCGATGAGCACGCGCAGACAACACGGAGTGCAACGGGCTGTTAGTCAGATAGATAGTCGTCTTTAAGTCATACGCACTCTACATCGCTGTGTCACATGCTGCTCGAGCTCCGCTGCCTTCCCTGGCCGCCTGGTAGTCTCAACTATGGCCACCCGTCCTTGTTGCTGCATGTCTCACGACTGATGCCCGTGGGCGGCGGCCACTCGCCGAACAGCTCTTCGTAGAGGTGAGTACCGAAGTAGCACATGCTCTCCTCCCCGATGTCCATGAGACCCCACTTGAGTGGCTCGGCGAGAACCGCCTCGTAGTGCGTCCGTCCGGCGGCGACCACGAAGCCGCGGCAGTAAAGGAAGCCGTCGTCGCTGCCGTCCAGAGCCTCGTGAACGTCCTCGCGGTCGAGGTCGTACAGGGCGCGTTCGCAGTGCGCGTCCCACGCCGCGAGCTGTGGGGCCGTGTACTCGCTCAAGATGGTGCGGAGGGCCTCAAGCATGCGCTGAGTGTGAGTGTTGACCAGGTCAATGGCGGCTGCGAGGCGGTCGTAGGGGTCGTCCAAAAAGAGGCGGGCCCGGAGGCCATCGTCGTCGATCATGGACCAGGCGCGCTCGATGGTGTCCCAGAAGTCGTCGCGGGTGGGAAGGGGCACTATGGTCATGGCGATGAGCTGTATGAACAAGTGTGAGTGTGTGGGTGAGTGAAGAAAGGTGAATGCTCGACGAGCTAGTAATATGATCAGTAGAGCGGGACGGAGGCGGGATCCCCAGTTATCTACTTGAGGAGATTTGAGAGTGGAGGTTGACGAGAGGTGACGTGTGATACGCGTCCGGTACGGCGTGACGCCTGACGCGACATGGCATTCACACCACGCGCCATGATCTGCGGATGTACGGATCTGTCCTGGGCGGGACCAATCCTCGCGGAGACCAGCAGTCACTCCGTACGGCACCTCGGCCCGACATCTCCGAGTCTGTTGCCGCCGGCATGAATGATGCCCACACTCACCCTGCGCCTCATCTCATCTCGCTCCAACCTGCACTTCATTCACCAACAACTTGTTCACCACATCCCTCCATGGCGCATTCGGCACAGCGAGATTCCAACACCTTTACAGCTGGTGATGACCTACGTCCCGATGTCCCACAGCGTAAGTTCTCCCCACACATGCTCTTCCGCTGACCTCAGGCGCCTGTGTGAGCCTCTCGGCCATCGTCGCCTTCCCTCCCCTAACTTGTGACAACAGGACAACTGCCGGCGACACAAGATCAAGTGTGTCGGCAAGGACGATCCCCCGTGCAAGCGTTGCAGGCACATGCGCCTCGAGTGTCGCTTTCAAATGCCCCCCGTGCCGCGGGCCGTCATCGAGGATAACGAGGCCACTAAGAAGTGGGATAACAAGGCGGGAGGCGCTGACTTCAGTCGCCTTGCTCAGCTCGAAGGGCATGTGGCTGGAATCTTTGACAAACTCGACCAGATGAGCACGGCTTTGGTAAAGATGAATGAGAGGGCGGAGCGTCGGACGGACGGTTCATCTCGCCCCGAGCAGCGCTCGCCACCATCGCCGCTCACAATAGAGACGTCGATTGGTCGTCCTTCTGCATCGCCCGTTGACCGACGCCCGCCATCTATAGCATCCAGCTCGTACCGCCAAGATTACGCCCCATCCGTTGCCCCGCAGAAGCGCCCCTCGCCCTGGTCAGCGAGTGACAACGTGCACAACCCATACATGGACACTCGCCCTTCGCCCCAAGCCTCACTTCGCTCCGTCACGCTGGCCAGTGTTCCTCAGGCTCGCTCCATTACTCCTGCGCTCAGTGACGATGACCCACTCGAAGTCTCACTCGCGCGAGAGCGAGATCCGATGCTGGCAGCTGAAGGCGACCACTCATTGGCCTACACTGCCAATGACCGCTTAGCGAAACGGCGGCGGACGGCAGACTCACCACGATCGCTTCAGGCAGCCGGCACTCCTGCCGGCAATGACCCGCTCCGCGGAGCGGCTGATCCCGTCACACTCGGTCTCATTTCTGAGGAAGAAGGACGGCGTCTATTCGACAGGTTAGTACCACTAGGCATGGCGCGTATACCCGCCGCTGACCAAAGCTTTCTAAAATCCGCGTACCCATTCACCCCTGTGCTCGATCCCGCCCGCGACTCATGGGAAAGGTGCTTTTAGCCCGCAAGCTATGACTGACCGAAGTATGCGTGAGCGCTCCCCGTATTGCATCACCGTGATGCTTCTGATTGCGCTCAAACAGCGTGAGGCCGCTGGCGCTGCATCCGACTTATCCACAAAGCTAGCTGACGAGGTGGAGAGGATAAGTACGTGTCACCCAGCTTGCGCTAACCACAGCAAAGCTCACCCTGTACGCACCAGTGACCCTGGAAACCTTACAGGCCATGGCGATTCTCATTTCATACTCTGACAACGCGTGGCGGATTTGTTCTCACGCAATGGCGCTTGCGTGAGTTTACTGCGCGACCAGAGCTCACAAACAGAATTGACATGCGACTGTACCGCTGCCTTCCCTATTTGCACAAGATTCGCACTGAGGCACAGAATCCGAACCTCATGCTGGAACGGCAGCGCTCCCTCGTGGTCGGCGCCCGCATATGGTTATCAGTGAGCTACAGCTCGCAAAGCAAGCGCTAACCTGAGCTCGTTCGCCAGGCTTACGAGTATGTCATACAAAGACACTACTAACCCAAGGATGAGTTTTAATCATGCACTACCGATTCTGTTTCCGTCCGACCACGGCCGACGCACATCGTTCAAGCGTGATCTGCTGGATCACCCGTTGTCCAACTTGTACGACAGCCGACTAGTCATCTCGGTCGAGATGTGCGAAGTGCGAGGTGAGTAGCCAATGTCTCTGAGAAGCTGACCGCAGAGAGCAGTTTCAGACCGTTCGATACGGTTGACAATCACGAGGAGATGGATGCGCTTCTGCGAGAAGCCAACGCGGGGATGGAAGAGCTCGACGCTCACTGGAGCTCGTACTATGGTCAGTCAACTATCTCGACTTTCCACTAATATCAGACAGATTGGGCCTACCGCAGGACCACTTTCTTCGCATCGAGCTGAGCAACCAGCGGGCGTACAGTGTCCTTTACACAAATTCCCCAGCTTGGAGCGGCGTGCAGAAGCCGGAGGATGTGCGCCGACTCAGCAAGGAGCGTCAGCTATGGGTAGCTGCCGCGCTAGACGCCGCAGCCTTCCTCGTGTCGTCTGTTGCCAGCCGCCTTGACAGCTCCGAGTTTGGAAACCACAATTTCCGTGAGGCTCAACCACCCCTTTGCTCACTCTAGATGTCGGCATCATTGCAACCGCTCGTTACCTTATTCGCATGTGTGAGCTTCTACCTGATGCTTGCAACGCGCAAGAAGTTGCGCTGTCAATAGATCGCCTGCTTGTCAAGCTGCCATACCCGTTTGCCGGGTTTGCGGAGGGGCTGCGCCGCACTCTCGCTCGAGCGCGGGAGAAGGGCATCCTGCCATTCTCACAGATGAGCTCAGCAGCAGCGAGGCGCCCAGTCCCATCACTCCAGCCCGCCCTTTACCAACAACCCGCTCCGCCACCCGGTCTTAATCCTTTCCCATGGCATGACCCCGTACAAACGGTCGATTTAAATCAGTTCATGGATGCTCCCGCGTCGGGCACGGCAGCCGTTTCAAGGCCTCGGGCAGACTCAATCGCTTGGGCGGAGGAGTTCGATCTCGCCGCGTGGTTTCCCGCTACTGCCGACACAACTGAGGGTATCCCGCTGGACTTCACCGCGCTTGATGTTGACATGGCCAACTTTTTTCCAGCCGCACCTCAAGTATGGTTCGACGGGTCGTCGTAGATGCCGAGGAACGCGGCGAACCTTCTGCGGTACATCCTTCGACAATGCTACATCCGGTGCAATCAGGATGCGCCCACCATCGGCCGAGATATATAGGAAGCCAAACGGAGCCACTGTGTCATGGTCATGTCAGTCTGCTTGCCAATACAGCACAGAAGTCCGCTGGGCCGCCGAGTCGTCTCATCATCAGACTTCGCACGATCAAACTATTCAAACTGCTCAAATATTCACTGTCGGAACACAGATGTGGTTGCTCCAAGCACTCCCTTACCTTGCGTGCGCCGTTGGTACCCCGCTGTTGCCCCGAGGCACACATTCATACTTAGACAAGGCTCTCAGCCGATGGGGTATCAGTGGCTTGTCGCTGGTGGCGTTATCGAACGGCGAGACCGAATACTACACGCATGGGGTTTCAAATGCAGCCGGGGATGCTGTGACTGAAGATGTGAGCCCCACATAGGCTCCACTGACGATAGACTCGCTTCGGCATCGGTTCTAACAGCAAACTCTTCACTGCCTTAAGCGTAGCAACACTGATTGCTGATGAAACACCTCTTCAACTGCAGAATTCAACGTTGTCCGCGCATACGAAGGTGCGCGATGTCCTTTCCGACTGGATGTTGATGGACGGGTACGCGAGCGACCACGTCGACATCTTAGACTTGATGACAATGCGCTCTGGCCTTCCCCGGCACGACTATGCCATCTCGGGGCACACACTTGACGCCGAGATTATAACCAAGCTGAGATATTTGGAACCTTCTGCCGAGATCCGACAGGCGTACCAGTACTGCAACATGCATTACGGTGCGCTCGCGCACATAGTGACGACACTCACGGGGATCGAGTACGTCGACTGGGTGACAGAGAATGTGATCAAGCCGCTTGGGCTGAACGCGACGTACGACTACGACGCGGCTGAGGTGGCCGAGGGCTTTGCACACATCGGCGTCAACTATACGCAATGCGCGCTCTCCGAAGAGGTTCGACGCCCCGATAAGGCCTGCATGGGAGAGACCAAACCGTTCGGATGGTGGGTCACAGGTTCATACACCAAGGGCGCGGACGCCGGCGCCGGCGGGTTGATGATGAGTGCGCGCGACGTCGTGAGTTGAAACGTTTTCGCCGCTAACATCAGGGCAGGTGGCTTTCCGAACTCCTTGACCCGCAGCACATCAACCCCGCAGCATTAGCTCTCGTCAGCACGCCCATTATTGTTGCTGAACCGGCGCGGCCTCCCGAACTCGGTCTTACAACATATGGTGCTGGCCAGGCGATGGTCAACTATCGCGGGTTCGAGGTTGTGCACCACGGCGGTTTCGTGCCCGGCCAGGCGAGCGAGTTTCTCCGCGTTCCCTCAGCGGGAGTGGCGCTGGGAATCATGACGAACGACCACACTTGGGGCGATGTGCTGGCCTCGGCTCTGGCGTGGCGCGTGCTAGATGACCTGCTCGGCCTCGAACCGATCGACTGGGAGGCGCTCGCTGTGAGGGAGATGTGGGATGCCATTCGGGCCGATCCTACACCCACGCCTCCTACCACGCCTGAGCCCGCGCCCGTACCCGGTGAGGGGACGTACACCCATCCCGGCTACGGATCATTCACGCTGACGCGCCTGCCGCGCGGTAAGGCGAATACGACAGCGGGCGAGATTGCTCGCGCGCTTCCGCTCCTTGGTCTGCGCACCGATGCAGTGCTCTACGCTGAGCTCGACGGCTTTCTACCCTCGCACTTCACCCTCGCTCACTGGAGCGGCGCGTTCTGGAACCTCACCAACTGGCTCGTGTACGACCGACAAGAGCAGGGAGTGGTAGCCCTCAACCCAGGCATAAGCTGGCCGGCCGTAGTAACGGAGGAGGGGTTGGGGCTGTTCGGCGGGTTCGCGGGGGCCGGGATGGACGTTCCACCCCGTGCGCCGAAGGTCAAAGACTTGAAGGAGCGGGCGGAGGTTTTCTTCGCGCGTGAAGGCAGGAGTGCGCTCGTGGTGCAGGGAGGGCCGCAGTATTCACTCTGAGGCCGACCACGTCGTTTGTATGCATCAAACTTCCTAGTGTCCTACAGCCCGCCCGCTGGTTCTTTCCCAGTCGGCAGCCAGCCGACACGCCTCCTGACATGCCGCCATCTCGTGGCTCACCATCTCGTGGCTCACCATCTCGTGGCTCATCATCGCCGCCGTCTTCCATCAGCCTGGATGTTCCAAGGACAACGGCCCATTGACATTAACAGCTGGCAATTCATTCATTACTTCTACCTTCCGAAGCTGATACAGTGGAGCAATCATCGTTCTTCTCTCGTGTCCGGACTAGGCCTTCGAGAAAAACACTTCAGCGGCTTGCTGCATGTTCTCGGTAGATGGTGCGCGCATTGGCGCGCCTGCGCCCGCACCCCAGAAGTTACCAAACATGCCAATGCCCTCAGGAGTGGCGATCGCCATATAGGACCCCCCCGCGTCTGGGACAATGATCTTTCCATTGCGCTCCGTCACGCTGAAGGCCGTAAGATTGAACCCTGCTCCATCCCAGTGAGAGAGCGTTATGTGAGTTTGAGGTCCTTTCTCAATTTTGGCGTAAAGTACGTCGGTGGTGCGTAAGCCAAGCCGCGCGAGCCCGGCTGTGATACCTGACTCAATGGGCGAGTCGGGCCCTACGACCATGGGCTGGAGCGTGAACGTCCCATAACCAGGGTGCCCGTAGGTGCCGCCAGGCTCGGAGCCGGAAGGTACAGGCGCTGGGGAGGGTGGCGGCGACACGGGGGGTAGTAGGACGGCGAGCTTGATTTGGTTGGCGGCCTCTTGCTCGAGATCGATGGGAGGCACTCCCAAGAGATCAGAGGCGATGCGTAAGGCGATGGCTTGTTGGAGGAAGAGGCCCGAGTACATGTCCTCGTTTGTAATGATACCCATGGCGAGGCCGAGCTCTGGCATGCGCACAAAGAGACTCAACTGCCCGGGGAGGGTGCCTGCGTGCATGATGACCGACTGGCCCGCGACGCTCGTCATAACCTGTCCCGCGCCGTAGGCTTGAATGCCAAGGCCCATACCTGCGGGGCCACTGACGGTGATGGGGGTGGCCGCGGCGTTGAGCACGTCGGGGCTGAGCACACGCGGCATCAGGAGCTCGCGGAACCACTTGGCCTGTTGTCAGTTGGAGGCGCGATGAGTGGACGTGAGGGGGTGCAACGCACTAGGTCGCGGGTAGTGGAGATGAGTCCACCCTCGCCGGCACCGGCGCCCTTATTGTACGGACGCGGGTTCCACCACCCAGTGCTATTGATGGAGCCGAAACACCCGGGGTCGAGGTGGTCGAGGTCAGGCGAGCGCCCACACTGCGTGAGGTTGACTCCTGTACGAAGGAAGCTCTCTGTCTTGACGTTGGTGTAGTCAAACGTACTCGCCGTCATGTTCAAGGGGCCGAGAACGTGCTGGCCGAGCCAGTCGACATACGGCGTCCCGGAGAGCGTGGTGACGATGTGCGCGAGCGTCGCGTAGTGTAGGTTGTTGTACTGGTATACCTGCCGGATCTCAGTGGATAGCGGGAGGTTGCGGAGGTTGGCGACGACTTCGGCGTCGTTGTAGCCCCCGAAGCCCGATTTGGCGAAGGGGTGGCCCGGCAAGCCGGAGCGCATGGCCACGAGGTCAACGATGTCGACATGGTCGGACGCGTACGGGTCCATCAGCTGCCACTCGGGCAGGATGTCCTTGACCTTTGTCGACCAGGTGAGGTTCTTCTCGCCGAGCACAGTGCCCACACTGAGGGCAGTGAAGAGCTTGGTGTTAGACGCGATCGCAAACGGTGTCTACTGTCAGCGTGTACAGAAAGCGGCGTACGTCTTCCGTGACTTTGTCGCCTGCTTCGTTGGCCACACCATAGTTGTAGAACTCGGTGAGCCAGCCGGCGTCACCCGTCTTCTTGGTAAACTGGGGACCGGCGATGGCGACGATGGCGGCGCCGGGGACGCCCCACCGCTTCAGCGCCTTGTCAATATATGCGCGCGTGTCGGCGGACAGCAGGACGGCTGGCGCGCCGCCTGATCCGCCAGAGCCAGCGCCAGAGCCGCCGTCGCCAGTTGTAGTGTTGGGCGCCGAGGAGTTGGCGCCCGGGTCCGAGCCCGGCTCGTCAGGCGCACGGACAACCGCTTCGAACGGTGCGGCGAGCGCTGGCGTAACAATCAGTAGGAGGAGCGCAGTCAGCAGCATCTGGGGTGATTGGCGGCGAGTCACACTGGCTCCGCACTCATTTATATCTCTACTCTGTGAGTGTGACAAACAGGCCACGCCAGCAGCCATGAGCATCAATGAGCAGACACCGCCTCCAACACTGTGGGTCGAAGTGTAAACACACTTACGCATACTTGGGAGTGCCTGCTTGGGGCCTCCGCGCTAATAATGAATGGCGGTGCCGATTTGGCGGCGGCCGAAGGCTTTATCCCGAGCAAGCGGCTTCGTTGTCACCGCCGACATCCAGCCCGTGAGACCTGCACAACTTGCAGACATGTTGTTCGACGCCTCCTCGGCTGGTCGTCCGGACGGGATGGTGCAGGGTTCGTCAGGTGCTTACTGTGCCGAGCTACGGCTTGTGAACGCCATGCTACTGTGCCTTGCGACAGCTGAAGACTAGACGACGTTCAAGAGCAAACTGCGTCATGCTGTACGATGGAACCGAGATAGCTAGCGATAACGCCTTTAATCAAGGTGATCAGCATGACGTGTATTGTTGACACAAGTTGCTTCCGAGCAGGCTGGGCCTGGACTCGGCCTCGGCCGAGAGTGGTGCTCCACCTCCACCTCCACTTGACCTCCACCGGAGTCCCATTCTGACTCCGGCCTTCCGACTCCGGCCCGTGTCTCTCTCACATCAGCTCCGTACCATGTGCAAGGTAGGAAGAGCGCTCCCGCCCCGCCAGCCTTCAAGCATGTATACAACTGGCCAACAGCGCGCGCCGGAGATGCGGGTATGCATCTAGAGTGTCCGGACGCGTCCTCATTCTCGCGGTGGACATGTCACCTCCACAGTCCGGACAGGATCGGATCTCAGCGTCACTCTTGTCATCTCACACTCTCGCACCATGTCGCTGTCGCCGGATTTCGTGCGCTTCGAGGCGCAGAGCCGCCGCTCAACTGTGTTCAGTATGTTTTGCGCTCCCTCTGTCTCTGACAGCAGGTTCTAAAGGCATCGTAGCCTGCTCTCAGCCCCTCGCCGCCAGCGCGGGGATGACCATTCTTCGAGCTGGCGGAAACGCCGCCGACGCGGCCGTAGCGATGGCTGCCGCGCTCAATGTCACCGAGGTGAGGTCTGGCATCACGAATACGCCTCGACGCTGACCAGTACAGCCAGTCAACACAGGTATCGGCGGCGACCTCTTCGCGCTGTTCTGGGACGCCAAGGCGCGGCGTGTGCGGGCGGTGAACGGATCAGGACGGAGTCCGCGAGCGCTTTCTCTCGAGAAAGCGGCCGAGCTCGGCATCTCGGGCCAGCGCATCCCGTACGACAACGCCAATGCCGTGACCGTGCCCGGTGCCGCGGCCGGCCTCGTGGACATCCACGCGCGCTTTGGCGGCGGCAAGCTGTCGCTTTCCGAGGTGCTGGCGCCCGCGATTGCGCTTGCCGAGGACGGCTTCCCCGTCCACCAGATGTGCTCGTACGAGTGGGTCGACTTCGAGCCGCGTCTGCAACAGGTCGCGGCCGAATCGCAGAGCGGGGGGTCATACCCCTTCTTGATCAACGGCAGGGCGCCGCGCCCAGGGCAGTTCTTCTCGAACCCCGACCTTGGGAAGACGCTGCGCCGGCTCGGGAAGGAGGGAAAGGACGCGTTCTACAAGGGCGAAGTGGCGCAGAAGATCGTGGACGCCATCACTTCCCGCGGCGGCGTCATGACTCTCGACGACCTCGCGGCGCACGCGACCGACTTCGTCGAACCCATCGCGTATACGTACGGCGAGAAGGAGCAGCTCACGGTGCACGAGTGCCCGCCGAACGGGAGCGGGCTGGCAGCGCTCATCGCGCTCGGCATTATCGACACGCTGCGCATCGACGGCGTCGTTGATTTCGACAAGATGGAGGAGGGGAGCGTCGAGTGGTTCCACACACTTATCGAGGCTCTCCGACTCGCTTTTGCCGACGTGCATGCTCACCTCGGCGACCCAAACTTTGTCAATGTGCCCGTGAAGCAGATCTTGTCGCGGGTAAGCGGGGACGTGGGAGCGGGAAGGGAGTGCTTCACAACGGAGCGCTGACATCAGGATTATCTCCGCGAGCGGGCACGGCTGTTCAACCCCCATGGCACGGCCAAGGTCAGCGCCGGGGCGCCGCCATCTAGCGACACGGTGTATCTCACTGCGGCGGACTCGGAGGGCAACGCCATGTCATGTGAGAATACACGCCGTCCGGCGATTCGCTAATACCAGTCATCATGAGCAACTACCTCGCGTTCGGCACGGCGATCGTGCCCAACGGCTGTGGCTTCACGCTCCAATCACGCGGCTCGGCGTTCAGCCTAGACCCCTCGTCTCCCAACCGGCTCGAGGGCGGCAAGCGCCCGTTCCACACCATTATCCGTGCGTCCCTCCCGTCCCTCCCCCAGCACACTGACGCCAGCGGCCATGGTGACGCGCGGCGATGAGCTCTTCATGTCGTTTGGCGTCATGGGCGGCGCCATGCAGCCGCAAGGGCAGGTGCAGGTTCTCCTGAATCTGCTGCATAACGGGCGGCAGCCGCAGCTGGCGCTTGACGCCAAGCGGTTCCTCGTGGGCGGCACGGGGCTGTGGCAGTCCACGGAGCCGTACTACAACACGTGTGTGGCGATCGAGGACGGCGTGCCCGAGGAGGTGGTACAGGGCCTCGAGCGCATCGGACACCAGATCCAGCGCGTCAAGGGCTCAGACCAGATCTTCTTCGGCAAGGGCCAGGTCATTCTGCGCACCGTCGACGAGCGGACGGGCAAGACGGTGTGGGCGGCCGGGAGCGACTACCGTGGCGATGGGTGTGCAATCGCCCAGTTTTAGAGTGTCCGTTTGAGAGGAAATGGAATGCAGACTGTGCGAAGAGCGTGTGTGACGGGATGGAAGAGCACGGGGATGATGACATGAGGGTCGCGTCAAGATCGGACCGAGATCGGTCGGTTGCTTGGCGCCGCCCCATTCTCGGCGCATTCTCGCCGCATCACATTCCCGACCGCACTCTCGCCCATCTCCCGTCAGCTATAAACGCAGACATGCCGAGGTCATTCTCGCACTCCCACGCACCCCACGTACCCCACGCACCATGCCCAAGCCCCTCGTGACGCACATCTACACGGCGGACCCGTCGGCGCACGTCTTCGATGGCCGGCTGTACATCTACCCGTCGCACGACCGGGAGAACGACTACGGCTTCAACGACAAGGGCGACCAGTACGACATGGTCGACTACCATGTGCTCTCGCTGGCGGAGGAGGGCGGCGAGGTGACGGACCACGGGGTGGCGATCAGCGCCCAGGACGTGCCGTGGGTCGACAAGCAGATGTGGGCGCCGGACTGTGCGCGCGGCAAAGATGGGCGGCACTACCTCTACTTCCCGGCGCGTGGGCATGACGGTGAGTGAATGGGAGGTAGGGTTTGTGGCTGGCGAGGTGGGAGCAGGCGAGCTTGGGCTGTGGTCGCACGTAGAGGACGCAGCTCACGCCAGGCATCTTCCGTATCGGCGTCGCCGTCGGCGACCGCCCCGAAGGGCCCTTCAAGGCGCAGCCGGAGCCGATCAAGGGCTCGTTCAGCATCGACCCAGCGACGTTCGTCGACGACGACGGCGCCGCGTACTGCTACTTCGGCGGGCTGTGGGGCGGGCAGCTGCAGTGCTACAATTCCGACGGGACGACGTACACGCCCGACGTGGCGGACGAGCCGAGCGGCGCGGGCGTGCGGGCGTACGGGCCGCGCGTCGCGCGCCTCCGTGACGACATGCTCGAGTTCGCCGAGGGCGTGCGCGAGCTCGTCATCACCGTCGGCGGGCAGCCGGTGCCGGCTGACGACCACGAGCGGCGCTTCTTCGAGGCGGCGTGGGTACACAAGCACAATGGGCGGTACTATTTCTCATACTCGACCGGCGACACGCATCTGCTCGCGTACGCTATTGGCGACAGCCCGTACGGGCCGTTCGAGTATGCCGGTACGATTCTCGAGCCCGTCGTGGGATGGACGACGCACCACTCGATCGTCGAGAACTTTAAGGGAAAGACGTACCTCTTCTACCACGACTGCGAGCTTAGCAAGGGCGTAGACCACCTGCGCTCCGTGAAGATGCGCGAGATCACGTACGACAAGGACGGCAAGATCATCAAACAGAAGCCTTAGTGTGGATCGAGTTACATGTGGTGTACCAAAACTTGTCTAGTATTGCAACTTTCTGATAATTTTCAGACAGTCGAGGATGTGATCGGTGCGTTAATATGTTGCTGTAGCTGCCGACGACGTCGTCTGTGTTCATTGAGTTAGTCGAGGACCTTCGAGGTTGCCAAGACATTGCTGCCGATGTCCCAGTCCGCAACACCTTGCGCCTTCCATCGAGCCGTTCGCTGCCGGTGTGTTCACACAGTGTTGCCACAGCGCCGCAGCGGAGCATGCGCAAGGCGGCGATCAAGTCAAGCGCGCGAGCGGCTACGCAGGCCAAGGCGAGCGTGAAGGAGAAGGAGGAGGAGGAGGAGGAGGGGGATGAGGGAGGAAGCCGCGCCCAGTCCAAGTCAGAGGACGGCACGGCAGAGGGCGCGGACGACGGAGGGCGATAGCCATTCGATGGCGCTTCCTGGTGAGTGGAGGGTGGAGGTGGGCGGTGGTAAGTTGAGAACGGCTTGTTATCCTATGCTCAATCGCGGGAGACCGCTACCATCACCTGATGTTGAACCGGACGGTCCACACCTCGCTCTCGCCGTCGCTGCCGCCGCCGCCCTCGTCGTCATCGTCCCCAACTTTGACGCCGAGGAGATACATCCCGTTTTCCTCGCCATCGAACGAGGTGAGCCGCGTGATGCCGACCGTCTCGACCTGCGGGCTGTCGTCAATCAGCGCCCAAGCTTTGGGCATGTGCCGCGACTTGAGGACGATCCCGACGACCCCCGCGTACTTGACGCGCACAGTCACGGAGTCTGGCGTCAGTTGGCACACAATGGCACTCACCAGAATCAGCCGTGAAGCCGTCGAGCGCAGCAGGTCCCGCCATGGTGTTGATGAGGCCGAGAACAGCCACGGGGCCGATGGCAAGAGGCACTGTCCGCATGATCCAGAAGCTCGCGGCGTCCAGCATGGAAAGGCTGTCGATGCGACACACCACGCCCCTGTCGCCGGGAGAGAGCACCGTCGTGCCGAGGAAACCTCCCCCGTGGACGCCCATGCGCACGATAATGTAGTGCGCGTCGATATCTCCTCCGATCGCGTCCTCAACGTCCTCGACGGTGAGGTCATCGAACACGGAGCACGGCCGGTCGTACCCGCCCCGAACGTTCCAGCAGCCCAGGATGACATGTGGGCCCACGGGTGCCGCGGCCCACTGCCCGGTCCCATCCTCGTAGTCGAGGATGTTTGTGTCCAGCACGCGGCGGGACAGAGGCGCGGCGGCGCGCTGCGCCCTAAGCACGCGCGCGATGCCGCCCTTGTCCTTCGCGGTGAGGCGAGAGAGGAGCGTGCGCTGCTGCAATGCGTGCCATTCAAGCAGAGCAGGATCGCCCGGCGGGTCAGAAAAGAGGAGAGGGCCGGGGAAGAGCGCGCGCAGCAGGGCGTGCGTGTCTGGATGCTGCTGCCCTAGCATGAACATGTCCGCGTCCGGCACGGTGCACTGCTCGTTGGAGAGAAGCGCATTCATGAGGTTGGTGAAGAAGTGCTGCTGGTGCGCGGACCGCGAGCGGCCTGTGAGCCCGAAGTCGTCCGAGTTGCGCCATACGAAGCGCTGCCCGCGCGTTGTGAGGCCGAGTCCTTGCGGGCCCGCCCAGGTTGCCTCGCTGTGCGACATGCAGTGAATGACGCGGCCGGGCCCAAAGATGCGCTCGGCGGCGGCATACATGGTCTCCCAGAGGTATAGGGCTTCGTGCACGCCATCGATGCCATCCAGAGATGTGACGCCCGCTTGGTTGTCCACTTTGAGAAAGGAGATACCGGCGTCGCGCAGCTGGGTGAACCAGTCACCCCAGAACTCGGCGGCGCGTTCAGGCGGGGGAAGGACGTAAAATGACTCGCCGTGGGGTATGTGGTTCGGCTCGAGTGGATCTTCAGCGCACCCGAGCCACCACTGCCGCGACGCAGGATACTTCTTGCATTCGTACCGCTCCACGAGCGGCGACTCGGGGTGGACCCCGTCCCAGTATCCGCCGGTGAGCCTGTGGTGAGATGTGCTGCCGCGATGAACTCACGCAAGCCAAGCGCCAACCTCAACCTTCCTCACGCCTTTGACACGCCCAAGCTTGTCCTTGACCATGGTGACGATGCCCTTCATCCCTCCCTCTCCAATTTCCGGCTTGGCGCCGAAGCTCCACAGCCCGCGGCGCCGGTCGGCCTCGCTCGACCTATCCCGGAAATGCCGTCGGTCGTGCCACCCGTCGTCGATCACAAATGTCTGTATCGGAAGCCGGGAACTGACGAGCGTGTCCACGAGGTGGCGGATACCGCTTTCGTCGACATTGCGGCCCGCATCAGCGCTGCCCCTGCTCGCTCACCTACCCTCGTGCAGGGCGTTCCACGTGCAGAAACCGACGCCGTCGAGGGGACTTGGGCTCGAGGGGCGGTATTTGACGTCGGCGCCCATGAGCCACTTGCGCGCCTCGGCGACAGCGGCGGCGCACAGCGCTGAAATGTATCGGGGGTCGTGCGTGCGCGTGGAAACGACCGCGGCGCGTCCGTGCTGGGAGCGGCTTGCGCCGCGGACGTTGATGACGAGGCCGTTGGCCGCGCGGGAGAGGTTGGCGAGCGCCGTGTCGCTGGAAACTGGGAGAACGCACACGTACTCGTCCCCGCTGCGGAGGAGGAGCATGTGCACAGTGTTCTCCTTGAGGGCTTTGAGGAGGGGGAGGGGTGCGGCCTCGATCCATGTTGGGCTGCGTGAGAGGTGTCAGGCGGCGGCTTACCGTGGGCGGTACCATGCCCATCCGTGGGCATCGGGCTTGAGGTGTGGAATGGACAATTTGAATGTCTTGTGTACTGTGCCGGGAGGGATGGAGACCGTCGTCAGGTGTGGGGTGATGGGGGACATGGTGATGTCGAGGTTGAGAGTTGGGGGTGGGGGAGGCATAAGGGAGCGCTGGGCAAAGGGGCTGGGTGAGTAAAGGTTGAAGCGAGTTAGTGAGGAGGGCAAATGATGGTGAGTAAGGTGAGCGTGGATGGCGCTGAGAACGTTGAGAGCGATGAGAAGAGGAGAAGAGGAGAAGTGGGAGAAGAGAGCGATGGTGAGGAAGGCTGAGTGGGTGTTGACTGCGACGCGTGACGTCAGGTGACTGGGTGCGGTTTAGCTCCCGCAAAGGTCACGTGGTGTAGGTGATGGCGACGACGTGGCCTGGAGGCGAAGGCGAGCACCTCGGCCCGAGAGGGTTGGATGCAAGCGAGGTGTCCCGCTCGCTATCGCCGAGTCCAGCCGTGATGCGACGCTTGTCAGCGGCGCAGGCGGACGGCGGCGATCACCTTGACTCGCGCCGGGGTCGCAACTATTGGCCGGAAATACGCCGAAGGAAGTACCGTCCGCGGTGCCACGCGGCCGTAGGTCTCAATTTGGGTGCCTGCTGCGTCCAAGTCCCGGATATCCAGGTGTAGATACGGAGACTCCTATAAACGTCAGCCCGCCAGCTCGCCAGGTGCGAGGTTATATGAGATGATTATGCGATGCGCGACGCGACTTGCCCCTGCTTGACTTTGGACTCGACTCTACTGACCATTGCAATGGACCCATACACACCCCCAGAGGTGACGGCGAGTATGTCTGCGCGTCCCGCGCGTCCCGCGCAACTGGCGTGAGCGCGCTGACACCAGTGCTCATCGCGAGCGGGGAGAAGAAAGCGCGGCAAGCGTATTATCTTACTCTCATCAAGTCTCTGCTCGGCGGATGGATGGTGCGTTACTGGGGAGGAGGAGGAGGAGGAGGAGCTCACGCAGATCGGGTTCGGCGCGAATCTCGTGCATGTGATGCATGGCGGCGCGGGGCGGCTGGCAACCGAGGCGCCGGTGATTGTCAACTTTCTCGCGGCCGCGTTCTTCCCCATTCCCCTCCTGATGATTCTGATCACGGGGATGGAGCTGATTACGGCGAATCTCAGTGGGTCGGCAAGGCAAAGGAGGGCTGACAGAAGTGGCGGTGCCGATGGCGGTCGCGAACGGGCGCGTCAAGGTGTGGGAGATGCCGCTGAACTGGGTGATTGTGTTCTTTGGGAATCTAGCGGGTGTGCTCGTGTACGCCATGCTCCTGGGTGGGTCTACCAGTCCACCCACAACAAAGCTGACACTAGCACAATGCTCCGAGCTCTACACCTCCCCCGCGCTGCTCGAATACACCGTGTCCGTGGCAGTCAAGAAGACGAGCCTCGGCTGGGGCGTGTGCGTGCTCCGCGGCATTGGGTGCAACTTTCTCGTGTGTATGGGCGTGTGGCTCGCCACGGCGTCGCGCGACATGGCGTCCAAGATCATCGCAATGTATCTCCCGGCGGGGCTGTTCGTGTTTCTCGGGTTTGAGCATGTTGCTGCGTGAGTGCAAAGAGGGGGTGGGGAGGGCTGACGCCAGGAACATGTACTTTGTGCCGATGGGCATGTTGAACGGCGCGCCGATAAGTGTGGGGAGATATGTGGGGCGGTCGGTCGTGCCGAGTTTTATTGGGAACAGTGAGTCAATGGAGACGAGGTGGCGAGGTGGCGAGGTGGCGAGCGGGGTTGGCGAGCAGAAAGTCGCAGAGGATTGGGGGAGCTGGTAGCGGGCAGTTGGCAGCTGGCAGCTAGGAGGAGCTGTAGTGCTCAAGGATGAGCCAAGGGCCAAGCGAGCTGAGCGAGCTGAGCCCGCGACTCGCTGAGGATATCTGTCCATCTCCCTCTTGTCACCCCCCCTCCCCCCCCCACCCTCCCCTCTAGACAATTCACCCACCCACACTCACACCAGTGCTCGGAGGATGCCTCCTGGGCCTCCCAATGGTGTTCTTACACCACCCGCCGCAACTCCCCACCTTCTTGAGCCGGAGGAGCAGCCGGGCGTCTGGGGCGTCTGGCGCGACACTCGAGGCATTCGAAGAAGGGCCGACGCGTATCTCGTCGCGGGTAGAGGAGGAGGTGCAGGGAGACAAGGTGTAGACGGGGCGGGGGAGTAGACAAGATGTCGACGCATCATCAGGCGATAGAGACAAGATGTACCTGTATTCATGGGAGGAATGGAGATGGAAGGAACGGGAGAGAGCAGCTGACATGAGGACATGAGAGGAACGAGATGGAGACGACGACATGAGGTGCCTCTTGGAAAGAGTTGTTCCATGAAACCTAATGATATAGTACATGTGCCACGAGGCGGCCACGAGGGGGTGAGGGGGGAAAGAGGGCCCAAAGGCAAGGACCCAGCAATGGCCATCCACCCTCGTATTACCATGATGATGTGATTTCTCTGCCTTGCAATGCAGCCTGGGTCATCACATTTCGTCTAGCACTCGTCTAGCACTCGTTGCATCGCATCGCACACCATGACGAGAGAGGAGCTGTGAAATGCCAGTGAGCACAGCTCATCAAGCTCAAAAGCGGGGGGGGGGGGGGACCAAGAGAGTGCGAACAAGTGCAAAACACGCAACCCCCTTGTGAACCCTGAAGCAACACACACGGGGCGGAGGCCGTCAGGGACAGAGACTGCCTTGGGGGACGCACACGCGATCGTGGCCTCTAAAATTCTTAATGCTATTAATTCTAATTGAATTGACTTTTGAAATGAATATGACTGTTACGGGTAATATATTACTCCCCTCGGACGCGTCGTGGACCCTGAAGCGGTCAACGCTTGGACTCCCTATTTTGCTGGATGCCCTGAATTCCAAAGGATCCAAGTCCTGATGAAGGGGCCTGAGGGCTTCCTTGGCACTTTGCTGTGACTGCGCGAGGATGGGCCACCTTCCTTTTGGGCTTTGTCCCCGTCACCCCTCACCCCCTTTCTCCATCACATCCCTCGTCCTCGTCCTCGTCCTCGTCGTCGTCGTCGTCCTCTTCATCCTCTTCTTCATCTCTCAACACACTCTCTTTCTCATCCTCACTCTCTCTCTCTCCCTCTCTCCCTCCCTCCCTCACGCTCTCGTCGACGACAACTAGTGGCTGGCCCACACCTCACACTCTCTTCGCGAGTCTCTCTCTCTCTCTCTCTCTAATCCCCAATCTCCACCACCACCACCACAACCACAACCACAATGCTGTTCAACCTCCTCCCCTACCTCGCCCTCGCTGGCATCGCCGCTGACACTGTCACTGCCTCGCCTCATGTAAGTCGCTTTCATCTTTTCTTATTCTCCTTCCCTTTCCTTGAAGCCCCCCCACCCCCCAGGCTCACACCCCACAGCCCGCTCACGGTCACGGCATCGCTCGTCGTCACCACGCTCGCCAGCATGCCCGTCACGTCACCCCCAACATCGCCCGTCGTGGTGCCGAGTTTGGCTACAAGAACGGTCAGAAGTGCCGCGTCCGTCCAGCCGGTCAGGGTAACGCCGCACCCGCTCCCGCCGCCGAGGAGCAGCAGCCTCCCGCTGCCGACAACCAGCAGCAACAGGAGCAGCAGCAGCAGCCCCCTGCCGCTGACCAGCAGCAGCAGCCTCCAGCTGGCGACAACCAGCAGCAGCAGCAGCCCCCGCTCGAGAACAACCAGCACAACGTTGACTCGCCTGACACTCCTGACACCCCGGACACTCCCGACACTCCCGACACGCCTGACCAGCCTGGCAACAACGAGACTCCCGCCGAGACTCCAGAGACCCCCGAGACCCCCGAGACTCCAGAGACGCCCAACCCCCCGACCAGCCCCAACACCCCCACCGGTGGTAACTCGGGCAAGCGCGGCATGATCTGGCCCAACGGTGACTGGGCAAAGGACATCCGCAAGTACATTGGCCAGGGCGGCATCAGCTGGTACTGGGCTTGGGAGCACGCTCCGTCCAAGTGGGCGGCCGAGGCTGGCCTCGAGTTCGTCCCCCAGTTCTGGGGTCCTCAAAAGTACGACAAGTGGTACGAGCAGAAGGCCAACAACTGGAACGGCCAAAAGGTCTCACACGTCATGTTCTTCAACGAGCCCGACCTGCAGAACACGTACGTCGCCTCGGGCGTCTCGCCTCAGGACGCCGTCTCGCACTGGCACCAGGAGATGGCTCCTCTGCGCGCCCAGGGCATCCGCATCGGCTCGGCCGCCCCCGCCGGCGCCAACAAGAACTGGATCGTCGAGTTTGAGCAGGCCTGCGGCGGCGCTTGCAACGCCGACTTCATCACCATCCACGTCTACGTCAGCGACGTCGAGATCTTCAAGAAGACGGTCACGGACGCGTACAACCAGAACGGCAACCGCCCGATCTGGGTCACCGAGTGGGCGTGCCACGACTTTGGCGGTGGCGGCGGCAACTGCGCCGACCCCGCCGGCTTTGTCACCCAGGCCACGCAGTGGATGGACAGCCAGCCTTGGGTCGAGCGCTACTCGCTCTTCGGCTCCATCTCGGAGCTCCACGGCGTCGACACCAAGTGCGGTCTCATGAACACCTGGGACCCCTATGACCCCACCAGCCTCTGGTGGAACTACATCCACGCGTAAGCGTGGAGGATGCTTCTCCAGCCCCAGCCCCATCCCCATCTCCAACCTCTACCTTTCGCCTCTTCGCTTTCTGTCCTTGACACTTTAAACTTTGATCGGGCTGGTCCCGTTTTCGCTAGTATATGGATTGTCATGTCTCTATGATGGGGTGGGTGGGGTGGGGTGGATGTGGCGGCCGCGGCGGCTGTGGCGGGCTGTGGTGGGCGTGGCGGGATGTGGTGCGTGTGGCTGAGCAGGGTGCGGTGCGCGTGATGCGAGCGGCGTAGCCCGCCACGCCACCACGCCAGCGCCACGAGCGCCTCGAAGCCGTTCGACTGACGGACACTACGAGGCGATCAGGTTACATGTATTGGCGCGTTTGCAGGAACTGCGGTCCGCCAGTCGTCGGATTGCAGGAATGCGGAGCACGGGGCAATACGGCCTGTGCTGGTGCTGGGCGCAGCTGGGCGACAGGCGTTGGCGCTCCGCGTGAAAATGAAACGCTCTGATCGCTGCGAGTTTGAGCGGACGGGCCGTCGCCGTCAGTGCGAGTGCGGCACCAGGGGTGCAAGGGCAATCAGACCAAATCAAGATTCCTGTACCCCGCCTCCCGCCTCAAGCCCACCACAGCTCCACCACACACACCGTACATCTACGTCCCCAACGAATAGACAATATACAGCGTCCAGCCCGTGACGACCATCGCGCCGAGCTGGAGCAGCACGGCGCTGCGCACGCGCCGGCTGACGCGCCAGCCCTCGTACGCGTGCCCCGAGAGCAGCGCGTCGCGCCGGAACGCGGTGCGCTGCTTCTCGGGCATGCGCAGGCTGTGCCCGAGCCACCGCCCGTCCAAGTAGTCGTAGATGGGCCCGATGAGGAACTCGACGCTCTTGATCGCGATCAGGAGGTAGATTACGCCCGTGTACGAGCCGGTGCGGTCTTGGATCGCGCCGGCGGCGACTTCGAGGATGAGCGTGTTGCAGTTTTGCTTGTGTTAGCGGAACCAGGAGGGTCGAGGAAGCGCAACTCACAAACGCCCGCCACACGCCAAACGCCGTGCCCATCAGATGTTGCGTCCCAACCAGCACAGGGATACACGCGTTGAATGTGATGGCATTTGTCGACAGCGCAAACGAGGAGATGAGGATTGGCGCTAGCGGGTGAACCTTCGTAAGGCCGATCAGCACGAACACGACCACATACAGCGCCGCGGTCCACGAGATGAATACACAGCGCCAGCCGATCTTGTCAAAGAACAAGCCGGCAAGCGGCGTGAGCACGATCGGTACGATGCCCTGCAGCGACGAGTTGTATCCCGCAGCAAGCTCTTTCGTGCCGCGCGTCACGACCTGCATGTCCGCGAGGTTGGACGAGTACACGCTGACCGCGGCGTTCTGGAGCACTTGCGTCGAGCACAGGATCCAGAAGAACTTGGGGAGGACCACGAGGAGGTTCCACTCGACCTTGCGCTTGCCGCCCTCCTTGGCGCGCGCGTGTCGCCCCAGTACAGGGCGGTAGCGGACGGGGACGCGCCGCTCAAACACCCAGTAAGCAAGCGTGGCTGCGCACGAGAGGCAGCACACGAAGAAGGGAACCCACAGCGCCCAGCCCCACCAGTTGCCGATGTTCGCGAGCGGCACCGCCGTCGCTCGGATCACGATGGAGACTACGCGGCCCCACGCGATGTCAGTGCCGATCACGAAACCGAGGAGACTGCCGTGAAACCAGTGCGCGTAGAGCTTGTTCTGTGTGCCCTCGAGGATCGTCGAGCCGAAGCCCATCACGATATGCCCCCCGATCAGAAGGCCGTACCGGTTCGTCGAGGCCGACTGGGGTTAGTTGCGCCGCAGACAAGGGGACGCACGAAGCAGGCGACGAGCTGGCCGACTACAACGAATGCGCTCGCGATGATGGCCGCGCTGCCGTCAGCCAAGCTCCCTTATGGCTCAAAGAGTAACTCACTAGGTCGCGCCCCAGTAGTCCATGCCGATACCCCCGAGAATGGGCAGGACCGAGTTGACGATGGCCGTGGCGCTGGCAAGGGCGCCGAACTGTGCGTCTGGCGTCAGCGCTCACCCTCTCCCTCCTCGCGACACCCACTCGTGATCTTCAGTTCCTTCCGCAGCCGCGTCTTGAGCGGACCAATCACGCCCTCGGCGTAGTTGGCGCCCGTGGAGAAGAGAACAACGAGTAGGAATGCCGCGACGCGATACCGCCGCGGAATGTCCAGCTCGCCGTCGACGTGGGTGCTCGCGTCGGACTGCGCATCGGACTCGCTCTGCGAGTAAAGGACGGTGCGGGCGGCTAGGTCTGGAGACTCGACTTTGTCAGAGACCACGTCGCCTGCTTCTGGCGAGTCTGAGCGAGGCTTCGACATGGTCTGTGGTAATGCGACCAAGAGAACGGCGGGAGCCGAGGGATGAGGAAGGGGGGAAAAGCGAGACAGCGTTTTTTACGTCGTTTGATGCTGGTCGTGACCTCCTGCATTCAACTCTCTTGAGTCCATTTTGGCTGGGTCTCGCCCACATCATCCGCGGCTGTCACCTGCCGCCCAAAAGATCTCGGTCGTCGTCAGCCATCACGAAAGATATCGGGCTGCTCGAACCCGACGAGCACTGCCTATCGCGCTCGCGCTGCTCCACACCCCAAGTGCCGACTGTGGCCGCAGTGCCCGGCCGCGAAGGCAAGTCACAATATTGTGGATGTGAGGAGCATCACCTAAACACCTCGGTTGAGGATCTAAAACAGCTCGTGATAGCGAATGCCAAGAACGTCTTCGGCCGACACTCAGGTACGTTCCGCATCATCGACCCGGTCATCTGTCCGGAAAGATGAGTTCCGCATGCACATGCTGGGACGCATGGGCATTGGGTCTGGTATTCGGCATGTGGACGCCCGTTCAGAGAACAAGCGCGGGACCAGTCATCTCGCAGAACAATACTATGTGACATAATTCCCGGAGCTTCGGCCCGCACTCCGAAGGTGCTTATCAGCACGTGGTTCGCTTGAGGTACTTGTGTCCAGACGTAAGTGGTCCATGAACGAACCCACGTACAAGCTGGGGTCATGAGCTCTTGATACATTGTGACTGTGCGCCTATTCCTTCGAACCGAGGGTGCCTCAGAGAACGTGCCTACGACATGATCTGTCTCCAGAACACGTCCGGATCTCCTGTCTGTAGGGTATCAACGTCGCCGAGCAGCCACGAGAAGTTTGCGGCGTCGGTGAACTCGCTGGACCCATCGCCGAGGCCAATCTCCCCTAGGGGACCGTGTTCCTGATGCGAAGTGAGGAGAGGCGTCTCCCCAAATCCTGCAGAGCTGCTCAGCACAGATGATGACGGACCTGGCGATGTCGCCCGTGATGGGGCACAAGATTGGTACTCCAGCATGCGCTCGCTGCGGAATCCACTCGTTGGACGGCGCGTACTGCGCAGCCTCTCTATGCGGGCGAAGCGGAAGTCACTAAAGTCAAATTCGGCCTCGTCCTGACCTGGCTGGTACTCGGTGCTGAATGCCTCAAGGTCTGCTCCATTCAGAAGGCACAGCAGGTCGCAGCGCAGTAACCTGTGGACGGCCTCGATATGCTGGCGTCAGGAGATGCAAAATCAGCCTCCTCACCAGCAATCGGACAATCTCGGACCGCGCACTGCCCTCTCGAAGCGCCACCAGGAGTGGCGCTATGCTTGTGGAGACGTCCTTGGAGAGCACCTGCTCAGTGTCGTGTAATTCCGTCAATCGTCGCGGTTCAAACAGGAGGACTGCTGTCAGCTTGATCACGTTGTCGCACGTACTTTCCAAGGCGATGTAGGCGTGAGCTGACGCCTGCATGTCCCAAGGAGCTGGGTGCTTGAGGCCCTCAGCCACGATGCGCGATATTGAGATGGCATGTTTTATACGCTCCAGTCGAAGAGGGGCGATATCGGCTGAAGCCGTGGCTCCTGACTTCTGGAGTAATGCGAGCCTTGTCGTGTTGATGACTATGCTAACTTTGAGGAGAAGTAAGTGGAAGAGGAGGAAGGCTGGCATCCGTTGCCGATACAGATATGCGGTGTCCTCCGAGAAGCGGTACCGCGGCGGAAGGGAAGTGGTGACTTCTGTAAGTGAGAGTTCGAGCGCGACAAGGTCTGATTCAGTGCGTAAAGCGTCGAAGTTGCGATGTCGCAGACGGAGGAGGATGTCAAAGGCCCGTCGACGAAGCAAAACCGCTCGCATCAGGTGAGCCGAGATCCCGAGAGTCGCCCCCTCGTCCTCGGACGGCGACTCAAAAATGGAGCCCGTTCGCGGGTTGTCGTTTCCCATAAAGCTCTCTTCGGTACATGGCAGCTGAATGTGGAACAAGCTGACGTCCACGAGACCGGAACCGAGGCGTCCGCCGTCGAGCGTCGAGTCGAGGAAGAAAACCGACCAGGCAACACGACGCAGGGCCTCATGTGTAAGCAACGGAGACAGATCGGACACCGCAGCGGCATGCTCGTCAACTGTTTGCAGAGACATGAGCTGCATCATGCTTGCGTCAGATTGCTGATACACTTTCGACCTACCGCACGGTCATTGCCGCCAACAGCCATCGTGAACCGACACGGCCGCGTTGCCCCTCGCAGTAGCAAGTGAGAAGAAGCGTCTGACGTCAGCGAAGGGCGTGACTCCCACGCACCATGAGGTGCACAACTCCGAACCCCTCCAATACACGCGGCACCAGCTTTGCGACTATCCCGTTGACGATGTTGTCGGATCGCTCGAGGTTGTTTTGAGTAGGCTCCGCTGCAAATCTGCTGTCAGTCGTCATACTCTCATAGCCCACCTTAGAGCATTGGCAACCATAATCGCTGTCAGGTCCCGCGGGGCCTTACCCGCGTGTAGGAGCCGCTTAAAGCGAAACTCGTGAATGAAAGTGAAGAAGCCAAAGTCTAAAACATGAGTAAGATGTCAGCGACAGTGCACGCACTATGTACAGTGTTGAAGTATAGATCGATTAAGGCAGCTGTGTCTGACGAGGCCGTTGATAAGTCCTGTCCAAGTAACCTGCATGGTGACGCTGACGACGTGCTTGACGCGGTGTGGAGAGAAGTTGAGGAAGGCGTTTCCGGGCCGCCGCCCGTTGGCTGCGAGCGTGGCGGTGACAATCGACCGCCACTCCTCGTTGAGCTGCCCGCAGAGCCGACCCAGTCGCATGGTAGCGAGAAGAGTAGGCAGCGCTCACACGCTCGGCCTTGACCTTCGCACTTGATCTGGGCGTCAGTTGCCGTCGTCCACCGTGCGTACTTTCCGTGCACGGCACTGACTGCATGCTGTGGCAAATGGCCGCCGAGGCTGGCGAGGAGGAGGTGCCTGCCCGTCTGCCCATTCACAATTCCGTCCCAGACGCTCGCACGTAGCGCAGACTGGCCGCTCGCGGTTGCACTTGACCTGCAGGTCAGCCTCGCCGACCACAGTGAGTCACCTTTCGCACTCTACAGGTCACACAGCCCCGAGAGCGAAGGCGCTCCGGTAGAGCAGAGTGAGCTGGGCCGGAGTCGGCAATGGTAGTATGTGGACTTGGGGACATGCAAGCATGAACGACGGCCGACGGCGAGCAAAGCAAGGACAAGTAGGCAGCTGGGCGATTTGGCAACAACAACATGGCCCTTCCTCCGTCTCCACCTCTAGACGATCCCGAGCGAGCCGCCGAGCCGCCCGAGCCGCAGTTTGATTCCGCGCAGCCCGCGTTGCAGCATCCTCCGATTCCTCACCGACATTCACCACACCCACATCATGCGCGACCTCAAGCTCACAACATGAGCTGGGGGTTATAAAGCTGCCCTTGAAACCGGCAGCTCTACGCCCAGCCCATTCTACCGAACCTATCCCAATGACGCTCGAGTTCAACTCATCCCCGCCTAAGCCCATCATCATTGTCGGTGGTGGACCAGTCGGCCTTGCAGCCGCCCTCGAGCTTACGCGGTTCAACATCCCCGTCGTGCTCATCGAGCAGCACAAGGGCGTGGCATGGCATCCGAAAACCCGAAACTTCAACACGCGTACTATGGAGATTGCGAGCCACTGGGGCGCTGACGTCTACCACCGTCTGCGCGCCATTGACACTCCGCCCGGGTGGAAGAGCCCAATCCGTTTCTTCGACCACGTTTCGGGGACTCAGATGGGACAGATCGAGTCTCGCGGCTTTGAGGGCCCAGGCCCCGACATTTCGCCTGCTGAGCCCATCATGTCGAGCCAGGACCTGCTCGAGAAGATCCTCCTGGACAAGGCGCTGGCGACAGGTCTCGTCGACGTCCGCTTCGATCAGCGCTGCGTCACCGTCGTCCGCGGAGCCGAGGAGGATGCTGATGGTGTTACGGTGCGCGTTGAGAACCGCGCCACTGGGGAGACGTACGAGCTTGAGGGCACCGCGCTTGTCGCCGCGGATGGCTATTCTAGCCCTATCCGCGAGCAGCTGGGCATCAAGCGGACGGGTTCGCAGGACATGAATCACTTCATCAACACGTACTTCCACGCCGATATCGAGCCGCATATCCAAGAGCGCAAGGGCGTGCTCCTGTTCGTGCAGACGGACAAGGTAGGCGGCGTCCTGCAGCCGCTCGACGCGCAGGGCCGCTGGTTGTGCCAGATCCGTGTCGGCAAGGACAAGTGGAACAAGGAGACGTGGACGCCGGAGAAGTGCGCATGGTGGGTGCGCGAGGCAACCGGTATCCCGGATCTCAAGGTGGACGTACGAAGTGTAGGCATGTGGTCGATGAACGCCACGACTGCCGACGAGTTTGTGCGCGGTCGAGTCATGTTGGTTGGCGACGCGGCGCACCAGTTCCCTCCCACGGGTGGGCTCGGCGTCAACACCGGCCTACAGGGCATGCACAACCTTATGTGGAAACTGGCGTACTGCGCCAAGGGCCTGGCGGGATGGAAGCTCATCGAGACATACGATGCGGAGCGCCGCACGCCTTCGGCCGAGACAGTCGCACAGAGCATGCAGAACAGCGCGAACGTGATGCGCATTAATCATGCGTGGCACGGCAAGCTACCCGTCGACACGGACACCGTGATCCGCGAGTCGCGCAGGTACGGCAACCACCTAGGCGTAGAGTTCGGCGTCCACTATAAGTCGTCAGCCGTCGTGTCGGACGGCACAGCGCCGCCCCACGTGGATGACGACTACTCCGACTACGTCCAAAGCGCGACGCCCGGCTGCCGTGCCCCGCACCTCTGGCTCGGCAAGCACCGCGCCTTGTCCATCGTGCACCTCTGGAGCTCGGGATTCACAATATTCGCGACGACCGGTGAAGCTGGCGCGGCCTGGCGCGAGGCTGCTACGAAGGCGACGGCTGTGCATAACGTGCCCATCGGCGTCTATCTTGTTGGGGAGCCGGGAATCGAGGACGTTGATCAGCACTTCCATGCGCGTTACGACATTGAGCGTACAGGAGCGGTTCTGGTGCGGCCCGATGGCGTCGTCGCTTTCCGCGCCAAGCGCCTTCCTGGAGATGTTATCATGGAGCTCACAGTGGCCATTCGCCAGGTGCTGCACGTGTAGGTTGGACGTCGGCAGCTAGGGAGGACAACTGGACCGTCTCCACATGTGAGATATGTAATTTGCAGGTGGGCAACCCATTACCCGTCCGCTGTTGTTCGGTCAACAGTGTTTTAGTTCTGGGCGGCCCCAGGAAGTGACATAGCTGAGAGCGAGCTGCGGCATGCGGGATGCATCTGTCGACGGGAAGAAGCAAGCGTCATCCGTTTCTCAATTGGGCTTTAATATCCGCCCAGCACGGAACAAGCTGCGACTCCATCTTCAACCGAGGCTCCCCCACCCGCACTGGTCGCCAAGACGGCAATCACAAGGATTGTGGGCGTGATGCATCCGAGTCACTCGTGCATGAGCGATGAATACACACGAGGCTGCTATAAGCCTGCATTTTCTGCAGGTGGGTGCTCGACAAGCTTATCCTCTGCGTCACAGAACATGCGCAACCCTCTGACTCTCCTTTCCTTTGCCATCACTGCTGTGGCTGCTCAGAGCTCCTCCTCTGCTGTGTCGACCTCGTACGCGAGTGGCGCAGTTGCAAGTGGCAACGCAACTGCCACGAGCCTAAACAGCACCGCGGCCGCCGGCCCTTACTGGCACACTTTCATCAACGACACGATTGCCAACGCTACGCTGTGGCCCAAGGCCCGGACCATCGACTTCAACAAGGTGTCGCTCGCAGGCTACCGCTCCAACGAGCTCCGCGGGGTAGGAAAATACTCGGAAGAGACTGACCGCAGGCTGCGGGATCGTTTGCCAATCTCACAGCCGAGGAGCGGAAGGCAATCGTTGACGACTTTCATGCACACAACAAGACCTTGCGTGTCTCTGCTTTCGGGGCCAACGACAACGTAACATCTAACGGGACGGATCCCGAGGTCGTCGCGACCAACCTTGCAGCGTACGCGAAGCAGAACGGTCTAGACGGCGTGGACATCAACTACGAGGGTTGGTGCGCCTTGATGGGCAAGCTCACCGCAGACCGCGGCGCAATCGCCAACGGCTCGGCGGTGGACTGGCTCGAGACATTCCATGCAAAGCTCGTAACAGAGCTCGGCGAAGGCAGCGAACTTACATACTCGCCCGTCGGCAGCTTCTTCGGCGGCTCGGACGCGCCATTCGTCCGATTCCTGTCAAACAAGAAGAAGGACGTCAAATGGCTCATGATCCAATTTTACGACCGGGGCCGCTTCAACTGGACAACGCCTGAGCAGCTGTTTGAGACGACGGGCCAGGAAGAGTTCAAGTCGCGCGCCGAGATTGCTCAGCTCTTGGGCGGCGAGTGGACGGAGAACGATCTCGTTGTCCAGAAGCCGCTTCAGGAGAATCAGCCCGGGCGGATGAGCGCCGAGGATCTGGCCGCTGCATTCTGTGCCAAGAACGAGACGCTTAACGGTCTCTCCGTTTGGCGTCTCAACTACGCCAACGTCACGACTGCTAACGACTACCTTGCGCGCGTGCGCACCGCGGCCACGTGCAAGGACGGTAAGCCCGCATCACCCGTCGCAAACGTCAGTAGCCCCAACGCCTCGGCTCCGGCAACCACTGGCACGGGTGGTGCAGTTGTAGTCAGCTTCAATGGCCTCACTGCAGCCGCCGGGATCATTGTAGCCTTGGCGGCCTGCGCTCTCATTCTGTAGCAGATACAAGTAGCGGGTCGACGAGAATGCATCCGGAATCACGACTTGTCAGCCTACTCAAGGGGGTTCTCGAGGAAGCCATGGGCAGTGCGCCAGCCCCGGCCAGTGATGTACGCCCGGCCGTCCCGAAGGGTGCACGTGAGGGCGCCACCACGGGCGCTGAGCTGGTGTGCATCGATTGTAGCCGTCTTGACATCGGTTCCTGACGGAAGAAGAGCTGCTGCTGACTCGGTGCCCGGCCCACTGAGATAAAAGCCGGTGAGAATAGCCCAAGCCGAGCCGGTCTGATAGTTCAGCGAGGACAGAGTGCACAGTACTCACCACTGGGTCCTCGGAGATACCAAGCCCGGGGGCGAACACGCGCGATGTAGCCTTGATGCTGCCCTCCTTTTGGCCTTTATCGGGTACCACCTGAGTATACACAATCGCGGCGGGAGCGGAGGGAAGCTACCGTGAGCAAAGCCGCCCGCAGACATTTACCAGCTTGGAATCGTCCACTTTGATGTTGGCCAGGTCGATATCATCACGCAGCTGCACGATGGGGCTAGGGCCGCCGAAGTCGAAGGAGGAAACGCGAACCAGGTCCGACTGCGACAGGCCAGCCGCCGCAAGGACAGCCGTGACGACTTCAGATGGTGCCTGCTCAGTGATCTCAGAGATGGGGAGGGAGAGGCCGACTCGCATACCCTGCCCCACTTCGCTCTCACGGTAAGCGACGAGCTCGCCGCGCCAACGCGTCTGGAAGTGCAGCTCGGCGGCCTGAGGGTGCACGTAGTTGAACAAAGCCACGGCCGAGGCGAGCGTGGCGTGGCCGCACAGCGGCACTTCCTGATGTCAGACGGGACTCGGCGAGGCTCACATCAGTCGGCGTGAACCACCGCAGGCTGTAGACGGGGACCTCGGAGTCGTCCAGTGGGTGGAGGAACGCAGTCTCAGACAAGTTGAAGTCACGCGCAACGGTCTGCATGTACCTGTCGTCCGTGGTACGCGGGTCGCCCTTGGGGAACAAAACGACGCTCGCTTGGTTGCCGGCGTACGGAGACGGCCCAAAGGCGTTGACCATATGGAAGGGGGCGGCGGGAAGCGGCATTTTGGAAGATGTGGGGGTGCTGTCCGTGAGAGATATGATGAGGCTCTTTTGTAGGCGGGAAGAGTGCTAACAAGTTGGATTTGGTCGAGTCGATCGGGACGAGTAGTGCGTATGGGTCAAGGTGAGCAACCCGTCCATGCCCTCCACCAACTGAGTCGAAAGGGTATGACGCCATTGCTAATGAATGAACAAATTGGGGTAATCGTCACTGCTTATCACCGTCAAAGTTCGGGCCGAAGCCGAGTGATCGGATCTCGCTGACACATCCAGTTGCTATCTGGAGATCACCGATCGTCGAGGTCCCACACTGACACCACTCCTTCACATCGCCATAATCTGCATTGCGCGCGCTAGTCCTCTCCAAACTTGACACCGGTCGCAAGAACCCAAACCAACAAACTACACGCCCGTCTCTCTAGTGTGCCGTGAGCTCGAGATCGTCGGCAATGAATACTGTCTTGGCAATCTTGCCCTTGTCAAACAGCTCGTAGTACTCCTCCGCCTGGTCGAGACGGATGCGGTGCTCGATAAAGCCATCGAACAGCTCCTTGTTGAGCTGAAGCACCTTAAGGGCTCCGGGGAAGAAGCGGCGAACCGAACAGCGACCGAACTGCATTCGGATGCTGGTGTCAGCTTCGACCCATACTCTGACTCACTTCTTCGAGTACAGGAACTCGCCGTGCAGGTCGAGAGGCTTGAGGTGCATGCCGATGCTCGATACCGCGCCGAAGGGACGCACGATGTCCATGGCGACCTTGAGCGCTGCATTGTTGCCGACGAGCTCCAGGACGGCGTCGGCACCGCGCCCCTCTGTGGCCTCACGGACAGCGGCGTCCAGTTCATCGGCCGACACGGGGATGGCACCGTGCTTGGCGGCGAGCTCGCGACGGGAAGGAGACGGGTCTGTGGCGAAGACAGTCTTGAACATGGTCTTGGCGGATGAGATGCAGCAGAGGCCGACGGGTCCGCACCCAATGACGACTGCAACGGCGTCGAGGGGCTTGGTCATCTCGCGGTCATCGTCCTCGTCCAGAAGTCGGCGGCCGTGGTAGGCGCATGAGTAGCCAGTCGGGAGAATGTCGCCAAGCAGCAGCATGGCCTCCTCGCGCATACCCGCGGGCACGGGAAAGAGGGACGAGTCGGCGAGGGGCTGGCGAACGTACTCAGCCTGGCAGCCCTGCAGTGCTGCGTTGCCGTATCCCTCAGCTTGAGTGCAGCGGGCGGTGTACCCCTTGTTGCAGTAGAAGCAGTTGCCACAGTTGGAGGCGAAGGGAGACGCTACGATGTCGCCCTTCTTGAAGTTCTTAACGGCCGAACCGAGCTCGACGATCTCACCGACCAGCTCGTGTCCAATGATGAAGTCGGTCCCGGGGTCCGTCTGGCGGTAGACGTGAAGGTCCGAGCCTGGTGTGAGCATCTTTGTTGGCAGAAACAGCCGACGTACCGCAAAGCCCTGAAGCTCTCATGCGAATGATCACATCGGTGTCCTTCTCGATCACAGGCCGAGGGACCTGCTCCACAGCGATCTTGAACTTGTCCTTGATCACGATGGCCTTCATAGTCTCGGTGACGGTCATGTTGGTCAACTGGCGTGGGTTGGGTTTGTGTGCTGTACTCGAAGTCTGTGGGTGATAACTTCGTTCATGCTCAACGCCCGTCCTGATAAGGAGCGACCGGCCTCGCTCTGCCCACTATCAGCGGCGAGGTTCGCTTGAGCTACTCGTCCTCCGATGTCTGGACCTCGCCTGAGGATCATACACGCCTCGGGATCTCCTGGCAAGGGCCGGAAAGCATGCAATCATGCTTAGGCACTGGCTCTGGCTCGCGACACAGATCACGGTCAAGTCTCGCATCTCACCCAGACTTCGGTAATCAACCTGAAGCCTGTTATTGCCGTTCCGACCTTCGCCGATGCGGCCTGCTCCACTTCCATCTGCCACACAGTGAGCAGTCTAGAACGACCAAGCTCACTGTTCACATGCATCCGTGGTCAGCTGTTCATAAAGGCCGATGCATGGCCGATGAGCCGATTTCCGCTACACCATCTGGCAACTGGCGCGCAGTTTCCACCTCTGAAGCCCCGACCATGCCCCTCTACATCTGTTACTGCCTTGACACGCCTGAGGGCCAGCTCCTTCGTAGCCTGCACAAGGGGGCACACAAAGCCGAGTCGCTCAAGTCCCGCGCGGCGGGCACTACCGGTACGCAGTTCTCGAAATCGCACTGACATAGTCCTCGGCCGTGCTCTCATGTCCGACGAGTACACGCACAAGGCGGGGAGCCCTGCGCGTACGCCCGAGCCCGAGGAGAACAGCGGTGTCCACCCCGGCATCGTTGGGAGCGTCATGTTCTACCGATTCCCGCACATCGATCAGGCATGGGACCGCATTCGCCGGGACCCGTACTGGGTTAACGGGGTCTGGGACCACAGCAAGGTAACTGTCGTTGAGCTCGACCCTGAGGACAGCGACCATACCGTCGTGTTTGGATAGAGTCTTGTGTAGTTCAGCGGGCTGGAGTGCGTCCGTGCCTGCGGTCACTGCGCGGGAGACGGAGAGTAACGTATGCTGCGATTGTACTGGAGCACGTCCGGCCACTAGCAGTATGCATGTTCTGCGATCGATCTCGTAACAATACCAGCCAGGTCCACACTCATTGATTCTTCTGGCTCTGTGTGAGTTGTGAGATCTGAGGAGCGACGGTGACGGTGGATATCTTTGGTTCAGACGCGAATTGCAAGCCCGCCGATGCCCATTGTTAGCGCAAGAGGCGCACCAACATATGCATTGGAAGCGTAATACAGTAGCCTCTCCTGCAGTGACTGTAGATTGGACTGGCTGTCCAGAACGTCGCGCAGCCCTAAGAAACGTACCACACACCGATCTGCAGCCGGAGCATCCAGCACAAAGTTCATGTCATGATTTTCCCCCCAGCTACTAGACTAGGAACGGAAGCTACATCTAGTTGGTGGCGGCAATGACCTCGAGACCGCACTTGGCCTCGAGTGGGAGAGCGAGGACCTTGATCGTGGCGCGGGCTGGGCGGTGGTCTCCGAGGAACTCGATTGTGACCTTGTTGAACGAGTTAAAGTCCTCCATATCCTGGCGTCAGCTCGTCCCGATATTTACTCACGGTGAGATACAGCGTCTGCTTGATGATACGCTGGTAGCTCGATCCGGCCTCCTCGAGGACAATTCCAAGGTTGGTGTAGATGCGGCGGAAGCGCTCCTCGGCCGTCTCTCCCACCATCTGCATGCTCTTGGGGTCGATCGGAAGGATGCAAGTCGAGTAGACCGTGTTCTCGTGGCGCATAGCGTGAACGTACGGGCCCACGGTCTTGGGGGCGCGGGTGGGGGCAATGCCAACAAGGGGAGCGGAGGTCATGGTGCTTGGTGTCTGACAAAGGATTGGTAGTGAGGACAGTGGATCAGATTGGTGAACACGCTGGCAAGTCGTAGCACTCTTATACACGCTTCTTGTCTACGGCTCACGATGGACTTCGGCGTCTAAGACGAAGCACACGTACCGCACTACTTCGGCACGGACTAATCCGCTGGCCTCGATATCAACGAGGCGACGTTTGCCGGTGCCTGAAGAGGAGACCGAGTTCGGTCGGCATCACTGACATGCCCACTCACTCACCCATCATCATCCACGTATCGCCGCAATGCTTCGCAATGCTTCGGCTTTCCATTGCAGTGGAAGCTGCACTCGAGTCACATCGGACAGCAAGCCACTCGCCAAGGATGCTCCGCTACCTGCGCAGTCCCTTGTCTTCGCCGATAACGCTAGATGCTTTAAGCCATGATATTCGTGTGCGAGTCTGAAGGAACATCCCACCCTTTACAGCCTCTCATGCTGTCCGCCAGATCCAGTTTTGTGCTTCGTCGCTCAGCCGCGACTGCGGCCCGCGCGCACCTTCACACCACCGCATTCTTACGCACCCCTCCCACCCCGTCGCAGCCTGAGCGCAACGCCCACTCGACTGTCCCGCCCCCGACATTCAAGCTTCAGGATGCTATTGCCAAGCTCGGAGCATCCGTTGAAAGCGCCAAGCAGCGTCTCCCCGACGGTTTCAAGCAGTATGACTTCAAGCGGCCGTCCGGCCGCGCCATGTGGGGTGGCGCAGCGGCCTTCGTCGTCTTGGGTACCGTATGGTTTCTCAGCGGCGACGACGGGTCCGACGATCCCATCCTTGGCCGCCCGAACCCTGCGGATGTCGCCTACCTTTCTCGACTTCCCACGTCCAAGCTCATTTCGGGGTGGATGTAAGTGACATTATCCCTGGAAACAGTCTCTGATGCCAGCGTCTACGCGTTCTGCTCCTCGCCTCTGCTCATCGATATATCCGGCGGGCTCTTCAAGATCTTGCGCAGCATCCCACTCGTATCCAGTCTGACGGACGACTTTGCACGCAGAACGTTCTTCCGACAGTTCTTTGGTTATGAGACGGCCGCGGAGGCCGCTGTTGGCGTGTGGGCCCCGCTCCGCAAGGAGCACATCGGTGTTCTCACCGCTCTCAATATTGAGGCGGAGACGTACGAGTGCCTCAACACGCCAGAGGTCATTCGTGAGGGCGTGGAGGGAACCCTCGACTGTATCGAGCACGTTGGCAAATTTGGCGTAGCGAACTCGACGAAGGATGAGGTGGCCAATGGCGACACACGTTGCTGGGTGCGCACTAAGGTCTCAGGTCTGGTCCCAGACCCGCAGACTATGATGCGCGCAAGCGAGCAGATCACGCGTATGCGTGCGGGTACTGTTCACTATCCCGGTATCCCGGAGGACGGCGACTTCGAGCGTCTGATGAACCTGCGCTCCCTCAGTGCCTCAGTGAGTTTCGGAGCCCCCACTCAAGCCCCTCTGACAGCAGGACATGGAGGCCCTTAAGAACGTATACACGTATCTGCAACAGTACATGCATGCTGGGCAGAAGCATGGCGTGCGTATTATCATCGACGCCGAACAGTCGTGGTACCAGCCAGCTGTCGACGTCATGACTGAGCAGCTCATGCGCGAGTTTAACACGGGCAAGGACGGAAAGTCGCCCGTCGTCGTCGCCTCCTTCCAGGCATACCTCCGTCGCAACCCCGAGCTCGTGCGCTCACAGATTGAGCGCGCCAAGGAGGGCGGATACAAGCTTATCTATAAGCAGGTGCGCGGCGCGTACATGCCCTACGAGCGCGAGCGGTGGGCGAAGCTCAAGATGCCTGGCCCCCCTCCAGTCTGGGGAAGCAAGGCTGAGACGGACGCGTCGTACCGCCAGAGCATCGAGACGGGGATCAACGCCATCGCAGCACACAAGGAGGATCCCTCTACCGCGGACGTCGCTGTCATCTTCGCAACTCACAACGAGATCAGCGTGGACGACGCCATCGGACTGCTCGCCAAGACAGGCCTCGGCACACAGGACGAGAGCGGGCGTCTGATTATCGACGAGTACACCGCCAACCGCGTCGCATTCGCGCAAATCTACGGCATGAAGGACAGCCTTACCAACCGTATTGCCGCAAACGTAGTGACGCCCTCGGGCCTGCCCCTCGTGTGCAAGTCGGCTCCGTACGGTACGCTGGAGCACGCACTGCCCAACCTCGCGCGCCGCGCCGCCGAGAACAAGAGCGTGATGGAGGGTCGGGGTGGCGCGATCGCCGAACGCAAGCGCCTCGGTCGCGAGTTGTGTCGTCGCTACGTTCCATTCTACAGCAGCGATCGGTAGAGAATGTGTACTGGTGTAATGAATACGAACTGGCCTCTAAGTGATTGCTCGTGGGGCTTAGAGCCGTCGATGGCACGTGCGACCATCCGATACTGTCAATGCTGCAATGCAGAATGTGCAACGCGATTGCTAACAAGAGTCAAGCCGTGCACCTTTGGTTAATTGCACTTCGCTACACGCCACAGCCGGCCACACCGCGACCCGCACAGGAATCTTGACCCCGAAGGTCCCAAAGGCGGGAGTTACTCTTCTTCTCATGCCTTCTCATGCTAAACAATTCGTGGACGGCTCTCCAAGCTGTCTCCTGCACCGATTAATTATCCATCAATTCCGACCTATCCATCAAGCCCATCTACGATATGGTGGTTCCTTCTTGTGCTGTGGTAGAACGAGTTGAGCGACAGACGGCCCAGGGATGCGGGGTTGACACTTCCCCGCCCTTGGAGACTTCCGGCAAGCCTCGGAAAGGCCGGAGAAGTACGCAAGCGTTCGCGTATCACTCTACCCTTTCCGAGAAGTGCCGGCTGTGTGCTCGTTATCTCTGATTTCCGTCCCTTTAGAATGTGGCGGTTGGCATGCTTGCCCCACACCACCCCACAATGAACGCCGACATGGATCGCCACAGCAAGCACGACGACGTGCAGCACGAGAACACCGTTCAACACGGGAACATTGTCCGGGACAGGCGCGACAAGGGCGACGCAGAGATCGAGATCGTCCCCGTCGGATATCCGTACAAGCAACACGACGCCGTGTTCGGCGAGATCGACGGCGAGCACGGGCCCAACTATCGTAATGTGGGTTGACGAGTGAATTAAGCTGATCCAAGGTCGGCTGGATGGGCAGCTGCGTCCTTATGATGAAGGCCAACGTCGGCCTTGGCGTCCTTTCCATCCCTTATGTGTATCAGGTGCTGGGCATTGCTCCTGGTACCATCGTGATCATCTTGATTCAGGCAATGGTCACTTGGAGTGACTGGGTGGTAAGTCGAGCAGCTGCAGGGGAGATGCACTGACGCTAGGTCGGTTGCTTCAAACTCAACCATCCCGAGGTATATGGTCTAGCAGACGTCGGCTTCGTGCTGTTCGGTAAGGTCGGGCGCGAGGTTCTCGCGACATCCTTCACGATCTGTGCGTTTGCTTTTGCTCAGGTGCTAAACGCCAGACATGATCTTTGTTTGCGGTTCCGGCCTCGTATCCATCTCCACAGCTCTTAATGCCGTATCGATCCACGCCACGTGCACAGCCGTCTTTATCGTCGTCGCAGCTGCAGTCGGGTGGGGCCTGTGCTCCATCCGCACCATGGGACAGATCACTTGGCTGGGCTGGATCGGGATGGTCAGTATCATGGCTGGTATTCTTGCCATGACTGTCGCTGTTGGTGTGCAGGATCGGCCCAGCGACGCACCGAAGACGGGGCCATGGGATAGGGACTTGAAGGCCGTCGGCTCTCCAACGTTCGCCGACGCCATCAGCGCTGTCGCGTCTGTCATCTTCGCGGCTTCCGCCACGCCGACGTACTTTGGGATCATTAGCGAAATGAGAGACGCCAGGGACTTGTAAGTCGCTTAGTGAGGTGTGCTGATGGTAGCAACAAGTCCATGTTCTCGGCCCAGCTCTTCGTCACTGTGACCTACGTCGTCATCGGCCTCGTGAGTAGAGCGTTGCTTCCAAAGCTGATGCCTCTCACAGGTCGTGTACTGCTTCTGTGGCCAGTACGTCTCGTACCCTGCCTTGGGCTCGGCGGGACCTCTCATGAAGCGCGTCTCTTATGGCCTTGCCATTCCAGGCCTGTTCGTAACACTCACCATCTACTCCCACGTGAGTTCTTGCGTGAGCGCAACTGATGTCAGCTCCCCGCCAAGTACGTCTTCGTGCGCATCCTGCGCGGCTCGAAGCACCTCACCAGCAACTCTCTCGTACACTGGGCGACATGGCTTGGCTGTACATTCACCTGCATGGCGACAGCCTATATCATCGCATCCGCCATCCCGATCTTCTCGAGCTTGGTGTCGTTCATCGGCGCCGTTTTCTGCCCCACCATGTAAGCTAGAAGAGAGACGATAGGGGCCCACCGGAGGAAAGAACTGATGACCAGGTGTATGATTCCGTACGGGCTCATGTGGTGGCACGACAACTGGCGTCTCAAGAACACGCCGGCGACATGGCGTCGCTACTCCGGTATGGCGATCGCATCGTTTGTCACAGTTGCCGGCATCTTCCTCACGGTTGCCGGCACTTACGGGGCCATTGTAGCGCTCATCAACCAGCCGAGCGAGGGGAAGCCATGGTCGTGCGCCGACAACTCCAACTCGGTGTGAAGAGGCAGTGCTAACGGTGACAGGTGATTAGGCGCAAGAGTAAAGTAAAGTGAATTTAACAGGGAGGTTGTAGGCAATGGAATATTCCAAGACGTGGAGTTTATCTTGACTATGTTGGCCATTTGATAAGGGAGATTGAGGGCATCAGTAAATGAGCATATCAGACCAGGTGAACGCGGATGATGGCGATGATAAGCAAGTAGGAGTGCAGGCAAGTTGTGTAAAAAAAAAATCAACTGGGCTGCAAGGCTGGCTCTAATTTCCGGGTCGGGAGTGTCGCGCCAGTTGCCCACCTTGTTCCGCACCTGTTCACAGGATCATAGTAAACGCCACCCTGAACCCGATCCAGCCGATGCGGGGGGCCGGGAATCCACCATCGCTCTCGCCCGGCCGACTCGCTCACTCACTGTTCTTCTTCTATCGACCCATCTCTCGAGATCTCTCTATCCGAGCTCTCTGTCTCTCTCCTGACGTCTTCACGCTTCAACCTCATATCGAAAGCTGCTAGCGCTTCTCACCCCTGGCCCTTCCCATCCCCGTCGCCTCACCCGCCGACCCACAGAGGCCCCCAGCCCGCATGTCGGAAGTCGAGCGCGCGGCCAAGAGGCCGAAGCGCACGTACCGCGCATGCTACCCTTGTCGATCTGTAAGGACGCTCACAGTTTGTCAGCCGTTACTAACCCACAGCGGAAACTCAAGTGCAGCTTCGGCGACCCCAACAAGCCTTGGGATGGCCCTTGCGAACGCTGTATGCGCGAGCAGCGAGAATGTGAGCGTGCAAAGCCAACCTTTGTACGCGCTCCTGCACCACGCAAATCCGACGTAAGCCCGGGCAACGATGTCGTCCTTCCCCAGGCAACCAGCTCCCACGGCGAGAACACGGCATATCGCAAGCGGCCCGCAAGCGCTCCTCGATGGGAAGAAGGCCCCGAGTCTCGCACTACGCTCGGAGTTGGGAAAGATCCTGGGAGCAGCGACGATGAAGATGAGCGCCAGGGCGACGATGCGCTTGTTTCGTCAAACCTCCAGAATCCGTCGGACGCGCTGCGTCTCCTTGCCAATGCCAGCAGCCTGCCATATCACTCCCTCAACTCGGCATATCCCGCCAAGGCGCGAGATGTTGGGCCGGCTGGTAACAACGTCTCAACATGGACTTCATGGGGTCCGATCCAGCAAGGTCTTCTTAACGTGCAGGATGCCCGCGCACTCTTCTCGTTGTAAGCCTCCCTCTGATATGCCACCCTGGCTGACCATAGCTTTGAGCTTGAGATGGCTCCCCTATACCCGCTCATCCACCCCATGCTCTTCGAGCCACACTACCTTGACACCCTCGTGCGCGACGAGGCACTACTGCTCGGCACCATCCTAACCATTGCCGCACGGTATTCAAACGTCCTGGCCGACAACCGTGGCGCAATCTTGCACAAGAAGCTCTGCCAGTGGGTGCGCCTTCAGTTTATGCGTGTGATGGACGGAGACTCGGCACTGCGTTCCATCAGTACCGTCGAGGCGCTGCTGCTGCTGAGCGAGTGGCCCATGCTACCTATGAACCATCAGCTCGAGGGTAACAACGAGCCGGAGACAGAGGAGTTTTTGCTTCTCAAGCCGAGCCTGCGGTACGACGCATACTCATGGAGCAACATCGGTATGATGGGAGCACCCTCGCTTGCTGACGATAGGCTGGGCTGTGCGGCTGGCGCAGGAGCTTGGTATTCATGATATTGCCACGGGAAAGTCACAACAGAACCTAGAATTGTGGAAGACGGAGCGCATGCTCAAGACTTGGGTTTGTAAGTCAAAAGGTGAGGGTCACATCTAACCAACACAGATTGCTATAATGCCGACCGACACATTTCCGTACGACTCGGGCGGAACGCTGTCCTCCAGCAGTCCATGACCTCGCGCTGGTGGGAAGACTTGTCGGACCATGTGCATCGTAAGGATCGCGATGGGTCTAATGACGTCTGGACCTCGGACTTGTTTATGCTTGCGTGTATTGCCCAGGTAAGTCCCACACGATGACAATGCTGATGTTCAAGCTCATGGGCACTGTTCAGGATCACTTGTACATCCACAAGGATGTCACGAGGAGTCTTCTTCGCACCGGAGCATGGGAGTCGTTCCTGCAGCGCCTGCGCTTGGAGATTCGTTATTCCAAGAGCGCTTGTCAGACGAAGCTTAGTGAGTCCCGAAGCAGCGTCGCCACTGACAGCAGGTGATGGAACTGTCGACTCAGCACTGCTGCGCATTGAGTTTGACTATCTTGTGCTCTATGCCTACTCCTTAACCCTCCGAGCGCTGCAGGGCAAGCTACGCCGCAGACGCCAGGTCAACGATCTGCACTATCTGTCTCCCTCCTTGCTCAACATGGTCGAGGGGCCATGGATCATGGAGGCCTTGCAAGCCGCACGCTCCATTATCGACATCACGCTCAACGTTCTGGAGAAGAGAAACATTTTGCGAGTCTGTCCCTCGCGGATCTTTCAGTACATCCTCTTTGCCGCCACCTTCATGTACAAGGTGATTACAACCCCATTGAGCGAGGCTGATCCCAGGCACTCGCCACTGGAATGGTCGAGTACGGCCAGCAAAGCACAGTGTCACAACTTGAGAAGGTCGTGCGTGCGCTGAGTCACGCCTCAATCGACGACCAGCATTTCCTGCGGGGCTTTGCCGGTCTACTAAGCCGACTAGGCAAGCACTGGCACGCTGGAGGCCCGCCGCAGAGCGACTCCCCGTCTGTCCTCAACCCCGCTCACGCCAAGACCGGCCTCTCTCCGACCGCCCGCGTCGAGGGCTCATCGCTTACGCCCAACCTCGAGGCGTTGCTTGCGAGCACCGTTACAACCGCAGACCCACTCGGGACGGCGCAGCCACTTGCAGATTTTGCAGCGATGGGTGACCTCAGCTGGAACTGGGACCCCACTTTCCAGATGCCAGCCGCGGATCATGAGCAAGACATGCTGTTTGAGTCCATCTGGGGACAAGGGGCAGAAGATGCCAGTGGCTCAGCGTCCAATCTTTACGCCACGCTTCTAGGCGATGCGCTCGCCTTCCCAGAAGGCCTTGATGGCTCGTAGGATATCACGCTCACGCTTGCTTCATATGTTAATTAGCTTTTCGCTATGGATTGTACTTCTACCAACGGACTTGTGCCATGGATAACCTTGCGGGACGTTCCGGACGCTACCCCTACTCATCCCGTCGTAAAGACGCACTCGTGTCGCGGACATTGCCACGCTTCTACCTAGAGCTAGGTAGGACGCGATGGGCGCTTAGAGACAAGGCTTTCATCGGACCAACCACGTGTTGCGGCTTTGTTCGCGGACCTACGGAGCAACTCTCGGTCTGCGCTTGCCATACTCTGGCGCCGTCCCCTAAGCGTACGCCTACACCCCGCACGTGGCACTGTAACCCTCACCTCGGGTTACCGCTGTAGATAGGGTCGGCATTATCAGAGATATGACAACGGCATCTCACGGTTTCGTCTGGGCTCACAACCCTCCCCCCAGATTGGAACGACCGATGCCGAGCATTTCCGGAGCCCACCAAAGATGCGCCCGAAGCTTACCCCTCGCAGTTGATGCATCAACGATACATATAGACACCACACGCATGTACATATCCGCACACGCACCATTCTCTCCTCGTCATGTCGTACACCTTTGTCCCCCCAACCACCTACAACGAGCCTTCGGTGAGTTAGTTCCGCGCGCTCAATGTGGGACCGAGTGTCGAGGTTCTGGGACGAGACCATCTCGGGCTGACAGGCAGTACGAGTATGCGAAGGGTTCGCCGGAGCGGCCTCTGGTCGAGCAGGCGCTGAAGGAGATGAAAGCGCAGATGCCCATTGAGATCCCCTGCGTCATTGGCGGCAAGGAGATCAAAACCGGCAACCTCATGGATCAGATCCGCCCCGACGACGTGAAGGGTACCCCGCTTGCGCGCTTCCACGCCGCAACCCCGGAGATCGTAGCCGACGCCATCACGCGCTCCGTGAAGGCCCAGCGCAAGTGGGCCGCAACTCCCTGGTACCAGCGTGCCACCACGTTCCTGCGCGCCGCCCAGCTCGTCACCGGCAAGTACCGTTGGCAGCTGATGGCCGCGACTATGCTCGGACAGGGCAAGAACGTCTGGCAGGCCGAGGTCGATTGCATCGCCGAGCTCGCCGACTTCTTCCGCTTCAGCGTCAAGATCGTCGACGATGGCTACAAGCAGCAGCCGATGACTGTCGTCCCCGACGCCATCAACCGCATCGAGTACCGCCCCATTGAGGGCTTTGTTCTGGCTGTCTCGCCCTTCAACTTCACCGCCATCGGCGGTAACCTCGTGACCGTGCCGTCGATCCTCGGCGGCGTTGCCATCTGGAAGCCCTCGCCCATGAGCATGTACTCCAACTACCTCACACACAAGATCCTCCTTGAGGCTGGTGTTCCCGGAGACGTCATCCAGTTCGTCCCAGGCGACGCTGAGGCCATCGTCAACCAGTGCATCGAGCACCGCGACTTTGCTGCGCTCCACTTCACCGGTTCAACTCATGGTGAGTAAGAGAACGGATGGGCTTGAGCTTGTCACTGACCGTCTGTCCTGCGCAATCTCTGGGCTCGCGTCGGCGCCAATGTTCACAAGTACCGCTCGTTGCCGCGCATCATCGGCGAGACTGGCGGCAAGAACGCGCACCTGCTGCATTCAAGCGCAGACTTTGAGTCCACGATCATTCAGTCCATCCGCGCCGCCTTCGAGTACCAAGGCCAGAAGTGCTCAGCCTTGGGCCGTCTCTATCTCCCTCGCTCGCTCTACAAGGCAGGCTGGCTCGACCGCTTTGTGGAGGAGACCAAGAAGATCCAGCAGGGCGCAGTGGAGGAGTACACCTCCTTCATGGGCCCCGTGATTAACGAGCGCTCGTTTGACAACATTATGGGTCTGATCGGCCAGGCGCAGGCCGAAGGAGGCAAGATCTTGACCGGCGGCACCGGCGACAAGAGCAAGGGGTACTTTGTTGAGCCGACCATCATCCTCACGGAGGATCCCAAGTCTGTAACGATGGTCAAGGAGATCTTTGGCCCTGTCGTCACCGCATATGTTTACGAGGATGATGATTTCCTCAAGGTCTGCGACCTTCTCGACGACACGTCCGAGTATGCCCTCACCTGCGCTCTTTTCGCGCAGGACCCCAATGCCCTTCTTCAGGGCGCCGAGGCACTCAAATGGTGCGCCGGAAACCTCTACCTCAACGAGCGCACCCCCGGTGCCGTCGTCGGCCAGCACCCCTTCGGCGGCTCGCGCTCCTCGGGCACCAACGACAAGAGCGGAACCTGGGCGCACTTCTCGCGCTTCATCTCCGCCCAGGTCGTCAAGGACAACCTGGCTTCTCCCCCCAAGGAGTTCACCTACCCCTCCAACGTTGCTTAAGTTTGTAAAGCGTTTGGTTGTTGTTATGCATCGGTCCTGTCGTATACAAGCGAGAAAGCAGGGCGGACCTAGTGGGAGTGCTGTCATGTGGTGCAACACCTTTTAGTCCGTGATTGTGTGGCAATTATGCTCATGAAGCATTCCAGCAACCAAAAATCGTAGAATTCTACGTTGACGGTATGCTCAGCAGCTGATAGCCGTGTTTGCATCTACGCACATAAGTCTTGCCTGTTCGGGAGCAATCGTTTGCTCGGCATCACCTTCTACATCCACCGCATATAGAACAGCCACAGCCGTACGCTCATCGGGAAACACTGAGTTATGGATAAGGGAGGACTTGGTCACTGAATGTGTGAACCTTCCGCGAACAGGCAGCTTTCCGATTCATCGATCTGAACAGTATGCGTGCATGAGCGTAGCACACGTGCCAAACAGTTGCGGCGTTCGCGGTCTTCCCATAAGAGGAACAATGCGGCATCTGTGACATCTGCCTGCTTTCCACTCGCGCAACCAGCGACTCGCAACATTGCTGGGGTGGCGCGTTTGCTCGGCGATCAACGGAAACGGCGACCTTTCGGCTCGGCCCAGGAAATGGGTGGATCGGTTTTGTCCGACATGTCAGCACCCTATCTTGCGGATCAACCTGCGGAGCCGTTCCTCGCACCCCCAGTGCGTGCCGATGAGCTCCAAACGCTCGGCAAACTGCGGCCACTCCTCTAGCTCTGCAACACTCTGATTTCCATGTCTAGATGTCTCTTATAGTGCACATGTTGGATTCAATGTGGCGGCTAACACCCCAGCCACGTCGCAGTTATCCCTGCAGTCTACTCCCACCATGACCAAGCTTGCTCCCCCTCAGACCGTCCTCGTGAGTACCCCTCTTTGAGCCAACTGGGGACGCTGGCTGACAACAGATCATCGGAGGTGGCGAGTTCGGTGCGACCACCGCACTTGAGCTCGCACGGGGGGCATACAAGGGTCACGAGCATCTGATCACCATTCTCGACCGTGCAGCCTCCCCGCCTGCGTCAGACGCCGCGTCGTACGACTACAACAAGATCGTGCGCCAGGAGTACAGCGACACAGTATATGCCCGTCTGGCCCACGAAGCCATGGATCTGTGGCGCACGCCGGAGTGGAGTGAAAACTACCATGAATGTGGCGTCGTTGTTTCCGTTTCCTCTGGCGCAGAGCAAGGAGGGTATATCCAACAGGCGTTGGCAGTGAACTCGCTCCCAGGCATGCAAACTCCTGGCCTGGATGCCCGCACCTTGGATGGCCGCCGCGCTGTGCAGGAAGTGTACCCTTCGGATGTGCCACTTGGGGACTTCGCCAATCAGGACGTCTGTGAGTGCTGACTCCTCGCGATCTTTGAGCTGAATCTAGACATCAACTATGCTGGCGGATGGGCAAATGCGCGAGGGGCGACAGAGGCCGTCATCGCAAGGTGCCGTGAGGCCGGCGTCCGTTTCCGCCAGGGCACTGCCGCCGAGCTCATCACGGAGGGCCGCAAAGTGCGGGGGGTGGTCACGGCCGAGAATGCGGATCGCGTCATTGCGGACTTTACCATCGCGTGCATGGGCTCGTGGACTCCCACTCTCCTTCCCGAACTCAAGGACGAGTGCCTCCCGACTGGCCAGGTAGCAGCTACTATTCAACTCACGCCTGAAGAGCATGAGCGCTATCGCAATGTGCCCGTGACGCGCATGATTGACAACGGCTTCTACTGCTTCCCGCCCAACAAGGACGGCATCGTCAAGATGGCGATCCACCAGAAGGGTTACCTGAATCCCCAGGACGGCCTGCCCTCCGTCCCCCGCACCCACCTTACGCGCGGATACGAGTATCAGCGTGTGCCTGAGAATGCGCGACGACAGCTCCTGCACGGCCTCAAGCGCGTCTACCCCGAGCTGGCAGCTAAGCCGTGGCTCGCGTCCCGCTTGTGCTGGTACTCGGATCGCCCGAGCGGCGACTGGCTTATCGACCACCACCCCGGGTATGAGGGCCTCTTCATCGCTGCGGGCTGCGCCGGGCACGCCTTCAAGTTCATGCCCATTCTCGGCCGCCTCATTGTCCAAAGCATTGAGGGAACGCTGGCTAAGGAATACAAGGACATTTGGGCGTACCATCACCAAGTCGTGGGACGTAAGGACGCATCGCGCGACTGGGCCACCCTCTACCGTCTTGATGCTGCCAACGTTTCGCGTCTCTAGCGTCATTATGTAGAGTTGGGAACATTTAGAGCGTGTTTGTTTAGCGGCAAATGCATAGGCTACCTTGCGCGGCCAGGGTGCCGGACAATGGCGAAGAGGCTGCCCAAACCACGACCTGGTTGTATGGTCCCACTTCCCCGTCGGTCCAGCCCACGTTGGCGTTGAGGTCTCAACGGCCGCATGAAGGCGTCCCATTTCGTGGTCGGTTTGCCCCACTTACAGCCACCCGGACAGCAGCCCCGCAGATAGGCAAGCATCCCACTACCCTCCTGCGCCCACGCTGTTCACGCATTCTGTAGCCAAGACTTTGGTTGACGTTCGGCATTGTCGAAAGCTGAAATGGGGTGGCTCGGTCGTTTCGATTGCCGGCCTCTGCCCAACTGGCCTGGTGGCTTGTGCCCCTCCGGCTGCACCAGCCTGGCCACTGGTCGGTTGCAACTTAGCACTCTGCACTATCCATTTTATCAGTGATCACCTACCCTTCGCTCTCGCTTGTTTTCTTGGACCTCTTGGACCGATCGCGGCGGAGTGAAGCCTTCAGTCTCGGGATTGGAGTGCAGGAAGCTGCAGGGGCTGTTAGTCGCTCTTCCTCCGTTACCATTAGCCTCATCCTCTTATCTCTGTTCCCTTCCGTCTTTCTATCCTTCGTTCTCCTCTTCACTTCTCGTCCATACGCCCACTGTCATCCTCGCCGAAGTTCCAGTCCACATCCTACTCACCGTTCACCGCACCCGATTGCCCCACTGTGCAGCACCTGCCGAGCGTGATCACACACCCATAGTCTTCGCGGATGCTGACTCCGGTGCAGATGACCCATCACTGCGGAGATGATGCTCAGGAAGGGTTGGTATACCTCGCCGTCGCCATGACACAGGAGGTCGCGTGCTCTAGTAGGACCCTCCCCACAGCTGCAGCCCGCACGCAACAACCAGCTTTTCGTCGCCGCCCGTCAGTCGTCTCGAGGTGAGTACCACATCCGTTAGTACTGACAGAGAGATGTGGGGACGTGAGAGCAGCACCGCAGCGAATGCTCATCACAATGTTTCCACTGCGCGGCATGGTATTCTCGCTGTCATCGATACTTCCGCGGGCTACAACAGTGCATCCCTCCCCACTTCCGCGGCACACTCTCCGCTGCGCTCTGCCAGTCATACCATTCCATCTCCAGAGGTACAATGCAACGCAGACGCCGGGACCCCGCAAGGTAGCGCGCGCTGTGCTCCGCGGGCCTACATGGGGCCCGGCGCTCATCGAGAGAACGTTCTCGAGAACCCACGGAATTGGTCGCCGGCTCTGGCGATGACGACCGGCGGCAGGTCCGCATACCGCGCCTCACAAGAGCGCGACCCCGCTTGAAGCTCCCCACGAATCGCCTCCGGACAGCTCGCGTCTCTCAACGGTCGATAAGCAGACGGCCCCAACAGCTGCGGGCGGGGATTCTGGTCTTCGGCTGCGCAACCGGTTGTCGATTCTCCTCGCAATGATGACCCCGTTCTGGCTGCCCACTTGACTCCCGTATCACATCGACTAGGGCGCGATACCGAAGCCCCCCCTCGAGTGGTGGCACATGATCGCCAATTGCGTCTCACCATCCATATTCAACGGGCTTGGCTGGTATTGCTGCCCACCAAACATGCCGCCAGCGCCGCAGCTCAGTCATCACTATCCGCCGCCTGACCCCTCGTTGGGCAAAAGATGGGCAGTATGTGTGAGGAGAGCTCGCAGGAATGCTCTCAGACAAAGCTAGCAAGTCAGAAATGCCGAGGTAGGATGCAGCGCGACCGAGACAACCGAAGGCCTAAGGTTCCATTATCGCGCGACTCTGCATTCGGTGAGACATAAGAGGGGTAGCACAACACCTCCTCCTATGTATAGCGCCAGGGGAACGTGGGGCCTCCTAACCCCACTTTGCTCACCCAGTGAAAGCCTCAAGACGCAAACATATGTGGAAGGTTTCGACACCGCGTAATCCCCCGAGCGGAAAAACCCCTGAAAGTCAGGCCGTCTCGCCCGACGCATTTGGCCGTGCCCATCGGCCCTTTCAACGCTCCATGTCACTGTGAGGCCAGAAGAATTCATCGCGTTATCGCGCGACCTTGGTGCCTCTCTTCTGTGACCTGTGGGAAATCGGCGGTTAGGACGCGCCAGTCTTTCGGTCTCTGTCTGCTCGGCGCTCCAACACCAATGGTGATCTGGTCTCCACTCACCTCCGACACGTCGGCGATGCATTATCGTTGCTTCGTTAGTGGGCATCATTACAGTATCAACATCAAGCGGGGTCTCGGGGTCGATCCCTGGGCGATCGAGACAGCTGATACGCCGCGCTCTCGCACCGGGAATCCGAGGAGCTTGATCCATGAGCCGAGAGGTAGCCGCTCACTGTGACTTGCTCAACCGTTTCTATCGCGGTTCCTGAACCCTTGCGATGGCCCCGGTGACTCGGCCAACTCGCTATGCGGGGCAAGAACGGTCAGAGCCGGGCCAGCGAACGGCGGCGCTGTTCCTCCCCTGTTGGTTGCTCACGAGCGCTACGCGTCTACCAGTCTCATTCGTCGCTGGGTTTTGACGTGCTGGAGCTTGGGAGAAACGCTGCCTCAAAAGGCTCACCCGGTCGAATCGGTTTCCCCAATACCTCACCCTCATCATGGAGAAGAACGGAGTCACCCCCGCCGTCGAGGCGCCCAACAGCGACGCTTATTATGACGACAAGGCGTCGTCGACCAAACAGGACAACTACACGGTCGACGTTGCCCCCGCGCGTCGCGGGACGATTCACGATGGGGTTTGGGGCGATCTTGATGAAGACGGACCCAACTATCGTGGCTTGGGATGGTGAGTTACCGCCATGGGGGCGTTCGGCGCCTGACGCCAGGGTGCGCACGTCCATCATCATGATCAAGATCCAATTCGGCCTCGGCGTGCTCGTCATGGTGAGTCACATTTCCTGCGCCATCTGACAGCAGCCCTCGATCCTCCACACCCTCGGCATGGTGCCGGGGATCATTATCCTTATTGCGCTCGGTCTCTTGACTTCATGGACGGACTGTACGTTTCGATTGGGACAGCGCTGACAGTACCAGGGATCGTTGGCACTTTCAAGATCGCGCACCCCGAGGTCTATACACTCGCGGAGTGAGTCCCACCTGGACGCCCAGCTGACGCCAGCGTCGGTATGCTCATGTTCGGCAAAGTTGGACGCGAGGTGTTGTTCGTTATGTACTGGGTAAGTCGCCTAAGGTCGCTCTTCTCGCCAATCGCCCCTGAGGTGGTTGGATTTGAGGGCTAGGCCTGGAGTGGCGTCTTACAGGGTGCTGACGGCCAGCTCTACCTTATCTTCGTCGCCGCCGCCGGTCTGCTCGGCGCCTCGACGGCGCTTAACGCGTTGAGCGAGCACGCCCTCTGCACAGCGATTTTCGTGTTCATCTGCGCGGTCGTGGTCGCGGGCATTGCGGCCATTCAGACCCTCGACAAGATCTCGTGGTTCACTTGGGTCGGCGTCGTCGGTATTTTCTCGTCCCTCATTACTCTCGCCATCGCCGTGGGCATCCAGGACCGCCCCAGTACCGCTCCTCAGGCTCCGCTGCCCTGGGACAAGAACGTGGTCGCCTTCAACAACCCCACCCTCCTTGAGGCTATGGCAGCCATCTCCACTATCATTTTCTCGTACTCGGGAACGCCTGCGTTCTTCAGTGTGATCAGCGAGATGCGCGACCCGAGAAAGTACAACAAGGCGCTTATCCTGTGCCAGGCTGTCGTCATCGGCGGCTTCGTAATCTTGGGCGCGGTAAGAGAGCCATCGTGAACTTAAGCTGACCCGCCGCAGGTCGTGTACCACTTTGTTGGTGTTTATGTTGCCTCTCCGGCCCTGGGCTCCGCTGGCGTGACGATGAAGAAGGTGTGCTACGGCCTTGCCCTTCCGGGCCTCATTGCCGGCGCCGTCATCAACTGTCACGTCCCCGCTAAGCTCGTGTTTGTGCGCATCTTCCGCAACTCACACCACCTGTCCAAGAACACCCCTACCCACATCATCACGTGGCTCGGCTGCATCTTCACCAACGTGTCAATCTCGTTCATCATCGCCGAGGCCATTCCCGTTTTCGGCAATCTTCTCTCCTTTGCGGGTGCCCTCCTCTCGACCCCGCTCTGCCTTACAATTGAGTGCATGATGTTCATTTGGGAAGACAAGCGAACTGGCCGTCTCCACAGCGGCATGTCGATCGGTCGCAAGATCCTCCACGCCGCCAACTTCCTCCTCATTCTCGGCTCCTTCTTCTGCATGATCACTGGTATGTGGGCCTCGATTGACGCCATTCGCGGCGATGTGAAGAAGGGAAACACCGTCGCCCCCTTCTCGTGTGCAGACAACTCGAACTCGTAAGCGCAGTCAAGGTGTCCATGTGTCGGGACACAACGAGTGGGATGTCGGAGCACAGTGGGAGAGCGTTCAGTGTGGGGTGGGGAAAGTTGTTCGGGTTTGCCGGGAGAGGGAAGTTTGGGATTGTAAGCTTTGGATAGTTGTTCATGAGCAGGTATGCATCTGGTCCTCGCTGCGGTATCGTCCGCCCTCAGCCACATGCCATGATATGAAGTCCGTCTCGCATATCGCGGCAAGCCGGTGTTGGTTACCGTCATCTGCCAGACAATCAGGCAAACTCCACCCGATGGGCCGACCACCCGGCATCTAGCCTCGGAACCGCACCCGACCGGACAACCAACCCGATCACAATCGGCATTCATATACCGTCTCTCCTCATCCCTTCATCCAGCTCATCCCCCTCTTCTACCTCACACAGTCTCCCCATCATGTCCATCTACCTCGCCGCGCGCTTCAAGGCCAAGGACGAAGCTGCCTCGGCCAAAATTGAGCAGCGTGAGTTCTCCCACTACAGGTGCCCTCTTTGCAATCTCACCTCCCTCTCCAACTGTCACCCTCCGCGACGCATCTTCCTAATCTCAGACCTCAAGACCGTGCGCGAGCACGCGCTTAGTGACAAGGAGCCCGGTTGCAAGTTCTACAACCCGACGCGTGGCAAGACCGACCCTCTGGACTGGCATGTCTATGAGGAGTATGCTGACCAGGCGGCCGTTGATGGTGAGTTCTCGGAAACGGGGGGGAGACGCGCCGCTAACGCCCTAGCGCACATGGCCAGCCCCGCGTTCCAGGCATTCGCCGCCGAGGCCCCAAACCTCATTCCTGGCGGTGTGGGTGGAATTGACATCTCCTTCTTCCAGAAGATCTAGTTGTAGTGTCTGAAGTCAATGTATAGCTGCGTCGGCTCTCGGTGTTTGGCGTATTGATTACCTGGGAGTCCATTCATCAGTTCATTCAACCCGCTGAGACTGTCCATAAGCGGAACGGTAATACACACACCAGGCGGTCGCGACGACTTGGGCACCGAAGGACAAGTTAGCTGCTTGCTGCGGGCCAATGTGCCAACGTGGTTCGTTACAGCCGGTTATGGTTCAACTCGGGACTCGGCAACCATCGACGTCAGCTGACGAGTGCCCGGCTACACGTTCAGCGTTTCGGCATCGCGTGTCATGTCCAGCTTTCAATGCCCCCAAGTCCTGCTGTACAACTTGTTTACCTGCTCGCCATGCTCTTTCGGGTCACTCTTGTGCTCATGACGAGCGCCTCCTAGCGGACCAACCTTTCCGTTTGGTGGTCCGGAGGATGCCAGTCAAGGCTAAGCCGTCGGCCGCAATGTCATCAACGTCTAGATTGCCGATGGCTGAGCAAGCGCATTCGTTCAACAAGGCGGGGGAAAGATCCGCGCAGTCGTCCATGTGTTGACGACTGCAGGCTGTTCGGCGCTCCGGACGGGCGGCGCTCACTCACAGCCTCGGCGTTTCCGTGTGCACTGCCAGGGCGTACCGAGATCCCTGCACCAAGAACGGCAGCCAATTCGCTGGGAGACATGGCCATCGCACCATTCCCCGATCAGCCCTCGCCAGGCCTGAGACCGATCAGTTCCGCATCTTCTTCGTTCTTCTCAGTCGCTCATCGGTCGCCCCCTTGCCATGTCGCCAACTACTGTCGAAGAGGCAGGCAAGCCCAGGGCGCCTGGCGCCGCGCAGCTGAAGGAAGCCGCTGAGAGGTCAAAGTGCGCTGAGCAGAGCAAGCAGGCTGGGACAGAGACACACCTGAGCGGCGTCCTCAAGTCCAAGCTGGTCCGTAAAGACGAGCGCAAGCCGATAGCCGATGACTACGAGTACGATCTCGCCCACGGCGCGCCTCTTCCGACATTGGACATCCTCGGCGTCGACATTGACGAGCATGACGACCCTTCGGCGATTGGCAAGTGGTTCCTCGATCATTTTGCGGCGGCCACCGAGGACGCTGAACAGTTCACAGCTCTCTTCATCCCGGATGGTGAGCCCTCCCAGTTCTCGTCACTAATATCAGGATCTTGGCGCGACAAAGTAGCATTCACCTGGGACTACCGCACCTTCCACGGGACTGATGTTATCAGGTCAGCTGCGGCTGATTTGCTACCCCTCATCCCGGTGTCAGATCTCAAGCTCCTAGCCCCGGCGACGATCGTTCGCCTCTGGCGCGACCTAGCTTGGATTGCGGTGCACTTCACCTTCCACACAGATCGCATCTCAGCCAGTGGTGTTGCGAATCTCGTGAAGACCAAGGAGGGCTTCAAAGTCTGGACGCTCTGCACTGCCATCGAGGGGCTTCTCAGATTTCCAGAAGCTCCAAGTCACGATGGGCATCCAGTCGGTGATCTCTCATGGGCGGAGCAGCGACAGACAGAGATCGACTTCGGCAATCGTGACCCCGACGTCGTCATCATCGGCGGAGGACACAAGTAATTGCTCGCTGTATCTTCGCTGACTTGACAGTGGTCTGATGCTGGCTGCCCGACTGAAAGCCCTCGGTGTCTCATCCCTTATCATTGAGAGGAACGCTCGAATTGGTGACACCTGGCGCCAGCGCTACGACTGCTTGACACTCCAGTTTCCTCATTGGGGCGACCACTTCCCTTACATGCCTTTTCCAGATCATTGGCCTACGTACACGCCTGCACACAAGCTGGGCGACTGGCTAAAGTCGTACTACACGGCAATGGAGCTTTGCGCATGGACATCAACGTCAGTCCAGCACGTCGAGCAGCTACCGGACGGCAGCTGGAGCCTGGTGGTTAACCGCAATGGCACTGAGCGAACCTTGAAGCCGAAGCAACTTGTGATGGCCACTTCTCTCTTCGGCGAACCCTCCTCACCACCGATTCCCGGCCGCGAAACGTTTTCTGGCACAGTAATCCACTCCACGGAGTACCGAAATAGCGCACCGTTTGTGGGGAAGAAAGTGCTGGTTGTCGGGGCCTCCTCATCGGGCCTGGACATCGCCCATGACCTCGCCATGCGCGGCATTGACGTGACCCTTCTCCAGCGCTCTCCAACGTATGTCATGAGCCTGACCCACTCCGTTCCCATGTTCATGAGCATGCACAAGCCTAACGGCACCCAGCGTCCCGATTTGGAGGGGCTCGATCGAGGAATGTTTTCGACGCCAACAGCCGTAGGGGAGAACCTGAGCCGCCGGTTCGCGGAAGATCTCGAGGCGCTGGACCACGATCTACTGCAAGGGCTTGAGGAGGCAGGGTTCAAGACCTGGCGCGGACAACGAGACACAGGCTTCCAGACACTGGCGTACACGAACGGCGGGGCGTACTACTTTGAAGCGGGGGCGTGTGAGAGTATCATCAAGGGCGATATCAAGGTTGAGCAAGGGTCACTCGAACGTATAGAAGACGATATGGTTGTGTGGTCGAACGAGGGAAGCGAGATTTCGCGCCAGTTCGACACAGTGTTGCTGGCGACGGGCTTCCGCCCAGCGATCGACGGTATCCGCGCCGCGTTAGGTGAGAGCATCGCCAATCGAATTGATACGATCTGGGGCATCGACTCTGAGGGTGAACTTCGCGGCGTATTCCGCCATTGTGGGGTCAACAATCTCTGGATCGTCGTTAGCATTCTCCCGTACGGGCGATACCATTCCAAGCTAGTGGCCCTGCGCATCAAGGCGATGCTGGAGGGTGTTCACGGCACAGTCTACCAGTAGCGACCAGACCCGTGGAGTTGTGAGACTTCCCCGCAGTGAATGCCAGTGACGCTTAATCTGTCATTCAGTGTGTCGTGTACGCCTAGTAGTTGTCGATGGTCGTTCCGACAGCCATGGCAATGTGGGGCGCGTCAACGGCTCCTTGTTTGCCGAGAACCTGATATCGGGCTGGACGTTAAACCAGCCGTTCATAGTTGTTCACAAAGGAAGTTGTACGAGAGGAGAGGCCTTGTTCCGGCTCGTGTGTCATGAGTTTGGTGTCGCAGAGGTGCATCGCTTCAGTGCCGCCTTAGACCTCCATCCCATGTCCCACCGCTGCTGCTCTTCCACCGTAAAGCAAAGCGGGATCCGCACCAATTCGACCTCCGTCTACGTCAACCTTCACCTCCACACATGACTGGTCACTGATCTCGCGCTCCTCGCCCCGATGCATCCCCCCATCCCATCCCATCCCCATCTCTCTCTCTTTCCCACCATTGTCGGCCTGTCTTGAGACATCAGAAATGGCAGGATGAGCACCTTCGATGCACAGCAAGTTACTCACTGCGATCGCACTCGCACTGGAACTGGATGCCACACATCCCGACGTCGGAAATTGCAAAGATTCTTTGATGTCACCTCACATATACGCAGTCTCCGCCACAATCAGCGTTCAACCTGTGGATCATGGTGAACATGTTATCACACACTTTCGACCTGAATAAAGTAGTTAGGTCGGCATTCATGCGTCTTTCCGCAGCTCCAACTGTCTCCAGCGGAGAGCTCGTTCAGGCCCCGCTACCCGGTGGGTGGGCGATGCGGCAGGGTGAGTGTCGCCCTTCCACGCGATCGCGCCGTGACTGCTAAGCGGAATTATCGCAAACCCAAGCCAGCATGCACGGATTGCATAGTCTGACACAGTATCTCGCTTGCCTGACGCGCCAATATTTAACCTCCGACAAATATCTCTCCTTGCGATTCGCTGCCTCAGTCACGGTCAAAGGAACTTGAATGTGTCTCTACATGTTGGCCGCGTCAATTTGTCTGAGCCGCCGCGATCAGGCATTCGGAGCGCGTCAATGAGGGCATGAGGCTCAGTCTAGTTCTCAAGTGAAGTGCTCTGTGCTCGTCGTATTCGACGTCCATTCCCCACCTTGAAGCCTGCAGGAGACACTCGGCCACGCATCGACCTTGATGTACGCGTCGGCCAGTTTGTTGTGCACCTGTTGGGCTTTCCTTCGCCGAGCGACTGTCCATGCACTCTTCCTTCTAACAGCGACGAGGCCATGTTCGGGCAGATCGACCCACACCAAGCCGAACCACCCAACAGAAGCGATACCACAGGTGGACATGCATGGATGGGCCTCATTGTTTGCCCGGATCGCTAAAGCATGCGAGTACTCACGTTGCGTGCATGCTGGTAGTCGGCTCCCCAACTGGTCATATCCGAGCCGGACGTCGATCTGTCGATCCCGCGACGATCATGGAATTCCGATCAGTCGGAATGTTCTGTAGTCGGACCAGAGATGTTCCATTTTCCCCGTCAGTCCTCAACCCCTTAGCTTCAAAGCGCCGGCCAGCCAATTAGCTGAAACGCTGGAAGTTTTGGGCATCGAACTCGGTTTGGCATCAGGCAGGAGTGAATTGGCTCGGTTAGACAGCGGTGTCCCCGAGTCGGACTCGGGACAGTGGGTTACGAGATACATGCCCCACTCTACTACCCCCACGTGCTAAGGCCCAGCACGGACTACTATGACGTAGCATATTCCACAGCTCACCAGGATATTCAAAAGATGGCATTCCCACTCCCACACCCGCCCTGACCTCGCAACAAAGGTCAATCTAAGCGACACTCCACTCGTCCTCGAGGCGACGTAGATCTCTTCATCACAGCACGCACAGTTCCCACTCCATCCTCATTCACCTCATCTCTCTCTCTTGCTCACACTTTCATCCACTTGCCTCACACGCCATGCCGACATCAGACTTCGACCCCGATCGTATGGACATCGATCCTCCAGAGCCGTCCACCGCCGACTCTACAGGCCCCGCAACCCCCAACGGCTTCTCAACACCACCAGCAACGCAGGCTGAAACGCACGATGCACCTCTGCCGTCAATGGAAGGGGCAAAACCACCTCCCTGGGCCAAACCCGCCGCGCCTTCCAAAACTGAGGGCCCGACTGAAACCTCCCCGCCGAAGAAGGACGATACAACGACGCCAGCAGCAGAGCCCGAACCCGAACAAGAAGTCGACATTTCACATGTCCCACCTCCCGACCTCAAGGCGCTGCTCAGTAAGGGTCGCGACCCCGGTGCCCATTTGGATGCCACGCGACTGGCAGTGCCCGAACTGAGAGTGAGTTTTGAGTGCTCTTCGGTCAAGACCTCGGTTGAGCCGCCCACCTTGCTCCAATCTGGACTGCGGGTGCAGAAACGGAGGACGGTTGCCTGGATGGCTGACGCGCTGTCGATCACCGAACACACTTTGCTGATGATAGGCACTCCTTGACAAGGCGCTGAATCTCAAGGCCGATGGCAACAAAGCTTTCACCTCCAAACCACCCAAGCTCGAAGTTGCACGCGATAACTATCTATGCGCACTCGACTGTCTTCCTGCTGTCCCGAAACATCTTCCGCCACCAAAACTTGACGAGAACCGTTTCACTGAGATCTCGGACGAGGAGGCGGAACAGATCAACCTCGACTGGGAGACGGGAGCAGAACGCGTGGCCGTTGACAACGACATCCGCGACGCAGAGAAGGCAATCTGGGGCAACCTAGGTGCCGTGTACGGGCAGCAGGTAAGTTGCAGCTATGCTTATGGCGGCATGCCTGGGCTAACGTCACTTTTCCCCGCGAAGATCTACTGACACCAGAAATTGTATAAGGAGGAGGTCGACGCTTGCACTCGCGCACTCAGCTTTGATCCGCACTATGTCAAGGCTCTGCATCGCCGTGCGTCCGCCAATGAACACATCGGGACATGGTCTTCGCTCGTCAGCGCTCAGCGAGACTGTCAACTTTTGCTCTCTCTGCTGCCACCCGACTCGACCGTTGCAGCCAACGTGTCCAAGGCTCTCGACACGCTGCCCCAGCGCATCGCCGCGGCACAGAAGCGTGAGGAGACGGAAGTCGGCATCAAATTTGGCGGGCTAAGCACCAAGTAGGGGGCCCGGGCCTGGGGTAAGCTGTCCACTTTGCTCGAAGTATGGCGCCGCCGGTTGGCGGAAGCCACTAGAGCTAGAAGGGGAGTAGCGGTGGCGTCGCCTCAGGCCCCGTCAAGGCGCGAGTCGCAGCGGCCGGGCTGTTTGCCGCACATAGACTGAAACGCCAGAGGGAGATGTCAATCAACATAGACATCGGCATGTCCATGCGTTTGAAGTTCTAAGATGCAATGACTGGCTTAATCTTCGGTAGATGGCTGCAGTTATACCGTACACTTCCAAACCCAGTGGTTGCTGGCCGTGATACCACGAAGCATGTCACACCTGCTGTGTGATGGTGTGGCACGACGCGGGAACGGGAGATCGACACGTCCCAAACGACTGGCAAGCGTCAATTCCGGGGACTGTAGCAAGTGCACGACCGTTGATAATCGTGGCAGACCTACTTCAACCGCGCAGCCTTCACCAGTTGGCATAAGCCCTTGTGTAACGTGATACGGGGTTATCGCGCTCTCCCTGGCGATGGCGGTAGGGGGCTTGGCCGCGGGGATGACCTGAGAAGTCGGGAGCCTACAGTCGGCGAGAGCGCAGGCGCACAGCCTGATACATGAGCTTTAAAACCCCAGTAGGTGCGTGGCGACCGCAGCCGTGCGAGATGGCAGCAATAAGCTCCAGGCTACATGTTAGGCAGCGTCCCTCCAGAGTCCACAAGCGGACCGATCCGCAACTACCATGAGAAGGGCGCGAGACGTGATACTTACGTCTTTATGTCTGTGGAGGCAGCGGCAATCTGGGGCCAAATGGAAACAAGCGTCTGAATTTGGTTACTGGTAGCATTGGAGAATGCAGTTGGAAGGTGCACTCTCTGAAGGACATAGTCATCAGCTAACAAGGAGAACTCCAAAACTCGTTAAGGAAGGACGACAAGTCTATAGATCCAGTCGTGCGGGGGAGCTTGATCCGGATCGATCGACCTTATAAAGGGTGTGTGCCGCCGGGGGGGTAGTGTTTTGATGAGCTGGGAAGATAGAGTAGATCGAGAGGAGTCCATTGGTGGTACTTTTGGGCCAGGGGGGTCGGAACTCGGCGAGCTACGGGGCGTCAAAGGTTTGCTGCCCCACTCTCTACCTTTATGTGGACAATCTGTGGACAATCTGTGGACAATGCGTGGACAATTGTCCACAAGTGTGGACAGCACTTGTCCACAGATCAGTCATTATAGAGGGTGTCAGCCGCCGGGGGGGTAGTGTTCTGTTGACATGGGATGACAGAGTAGATCCAGAGGAGTCCATTGGTGGTACTTTCTGTCAGGCCCTGCACTGTTCGGAAAGGCGGAGGCTAGGGAGTGGTTGAGCACAAAGGTGTTCGTACACCGGATGCCGCTCCACCACCCCGATGACTCGAAGTCGACAATTGTGATAGGCGTGCAATAAGACTATGATACTATGATGGGGTGAGAATACGACGAGTATCAACAGTTGGGGGAAGAGATCCTGAGGCGTCGCCGTATATGTGACGATACGATGTGACCGGTGCCGACGTGGGTACCGATCAGTACCGACGCCGTTATGAGATGTGGAGTGCCTTGCGATCGGGATGCGTGGTTATCGCGTGGTGGTTGCTACGTGGTCGACACGTGTAGTCGGTGCTCAATAGTCGTTGTCGTTCGGATCGTCACAGGGAGCACCAGGGAGCAATGGAGCAACAGGCAACTAGAACCAGAGCCATCCGCTTCTCCAAGGACATCAACCTGTTCAACATCCCCGTCTCATGGCTGGCCCAGCTCACCATCAGTGACTTGCCGAAGGTCAATGAACCTCCATGCACTTGATGAATCAGGCTTGTTTCCAGAGCCCCACCTCGTTCCCCAGGAGGAGACCAGGGATGACGACCCCTTGTACCCCCTTGTCTTTGTCAACCCAGCTTCATTTGGCAATGGTCACCGCAGCGGGACTTCTACAACACCTAACAGAAGACCTGGCTTTTACACCTCAGAATGAGCCCACTCCCCCACCTGCCCCCACATTCTCGCCCACAACAATGCCAGTGCCGGCACCTGCGGCACCTGCAGGGGCACCCGCGCCTGCGCCTGCACCGTGCACACCTCAGAAACAGAAAGGCCGTTCCCTCACACCCAGGCCCTTGCCCTCCCCCACGGCCACAGCTGGGCCCAAGGTCCGAGTACATTCTGCTGAGCTGGCTCCAGCAGTTCTGGTACACCCAGCGACACCAAGCCCCTGCCCACCAATGCCCGGCCCCCGCCCAGCTACGCCGTCACCCCCCTCCACACCCCCTGCTCAAATCACCTCGGATTGGACCACAGTGGTCAAGCGGCGCTCAGCACGCAATCTGC